TTCTTCTGGGGAAAGGCCCCATTGACCTCTTTACTTTTGAGCAGAAATTTATAAGAGTGCAATAACAAAGAGTTAAATGGAGCTTACTTCCAAGTAAGTGTGCACAGGAAGCAGTGCCATTGGGGCAGGATTTAGGGGCCACGGCCCTGTTCAGCAAAATGAACAGGAGGGCTCCCAAATACAACAAGAGGGCTGACCCACCACATTTTGAAGGAATAATGTAAAGTATTACACATTACTTCTACCCCCACCCTGCAAGCTACCTCTGTTATGACCATTAAAAAGTGAGACCATACCAGCATATAACACCTCTGATCTGCATTGGTTGCTGCTTGCTGCCAGGCCAAGTTCATGTGTCCAACTTTAATAAGAATTAACTGACACGAAATGTTAGCATTTCGTCTTTGGGGAATAAACCGTCAGAGGCTTTTTCCCTTGTGCATTATTTACTTAAAGTACCTATTGGCTCTCTCACAACAAGAAGGAAAAACAATGTTGAATTCGGTAACTTAAAAAAAAAAAAGGTGTATAAAATACACATAGGTCCCACTTTATGAACATTTTAGAGGTCCATAAAAATCTGTAAATGTTTCTCACGTTGCCCAATATATAAATGCAGCTTGTCTGAGGTGAAGATAAAAGTCACCTAAATACAGGAGAAAGGATCAACTTTATTTCCACTAAAAATGTCTACCCAAAATGTAATATTTAATTATTTCCATTCTGACATTTGCTGATATGAATGATCGCAGTCTCAACAAAGATGTGTGTCAACATTAATTATTCTGCAGGCAAATACAGTTTGTTCTAACCAGAGACTGTTGGGGGTGAGGAGTGGAGATAATAAAATATAACAAGCATGTGCACTTGATTAAAACATACGATCTGATTTATTCTGTTGAGGAAGTTGTCCCTGAGCTAAATGTTAAGTATTCAGTGACCTTGTACTTCTTGTTCTCATCCCTATTGTATGGCATCACCACCATGTCCTAGCAGTGCAGGAATAGTGTTTGTTTAATAAGTGAAGTGTATCTAAAAAGTGGAACTACACTAAGACAGCCTCAAACCACACAACTTGGGAAGCAGCTTCTGTACGTCTCAGCTCAGATGTATTATCCCCAAAAACTCTGTGCAGGTACCAGGAAAGAAGCCAGCAACTTTCTTTATTTGGCAACCAATACAGAAACACAATAACTTACATGCCTTTATCGAGACTATTTTAAATGTATTATAATCTTTGCAGAACACCATGTATGTGTAGAATCGGTATTCATAACTACAGTACATAGTTGTTATATAACAACTATAGATACATAGTTGTTATATGCAATATGTTGTTTTTAAGGACATATAGAAACTTCATTCCAGTAGTTCCATTGTACCTGTGCAGGCTTCAAATGCCACATAAATTATTGTGGCACTCCATCTACACATCAGAGCTACATACACCTCTGGCTCTCAGCAAATATATCTGTAGGCCCTCAGTGCAGCTTCTGTAGAGTATGTGGACCTGCAACAAAATGATGCTCAGAGTTGCTGAGTCTGCAGATAATAATAATAATAATAATAATAATAATTTATTATTTATACCCCGCCCATCTGGCTGGGCTTCCCCAGCCACTCTGGGCGGCTTCCAAAAGAATATTAAAATACTGTGATACATCAAACATTAAAAGCTTCCCTAAACAGGGCTGCCTTCAGATGTCTTCTAAAAGTCTGGTAGTTGTTATTCTCTTTGACATCTGGTGGGAGGGCGTTCCACAGGGAGGGTGCCACTACCAAGAAGGCCCTCTGCTTGGTTCCCTGTAACTTGGCTTCTCGCAATGAGGGAACCGCCAGAAGGCCCTCGGTGCTGGACCTCAGTGTCCGGGTAGAACGATGGGGGTGGAGACGCTCCTTCAGGTATACTGGACCGAGGCCATTTAGGGCTTTAAAGGTCAGCACCAACACTTTGAATTGTGCTCGGAAACGTACTGGGAGCCAATGTAGGTCTTTCAAGACTGGTGTTATATGGTCTCGGCGGCTGCTCCCAGTCACCAGTCTGGCTGCTGCATTCTGGATTAGTTGTAGTTTCCGGGTCACCTTCAAAGGTAGCCCCACGTAGAGCGCATTGCAGTAGTCCAAGCGGGAGATAACCAGAGCATGCACCACTCTGGCGAGGCAGTCCGCAGGCAGATAGGGTCTCAGCCTGCGTACCAGATGGAGCTGGTACACAGCTGCCCTGGACACGGATTTAACCTGTGCCTCCATGGACAGCTGTGAGTCCAAAATGACTCCCAGGCTGCACACCTGGTCCTTCAGGGGCACAGTTACCCCATTCAGGACCAGGGAATCCTTCACACCTGCCCGCCTCCTGTCCCCCAGAAACAGTACTTCTGTCTTGTCAGGATTCAATCTCAATCTGTTAGCCGCCATCCATCCTCCAACCGCCTCCAGACACTCACACAGGACCGTCACCGCCTTCACTGGTTCTGATTTGAAAGAGAGGTAGAGCTGGGTATCATCCGCATACTGATGAACACCCAGCCCAAACCCCCTGATGATCTCTCCCAGCGGCTGCATGTAGATGTTGAAAAGCATGGGGGAGAGGACAGAACCCTGAGGCACCCCACAAATGAGAGCCCAGGGGTCTGAACACTCATCCCCCCCCACCACTTTCTGAACACGGCCCAGGAGGAAGGAGCGGAACCACTGTATGACAGTGCCCCCAGCTCCCAGCCCCTCAAGACGGTCCAGAAGGATGTTATGGTCGATGGTATCAAACGCCGCTGAGAGATCCAGCAGAACTAGGAAACAGCTCTCACCTTTGTCCCTAGCCCGCCGGAGATCATCAACCAGTGCGACCAAGGCAGTTTCAGTCCCGTGATGAGGCCTGAATCCCGACTGGAAGGGATCCAAATGGTCCGCTTCTTCCAGGCGTGCCTGGAGTTGTTCAGCAACCACTCGCTCAATCACCTTGCCCAAGAATGGAAGATTTGAGACTGGGCGATAGTTGGCCATCGTGGCCGCATCTAAAGATGGTTTTTAAGAAGCGGTTTAATAACCGCCTCTTTCAGCAGGTCTGGGAAGGCTCCCTCACGGAGGAAGCATTCACCACCCCACGAAGCCCATCGCCCAGCCCTTCCCGGCTAGCTTTTATAAGCCAGGATGGGCAAGGATCAAGGAGACAGGTGGTTGGTTTCACTCGTCCAAGCAACCTGTCCACATCCTCGGAGGTAACAGATTGGAATTGATCCCACGCAATTTGACTAGACAGGACTCTAGCACTCTCCCGCCCCGGCCCTGCTCCCACGGTGGCGTCTACCTCTTCCCGAATCTGAGCGACTTTATCTGCAAAAAACTTTGCAAAATCATTGCAGGAGATCATGTGGCCCATACTGGGCCCCAATGTAGCAGGTGGTTCTGCTAAATTGCGGACCATCTGAAAAAGTCTCCTGCTGCTGTTTTCTGCAGATGCAATAGAGGCGGTGAAGAAAGTCTTCTTCGCCGTCGCTACCGCCACTTGGTAGGCTCGACATTGAGCTCTAACTTGTGTCCAGTCAGCTTCAGAATGGGTCATCCACCACCGGCGCTCTAGCCGTCTCAAAGATTGTTTCATTGCCCTCAGATCCGTGGAAAACCACGGGGCTGTCCGGGCTCCATGCAATTGGAGAGGACGCTTCGGAGCCAAACAGTCAATAGCCCTGGTTAACTCCACATTCCAGCGGGCCACCAGGGAATCAGCTGATGCAAGGCAATGTGTCCCGATAGAGCATGGGTAGGCAAACTAAGGCCCGGGGGCCGGATCCGGCCCAATTGCCTTCTAAATCCGGCCCATGAATGGTCCGAGAATCAGTGTGTTTTTACATGAGTAGAATGTGTCCTTATATTTAAAATGCATCTCTGGGTTATTTGTGGGGCATAGGAATTTGTTCATTTTATTTATTTATTTTCAAAATATAGTCCAGCCCCCCACAAGGTCTGAGGGACAGTGGACCGGCCCCCTGCTGAAAAAGTTTGCTGACCCCTGCGATAGAGCCTACATGCATGTACAAAAGGCAGGACCCCTTGTGGACAGCACTGCAAAAACCACTACATTAACAGCTGAATGTCCCCTCCCTTGTTTTATAGAATGCAGTAGCTACACAGCTTCTCCCAACACCTGTGGTAGATGTTGATAGCAATGTTGTCTCCATGGTTCCAAAGGCAAAGCATTAATTAACTCAACCAGCACCTGGTGTCTGATATTCCTAGACCTGTTGAAGTCGTGGGAGTTCTGAATGCATGTGGAACTGGTAATGAAGAATCTGGTAAGGTATATTTGAGGAAATGAAATGAGGCGGCACAAGAAGATATGATTACGGGATTTTGGCGTGCATTCACGCATGCCGTTCCCCCCGTCCCACTCTGCCCCATCATTTATTTTTTTTCATTTCCTTGTACGCCACTAACCACAAGGTCACAGGGTGGGTTACAACTACAGTGGTACCTCGGGTTACATATGCTTCAGGTTACATATGCTTCAGGTTACAGACTCCGCTAACCCAGAAATAGTACCTCGGATTAAGAACTTTGCTTCAGGATGAGAACAGAAATTGTGCTCTGGCAGCACGGCAGCAGCAGCAAGAGGCCCCATTAGCTAAAGTGGTGCTTCAGATTAAGAACAGTTTCAGGTTAAGAACGGACCTCCGGAACGAATTAAGTACTTAACTCGAGGTACCACTGTAGTTGCAGCTATAAAACAAGTGTATTTTTTAAAATAAAAACAATCAAAAACAATTTCACATATTGAAAACAATACAAACTTTTTTAAAAAAACCAATTCCACATATAAAAAGAGTTAAAAAGTAGTTCCGATACAGATGCAGGTGAGGATAAAGATCTCCACTTGAAAGACTTGTTGAAAGAGAAAGGTCTTCATTAGGTACCTATAATGCAACAGAGACTGTGACTTTCTGACAGGGAATTCCAAAGGGTAGTTGCTACCACACTGAAGGGCCAATTCGTGTGTGTGTGTGTGTGTGTGTGTGTGTGTGTGTGTGTGTGTGTAAGGAGGGAATAATCTGCACACATCCCTGCTTACTAAATTCAGTCTTTTCTCTCTCTCTCTCTCTCTCTCTCTCTCACACACACACACACACACACACAGAGAGAGAGAGAGAGAGAGTACCCTTTTCAGCATATAAGGGCTAATTCAGAAACCTGATCCATGCCTGAAAAACCATATCTATGCATGTATCACTCTTGCTGGATCAGGGTGAAAATGTATCTATCTAGAACATACGCATGAGAACATATTAATGGGACCCTGACATTTACAAATGCTTTTGTTAGCATTGTGAAGCATTTCCACTCCTACCAGAATCAGAAAAGTAACATTACTTCTTATTCTGAAGCACACCCCTCAATCCTTGCCTGGCTTCTTTGCTATAAATCCCTATGCTCATCTAATAACATTCTTCAGCCAATCAGTGCACAGAGATTTGTATCCTGTACGGCTGAGCAATAACCCATTTAGTCTTCATGCAAATCAAACACTGAGCCAAAAAATGGAAAGCTAAATCACAGGGGAATGAGTTTGCAGTTCTGGGTCAGTAAGTGCCCAACATTCCCACACATCTCGAGTGCCAGAGACAATTCCATGCTAGAATATCTGTCAAGAAGCACTGCAAGTAATATAATTTGCCCCCAAATTTACTCTTGCCAGTTACTAGGGGCTAGACCCTGGAAATATTGCTCACTTTTACTATGGGAACTCACAGTGATAATGCAGCAAACCAATAGAAACAATACAGCATGATTTGTAGGTTTCTGGATATCGTTGATGCAAGGTCTCATCAGAAGTTCAGCAACCCCAAAACACATCTTGGTGATTTCACACACACCCTTTACTTACTTACTTACTTACTTACTTACTTACTTACTGTATTTCCACGCTGCCTTTCAGCCAAAGTAAAGGTAAAGGGACCCCTGACCATTAGGTCCAGTCATGGCCGACTCTGGGGTTGCGGCGCTCATCTCGCTTTATTGGCCGAGGGAGCCGGCATACAGCTTCCGGGTCATGTGGCCAGCATGACTAAGCTGCTTCTGGCGAACCAGAGCACCGCACGGAAACGCCATTTACCTTCCCCGAACCAGAGCACCGCACGGAAACGCCATTTACGGTACCTATTTATCTACAGTGGTACCTCGGGTTACATACACTTCAGGTTACAGACGCTTCAGGTTACATACTCCACTAACCCAGAAATAGTACCTCGGGTTAAGAACTTTGCTTCAGGATGAGAACAGAATTCATGCTCCGGCGGCGCAGCAGCAGCAGGAGGCCCCATTAGCTGAAGTGGTGCTTCAGGTTAAGAACATTTTCAGGTTAAGAACGGACCTCCGGAACGAATTAAGTACTTAACCCGAGGTACCACTGTACTTGCACTTTGACATGCTTTCGAACTACTAGGTTGGCAGGAGCAGGGACTGAGCAACGGGAGCTCACTCCGTCGCAGGGATTCGAATCGCCGACCTTCTGATCGGCAAGTCCTAGGCTCTGTGGTTTAACCCACAGCGCCACCCGCATCCCTCAGCCAAGGTATTAACATACAAAAGGGGCTAACATTTTATTCCATTCAGTACTCTGTGCTGATGTGCCATTAGAGCGAGTCTCTATCCCCTTTTAATCATAGGGTTAGACTGAGATGAATAGAGAACTGTTAATAAAAAAAAAAATTAGGCTAGACTGGAGAGGCATACCAGAAAGACTGTTTGTAATCTATTCATATACTGGTGATCAGTTTGCTCTGATCAAGCAGCAGAAAGGCCTACATGAATGCCAGTTTCCAGGACTCGAGCTAAGAGATGTGTGAGGTTTTGTGTTCCATATGGTGAACCAGAAAACTGCATGTTTCCCTAAGTGATTTTTAGATGCCATCCCATTAAAATAGAACAGGGATGTCCAACAGCCTCCTGACTCCCCCCACCCAGAAGGCTTCCAAAAAAAAAGCTCCACGACTTTGGTAGATCACTGCCAGGTTTTTTTTATAGTGGGAGTAGATCGCAGTCTCTTGGAAGTTGGACATGCCTGATATAGAGGAATGCAAGGGCAAAGGGCATCTTTTGACTCAGGCACTCGTTAGAATTTTTTTCTGGCCATACTTATTTCATAAACTCTACCATAAATAGTTCAGTGGAAAGCATCTAATTGGAAAGACCTAATCTGCTTTCAGTGAGACCTGATAATGTGGCAAAACGAATGTTGTGTATGATCTAAAACCTTAAATACAGATGGTCGCAGAACAATAATCACATCATTTGGGTACCAGCGGATATAGGCATCTGCTTAGCCATCATGAGAACTAGGCTAGATGTCCCTTTGGTCTGATCCAGCAGAGATTTCCTATGTTCTCAATATTATTTTATATACCGTATACAAACCTTGAAGACTCAGGCTGTGTTCCCCTTTCGACCATACACTGCATGGATTGCAGGTTATGTGATTTCCTTTTAAAAATGATTTCCAAAACCTTCATAATGAAGGGCAATACATCAGAGTAAAAATTGTTATATAAGCTTAAAGGCTGCCCTTGACCATGGATTTTATTTCTGAATAACACAGAAAAGTAACGTCACGTGTTTGAGTTTCCTGTCAAACCTTGAGCAACGCTGCAATGCAGAAACCTAATTTAGGAGAGCCACTATTGTTCGTAAAATTGTAGCTTTTGGATTTAGAGCGCCGTGAAATCTCAGCACCTGACAGATTACATAAATATTAATTTAGCTTTTTAATTAGCACATTAAAGGCCTGAATGGGCTGCCTACTGTGCCTGTACAAAGTTTCAGTCACATGGATGCTGGGTGGAATAATTCTGTAATGGGGGCTGCAGACAGTTGATGTTTCAATAGAACCCAGTTTAAGGCAATTAAATAATCCCATTATCTTTAGCTAACTCTTATTTTGTTAGTTCCGTTTATCCTCCATGGTAAAAACCAAGCGGGACAAGATAGAAGCATGTAACAGTTTACATGGGGTGAAGAAAATGAATAGGAAGAAGTTTTTCTTCCTCTCTCATGACACTAGAACTCTGGACCATCCTATGTATCTGAATGTTAGACGACTCGGAACCAACAACATCCATTGCTTCTTAGTGTGGTGCTATAGTTCATAGTTCTTCATGTCAAAGTCCTCTGGGCAGCTAATACAGAATTCAAACAATTAAAATAATGAAATATTAGAGAAAATGATGATGATGATAACAGTAGCATTTCAAACAGTAGCATTTCAGTCCAGGGTTGTAAAGACTGCAGAGAGAATAACTGGGTGCACTCTTCCCACCTTAGATCAAATCTATGCTGTCAGGTGCCATAAGAAAGCTGCAGAGATAGCGCAGGATAGTACGCACCCCGGAAATGATCTCTTTCAGCTTCTGCCTTCTGGAAGAAGGTACAGGGTTATAAAGGCCAGGACTAGCCGCCTGAGAAACAGTTTCTATGCAAATGCAATTCTGGTTCTAAACACAGCATAAGGAGTCTCTATAGTATATTGTATTTTAAAATGGGGTTTCAGAGTTTTTAGGGGTTTTTGAATGTTTTATGTAGTTTTTTCAATTTCATTGTTCAATTTCAATTTCATGGGACAATGACAATAAAGATATCGTATATTTCAAACATTACAAATGAATCAGTTCAGTTTGTTGCCTACAAACTGAGACAAGCAGCATAACAGTGTTTAAAACACAGCAGAAACAAATTGTACCAAGGTCTGGGAGATTTTTTAAAAAGTATTATCTGGTGCCAAAGGTATCTTAATGTAGGCATCATGTAAGCATCATTGAGGATCAGGTGGGCACTGACTGTTGAATGCTTCCAATGGTAATTAAAAGCATAAAGAGCAGACAGGTAACCACCCCGTGGCTGCAGGAAACAATGGGAATCTTGATTTCTTCAAACATGGAAATGAGGCATGTCCTTCTTCACTGTCTGATGAAGGAAATCCTTTCATTTTCCTAGTTCAGATGCTGCGGTCTTCCCATTTTCCCTGTTTTGCCCTGGTTATACCTCTTCTGAGAGTCTGCTATATGGAGATCCCGTACCATACCTTGGTATGATGCATTTCACACCTGTCAAGGACATTCATACCTGCACACATATGCAATGCCACATGCCTCCATATCTGAAGATGAATCTGATATATTTGTCCACATATAGTGTAAATTTGGTCCTTTTCTGGTTCACTGTTATACCGTGCTCAGATATTAAATACGCTACACATGGACACCAATGTGTATTATCACATATCTCCATATGCATAAATTAATAGTGTCATTTTTGATTATGGATTTATTGGGGGAAGCCACACCACCAATAACAACCACCACCTATGACCTTATCTGCACTGGAGAGCCAGTGTGGTGTAGTGGTTAAGAGCGGTAGTCTCGTAATCTGGGGAACCGGGTTCGCATCTCCGCTCCTCCACATGCAGCTGCTGGGTGACCTTGGGCTAGTCACACTTCTCTGAAGTCTCTCAGCCCCACTCACCTCACAGAGTGTTTGTTGTGGGGGAGGAAGGGAAAGGAGAATGTTAGCCGCTTTGAGACTCCTTAAAGGGAGTGAAAGGCGGGATATCAAATCCAAACTCTTCTTCTTTTGTATGGAAGTAAAAGCACGTCAAAGTGCAAGTAGATAAATAGGTACCGCTCTGGCGGGAAGGTAAACAGCATTTCCATGCGCTGCTCTGGTTCGCCAGAAGCAGCTTAGTCATGCTGGCCACATGACCCGGAAGCTGTACGCTGGTTCCCTCGGCCAATAAAGCGAGATGAGCGCCGCAACCCCAGAGTCGGCCATGACTGGACCTAATGGTCAGGGATCCCTTTACCTTTACCTTAGTATACTTTAAGCTTCAGAACTGTTTTATCCTGCTTGGAATTCTGAAAATTGTTCTGTAGTGATACCTGGCTGTAGTGATACCTTGCTTGGCGTAAATCCATTTCAATGTCTTCTTAAGGCACAGTGGTGTGCCACCTTTTGGATATACCCTGTAAGTGCAAGCCATGGTTCAAGGTTTTATTTTCAGCATAAAACATAAGAGAAGAATACACAATAGGAATAATTCTTTGCCCATTGGCAGAAATACAAGAATGAGTTAGTGGTACATTTGCACTATTTACCGTATTTTTCGCTCTATAAGACGCACCAGACCACAAGATGCACCTAGTTTTTGGAGGAGGAAAACAAGAAAAAAAAATATTCTGAATGTCAGAAGCCAGAACAGCAAGAGGGATCACTGCGCAGCAAAAGCAGCAATCCCTCTTGCTGTTCTGGCTTCTGGGATAGCTGCGCAGCCTGCATTCACTCCATAAGATGCACACACATTTCCCCTTACTTTTTAGGAGGGAAAAAGTGAGTCTTATAGAGCAAAAAATACGGTAATTAAAAGGCTAATTTAATTTCAATTAAATTTAAAATAATGATTTATAATTAATTGATCCCAGGTTTATATGTAGCAGGCTGAGATTCCTTGGCCCTGCCATCATCAACCACCTCTCATCCTTACAATATGAAGCAGTAGCCTTCCAGGGAGGCTGATACAAGCTTGCTAAAATGCTGGAATAATATAATGCATCACATTGTGCTAGCATAGTTGATGGTGCACTTAAGCATTCATGTCCTTCGTGTAGCAACGTGTAACTAATAAATATGCTGTTAGGAAATTAATTTGATTTGGAACATGCATGCATTAAACAGGTGTGTGCCCCTGTTGCAAAGATCCTGTAGCACTTTTTAAAAATCAGACCTATACCCCATCTTTCCTCCATGGAGCACATGACAGCACACAGAATTCTCTCCTGCCCCCAACCCATTTGTTCCTCGCAACAGCCCTGCAAGGCAGGTTAGACTGAGAGAAAGAGAGAGACTTCCTTATGGTGGAAATTTGAACCTGGATCTCCCCAGTCTTAGTGTAATATTCTAATCAGCATACCCCATTCTCAGTTGTAACAAGATACTTACAATGATAGAACTATGGACGGGATCTAGAAAACACACAAACTGTGAACTACGCCATTATCAGCCTGCTTAAAGCCACTTTCTAACCACAGCCAACATATGAACATATTTAATGAAGCCACGTGCTTTAAAAAAAACCCCCAAAAAACCCACAACAGTCAAATTCACAAATACCTGAATTTACATGGACTTCAACAGAACCAAAGTACAGTATTTGGAAGCAAAACACCGATCAGAATGATTTACCGGTAAGTGCTTTGTGGCAAGTAAAAGTAAAGGTAAAGGTAAATGACCCCTGACAGTTAAGTCCAGTTGTGAATGACTCTGGGGTTGCGGCTCTCATCTCGCTTTACTGGCCGAGGGAGCCGACGTTTGTCCGCAGACAGTTTTTCCGGGTCATGTGGACAGCATGACTAAGCCGCTTCTGGCGAAACCAGAGCAGCGCACGGAAACACTGTTTAGCAGTATAGTAATTGTCTCATCTACCCTGTCTAAATACACCAGCTACATTTCAGCCACATTTTAAGAATAAAAATGATGAAGTGTGCACACTGGGTGAGGGTTTTTTTGTGTGTGGGGGGGTGGCTTTTGCAGTTATAGATTTCCTGAGTTATATGCAATAACATACAATAGATAGGTGATAGATAGATAGATAGATAGATAGATAGATAGATAGATAGATATAGATATAGATAGATGATAGACAGACAGATAGATAGATGGTAGATAGATAGATAGAAGATAGATAGATAGATAGATCAGAAGATCAGATAGATAGATAGATAGATAGATAGATAGATAGATAATCTATATCTGTACTGATATCTCCCAAATGAAACCTTGCACAACTTCTTTGCAAAGTTGCTAACTTAATTGGAGAGCCATGTCTGTTTCTGGAATTTTCAGCTCACCCAATCAGACAAAGGGCTGTTTAAAAAGGGGGGGGGGAGGCATTCTCAAATTACACTGAGGGTTCCATCTGTTATCTTAAACCTTTGTTCTCAAGTGACACAGAGAGGAGATGGTGCAAAACACACTTTGCTAAAGGTTTTATTTGAGACTGCATTTTCCAGGTTGTTTGTATGCCATCCAGGATTATATATGCCAGCCCAACAGAAGAAAGTGTTATTCTGTGTTGCTGGCGTGCTAAGTTTTGCTTGTGCTCTCAGTATTGCAGCAGCCATCGGAACTCAGCTGTGGCTCAGAGGAAGAATACTCTGCAAAACTGGAGCGCTACTTGTCAATGCTACCGGCCAAGAATTAGAGAAGTTTATTGGTGAAATTCAGTATGGACTTTTCTATGGGGAGAGGGTTAGACAATGCGGGCTCGGAGGGAGACCTTTTCGGTTTTCATGTAAGTAACAATGACATCTGAATTATTTAATGCTTTAGTGCATGCTATCGTGGTCGACAGCTACGTACATGAGCATTCTCCTGTTTCTTCCAAAAGATGCGCTAGTGGGAGATGTGAAATTATGTCACCATAATATACATCCTGTGCTTCTTCTATCAACATGTATTTACTGTTATAATAGCTTGCTAGTTGAAGGAGCAGTCAGATCCTGTGCATGTCTTCTTGGGAGTAAGGCCCACAGAGTTCTGTAGGATTTCCTTTCAAGAAAGCTTGCATGGCATCGCAGCCTTAATTTTTCAAACTCTTTTCCAATACTGTGCTTTGGTGTCTCTTTTAATTATTGTTATTTTATTAATTCTTATTGAATTGTTGTCATTTTAATATTGTCATTTTAATATTAATGAAATGAGTGGGAAAGAAAGAGAACTATTGTAAATACTTGCTTGAGTTCTGGATATGCAGACTGTGAGAAATCAACAGTCAAATTCCTCTGCATGTTTACTCAAAAGTAAGTCAATTGAGTCTACTGGGACTTCTTCATCAGCTAAAAATCTAAATGCCAGAGTCCAATCTTATACAGGTGTACTCAGAAGCAAGTCCAGTCGAGATCCAATGAGCTTACTTCTAAGTAAACATGCATAGGAATACAGCCTCACTTGCTCGACTAATCATTATTATCCAGGATTGGCAACTGCAGAGTTGCATAGGATGAGAGTTTTGCAGTTCATCTGTTTACCTTCCAGGAGTAAATAATGTTAAAATGGTCAGTCATGCACTTGATTTATGCATAGCACCATATTAAAAAGAAATAATGGTTATCTGGAGAAGAGTTCATAATATGCCACCTAACATTAATTTTCTTACCAGAAACAATTTGCAAGTAATCTGCAGAGAGACATTGTGGCTCGTGAGTCATTTCTGGTGCACGTCCTGAACTGCAGACATGAAAATGATTGACTGTGCAGAGGAAGTAGACCAAATTCATTTTGGATATTATTGAGAATTGCTTCATCTAATTGCATTCTATAGTAGGCTTTAGCAGTTCTTGAGACCTCTCTGAAAATCCTGCTTATCATTGCTTCCCGCTCCTGTCACCCTGTAGGAATTCTCAGAATGACTTGCTAAAGAATGTAGGAAGCACTAACCAAACTTTGTTTATTAAGATGGTGGAGCTGGAAGAATGCTTAAGACATAGTCCATTCCCATGAGTTAGTGCACATAGTATTATGAGAACAGTCTGTATGGAGGCTTGGACTCTTCATGTACCCTCTTCCTTCTTCTGGCATGATTGCAAGTTGCTCAGAAGCTTTCGCTTCCATTCCAAAGTAATCATATGTTGGCACATCGTCTGAACCCTATATTGTGCCTAATCTTAATAGTTAATGGTAAGAAGTTGGCATCATAAAACATAGCTTGAAGTTGGCTTGATTCCACTAACCACAGTTAAGTTAGAACACAGTTTATCAGGTGCAGGTAATGCAGTTTCGGAAGAAAAGCTTCTGAATTCCTCCTAACACCTAAGTCACAGGGGGGAAATCAACCCACAATCTAAACCAGGGGTCCCCAAACTAAGGCCCCTTGGGCCAGATAAGGCCCAAAGGACTCGTTTATCCGGCTCACAGCGACCCCCGCTGCCCACTCTTACTGACGCTGCGTGGCTGCCTACTTCCGGGTCGGAGGAGCACCGGAAATAGCTTGTGCGCATGCGCAAGCGTTATTTGCACATGTGCAAGCGTTATTTGCGCATGCACAAGCATTATTTCCGGTGCACATCCGGGTCAGAGGAGTAAGTGCATATGCGCACAAGCTATTTCCGGTGCTCCTTCGACCCGGAAGTGCGCCAGAAATAGCGTGTGTGCACACATATGGGCACGCACTCCCCTGCCCTCCGGCCCGCCTCGTGATTGGCGCTGGAGACACCGTCCAGAGGCGCAATAAGTTTGCTGACCCCTGATCTAAACAGATGGCATTCAAGAGCTTGAACACTGTGGAAGCTATTCTTCATTGAAAATATATTGTTGGAACATATCCTTATTCCCACCCCCACCCCCAAATGCTATGAAATATCCATCCCATGTGAGGGTTTTGCAAAGGGAGGTAAGTGGACCTGGTGCAGTTGGCATGCCGTAACTGTCCTCCCCTGTCCTGCATGTCCCCACTTCAAGCATGTTCCCACCTGGGAACACGTGTGATGAATGCCAAGTGAAAAACCATGAGGAAGCTGGGTTGCATCAGTCTACTTCCTGGCACACCACGAGAATAATGTGACTAGACCTCCCCAGGCAATTGTTTGCAGCCTTGTTTAGATAACAATCAAAGCAAAAAGGAGGGAGGGTATGGGGTCATTCCCACTGGTCCACTCAAACACTCTACACATTGATCAGTTTACCTGCACAGAGAGCAGATACATTCAAGTTCCACACATAAAGATGACTTGATCAACACACAGAAATCAGTGGCGAGTCAGAAGCACGACTCAGTTCTGCCCACTCACCCCGTATCGATTGTACAGTACTTGTGTCATCTGCCTTTTATGATGGAAAAAGGAGTTTGCAATTATCTATTTGGCACCAGAGCAGAGCTCTGTGATTAATCCGGGGACAGAGAAAAATAATGGCAGTCTGAAATAGCAGTCATATTTACTTTGAATGAACTTTTCTCTTTTTTTACTGGGTGAACATACACCTGGATGGAATTTATTAATGTTATATAATGTCCAGTAGCTTAAAGGCAGCTGCTTCCAATACAAGATTCAGTCTACTGTGTAATTACTAGGAAACATTGGCTGTTGTTCACTGCCTTCGCTGCAATCCTCAAGGAAACTCTCTCTCTAAATGGCTATAAATGTCTTCGGAAATGTTACCATTTACAGTAGATGCGTTTGCATTTTAATGCATTGAAGCACAGTGTGGCAAGGCTAAGAAGAAAGGATTAAATCATCTGCCTTGTTTTAGTCCTGCGTTTGCACCCATTAAATGCTCTCCCTGTTGGCCGCTATATCTCTTTTAATTGTAAAATGAATTTGCTCTGCCTGTAAAACCCATTCAGGCTCAGGAAAGCCTTCTGCTTCATTTACTCTGGCTCTTGTCTGTTTCTGGGTCAGCGGTTCATTTTCTAAAGGCCACTGGCATGTAGATTCAATGCTTATAATGAAGGTCTGTCTTCTCTTCCAGGGCAACATTGCTGCTGCATTAATTTTATCTGGTAGTCACCTATAAAAGTTTAATGATATGTAAAAAGTTCTGAATGTCGCTATTGAGGGAAACAGCCTGGACAACCCAGTGTTGTGTGTGGCTTGGCAATAAGCATGACAAAAGCTGCTTCTGATACACAGTGGTACCTCGGGTTAAGAACTTAATTTTTTCTGGAGGTCCGTTCTTAACCTGAAACTGTTCTTAACCTGAGGTACCACTTTAGCTAATGGGGCCTCCTGCTGCCGCCGCGCCAGCACCGCATGATTTCTGTTCTCATCCTGAAGCAAAGTTCTTAACCCGAGGTACTATTTCTGGGTTAGTGGACTCTGTAACCTGAAGCGTCTGTAACCTGAAGCGTCTGTAACTCGAGGTACCACTGTATATAAAACCAAATCTGTGCTGGAAAGAAACAAACTCAATCTTGCATCAAGAGAAAATGAAATTTGCAATCTGTGTAAGCGGTTCACATTTTTGCACAATGTGCCCTTGCATGTGCTTACTCAAAAGTGAGCACCATTGTGTTTTATGATGCTTACTTCCTAGTAGGTGTGTTTAGGACTGCAACCTTACCGTGCAATCCTATGCATGTCTACTCAGAAATAAGCCACGTTGCGATCACGTGCTAGTGATGAACAGGGGAAACAAGCTATGTAAGGCAGTGGTGTCCTTTCTCAAGTTGTTTGTTTGTCGGCAGAATTTACAACCCACCTCTCATCGTACATGAGTAATAATAATAATAATAATAATAATAATAATAATAATATATTTATATCCCGCCCATCTGGCTGGGTTTCCTAAGCCACTCTCTGCAGCTTCCAGCAAAATATTAAAATACAATAATTCATCAAATATTAAAAGCTTCCCTAAACAGGGCTGCCTTCAGATGTCTTCTAAAAGTCAGATAGTTGTTTATTTCTTTGACATCTGGTGGGAGGGCATTCCACAGGGTGGGCGCCACTACCGAGAAGGCCCTCTGCATATAGGCCCTATAACTTCACTTCTTGCAGTGAGGGAACCGCCAGAAGGCCCCCGGCACTGAACCTCAGTGTCCAGGCAGAATGATAGGGGTGGAGACGCTCCTTCAAGTATACTGGGCCAAGGCTGTTTAGGGCTTTAAAGGTCAGCACCAACACTTTGAATTGTGCCCAGAAAGGTACTGGAAGCCAATGAACTTGCAGTAGGACACAACAATGCAAAATACAATGCACAGTAAAAACAACAATACATTAAGGGTCATATCCAGTACTGGATGAAGGGAGTCGTGCCCATGCAACATTTCCCCATCCTCTCCTCTCCCCATGCAATGCCAAAATCAGCTTCGGAGGGTCCTTCACTTTTGAAGGTGTATGTGGGGCTGCAGCAGGGAGCAGCGAGGAGGGCAAAGTTCCATCGCTCACGTCTGTTGCACTAGTGGAACAGCAGGGTTGGATATAATCCTATATTTTAAATTACAACTATCTCCAACTCTAAAGTATATCAGACAAGTACATAGCCAAATATTTATCACGTACATAATGGCCCTTTCAGAATTTTATTTATTTGTTTGTTTTAATCTAATTCGTCTCGGCCTGGTGGAAAAGGAAAGCTTTTAGCTGGGGCCAAAAAATTATCAAAGTTGTTCCCAGCCAAACCTCAGAGGGGAGGGTGTTCCATGACCAATGAGGTGTTATTGCTTAGAAGTCCCACTGACAAGCTACAGATCTCATAATCTACTGCAGCTGACCTATAGGATTATACCTGAGATGCCCCTTCAAATACCTGGGTCTAAGCCATTTAAGCCTTTATACTAACACTTTGAACTTGGCCCAGTGACATTTTTTTTTACAGTCTTATTTTTATGAACTTTGCTGTCATCGTCATCAACATTTCTTATTTTACAAATATTAAAACCTACAAAACAAAAACTTTTCTACTGTCTGCTAGAACCAACACCTGTCACAAAGAATTAAAAAACAACACAACCTGAGAGTCTCTTTTTGAATTTTTTTTTCTTATGTTTGTAATTAATGTACAGTACATAGTCTTTCCATTTCCTATTGGCTAATTGCAACCACTGAGCAAGAAGGAAGCAATGGTCATATTACAAATAATCAACGAATTGGATTGGATTGAATCAAGCAATGTTGGATGGCTCTGATATGCCGACTGCATTGCCTGCCACAAACCCACTTGCTAGCAATTTACATTTTACATGGTAGATAAAATTTATTTGAAGTGCCTACAGAGCTTTTTCTCAGCATGTTCTAACCACAGCAAGGCAGTTCAAAGGAGTATTAGCACTGGCTTAATCATACCCCCATGGAGTGGGAGCATTTACTCTGCATTCAATGATTCGTTTTGAAATATCTGCTGTCACTAAACTGTGTAGAAATATTTGAAAATCGCCCTGTGGTAGCAAGCCTAGTTCGCAATCCACTCTGAATACCTTAAACATTCATGTATATACGGTAATAGGTTACCATACTTAATGGGGCTGTGCCAAAACAGAGACACACTTTGGGGGCAGAGAAGTATAAACCACCACCATACAAATGATTCCTATGAAACATGCCCCACCTTTAGCTTCCTAGACAGGGCACATTTCCTTCATTTTGATCAGGTGTGTGTCAGCTGGCCCTGGAAGGCCAATCCTTGGCCATCCAAGCCCTTCTTCTTTGCCTTAGTCAAACTTGCTTGTTGCACTCTGCCTGTTACCATGCTATTCCTATTCCTAAACCCAGGCAAGAATTTCTTGCTCTTGACCCAATATTGAAACTGGATGTTTTATGAGCCCTTATTTAACTACCCTGCCTTCCAGAATATCACCGTAAACCTAACTTGCAAGGATCATTCTGATACTTTTGCTTCTCAGAAAATTCTTATGTATTGGGCCATAAATGTAGACGTTGGGTCCTGCTATTATTTCTTTTTTAAGTGTTTTTGAACAGTTCTTCTCACCTTATCAGTTTCTTCCATCTCCCAATGATAAGCATGTTTCATGGCTTCAGGGTCCTGTTTTTCAGGGATGACAACTTTGCCTGATTTCTGCAGTAATTCCATTCTCTGTTTGTTTGTTTGTTTGTTTGTTTGTTTGTTTGTGTGTTTGTTTTTTTAGTTTTTCCAGATTTGTTCAAAGTTATCCCTGCAAGTATCCATGTGAGTGTTATCCTCTTCTCTTTGGCGCTGTTAGTGTTTGCCCTGATTGAGACTGGGTTCTTCATGTATAATGCATTCGGCAAACCCTATGAAACACTGCATGGTCCGCTAGGGCTGTACCTGTGGAGCTTCATCTCATGTAAGTGTTCCAAATGTAATGCCGTGGTTATGTTTGTCAGAGCCTGGGATGGAAGAGTGGTTAAGCAAAGTATCCCTTACATTTTGTGGGCTCTTGTGAGCCAGTTTTGACTGATGGGCAGGACAATCCACCTGTCAATCATCTGGCATCACAACACCAGATGATTGGCACCTGTCCAAGTCCCTTCCACAGTGCTTCCCAAGTGCCCAACCACCAGCTGGTTGCTGGGTGATTGGGAACCATAGTGCAAGGGGATTTGCCAGCATATTCTCAGCAGAGAGTTGTCAAAGCTACTCTCTGCAGGGATCATCTGTTCAGTTGCATTGCCCATGACAAAGCCAGTTGTGCAGCTGATTCAGCCATGTCTCTATGTACCTCACATTTGATATCACCTATGATGTCAGGTGTGGGGCAGGTGGGTGTGGTTTGGTAGAACATCCTCATGGGTCAAATTGGGACACGTGCTGGGTTTAAACTGGCCCATGGTCTGGAGGTTCCCTGCCCCTGCCTTGCATTTTGCCTGTTTTCACCTCTTAACACTGAAATATAAACCCAACTAGGGAAATTTCCTCCCATCATTTTGATGTGATTTATTTTCATTGCACTCGCATTTGAGGCAATCTGGTTACCTACCACATTAGGTATTAGTGGGTGGCACTGTGGTCTAAACCACAGGACCTTGGGCTTGCCGACCAGAAGGTCGGCAGTTCAAATCCCCGCAACAGGGTGAGCTCCTATTTTTCAGTCCCAGCTCCTGCCCACCTAGCAGTTCAAAAGCAAGTCAAGTGCAAGTAAATAAATAGGTCCTGCTCCAGCGGGAAGGTAAATGGCATTTCCATGTGCTGCTCTGGTTCACTAGAAGTGGCTTAGTCATGCTGGCCACATGACCCGGAAGCTGTCTGCGGACAAACGCCAGCTCCCTCGGCCTATAGAGTGAGATGAGCACACAACCCCAGAGTCGTCTGTGTCTGGACCTAACGGTCAGGGGTACCTTTACCTTTTTTACCACACTAGTTATTGGAGTAAACTGTGGTGCACCCCACAGAAGAGATATACAAAGTGTGGTGCTGCTTTGTAACTACTGAAATGCAAAGAAAACAGAAATACTGCCTCATTGTGCAAAGGTCCGTTAGAAAACTGACCAAATGCTAATTTTGGATTTTCTTCTTTTTCAGTTTCTTGTGGCTGCCTCATCATGATACTCTTTTCATCAGAAGTGAAAATCCACCACCTCTCAGAGAAAATAGCTAATTATAAAGAAGGGAGCTTTATTTTTAAAACTCACAGTGAGCAATTTGCAAATTCATTCTGGATCATTCTGGTGTGCTCATTGCTACACATTCTGAACATTTTGCTAATACGCCTTGCTGGATTTGAGTTTCCTTTTTCAAAATCGAAAGATTCAGAGACAGCAAATGGAGCAGTCGATCTAATGTACTAGACAGGTTTTGAACCATGTTTAATGAAAATGGTTCATCATGACCTTTTCCCCCAAGACACCAAATGTAAATGGGTTTAAAGGCTGTTTTTTTAAAAAACAAACAAAAACAAATATGTATTTGTATATTGTGAGCCAGAGACATTTACAGAGATATACCAGCAGAAAAAAGGAATTACTGTATTTTTCGCTCTATAACACGCACCCGACCATAACACACACGTAGTTTTTAGAGGAGGAAAATCCGTAGGCATGCCACCCGTAGGCATTCCCTGCATAGCACACACAGACATTTCCCCTTACTTTTTAGGAGGGAAAAAGTGAGTGTTATGGTGCAAAAAATACGGTAAATAATATCAATAAGAGTTTTGTGGCTCGCAGTAGGTGATAACTTGTCACTAGGAAGGTATTGAGTTGGTTTAGATGTAATGTCAAACAATGGTTTGTGATAACTGTAGTTTAGATTCCTAATGAAGTTGTGTGTTCCAGATACAGAGATAACTCGTGTGGGATTCCTTTTCTCTCACCTTTCCTGAGAACCCCTGGGTGCTTTCCCAAACAACCTCAAAGGTTGAGCATCATCCCAAACCATGATTTGTTGGTTCGGATGCAATGCCAAGTTGGTTTGCACAAACTGAGATGTGCAAGCCGTCTCTAAACCATGACTTGCAGACCCTGTTATCAGATCCTAGTTTGCCAGCCACTCACAAACAATGGTTTGCCCAATGGCGTTTGTTTAGACATCATGGCAAACCATTGTTTGGCATTATGTCCAAACCATCCCATTGTTTTCTTCCAAGGTCTAGAACCCTAGAGGAATGTAATGTTGCTGAATTAGTGTGATAAAAGCAAAAACTCAAAACTTAGCAGCAGAAGAGGACAGCATGTGCTTTCCTCGCACAATCATGCAAAGAAGATGGTTTCTAGAAGTATTACTCTTAAAAATCTGTGTATCAGGACAAGAATAAGAAGTTGACTTCTCCCCTAGAAAATTGGAATAAGGCCTCCTTCATGAAAAGGCACTAACTTTAAAAGAAACTGCATTGGCAGCAACCAAGTTAAATTTTAGTCACAGAAAAAGAGTTGTATTCACTGTAGGAACCCTTCTACGAGCTCACCTCATGTTCCACGAATGGAAGCTCCTTCCATTCACAGAGTGGAAAGGTTGGGTGCCAGCCTATATTTTTTACTTATATGGAGTGGATTTAGATGCAAATTCCTGGTTTGCAAACTTTACCAAAGATGCTGCTCAGTGTGTTTAATATCAAGTATTTGAAGAGCTGATTCCAAGCGTAGCACCTAAAATCTAATCTAACATTGCGGTGTTTTTGTTCTCATTTTGTAATGCTTTTATTTTGTTTTTCACTTTTATAAGCTTCAGTTTTAGAAACCGAGGTCTGATCCTCCTGGTGTGCAAAGTGGTACTTCAGACAATAAATACATTCTTCCCCTCGTTCTTCCATAGCACTTTCAAGTGATTGTCAGGGGGGCACATGGCATGAAGAGAAAGAGAAGAAGAAAACTAATCTGTGCGGGAATTTCTTACAACTTACTCCAGCCTTCCGCAGCCTGCTGCTCTGCAGCTGTTTTAAACTACAGCCCCAGCCAACAGGGTCGTGATTAGAGTGATAAGAGTTGTAGTCAAAGCATTTAGTAGGCAAAAGGGTGAGAATGACTGGTTTATTCAGTACTTTATCGCTACATTTGGTATTTCTGAGTAACAAAACATTCTGCCCATAACATCATGAGAATGTAAACATAAGAATAGTCTGCTGGATCAAGCTAATGGTACTTCTAGTCTAGCATTCTCTTCTCGCAGTGTCTAGCCAGATATTTCGCCTCTTCTGTTTCTTCTATTTCCTGTGTAATAAACAAAATCTGCCCTTATTCCCTTATGGGGGACACAAGAGCCCTTATAGAGTCCTTTGAGGGTTCTCCATCGGTTGGAGAAAATAACAGAGGCCAACCAGAGAATATTGAGAAGCAAAGCAGCTAGTTAGCCTGATCTTTATTGAACTGTTGCAACAGGGTGCTCCCCTCACACACAGGAGAGGGGAGGAGGACCCAGAACCAAGGTGTGCCTGCCCTTATATAGACATTTTAAATTCCCCGCCCTGGAGCTCAAGACCACCCCCTCCATACATACATCACAGAAGGGGTGTAACCCAAGACCACCCCCCACAAACATCATACCTACATCACAGAAAAGGTGGTCTACAACAGAAATTTGAATGTTGTTTTTTCTGTCTGCCGGGTTATCTGATAATGCCTTATCTGATTGCCTTTCCTGGTAGTCTGGCCATTCCTTTGAGATGGTGATTACCCAAATCCTGAGACAATGGGAAGGTTCCCTCACCCTCTCCCTCCTTGCAGAGAAAACATTTGGTCAGTTTGGGAGTCAAAATGGTTTCAGGGTGCTCTTTCTGTGCTGCTCCAGACATGTGGTCCACATATATATGTACGTGCTTGGTTGGTACATTTATTAACATTTATTATATATATAAAACCTTAATTTTTTTATTTCACCTGCAATTGGCACTGCTCCCAGTATGTGTATAGGTAGCAAAATATATGCACAGCCACATATTCCCATATCATAGCATCATTTTTTTCGGACACGTCAAGGCAGGAGTCAGGAGCAAGTCGGCAATAACTCAACAAGTGTTGGTGAAGTTAACAGATAGTTCAAAGAAACCAAACGGCTCAGGCCTACTGATCAGAGCAACTCTTCCCAGTAGGTCTTGCCCCAGTGAGGCAGTTGTGAGAACTGCCTTCCCACTAACTGCAGAATTCAAGGGGTGCCTCTGTGGGCATCATTTCTCCCCCTCCCCTGCCAGTAGCACCAGAGTAGTGAGGAGAAGTTATTGTGGCAGCTTCCGGGTTCTGGCGAGACCTTATGAGAGCCCTGCAAAATGTCGCAAGACCACCACGAGATTTTGCGTAGCCTCTGGACACCTCCGTGAGATTTCATGGGGCTCCTGTGAGATCTTGCCGAAACCTGGAAGCCATAGCCCCACAACCCTGGTAAGTGAGGCTTCATTGGGGGTGGCCAGTGTGCACACAGGGCAGTACCTTACTGTTTTGCCTCAGGCTGCAGAGTGGGATGAGCCAACTTCAGGGGTAGTTCCGTAAAGGTAAAGGGACCCCTGACCGTTAGGTCCAGTGGTGGACGACTGTGAGGTTGCGGTGTTCATCTCACTCTATAGGCTGAGGGAGCCGGCATTTGTCGGCAAACAGCTTCCAGGTCATGTGGCCAGCATGACTAAGCCGCTTCTTGCGAACCAGAGCAGCACATGGAAATGCCGTTTACCTTCCTGCCAGAGCGGTACCTATTTATCTATTTGCACTTGACATGTTTTCGAACTGCTAGGTGGGCAGGAGCTGGGACTGAAAAATAGGAGCTCACCCTGTTGCGGGGATTTGAACTGCCGACCTTCTGGTCGGCAAGCCCTAGGCTCTGTGGTTTAGACCACAGCGCCACCCATGTCCCTTAGTTCCCTCTGTAACTTTAGACTGGACTATTGCAATGCAATAGTCCAGTCTAAAGTTACTGAGGCCTGAACCACAGTGGCCAAGCTATCCCTGTCAAGTGCACCAGCCGAAGCAGGAATAAAGCACTCTTGGGCACTCAAAACAGGAGCCAGCCCTGACCGCTTCAGCAGATGCAAGTTGTATTCTGCAAAAGATTATTCCACCACAAAAATCTGAGGTGAAGTTTGAAACAGCAGTCCCATTGAAACTTGTTCAGGCGGAAGATGCTGCATAAATGTAAAATGATAGTACCTATTTGAAACAATTGTTTACTTATTACTGCATAGCTTGCTGTGAGCTCGACAGGGAAAGTGTTGACATTTCCACAGAAACCGAGGGGAAGGCACTAATTCCACACATGACTTTCTAGCTAACTTTCTAGCCGAGACTCATCTAGTAGGCACCCTTGGTTCTGGCCTGCCATGAAGCTACAAATGTAATAACCAATATAGCATTCGTCTTAACATATTTTCACATTTTCTTAGGACTTCCTCACATCTCCCGCTCCCACCTTCATCATTATAACATTTTGTCAGCAATTTATCATCTTATTTAAATTCTTAAATCTCTTCGATATTTCATAATCTTAAAGTTCTCATAAAGAGTTAAGCTTTCACAATTTTTCTTGTTTCCTTAAAAATTTCTAAGTTAAGTGGTGCTCAGTTATTTAGTCCAGCATCTTATTCAGCATTCAATCAAATCACAATGTTTTTGTAGGTAGTTCTTAAATTTCTTCCAATCCTCCTCGATTCTCTCTTCTCCCAGGTCACGGATTCTGCCAGTCATTTCAGCCAGTTGCATATAGTCTATCAGTTGCATCTGCCATTCTTCCAGTGTGGGTAGATCTTGGGTTTTCCAATGTTTTGCAAGTAGTATCCTTGCTGCTGTTGTTGCGTACATAAAATGTCTGGTCCTTCTTTGCCACCCCTTGGCTGACAATACCCAAAGGAAAGCCTCTGGTTTCTTAGTGAAAGTATATTTAAATACCTTTTTCAATTCATTGTAAATCATTTCCCAGAACGCCTTCACTTTAGGGCATGTCCACCAGAGGTGAAAGAACGTTCCTTCACACTCTTTGCATTTCCAGCACTTGTTATCAGACAGGTGGTAAATTTTTGCGAGTTTGACTGGGGTCATATACCATCTATAAATCATTTTCATTACATTTTCTTTCAAAGCATTACATGCAGTAAATTTCAATCCATTACTCCACAGCCTTTCCCAGTCCTCAAACATAATATTGTACCCAATGTCCTGTGCCCACCTTATCATAGCCGATTTAACCATTTCATCTTGTGTATTCCATTCCAACAGCAAGTTATACATCCTTGAAAGTATCTTAGTCTTTGGTTCTAACAATTCTGTTTCTAATTTCGATTTCTCCACCTGGAACCCTAGTTTCTTATCACTTTTAAAAACTTCTTTAATCTGAGCATAGTGTAACCAATCTCGCACTTTGTCTTTCATTTTCTCCAAGCTCTGCAATTTCCAATTGTCTCCATCTTTTCTAGTATTTCCCAATATTTTGGCCATTTGGCCTCCATATTGGGTCTTTTCGAGCCCTAGCTTCCAAAGGTGAAAGCCACCTTGGTGTTTTATTTTCCAGCAAGTCTTTATATTTTGTCCAGACATTAAACAGTGATTTTCTAACAATATGGTTCTTAAAGGCCTTATTTGCTTTAACTTTGTCATACCATAAATATGCATGCCATCCAAAAACATTGTTAAACCCCTCCAAATCTAACACATCAGTGTCTTCAAGAAGTAGCCAGTCTTTTAGCCAGCAGAACGCTGCGGCTTCATAGTACAACTTTAAGTCCGGCAGGGCAAAGCCCCCTCTTTGTTTTGCATCGGTTAGTATCTTAAACTTAATTCTGGGCTTTTGCCCTGCCAGACAAACTTCGAAATACTACAAATCCAACTTCTGACAGAAAATTGCTCGGAGACAGGAGATTCTGAGGTCCTTCTATGACATCAAATGGTAAGAAAAAGGAGCAAAACAAAAGGGATAAAAAAGGAGAGCAAGTCTAGCAATACAGGAAGTTTGCATAGCTGTTGTATGGAAACCGCTCCAGAGGGACATAGGACAAGCTAATTCATGAGAAATGGTGTGGAGGAATGTAATCCTAACAGTACATTCAGACCAGGGAAATCTGAGAATCAAAGTTCTGTGAAGGGAATTGAGGTCTCCTAACAACTCTCAGCACTCCTAACTACATTTCCCAGGATTCTTTGGGGGAAGCCATGACTGTTTAAAGTGGTAAGATACTGCTTTAAATGTATAGTGCAAATGAGGCCTGACATAGAATTTATTATTGATAGCTTAAAATACACCTTCCCCCTGTGATTATGATATTATTATTATTATTATTATTATTATTATCATCATCATCATCATCATCATCATCATACATTGCAGTTTTGATGATTAAATAAGAGTTTATGTTCATCAGTACTGGGTTTTTGGTTCATTGGGCTATCTGAGAAACTTAAGCCTATGTACCATAACAAAACAGTGGGCATATTATGTACCAGTCTCAAAAAAAATCACCACTTTGCACTCCTGAAGGAGCATAACAGGCTTCACAGGAAATAGGGAGCAGAGGAACTTAGCTGTCCCCAAGAAGTTAATTTCTTTGTTTACAGGGTTTCTGGGCCCCTCCAGATGATGTTTTTATTCAGCGTTCATCCTGATTTTCTTACACAAAGATTACATGGTGCTTAGACTATGCCTGGTCTTTACTGAGCATTCCTTCTGACTAGGGTTGCCAGTCAGGCGCCTCCCAGACCCTGAGATTTTAGGGCCCAAATCTGAGGCCTAGGAGCTGGTCCTGGTGATGTCATTAAGCACAGAACATTAAGCATTAACCACAGTGCAGCACCTAGAAAGGAAGAACAAAGGACCTTGCAACCTGTGCTTGTTGTGACGTGTTCTTGCAAACAACTGGTGTTAATGATATAATTGCCAGTCAGTAATGTACGCATTTAATTTCCTTCTGACCTCATTGTCTACAGGGCCACCCCTCTCACCAACACGTATGTCATTAGACAATTTGTTACTTTTTAAGGTGCCACAAGACATTCTTGTTTGTTCAGAACAAATAAAAGGCATTTAAGAGTTCATAGGAATACATAACATTGACATCAACGTACAAGATCAAATATCTGTCACATAAGACAATGGCAGAAGTCAGGGGGGTACTAGCGCAAAGGAGATTAACCTTCCCAGTCTCTGCTTAACAGAAATTTATTCCCTGAGCCTTGGGTTCAAGACATGGGATGTGATGGGAGTTGTAGTCCACCAAAGTAAAAATTACAAGGACCTTCTGTTCACACCAAGAACTGACCTTTCCAAACTTCTGTTTTACACAGAGACATAATTTATGCTCTAAACTCTGTGCTGAAGACACGGTGGGTGGGAACCAAGAACACTGAGCTATCAGAATCCCCTTTTGTGAATCAATATAGATCTGTCTTCAAACCACATTTTAGTTTGGGAAACTCCTCCATAATTATTAAACACATACCACTGCATTCTTTTCCACATCCAGAATGATTTTATACCCAATTAAGAACATCTGACAAAGAATCTCTGGTTACTCCACCAACAATAACTATCTTCTGACTGAATATATTATTCTGCTGGGGCTTAGAGTTGGCAGGGGAAGTGATAGCAAAGTTATTTAGGTATGGATTGGATTTGGATTTCCCACTTTATCACTACCCGAAGGAGTCTCAAAGCAGCTAACATTCTCCTTTCCCTTCCTCCCCCACAACAAACACTCTGTGAGGTGAGTGGGGCTGAGAGACTTCAAAGAAGTGTGACTAGCCCAAGGTCACCCAGCAGCTGCATGTGGAGGAGCGGGGACGCGAACCCAGTTCACCAGATTACGAGTCTACTGCTCTTAACCACTACACCACACTGGCTCACATCAGGCAACATCACATCAGGCAACAGTCTCTTCCGCTAAAGTAAAGTCAGGTTCAGAAGAAATTATCTTGACATAGCCAAGATATGTCCAGATTCATGGCATACTTTATCAGGACCATGGAAAGCTCCCACTGTGCTCTTCTGGCTGTAGCTCTGCCAAAGTGTGGCTAAAGGAGTGATGTTGCATTAGCAAAGTGCTGAAGCCATCTGGAAAGCTGCGAAGGCCTGACCTGAGATCAGTCCATTAACCAAGCAGAGGAATTCAATGTTGCACGCTTCTGATCATTCTGTCAGCACAAGCATTTCTGCTTTCCAGGTAGAACAATCTCCCTTCTCTTCCCCCTGTGTTCCAGGGATTCTGCTCACCCTCCAGAGCAGATTTGGGGGAGGCACAGGGGGCTCACAGAGAGAGGAGAGGGAGGAGAGTCCTGCTGTGGAAGAGGGAACCCTTGCTCTGGCTTCTGCTAGTTCACCGGGCTGGCTGAATCCAGGCCACAGTTTACCAAAATGTGGGAACACAGCCAATACGTCTCTTCATAATGAAAGTAAAAGGAGCAGTATTTGTCAGGTGAAGAAGGAGGAGGAGGAGGAGGAGGAGGAGTTTGGACTTGATATCCCGCCTTTCACTCCCCTTAAGGAGTCTCAAAGCAGCTAACAATCTCCTTTCCCTTCCTCTCCCACAACAAACACTCTATGAGGTGAGTGAGGCTAAGTTCACCAGATTACGAGACCACCGTTCTTTTTTTAAAAAACAACAACTTTTTTTTATTCAAAATTAAAACAAAACATATTATCCAGAAACATATCATTCTTACTTCCCCCCCATTTTTCCTCCCTCCCCCTCCCTCCCCCCACAAAACCCACCCACCCCCCGACAGTTCCAGTCTTTGATTTCTCTAAAAATGCTGTTTTCTGCATGTTACACAGTTGTATAGATCCTCAAACTATTTAGCTGATTATTATCAATAAAAAGTTTGTGAATGTTTATTCAAAGCCAGCCAAGGAGTCCAGTTCGCTTTGTTGCGTCTTCAAATACTTTGTAAAGGGTTCCCATTCATCTTTAAAGTCACAGTTAAAGAGTCCACCGTTCTTAACCACTACACCACGCTGGCTCTTCCATTTAAATACTTAAATGAAAGCCAGTGGGTAAGTCAGCCTTCTGTGATATATTGGCTCTTAAACAGAGCTGAAAGTAGTCAAACTTTTCAGATGCACAGTTCAAATTAAGATCTCTAAATTGAATTATTATAGATCTAAATAAAATTCAGCTCAGTGTTCCATGTTCACCTAGGGTGAGAAAAAGAAGAAAGGATAGCTTTATTCTGACATTCATAATTATGTAACACAAGAACATAAAAATAGCTTGGTGGATCAGGCCAACGGGCCATCTAGTCCAGCATACTGTTCTCACAGTGACCAACTAGATGAGTAAAATGAGACCTATCCTTCTTTGCATCTGGTCACTCTATACGTAGTTGGGATATTAAATACTCATCTCTGCTTCACCGATGTGAAGTTATAAGGAAAAAATGAAGTTACCGTATGTCACACAAAACTGCTCCATATTTCATGAAAGAGCTTTCCAGAGAACCTCGGTGAATGACAAATTCCCACTTTAAAATTAATTCAAAGAAAGTTATTTTGGGCTCCTTTCACAGTTTGCTCAAATATCGGCCTGCTCTCTTTCACAGTCCAAACCCCTCTCTTTTGCATGTCGCGCTCGACTCCCAAGTCCCAGAAGTGTTCTTTTATCACTCCAGTTCCCACGAAATCTCATTATAGTCCGCAGCAGTTAACAGTTTATGTCATTGCTCACTGCAGCAACCGTTCTTAAATGTGCTGTTCCTGCAGAGAATGCTGTGAGCTATTCTTTCAAGGGCAATTAAAGGCCAATTAATAAATAAAAGCACTTTAGTTTGTTTTGAAGTTGCTTGGTGCTGCTTATGAGGCCAAATGCAAGGATGGGAGCAAGTTCAGGGAAGAATCAGTCAGCAGGAAGGCTTTCCCTCCCTGGTTCTCTTTTGCTGGTGACATAAGAATATAAGAAGAGGCCTGTTCAGTCAGGCCAATGGCCCATCTAGTCCAGTGTGCTGTTCTCACAGTGTTGCAAGGATTTTTAAGGTACCAGTGACCAACTCAAATAGAGTCCAAGAATTGACAGACGCAGCAGTGGAGAAAAAGAAAGTGAGGTTTATTGCTGAGCAATAATTGACCCAGTGGAATCCTTTCCAAAAGACTGGGCCCCGGGCGTTGATGCCCAGAGGCTTTTATACCTGAGTACATACATCACAGATCATGACATAATCGGATACAATTGCGAACAGCAGCAAAATAAGCCAACCAGAAGCCTGTGAGGAAGCCCAAAACCAGGACCTGAGCACATCATTCTCCCCACTAATAATAATAATAATAATAATAATAATAATAATTTTTATTTATATCCCGCCCTCCCCAGCCGAAGCCGGGCTCAGGGCGGCTAACAACAATCAAATAATCCAAAATTCTAAAAACATTTCATTATACAAATACAAAAACAAATTCATTATCTCCCATGAATTTGTCTAATCCTCATTTAAAACCATCCAAGTTGGTGGCTGTCACTACATCTTGCAGCAGCAAACTCTATATAGGTTAAATATGCATTGTGTGAAGAAGTGGCTGCAGGATGTCTCTAAGGACATATTAATAACTTCTCCTGAAGCCAGGCTCTGAAACCACAAGTAAGTCCACAGGACAATTGCTAGATGTGGAAGAAGTTAAGCAACCGTTCTTTCCAGTGCTCTCTCTTTTTTGTGATGTGTTTCCACTTTTATGGTGATGCATTCATGCTCACCCTAAATGGAGATTGTGTTGCATCATCTGTTTGGATGCCCTTTTTATAAAGAGCCAAGTGAGAAACATATTTACAAAATTCAAGTATCAGGGCCTAGAAAATTAGCTAGGCCTTTTTAGCTCCTTTTTAATATATGTGTGTATATTAAATATAATACATGTGTGTATGTATTTTAGCTCCTTTTTAATATATGTGTGTAAACATGCACACACAAAAAGCTCTGTTTGCTGAAAATCTTAGAAATAAATAATGAGATAGTTTGCTGCTCCTTATTTTGGAGACCAGGTTATATATACTTTCGAGAGCCCTCCACACTGTTGGGCTTTGGGTGTGGATATATTCTGCAAAATGTCATCGGTGCAATAATAGTGCATGAGTAGGCTTACCCTGGACAGTCCGCACATCATACTGCTTTGTTAGTTGTTCCACGATGCTTCCTTGGTGTTGCTTCATTATTTCCATCTGGAGGGACACTTCTGCGCTACAGTGCATCCAAGGTGAAACAAAGCATCCCAGAACTTTAGCATACCCTTCAACCGTCCCACTTTGAGCAGGACATTCTGGAATTACAGAAGCTACTCTGGCTTTTGATGGGATCCCGGGATGTCCTGTTTTGGCTCTCATGAGAGTGTGGCACCAAAAGACAGCCATTTGGGAGGAGCTGTGCTCTCATGCGAGAGCACAGCTCCCCAAAATGGGCATCCTGGTTTTCCTCTGCAGGATGTTGGAGGGTATACATTTGTGGTATGAAAAGCGATAGGCTTTCAATAGGAAGCTGCAGGATATGCACTGCCTGGAAATGAAGCAGTATATCTGCCCCCCAAGCTTCTGCAGGTGCAAAAGCAAGATTGCATATAACTCTTCCAACCCACTGATCACAAAGTACAATAAAAAGGAAGCCTGGTGTCAGGAGTCCAGTCCCCGGCTTGATCACACAGTAAGCGTAGTTACTTAAAAAGGATGATTTATTGTCAAAACAAACAGATAGCTCCAGAAGGCTCTAACACAGCCTCCGGCATCATCAATCAAGTTGACCCTTCTGAAGACCCCTTCCAGTTTCTACAGAAGATATTAAACTTTCGCATTTTGCATCTGTTGCTTTGTTTCTGGTCTAACAGCCCTCCCCTTAGCGACTGTTAGGAGGGATTGGATCAGCTCCAATCTCTTCCCGTTCTGACAGACTACTTCCTTCTCTGTTCACACCTATTTAACTCCCCAAGAGCTTTGACTGGGTTCCCGCCCACTCTCAGTCATTCCCTTATCAACCGGCATTCCAAGGAACGGGGGAGTTGGCACTAGCCGATGTTCATCCTGCATGCCAATTAACCCTCTCTGCTCCTGGCTGCTTTCTTCAGTTGGCTGCAAACCTTCACTGGGAGCTGGCTCATTCCTGATACCTGGAGGGACCATTTGTCCTTTCAAATGTGCCATATTCAAGCATGCATGTTCCCACCCATCCCCAATAAAGAGAACTGCGATGCTAAGCGTGCTGAAACTGCAGGTGGAATCCTGCATTGTTCAGCAATCCACACAGACAGAGCCAGTCTTAACACACCGAAGCTGAGCTAAAGAATAAATGAGAAAGAATAAGCTAATTCCTGAAACGGAAACTGCTGTGCTGACCACAGTTTAGTGTGTATACCATGTAGAAGACATAGTCGCCCACTGCTATCAACAAGCAGCACTAGCTGCCAATAAACTGGTGTCCATCAAAGATCAAGTGCCTTTCTTCAGTGTAAGTGTCTCGCTTACTGAGCGTAACACGGCCTTACCTTTACAAAGTTATATGAGAGTTTATAGAAAGGAGATCTTCATGAAAAGTATTTGTCCTTTGGCCATTTCATTTAAGAACAAGATCTCATTCTCATTCTGTTCCACTAGGCATCCTGCTATCAACTTCAGCGGAATCAAGCATGAGCCTTAAAACGCATCACCATTCCGTCCGGTCACTTGAAAGCAACCTGTCAGTCTTCCTGCGCTGCATCAAGGCCCATGCCTTCAATTATTAAATAATTCTGATTTCCCTGAAATAGATATGTAATTGCAGCCTGTTTTTATATAAATCTGTGTCTTAAATTAAACATTCATGCTGTATATACAATGGACAGAAAAACACAGAGGCCCTGTCCAACTCTAATGAAAGTTTAATTGCTAAGAGACAGTATTGAGTTTACAGTTAAGTGCAGAGTGGAGATAGAAAAGGGAGGGAGCTTCCTTCCTGCCATTTAAACCCCAAGATCAGGACAGTTCATATCAGCACTTGTGTGGAAGAAGGATGAGCTGCTCTTATGTGCTGGAGAGCTGGTTTATAAAGCTATCGCATCGTTCTGTGCCGTGAACAGATGGACAAGAAGGCATCCAGTGATCTACATAGCTTGGAAAACATGGAGCTAGAAGAGATATCCAGCAAAATATCTGATCTAGACAAGTGGAGAAAGATCTTTAGTTGTCATGGGTAAGTTTTTTTTTAAATTCCTACTTAATTCTTGCATGTGCCTCTTGGTAGGTCATTTTTAAGGTTGCAATCCTATGAAATCACATTCCGTGGAATTTGGTGGGGCTTACTTTTGAGTAGGGATGGAAGGCTCTGTCCATCTTCGTTCCCTTGATTTCCCATTTTTCCTATTTTGAATTCAGTTCTCCACATTTCTGCAGCGATTTCTAGATTTTTCCTTTTTTAAAAAAAAAAAATCCCCATGAAAATGGATCAGCCTGTTATCAGACATTTTTCCTGATAAACATATATTTGCTTGAAGCTTTGTCTAATGTACACATTTTGGCAAGCGATTGCCCCAACATGCTACATTTTTGTATGCTACTTTCACTAATATTCATTTTTATGCATCTATTAATTCCACTAATGTAAAGGTAAAGGACCCCTGGATGGCTAAGTCCAGTCAAAGGCGACTATGGGGTGTGGCGCTCATCTTGTTTTTCAGGCCAAGGGAGCCGGCGTTTGTCCAGAGTGCACGAAAATGCCGTTTACCTTCCCGCCGCAGCAGTACCTATTTATCTACTTGCACTGGTGTGCTTTTGAACTGCTAGGTTAGCAGAAGCGGGGACAGAGCAACGGGAGCTCACCCCGTTGTGGGGATTCGAACCGCTGACCTTCCAATCAGCAAGCCCAAGAGGCTCAGTCGTTTAGACCACAACGCCACCCACTCCCTAATTCCCTTAATGTATGCATTTTTGTAAACATGTGTAAGAGATTGCAAAATTCAAAAAAGTGAGAATTTCAGAGGATGACTGTGGTGCGGTTCTCATATTGCTTCTAATTTAATAGATTTGACTTTAAATGTGAACCGTGTCTAATTTCTCCCCCATCCCTACTTTTGAGTAAACATACATAGAAATGGAATGCCTAGGATATGCTTGTGTGACAGAAGGGTTGGTGGCACACACTAGGGTTTGTTGGGGGGGGGGTTGGTAGAGTCTTTGCTAGATTTGCACTTTTAGCAAATCTTGTTTGTTTTTTATTTTTCAGATTGGAAATCAGCCGCGCCACCCATCAGGTAACTTCCTCCCATCTTATTTCCCAGGGTTGTGATCTTGCCAGCAGCAACTGCTTTTAAAAAGATTGCTGCTGTATGAAAGAAATGCAGGTGATGACACGTCTAAAACAAATCCAGCAAACTGTAGAGAAGGCATTTCTGGAAGTGTCTTCCTACACAGGTTTAACTCAGCTTAACTACAGTGGTACCTCGGGTTAAGTACTTAATTCGTTCTGGAGGTCCGACTTAACCTGAAATTGTTCTTAACCTGAAGCGCCACTTTAGCTAATGGGGCCTCCTGCTGCCACCGCGCCGCCGGAGCACAATTTCTGTTCTCATCCTGAAGCAAAGTTCTTAACCTGAAGCACTATTTCTGGATTAGCGGAGTCTGTAACCTGAAGCGTATGTAACCTGAAGCATCTGTAACCCGAGGTACCACTGTACTTCCAAACGAATTTTAGAGAAACGTTCATGATTGGATTCCCTGTGACATAGAATACCGACAGTATACTGCAGAAGCGCTGCTGTGCATGCAGAAAGTGCCAAATTCAATCCCTGGCATCTCTAGGTAGGTCTGGGGGAGATGGGACCACTGTCTGAAATCCTGGAGAGCCACTGCCAGTCAGTGTTAGCAATATGTAGCTAAGTGGACTGATAGGTTGTCTCAGTATAAGGCAGTTTCTTAAGTTCCTAGGTTCGTTCTATCTATCTATCATCTATATCTATCTATCTATCTATCTATCATCTATCTATCATCTATCTATCTATCTATCTATCTATCTATCTATATCTATCAAAATCAAGCTTTTATTTATCAATTTTCAAACACAAGAAGAGCCCTGCTGGACCAGGTCAGTGTTTCCTTCACTCCAGCATCCTGTTCCCACAGTGCTTTTAACCCAATGCCTACAGGAAGCCTGCAAACAAGACATGAGTGCAACAGCACTCTGCCGCAACTGGTATTCAGAGACATACTGCCCCAGCAGTGGAGATAAAAACATGTCAAACCTATATTAAAACATAACATCAATATATTTGTTTCTATATAACTTTTGCATGCCCTTTATGCAGTCTTTGCAGTCCTCCCTTGTCCTTTTATTTTCCCATTTAGGTCTGCCATTTTGCACGCACGCACACCCAGACACTTTGGTCACGTGTCTTTGGCATAGGCTGACACCAGAGGCAGATTTAGGGCAAAGTGCTCCCCTGCTGGCACCAGGGGTGCCAACCTGACTAAAGTATTTGGGGGAGGGGGCAGGTAAGCCCCGCTCCACATGACCACAAGACACGGTGCACACACATAATTTGACTGGCAATGTCCATCCACTTGGCGGTGGAGGGGTGGCCCCGTCAAATATTTTATGGGGGGCAAAGGGACCTCAGCCCCTAGGAGTTGGCTCCTATGGCTGGCACACACTAATTTAAATGGCCTCGGTCCAGTATACCTGAAGGAGCGTTTCCACACCCATCATTCTGCCCAGACACTGAGGTCCAGCGCCGAGGGCCTTCTGGCGGTGCCCTCATTGTGAGAAGTGAATTTACAGGGAACCAGGCAGAGGGCGTTCTCGGCAGTGGTGCCCGCCCTGTGGAACGCCCTCCCATCAGATGTCAAAGAGAAAAACAACTACCAGGCTTTTAGAAGACATCTGAAGGCAGCCCTGTTTAGGGAAGCTTTTAATGTTTAATAGACTATTGTATTTTAATATTCTGTTGGAAGCCACCCAGAGTGGCTGGAAAACCCAGCCAGATGGGTGGGGTGTAAATAATAAATTATTATTATTATTATTATTTTACAAGCGACCCTTTCCGCACCACTTAGCTCCCATCAGGAAATGCCTCAATGCCTTACATTTTGCGAACAAGATGGCAGTCCTCCCTGCAGTGCCTGTGATATGAGAATCACCGAGTAGAATGGGAGTTATGAGGTCACCTAGTGCAACTCCTTGCTCAGTGTGGGATCTGCAAAGCAGGCTGCAACTACAGTACCATCCATCCCCCGCTTCAATATGCTGCCAGAGAGAGGTCCACCAAGGAAGTCCAATGGAATTTATTTACTGTATAGGAAAATTTTCTGGATGATGAACTTCCCTGTTATTTCTGCCCTTCGTGCCCTCTGAAGCATCAAGGAACGAGTCCGGTCTCTTTTCTGCATGGCTGTCCTTCAGATACTTGAAGACAGCCATCATGTCTCCCTTTGACCGTATCTTCCCTAGGCAAAACATACCCAGCCATTTGAGCCATTCATAGGACTTGCAATAACCCCTTTAGGAACAGGCAAATTATGCTCAGTGTATTAGCATGTCCTTGTATTTCTCCATGTATGTATTATTTTCCTGGCAGCAACTGCTCATGCTACATCAGAAGTCACTTCATATGGTTCTCCCAGGTTTTTAGCCTTCTTCAGCAATGTCATGGGGAACTGCTTTCCAAATGGAGAGAAGGCTCAGAATTCCTACTGTACACTTCATGTAAGATGCCCAGCTGACCAAAAGCAGCCAGAGCCTGTGCCTTTAATGGCAGCTTGATCTGCAATAATCACAGCAACAGCAATGAGATAAATATAATCTGATCAAGCAGCTGTTAACTGCACAGGAGCAGAGACCATTAGAATGTTGGCAAACCTCTCTGTGTCTGTTTTTTGGGATGTCTGTATTTGTACTCTGCTTCCCCCTATGCTCAAACTGGTTTACACCATAGACAGCACACAAGCAATCTATTTAAACATTTCCCTCTTCTTTTATCATTGAGAGGTGGTTGCTTTTCAAGTAATCCATTTCCCTGCGTGGATTGCTGCTACCTGAGATGAGCAACAGTGTGTTTTGAAATTCTATTCATTTAAATATATCAAACTAGTAAGCATCTACGTAAATGGAACAAATGTTGATAGAATGGATGTATATTTCAGAAAGTGTGGCAAAATAGTTGGCCACACAGCTCACCAGCAACTCCTCTACATTTTGAATCATCTATATATGCCATATAAGCTTCAAACAGGTAGAATTACTATCTGCTTCCTGGAGTTTCATATAACAAAATTAAATAGCAATAATGCAACACAAAGTTAGGTTTGCTATGGCAGCTGAAACCAGGGAATGCAACTGAATTTTGAAATAAAAGAATGCATTAAATGAAGAATAAACCTGTGGTAGAAAGGAATAGATTTATGGAGTGAAATGCAAAAATGGTTTTAGTGGACAAATGACACAAATTAAAATTAACTAAGAAATGTATTTTTTTTCTAGTTTTCTTCCAATGTTTGTAACGATTAGCACATTTAACTTTCCAGGCCATCTGTTGCCACCCCATATTGTCCTTACACATTTTTACCCAAATCCCAGTTGTTAACAATTAAATGGCAATCATTCATTAACCTTGCAATCCAATATATGTAAGTCCCATTGAATTCATACTACTATGAAACAATGTATTTCCAGAGGAATCCCGTCATCTCACATATCCATCACATATGGATGTCAGTCCCTTGCATGCCACTCTCAGCATATATTCCTGGAATTAGAGTAGATCTTGACAAATATATTAAAAAGGCAAAACGTAAATTGATGTTCCTTTAAGTAAACCCAAAATGAACAAGCAGCTCATTTCATATAACTCTCCAACCATCTCCAAAAATTTCAAGAAACTCATTCATGTAAGTTCTTTGCATGAAAAACAGCACCCGTCTACTCGGGGGGGGGGCCACGGAATTCCACTAAGTTCACATTTAGAGGTGAACCTTATATGGGAGGCGAACCTTATATAATGCAATCCTTCAACATTCACACTTTTCTGAATTTTACAATGCAGTTCTCCAGCCAAGTAATGTGTACAAAAATGCTTACACTAAGATAGAGTATGCATAAAAATGCATTATATTCGGTTAAACTGATTTGCAGATATATATGCACAGCAAAACTGCATACAAACGTTAGAAGAAATTTGCACTAAATCAGCGTTTTTTATTTAAAAAAATGCAATCCGAAAAATGAGAAATTGAGAGAATCTGACACTGACAGTTTTGTCCCACCCTAGTGGGACAATGAAAGGGAGAATAAAAATAGAACAACTATTCACTTCAATATTTCTTTTACCAAGGCAGGGTTCATGCCTTTATTTCCAAAACCTTTCCTAGTGCTGCAATTTGGACAAGAGCCATTTAATTTCTAAACCAGAAGGAGAGCTCCTGTTCTTTGGTAATCCAGGAAACTGAGCCAAGGCAGTTCTCCTTCCAAGTGTCACTATCACTAGGTAATTTTGCCTGTGACTACTTTCGGTCTATTGGAAGCTATGGAAAACAGAACAGCACTGCAGCAGGTCAAAAGATGGGTAGATTCCAAGTTGAGTTACATAGAAATATTGCAGGAAGAAGTTAAGAAGAGTCAACTAGTAAGTACGAAAAATATTTGCTTGATTTTTTTGCCAAAAGAAAACAATCCTTTCTTGCTGGGAGTTTGAATTGTTTTGGGCTGTGTCATGCACCACGGACGACAAAAGCAATGCTTTGAAAAGAAACATTGCGTTGAGGGTGACTCTGAAGTAACATCAACATCTCAGTCCAGGACACCTCCCTGCATTTACCTGGAAGTAAGTCCCAATGGTTTCAGTGGAATTCACGTATAAGGAAATATGCTTACTAACACAACAGGTATAAAATGGCTAACTTTGTAAGCTGTAGTCTCTGCAAACCTACTGGCACTTGTTGCCTTTAAACACCTTGCACTGTTTTTAAATGATGTATAAACTTATGTGCACCGAAAAGAGAATTATATTCTTGACACGCTGGTTTGAAACAATATTGAAACCTTTCGTCTCCTTGCAGATACAAACCATGTTATGGGACGGGGTTTTGTGCAGTTCCTTCATTTTAGGAGAATGTTTGCTATAAAAAAAAAGTCAGAAAAGGTGGAGCCTGACACGAACGTATTTAGGGATATGCCATACAGCTTGGTTTCTGTTTGTTTATATTGTTTATCTAGAAGTGCCAAGACCACAAATCGGAGGACGACAAAGAGGACGCAGCTGCAGCGTCGCAAATGACAAACCCCCTAAAACAAAGCCGTTTCCCATCCAATATTCTTTACTCGATTCCCAAAGCTCTCATCGTCTCATCGAACCTCGGAGGGCGGCCCATCTCACTGGAAATGGCAGTGGTAAGCGGACCTTGTCAATTAAGTATGAGATGAAACTTAATCTCGCCAGAATTAAAGAGACACAGAAATCTTATCCAGGAGCACTGTTGGAATCAAGGCTGCAGTTGGCTGCTGTCAGAAATAATTTAAAAGGGATATAGTGGGGATTGGCTGTTTGGAATGGTTTTCAAGGCTGCTACTGGCCCCTGAATGTACACAACAGATCCTGCACTAGGTATTAAGCAATACAGATATGATGTGATATTTAACTTCCTTGTTCCAATTCTACTGGTGGCTCGCTGTGTTGTATCCAGGGCTAGAGGAGAAATTCAAGCCCTAAACAACAGTGTCAGAGAGCCAGTCAAACGCTGCCTCTGAAAATGGCTCCATTTGTGAATAGCCATTGATCGATAGACTTCCTGACAGACAACTTCCCACAAATTTATCTAATTCTTTCTTAAAGCCATCCAAGCTGGTTGCCATCGCTGCATCTTGTGGCAGCAAATCCCAATAATTAATTTTGTTTTGCGTGAAGAAGTACTTACTTTGATCTGCCCCAAAACTGCTGCCAGTTAAATTAGTCGGGTGACCTAGAGTTCTGGTTTTATCAGAAGTCATCACTTTCTTCACAACTGCTTAGGTGAGCTGTAGTAGAAAACCTGTCCCAAGCAAATTTTTATTAAGAAGCACTAAACATTCTCCTTGATTCTGTTTTCCTCAAAGCACATTGGGAACCATTTATGCAGCCATCTTTTGTGCAAAATGGGTGTGGGTGTTATTATTATTCTGTTTACTTATTTATTTACTTACTGGTTACAACTTGGTAACCAGTTGTTGGTTACCAAGTGACTTGCATTTAAAAACATAAACACCAATACATTATACCATAAAAGAAAAAAGAAAGAAAAGTCATATAAAAAAATAAAAGTATGCTTATAGTTCAAATTATAGTATGTTTATAGTTCATATCTCTCCATAGTTGTCCTTTCTGTAAACTGAAATGTCCCAAATACATTAATATTAACAATGCTTCAACTATACATTGGAGGTTCATGAGCTGCAGTGAGATGATTTGTGAAAAGCTTGCAGGACATGCAAGTATATTTCTACTACTTGCCCCTGCACTTGATTCATATTTTTTTCCTCGCCACTGATGATGGAGACTGAGGACATTTTGACCAGGGCCAGATTATCAAGAAAGTTAACAAGACCCTGCCTGGAGGCTATGATTCTCATATTGCACCACTGGCTTTGACAATGAAACTGTAAAGATGGTTTCAGAATATGAATTTATGTATGTGCTCTGATTTGTAGTACAAATACAATTTCAAGTGATCTGCCAAGAACCACAGTGATTTTCATGTCATCCATGGAGAAAGGGGTGACATTTAAGAACAGTCGCCTTAACTGTTCCTCATTCGGAAAGTGGTTCAGTTCCCTGATCATTGTGGTAAATGCCTGTTTCGTTCAGAGGAAGCCAAGAATATTAGCTTTCTTTTAATAAAGACCATATTTTTGTTGCTGTTTAATTATTACCATTTCAAGGGACTACGGAGGATGTTATTTGGAAGCACATATCAAGTCTTCAGCTATGAATGGAAAAGAGCATATTTCAGATTCCACGAGCCTTATACTGATTTGGCCTATGCACTGGAGACAGATAAGGTAATAATACCTGGCAGCCATTTTTATACTGGTAATCGTGCAGCATGGATCAGACCAATCCCAGCCCAGTCATGTACTCCCTGGATGTTCAAGGGCAAAATCACAGTCTATCTGCTTCAGTTGACCCCTGTTTAAAGTGGCTATTGGCGTTGCCTCCTTTGCAGGATGGTGATAATGTAAGTGGATTGTAAACCCCTTTCCTTATCAAGGGAGTTATACCAGGTATCAAACAGAAGTGACATAGAGCTGGTTTACACAGCAGCATATGACTTGCCCTCAACCTCCATATGTACAGAAGCTTCCAATTGCCTAAAACAGCTATATGCTCTGAAAGTTGCCATAGTAGGCCCCAACCTAGCCTTAATACAGCTGCCCTGCTGTATTAAGCCCAGTCCTTGGTCTCTTGTAGGTATTGCAGGAAAGGGGGAGGGATGCCCGACACATTTTAATCACACAACATACTTGAATTATACCACAACAATCAGTAGCAGCCAGTGTGTGTCACAAGGTGGGGCTGCCCTCCTGGCAGCAGCGTTGTTGCTGCTTACCTGGACAGGGCTGAGGCAAGGTGCTGGTAAGGTTAGGGTGGCGTGGTTGCATGGATAGGACTGCCACGACTGATCTGGCCCTGACCATGGGTCGGCAAACTAAGGTCCGTGGGCTGGATCAGGCCCAATTGCCTTATAAATCCAGCCCGCGAATGGTCTGGGAATTGCCCCGTGGATTGCCAGTGCGCACATTCTTTCCCTCTCCCTCACACGGCAGAAGCGCCTCCTCCTCCCTTCCTCCTCCTGGCTTCTCCCCACCCTGCCTAGAGGAGGAAGGGGGCTGGGCTTTGTTGGTGCCAGCCCTTCCCCAGAGCCCTTTTGTGTGCCACTCACCTTTGTCAGGCTGCATTTTAATATTTTAATGTTGTATTTTAATCTTGTTTTTTAAGTTGTATTTCAATCAATTGTTTTTATATCGGGTGTTAGCCACCCTGACCCCGGTTTTGGCTGGGGAGGGCGGGGTATAAATAAATTATTATTACTATTATTATTATTGTTGTTGTTGTTGTTGTTGTTACTATTATTATTATTATTATTATTATTATTATTATTATCATTATCATCATCATCCCTCCACCGCAGCTGCCAGCCCCTGCTGCTCGCAAAACACAGGAGCCACGGTTGGCTGAGCGCCCCTCTCAAGTGGCCACCATTTAAAGCAGAGCCTCTTCGGAACCCTTTCACGCACTGCTCATCATCCCTCGTTCATATTCCCCCCCCCAAAAAAAATATAGTCTGGCCCCCAACAAGGTCTGAGGGACAGTGGACCGGCCCTCTGCTGAAAAAGTTTGAGGACCCCTGGCCCTGACCTTGCCATTGCTCTGCCTCCGTCCCGTCCAGATAAACAGCAGTGATATAGGCGTTGGGAAGGTCACCCGATCACACGTGTCACTATTGGCATGAGTAAATGTATGTCGTAATTTACACAGCACTTAAAAGGTAAAGGTAAAGGTACCCCTGACCATTAGATCCAGTCACGGACGACTCTAGGGTTGCGGTGCTCATCTCGCTCTATAGGCCGAGGAAGCTGGCGTTTGTCCGCAGACAGCTTCCAGGTCATGTGGCCAGCATGACTAAGCTGCTTTTGGTGAACCAGAGCAGCGTACGGAAATGCCATTTATCTTCCCGCCGGAGCGATACCTATTTATCTACTTGCACTTTGACGTGCTTTCAAACTGCTAGGTGGGCAGGAGCAAGGACCGAGCAACAGGAGCTCACCCCGTTGCGGGGATTTGAACCGCCGACCTTCTGATCAGCAAGCCCTAGGCTCTATGGTTTAGACCACAGCGGCACCCGCTTACGCTGTGTAAATGCTTTCTTTCAGGGAGGAGCAGTAGCTGTTCAGATGGCTGTTCAAGTGAACATCATTAAATACTTGTTGTTTGTACAAAATAAAGAAGAAAATATGCGCCTACAAAGGTAAGGACGGGCCGGAGAGATATTTGCTTAAGCTGCATGGGTTTTAGGGCTCCAGAAGGTGGGTTCCCAGACCACCTCCCATATGTGGCCCAGTGAATCTAGCTGTACATTCACAGTGCCTCCCAATGCTTGAAAGCCAAGGAGCTGTTTTGTAGTCTTTCACAGGGAGATACTGTGGAACGCAAGCTGGTGTTGAATTCCAACCCCTGTCAGCCCCAGCCAACATGGTCAATGGTCAGGGATCATGGCAGCTGTACTCAGCGGTGCAGCTGGGAATTTTTTATCCCATGGACTTATACCCTTACAGGGTAAGGGGTCTCTAGATCAGGCTTCCTCAACCTCGGCCCTCCAGATGTTTTGAGACTACAGTTCCCATCATCCGCGACCACTGGTCCTGCTAGCTAGGGATCATGTGAGTTGTAGGCCAAAAACATCTGGAGGGCCGAGGTTGAGGAAGCCTGCTCTAGATGGTCACGTGTATTACGTCGGCTGTGAAGCCCTACATAAAAATACAGTGGTACCTCGGGTTAAGTACTTAATTTGTTCCAGAGGTCTGTACTTAACCTGAAACTGTTCTTAACCTGAAGCACCACTTTAGCTAATGGGGCCTCCTGCTGCTGCCGTGCCACCAGAGCACAATTTCTGTTCTCATCCTGAAGCAAAGTTTTTATCCTGAAGCACTATTTCTGGGTTAGCGGAGTCTGTAACCTGAAGCGTATGTAACCTGAAGCGTATGTAACCTGAGGTACCACTGTAAAACAACAATGGTGCCGCACCTCTGTGAGTCGTTGCAGGAAGCTCCACCAATAATTAGCATTAAACTGGAGAGCATACTTCTCTTCTCAGTGTGCAGATGTAAAACAGAAGCTCCAAGAGGGAGACATGGGTTGGATGAGAAATCCAAAAGAAGCACTGGAGAATGGAGAGACGCAGAATGCCTCTGCGTTCCCAATAGTGGGAAAGGAGAGCTGAAAATAATGCAAATATATTTCACACCTGGCAACCAATGCACCCATTGGATTTCAGATAGTACATGGGTAGACGAGTTGAAAAAGCCCAGGACACAAATTTTCACATCCCTCTAGTGGTTATATGGTGGATCATTTACCAGATGTAATGTATTCAGTGTTAACTCTGGAAGTGAATACTCGATTCTGACCAAATTAAGCCTCCTGATGTATATTTTGCTCGATCAAATGGGGTCTGCTTTTGCTGCCCTGATGGTAAGCACATTTACTTAGGATTAAGCAGCCTTGTCTTGTAGAAAAGGATAATATACGTTCAAAGTAAAAATAAATAAAATGAGCATCTATAGCAGGCATCAGCAAACTCTGGCCCTCCAGATGTTTGGGATTACAATTCCCATCATCCCTAACTAACAGGACCAGTGGTCAGGGATGATGGGAATTATAGTCCCAAACATCTGGAGGGCCAGAGTTTGCCCATGTAAATCTATAGCTGTGTAAATGCCTGGCTGCCCCACTGCTGACCTACAAAAAGTAAGGATGCTACAGTGATGAGTGTCAGCCCTGGTGGGCCCTAGCATGGCATAGCTGTCAAGCATCCCTTATTTGGCGGGACAGTCCCTTATCCCAGCGCCATGTCCCGCTGCTGTCCCTTATTGATTATGTCCCTTAAATAAGCTACTGAAGGTAATGGGGCCCTTTCTATGTCCAGCTGTCCTTTGTCAACAACAAATTGTTGCTGGTTTTTTGTGTGTGTTGAATATATGCTATATGGTAATTTATGGACCTAATAGGTATCTAAAGCCATTTGCACGCAACAAAATATGTATTTTATCAAAGTAATTGTTGATCCCTTATTTTGGCTGCTGGTCCCTTATTTTCAAATCTGTAAGTTGACAGCTATGTAGCCTGGCTGTGCCCAGGTGTGAATGCCTTGGACTGTTTGCTACTGCATTTGTCACCTGGCACTCTCTGGGTGGTCATTGGGGTGGAATCCTGCACTGCAATGGCCTGGGTTTAGCCCTGTGGTCCAGCCCTAGCTGCACCATTGTCAACAATGTCTTGGGGCTGACAGTTTTCCTGTTCCTGGACTATGGATTGCTAGCATCTCTCTCTCTCACAGTCTCTTTTTCTATCTGTCTTTGCAGTTTATGTGAAATAAGCCAAAAAGAACAAGAAAAGGCTCTTGCAGCAGCCTTGGCTGATATTCTGTGGGTAGCAGGAGAAGGTCAGAAAGCTACTGTCTGCCTTGTCACCAGTGATACTTATTTTACTCCCAGTATAGACTACAAAGCGGATCACTTTACTGAAAGAGTAAGTAAGAGAAGCTATGCCAGTGTGGTGTAGTGGTTAAGAGCGGTAGTCTCCTAATCTGGGGAACCGGGTTCGCGTCTCCGCTCCTCCACATGCAGCTGCTGGGTGACCTTGGGCCAGTCACACTTCTTTGAAGTCTCTCAGCCCCACTCACCTCACAGAGTGTTTGTTGTGGGGGAGGAAGGGAAAGGAGAATGTTAGCCGCTTTGAGACTCCTGAAGGGGAGTGAAAGGCGGGATATCAAATCCAAACTCTTCTTCTTCTTCTTCTTTAAAAGACACAATATTTGCAAGGGGGAATTGTTGGGTTTGATTCTAAAAACTAAGAAACAGAAAACCCCCAGAAACACGAGGACTGTTGTATGTTGTGGTACAAACAACAAGCACATAAAGATCCACTTCGCAGCCAGAGACTGGCTGAGATGTGCTGGCCAAGAAAAACCAAAAGCATTGTGTGAATCGAGGTGCTATAATTCTTTCTTTTATCAGACGCCGTAAAGAGAACCAAGGAACTCCGAACACAGAGAAAATAAGTTAAATTTAGCATAGTTTATTGAGCTATCCTATGTGTGCAGTTAAATATCTTGAGGCCTGACCAGATGTTTCAGTGAAAGTAGATCAATAGAGTAGTATTTGGGATGGGTGCCACATGTAATGTGATCAAACTGGTCTGTAACCCATTAGTCTGTGTGTGGAATCTCTGGGACGAAGATTTTCATATTCAAATCTCCCAAGCAGACACAAGGTAAAACAGGTTTTGATGTATAGCTCAATGAAAATGTTGGCTCTGGGCTCATCCAGAGGACCTATTTATTGAGCATTCATCCAGATTTGCTTACACAAAGCTTATGCAGCTGAAATTCTACTCAGTCTTTACTGAGCATTTGTTAGTAGTTGTTTGCAGGGAGATTATACAACAATGAGAATTCCTCCTGCATTCACCCTGACTTGGCTTCAGGGTCTTCATATGTCTTCCTGTTTATCATTTATTCATCCCAAACTTCTCAGTGCATTTCCCTGTTACTTTCCTAACCACGAAAATATTTTTTTTTCCATTGTGCTTGGGCAACAGAGCACTTCTATTGTGAAAATCTAAATTTCCCAGAATGCACCCGAATCCCTCCTATAATATGGCACCCCTAGAATGTGGCAACTGTAGAAAAGGCAAATTAGGAAAGGAATTTTTTTTTTAATGCAACTACCAGCATTGTCATGCCTTTCTAGAAATCTATGGACCTACCACAATCGAAATCCTGTGTACGGTTCTGGTTGCCACATCCTAAGGAGAATATTGTGGGTCTGCAAGAGTGGAGGAAGGGGAGACCAGCTGGTACCAATTGGGACTGGTAGGTCGGAGGGCAGGGCAACAGGTAAAAGCAGAGCCGATGACAGGTGCAAACAGCTGATTATTGGTTTTGTCCCCATCCTCCTCCCTGTTGATTAAGGAGGAAGAAGCTTGAAATATACTCGGAGTCGAGAGTGGATTTCATGCTCTTTATTCAGCTCATAGTGGTGAGGAGGAATGGAAGTTCCCCCAGAATGTCTGCTTTATATACATTATTTACACAATGGGCCCCACGTGATTGGCTAATTCCAGAATTCTCCTGTAGGCCAATCAGGTTGCGGATTCACTTCCACCTGGAGCTGGATTGGGTGGCTCCTGTGGACCAATCAGACTGCTGCATTCTGAATCCTATTGTTCTAGAACCAATCAGACTGCTGCATTCTGAATCCTATTGTTCTAGGACCAATCAGACTGCTGCATTTTGGATCCTATTCAACTCAGTACATAACAAAGCTGATAGGAAGTGTCTGGATTGGCTACTAGTATGGAGGCAGAGAGGTGCAGGCTGGCGAAGAGCAAGCTGAAGATGGAGGGGCAGTGCGCCATTTGCTCTGCTAGACCAACCTGCACTAGGGGAAGCCGACATTATTAGGGGACTGAAGCAACGCTTTGAGGAAGTATGATGGCTAGGGCATGAGTAAGAATGGAGAAAGTAAAAAGAGGGAAAGCTCCCTCTCTCAAGATACCAGACTCTGGAGTTATCCAATGAAGCTGAACAGTGGGAGATTCAGCAGACACAAAAGGAAGTACTGGCACCAAATTCGCTACCAGATGTAATGAACATCCATTTGGAACACCAGGGCTCTCCTTCTGTCATCCACCCCTCCTTCCCAACTTGCTGTAATTATTTGGAGCTCCAAGGCAGTCAGGGGAGGAGAAGAGATGACAGGACCTGGGAGGGGACAGGCAGGAGAAGTAAGGACTGCCTTGTCTCCTGCCACATTGGTACGTTTAATATTTCCCAGCTTTGAATATGGCTGCCTTGACCCTTATTCCTCCATCCAGCCATCCCTGCACTCCGCTCTATCTCTGGATGGCACTAGAAGGTCCAAGAGAACTCAGGTGCAGATACACGCAGGTACTGCCTGGTTCTAATGCTTCATTATCTCTGTGCAGTAAGGGAGCTGGAGAGCACAGAGCCTTGGCTGAAAGCGAAGCAGTCAGAGTCGTCTTCACAGAGCTCATGTATATGGAAAAGTCTGTTCAGGACAAAATTAAAATTAGGCTAAACTGTGCTCTTGTTTAATAGAGATGAATGATGTGATTACTGCACCACCTGACCAGTTTTCCAAAATTTTATTCCTGTGTTGATGGAATTCTTAATGATCATTTCGCAGGTTCAGCTGTTTGACTTTTTTGAGAAGGAAACAGCTCAGCAGTTCCTCTGCGATCACATACACTGTGTAAGTTTGGGGGGGGTATGCAGTGTCTTTACAAATGTGTACTGGTGGCCAAGTTTTATGTGGCTTTTAACAGTACCTACAGGTGGAACTGCACACATGCCAGTTTGCTCATACCTTAGTGCAGCACTGTGTACAATGGGGATTATTTCATTTCATTTTTTCATTTCACTTTTAATTAGTATACCATCTTTCTATTTCACAACACCCAAGGCGGTTTACAAGCTGAAGAAACAAGGAATGTACACCTTATAACAATCTAATGCAATACAAAAAGGTGATAATAAAACATAACTTTAAAATAAGCAACTTGTATAAAATAAGGTAATATTCAACAATCCGTTAGAATAGCATTAAATATCAGCATATAAAAATTAAATAAATCCACTCTTAACAATTATAATAAATAATTTCCAATCTGTAATCTATAAAACAACGGCAAGTCACAGTGCATAAAATAATACAATACAAATCGAGAAGCAGAGACTGGAGGGTGAGTCAAGGCGGGTGGAAGAAGGCCTTGCCTGATGAAGTCTCTCCCCTCACAGTTCTAGATCCAAAGATTCAAAAATTGTTCTGAATCTCATTCTTCAGTAGATGTACTCTCAGATGGCTGTAAATGGGGCTGCAGTCTTACTTGTCTTATTATGCAATGTTGTAAAATGGATCCATATTTTGTTCTGATCCAGCTTTTGGCTAATAAACCTCGACTGCATTTTGAATTGCCTCATGCATTTAGCACAATGTTCTTTTCCTCAGCTCAGTCACGACAGATAGGTACAGCAGGTGGGACCTGCAACAAACTGTTACAGCGTGGAGTGCTGCTGTTTAGGAAGCCAGTCGATGTCAGTACGCCTTTCAACCGATGTGCAGCGACTGGGCTCAATAACTGGTTCTGCCCCGACTCGGCTAGGCGACTGGGGCACTTTCAGAGACCTTCCAATCCCGGAAAGCAGGTCCCAGTGCCCTGGACCCACAAATGTGCATTGTGAGCACCAGACTCACGCAGAGTATAAATAACCTGGAAGCTAGCTGTGAAGCATAACTCCTTTTATTTCTAATAGCTGCTACAAACTAATGAACTACTGGCTTGCATGAGTGTTACATCTAGTCACTCAGCCATCTAGTCACTACATAGATAAGACTCTCTCCACACACAGAGTCAGGCAGTCAGTCAGGAGTAGAAGAGCAGTTTACGCCCCCTCCTTTCTCAAAACATCAGATTAGGAGATTCTGTCAATGGGAGGGGTAAAAATATCAACAGTCCCTCCCTTCTATTCCCCCTGTTTTCTGTTCTCTTCCCCACAATTTCAGCCAGCATTCCGTGGCCATTGAGCATGCTCAGTCCTTATTGGGCTTGGGCTTTTTTTCCTTTGCCTGTACATATTATCTGGACTGGGGTTCTGCACTTGGGTCGCCCCCTCCCTTTGCCTGTACGTATTTTCTGCACTGAAAATCCTTGGGGGTTCCCCAAACACAGAAACCTAGAAAGCTGCCTTATCCTGCGTCAGACCATTGCTCCATCTAGTTCAGTATTGTCTACACTGATTGGCAGCAGCCCTCCAGGGTTCCAAGCAGGAGTCTTTTTCCCAGCCCTGCCTGGAGATCCCGGGGTTTGAACCCGGGAGCTTCTGCATGCAACACAGGTGCTCTCCCACTAAGCTATGGCCCCTTCCCAGCTGATGTCTTTCTTTTGTGTGTGGGTGGTGCCATTCTGGCTGAATAAGCAACAACACTCACAGCCTGAACACCAGAAATCAAGGGGAGGCTCTGAAGATCTGTGTCAACATGAACCTGAGCAGTGGTGGACTTTGGTAATATGGGGCTTGAGCAAAGACAAAATCCCCACCCCACCCCAGTTCTTATTTCCATAATAATTCATTTTGGTACAGTTGTTTTTTATGGATCTTCTCAGTAGCTACCCGTATAAATAGGGTGTTGTTGTTGTTGTTGTTATGCACACCCTTGGCTTGGTACCCTGTGTGAGGAAACTACCTGCGCTGCCCTGAATCTGATGCTGACCTAAGTAACATTCATCCTTCTCTTCTAATCAGCTGAACTGTGAAGGAAGTCATGGAGTGATTCTATTTCTGTACAGCTTGCTTTTCTCAAGGACATTTGAAAGGTAACAAAAATGTTCCCCTGCTTTATCAATACCTAGATTTAAATTAAGCAATAAGTCGCTGCGTCATCCTTTCTTTCTTCTTATCTTTTTTTAATTTAAGAATAGTTTATTTGCCACAGCATATATTTCAAACATTCTCATAACCTTAAAAACCATAAAATAACAAGTCATGTGCTCCAACCTCATTAAAAGGAAGGGATACATTATATCTGCAACAATTTGAAAGGTTCAAATGTATACTTCAAGTATTCCAAACTATGTTACCCACCCCAAAAACTACTCCCCCATGTGCCTCACTAACTGTGTGTTCAATAAAATTGGTCTCTTGCTACCTGCAATTTCCATGTTAGCTCTTCCAACAAAGCTGTCTGCCAGACCGCTTCATACCACTTATACATGATCAACAGTTGCAATGTTTTTCATGTTCTGACTATGGTCGTTCTCGCCGCAGTCAATAACTGGGTTATAAGATCTTTATTTCTAATTCTTGGCGAGTCCTGACTGTACAAATTAAGCAATGTCAGTCCTGGGGACATAGGAACTGTCTGCCTTGTAATCAAAGATATCTCTGCAAAGATATTTTCCCAGAATTTTTCTATTTTTGAACACTCCCACCACGTATGTGTGTTTGTTCCAATAGTGGGACACCCTCTCCAACACATAGGGGAGCTGTTGGGTTTTATATGTTAGACTTCTAGATGTTAAATACCAGCAATTTGCGATCTTGAGGACTCTTTCTCTTGTCATTGCCGAAATAATTTATACAGGGCTTTGATCAACAGCCCATTCCGTGCCTCTTCCTCAATTTCTAAATCCCAGTTTGATTCCCACCATTCTCTCATATTATTCTGGGGAGGGAAATATGCCTCTATAGTTGATATATAGAGGGATGATATTAATTCTTTCATTGCTATATTTTCTTCTACTATTATTTTTTTGTATGTGGTTATTAATACAGTGGTGCCTCGCAAGACGAAATTAATTCGTTCCGCAAGTTTTTTCTTCTTGCGAGTTTTTCGTCTTGCGATGCACGGTTTCCCATAGGAATGCATTGAAAATCAATTAATGCGTTCCTAGGGAAACCGACTTCAGACCAGGTCCGGGGACAGTCTGTCCCCGACCTCTTCTGAAGGCTGGGGGGGGCAAGGGCTTTTCTTCCCACCCACCCCAGCATTTTAAAAAACCCCGGGACAGCGGAGGGCTTCTCCGCTGTCCGGGGCGATCTTAAAATGCTGGCGGGCGGCATTTTAAAATTGCCCCGGGACAGCGGAGGACTTCTCCGCTGTCCGGGGCACATCAACAGCCCCTGGGAAGGCAGGCCGGGGGGGACAAAGACTTACGCCCCCCGCCAGCCTTCAGAAGAGGTCCTGGACCTCTTCTGAAGGTTGGCGGGGGGCGAAAGTCTTTGTCCCCCCCCCACCTGCCTTCAAAAGCTGTCCAGCCAAGGCTTCGCGGACCTCTCCGCAAGCAGCGGCAGCACTGCCGCTGCTTGCGGAGAGTTGCCGGCATGCCGAAGCCTGCGCGTGCTGAGATCAGCGCGCCCAGGCTTCGCGGACCTCTCCGCGAGCAGCGGCAGCGGTGCCGCTGCTTGCGGAGAGTTGCCGGCATGCCGAAGCCTGCGCGCGCTGAGATCAGCGCGCCCAGGCTTCGCGGACCTCTCCGCGAGCAGCGGCAGCGCTGCCGCTGCTTGCGGAGAGTTGCCGGCATGCCGAAGCCTGCGCGCGCTGAGATCAGCGCGCCCAGGCTTCGCGGACCTCTCCGCGAGCAGCGGCAGCGCTGCCGCTGCTTGCGGAGAGTTGCCGGCATGCCGAAGCCTGCGCGCGCTGAGATCAGCGCGCCCAGGCTTCGCGGACCTCTCCTGCCTTCAAAAGCCGTCCGGGATAGCAGGGAAGCGCTTCCCGCTATCCCGGACTGCTTTTAAAATGCTGGCGGTGGGGTGCAAAGCCTTTCGGCCCCCGCCCGCCGTCCAGGACCACTTCTGTAGGGCGGTGGGGGGGGGAAGGCTTTGCTCCCCACCGCTAGCATTTAAAAGAGGTCCCCGGAGATTTCCCTATGGGCTTTCGTCTTGCGAAGCAAGCCCATAGGGAAATTCGTTTTGCGAAGCGCCTCCAAAACGGAAAACCCTTTCGTCTAGCGGGTTTTCCGTCTTGCGAGGCGTTCGTCTTGCGGGGCACCACTGTAATCTCCCCATTAAGTTGTTCTTTAAGTTATTATCATTATGGCAGATACCAGCAGGCAACTGCCCTCGCTGTGCAGGCGATGTCAGCAAAGCAGCTTCTTGGACACTAGTTTCTAAGATTTCCTGTGCTAAGGATCTACAGTTCCCAAGTCTCTGATCCCAGGGATGGAGGAAGGGGGCGGTGGGGGGCGGTCCGGCCCAGGTGTTACCGCTGAGAGGGGTGACAAAAGGGCGGGCGGCACTCACCGCGGGGCCTGCAGCGCGCCTGAGCCACGTGTTTCTCCTGGGAGTGACGTGGTGGCTTGGGCGCCCACGGGCTCTGCGCTGCCCCAAACAGTCCGCCCACCACGTCCCCCTCAGCTGTAGGGTGTCTGAGTGGGAGGAGGCAGGCAGACTCCTCGGAGGCCTTGTGGGGCGTCCTGCCCCGGCTCGCCCCAGCCCACGGGCAACTGGCCCTGCCCCCACGGGCAGTTGGACCTACCCTTGGGTGCAGGGTGCGTGCACCACTCCTGGTGCCCAATCGGCTTGCTCCGCCACTGCCTGATCCATGCTGCTATTAAGTGTCCCGCTATTAAGTGGAACCTTGGTTTTCAAACGTAATCCGTTCCAGAAGACCGTTCGACTTCTGAAATGTTCGGAAACTGAAGCATGCATTTCCGGAAGCATTTACTTACAGAAAACTCAATACGGAAGCCGTGTGGCACGTTCGGGTTCCAAAAAGCATTTGAAAACCAAAGCAGTTATTTCTGGGTTTTGGGCGTTCGAAAACCGAAACATTCAACTTCCAAGACTTTCGAAAACTGAGGTTCCACTATACTATACGCAGTTGCTGCATCTCCTCTGCAGGCAGATGTGCTGTTACATTCGCTGCTAAGTCCTTCAGCTCCTGCCGTGACTTGGCATAGGAGTTTCTGGGTGAATCAGTGAGGCATATGCTGCAAAATGAGGGTCTCAAGCGAGCAGTGATTCTATTGCCCTATGTGGTGAACCCAGTTCCCAATCCTCAGGCTTCCTCATTGAAAGCCAGGCTGATGTTGTGACCATACCTGCTTCATTGTAACGTGCCCCCCCCCCACCAAATCAGAGATGTTGCTTGCCAAAGGGGACTGGAGTGTGCATGTGTTGTTTCATATTTTGATGGATAGTTCCTTATGTGGAGTGGTATTGAGGATAATGGGTTCTCATGAAGACGCCTTGGATTGAAAATCAATTGGGTATGTTGTAGGAATTTTGAACTCTGCAGAAATCTTTAAAAGACTAAATTCCAAATGTTCAAGCCTTTCTGTGATCCCTTGTTGCTCTTCCATTGGGTGGTCTTTAAAAGAGCCTTTCAGATTCTCCTCCTGGCCGCAGTTGTCTTTGGTTAAACCTTCTGATTCCGGCCAGCTGATCAAATCCTCTGAGGAGGGTTTGCTTAAGCTATTTTAAATTCTCATTATTGGCGTCCTGTTGTTGTTGTTGTGATGGCCGGTTGCTTTAGGGCTAGCTAATAATGGCGATATAGTTAAATTTTTAAAAACTCATGTTGGACAAACTCCCTTAGCAGTCAAGATGGGCTTGGCACGTTGTAACATTGTCGGGATTCTGGGACTCCTGAAAGATAGTAAAACTTTCTGTGTTTGTTTGGGGAAGATCAGGGACTCCACATTAACCAGGTCTATATAACTGGCTTGCTCTCCTAATAAAAACCTCATGTGTCTTTTAGCTGATCGAAATGTAGACCAAGGCAGGAATGTGTCTTTATAGGTGCATGTCATAAGGCTGACTTTGTTTGCTTGCAGTACTAAATGTTGCTGCTCTTTCATTTCACTGCCAGACTTCTGGCTTGAGTTCTCTCGAGGTTTGGGACTCATTTTTTGGTTTATCTCTTTAGCTCATGGGTAGTTAGATAGAATAGGTATATACCTTTGAAATCCTGTGACTTCTTGAGTCGGATCTCCCCGCTGAGTGTCCTCATGACCTTACCAATCAAAATATCCATTTTGGAATGTAGTAAATTCAGCGTTTGACAAATAAAATCAATTGTTTTAGCTGTCATTAAAATCAGCTCAGCCAGGTTCTCTGGGCTCGTCTCACCCTTTTGGGGTTCTGAATTTGCCTCATTACAATTGCTGTTGGGCTCCCCAATAATGCTAATTGGATCTTCATGTACTTCAGCTTGCACCACAAAGCGGTTATGAAGGGGGGACTTGTGCAGACTGTTTAGCTGCTGGGGGTGAGTAGTCCTCAATTTCTCTAAAAGGTTTGCTGGGCCCCATGAGGATCCTTCCCACCAGTTAGTGCACCAGAGGGTGAGATTGATTGCTTGTGAAATGGGGACCACTTATAAATGCCATCTCCAACTCCTCAAAATATTTCATCAACAGTGTCTCCAAAAAAATTTACACATCACTTGGGAAGACAGGCAAAACTAATGCCAGTGTACTGGAAGAAGCAAAGATCACCAGTGTTGAAACAATGATTCTTCAACATTAACTTCGTTGGACTGGTCATGTTGTTTGGATGCCTGGTTATCGTCTTCCAGAGCAATTACTCTATTCTGAACTTAAAAATGGAAAGCATAATGCTGGTGGTCAACAAAAGAGGTTTAAAGACTCTCTCAAGGCAAATCTTTAAAAATGTAGTATAAACTCCAACAACTGGGAAACACTGGCCTGCGAGCGCTCCAACTGGAGAACAGCCTTTACCAAAGTTGTCATGGACTTTGAAGACACGCGAAGTCAGGACAAAAAGGGAGACGCATGCTAAGAGGAAGGAACGCTTGGCAAACCCTCACCATGATCAACTCCTGCCCGAAAACCTATGTCTCCACTGTGGAAGGATGTGTAGACCCAGAATTGCCTCCACAGTCACAGACTCACTGTTAAAACCGTGTTGATGGGAGACAATCTTACTCGGCTACAAGGGATCGCAGAAGAAGAAGAAGCAGAAGCAGAAGCAGAAGCAGAAGCAGAAGCAGAAGCAGAAGCAGAAGCAGAAGAAGAAGAAGAAGAAGAAGAAGAAGAGAGGGTGACTGGAAATTACAGAGCAGCCAGCTTAATAAAGCATAGAGTTACTCTTGCAACATTATTGTTGTGTTTGAGTGGGCTGAACCTCCTGCAATGTCTTATCAGCTTTAGTAGTTGAAGCTAAAGCTGCTTGGGTGGCTGGGGTGTGTTTTGACTACTGACGGCTTTATCGTCAAAGAATGCTGAATAAATTCCTTTTGACAGCCAAGGCCAGGGAGGCCTAAACTTTGGACAACTGTAAGTCTGAGTATAGACTGAGTGTAAGCTCCCCACCTCTGGATTATTCTGCAGTTACCATCTTCAGTTCAACTAATTATTAGCTTATTTAGCTTATGTAGGTAGCAACTTAAAATTTTAAAGAGGTTTTCTCACTGCTGCTGTATTGCAGTTGCCATCTTTGTAGTGTTACTTTTTAAAAAATATTTTGTCGCCAGCGGCAGGGCAGCTGGACCCTTACAAGGCTGGACTGGATGAATCCCAAGCAGGAATTAAGATTGCTGGAAAAAATATCAAAAACCTCAGATATGCTGATGACACAACCTTGATGGCAGAAAGTGAGGAGGCATTAAAGAACCTTTTATTGAGGGTGAAAGAGGAGAGCGCAAAATATGGGCTGAAGCTCAACATCAAAAAAACGAAGATCATGGCCACTGGGCCCATCACCTCCTGGCAAATAGAAGGGGAAGAAATGGAGGCAGTGAGAGATTTTACTTTCTTGGGTTCCATGATCACTGAAGATGGTGACAGCAGCCATGAAATTAAAAGACGCCTGCTTCTTGGGAGAAAAGCAATGACAAACCTAGACAGCATCTTAAAAAGCAGAGACATCACCTTGGCGACAAAGGTCTGTATAGTTAAAGCTATGGTTTTCCCAGTAGTGATGTATGGAAGTGAGAGCTGGACCATAAAGAAGGCTGATCGCCAAAGAATTGATGCTTTTGAATTCTGGTGCTGGAGGAGACTCTTGAGAGTCCCATGGACTGCAAGAAGATCACACCTATCCATTCTTAAGGAAATCAGCCCTGAGTGCTCACTGGAAGGACAGATCCTGAAGCTGAGGCTCCAATACTTTGGGCACCTCATGAGAAGAGAAGACTCCCTGGAAAAGACCCTGATGTTGAGAAAGATGGGGAGAAGGGGACGACAGAGGATGAGATGGTTGGACAGTGTTCTCGAAGCTACGAACATGAGTTTGACCAAACTGCGGGAGGCAGTGGAAGACAGGAGTGCCTGGCGTGCTCTGGTCCATGGCGTCACGAAGAGTCGGACACAACTAAACGATTAAACAACAACAACAACAACCAGAGCATAAAGTTTTAGAATGAAGTTGGTGTAAGGGTCAAAACTTAAGGAGAAAGCACGGGGTGGTTCAAAGCTACAAAGTGAACATTTTTTACAAAGCCTTATTTCTGGAGGAGATATTAGAAGTTAATAGGATTGGGGCGCAATGGAGGGAAGACTGATGGAACTGAGAGATATAAGCTCGTTCATTTTGTGACCAGGCATGTTCAATCTACTGCAGGGAGTTGGATTTGATGATTCTTTGGGTCCCTTCCAACTCTACAACTCTACAATTGATATTTCTGTGCAACTCGCAAGCATTTGATCTGTCATTCTTACTGTGCAGCATATCCATGCAAGCTTTCATTTGGCAGTGGTTTTGGGGGGGACCGCGTATAAAATCATGCATACTCAAGAGGATTTGCTTTAATAGTACTGGATATGATGTTGACCTCAACTCTTGGAAAAGCAAAGTGTGCCTGCGTGCCTTCTTTCTTGTTTTCTTCTGTCAGGCAGGGTGGAGACTAGCAAACAGATGGGCTGGTGCTGCCCACACCATTTAATTGAAAGTCCAAATTGGCCTATGGGCCCTAAAAAGGATTTGTGGCCCCTGCTCTAACCACTACACCACACTGACTGTCAAACCCATCCTGTGCTGTGGAAACACTATGAGAACATCATCCAGTGCTTCCCTGCCCTCCCACAACAGCTGGGTATAGCATATTCAAATGCATCCCTGTAACATAGTCATCCTGGGATAGTTCAGTTGGTAGAGCATGAGGCTCTTAATCTCTGGGTCATTGGTTCATGCTCCATGTTGGGTGAAAGATTCCTGCATTGCAGGGGGTTGGACTAGATGACCCCTTGTAGCCCCTTCCAACTCTACAATTCTATCATTCTGTGATCCCTGAGACTGTAAGGTTGTATCCAAAGTTGTCCAAGCGGGTGGAAAGCTCATGCAGGGTATCTTCCCCACCCCCACCTCAAAAAGCCTCTCCAGATTTTCAGGGGAACCTACAAAACTTTGGGGCTGGTGTCTTATGGGGTTGCAGCGGGAGAGGGGAATCCACCTGAAATCAGAGTCTGGCGTTCTGTTAGCAAAACTCTGGCAAGCAGGTTGACAGTGAAGAGTGACTCACGGCACCGAGCAACAATAGGGAACGCTAATTTTGTCTTTGTGCTTTGGTTGGGTAGGCTGCAAAAAGACCTTGACTGTACCACAACTCATCTGTTGCAATGCAGGCTTGGAAGCTTCATCTGCAGACAAGTAGGTGTATCGGAGGGGGCGCAGCTGTGGCTCGTGGGGGTGGGTGGGTGTAAGCTGCCGTGTTCTCCCAGCAGCGGCACTGTGCTCGTTGGGATGGAGATGGGATCAGAGGGAGGCTGTGGTGGGGCAGTCAGGGTGGCAGTGGTCCTGCGAGGCTGCCACTGCTGCTAACCCAGGGCTCTGCTTTTTTTTTTTTAGAAAATCTTTATTAATTTTCACATATTATATAAGTTATATAACATATAAAACAGAAAATGATACAAATAGAAATGATGAAATAAGAAAAGATAAAGAAACAAACATAAACAAATACAATATACTACACTTACATGACACATTAAAATGTATAACTTCCAATAATTCTCATTATACTACTTATATTATCTGTATTCCTTGAACAGATTCATATTATTTTATATATATATATATATATATATATCTCCCCACTATTATATTTCGTGTAATTCTTGGTTAACAGTATCACTCTATTTCTGCAAGTATCTTATTGTTCGTACAATATGTTTTTAAATATTCTTTGAATATTTTCCATTCCCTATAAACCTTCTGGTTTGGCACTCCTCTAATTTTTCCAGTCAATTTTGCTAGTTGCAGGTATTCTATCATAAGTATTTGCCACTCTGTAATCGTTGGTAAGATTTCATTCTCCCAATTTCTTGCCACTATTATTCTGGCTCTGCTAACCTTGCCACTGTCACTGTGGGAACGCCGCGGGCTGCGTCTCCCTGCACGAGGCATCACTATTGGACTTTATTTTCTTTAAGTAATGTTGTGAAGGCTGCGTGTCACCCCCAGTCTCTGCCTAGCAGCAGAGGTGGAGCTAGCTGCTCTGGCACCTGGAGCAGCATGACCTGGGGTGGGGCTAGTGTCCCAGGGGGTGGGGCAAGCATCCCGGGGGTGTGCCGCCCACGATGAGCGTCCCAGGGGGCAGCGTCAATGTCACACACACCCCCCCCCGGGATGACACCCGGGGCAGCCTGCATCCACCGCACCCACCTTGCTCTGCCTCTGTCTAACAGTAGCAATATTCCAGGGGGTTCCAGGCACTTACCCAGGGTTCTCTTTCAGTTGGCAAAATCAAAGCACAATGAAAGCTAGGGTCTTTAAGACAGGCATCCCCAGCCTTTGGCCCTCCAGATGTTTTGGCCTACAACTCCCATGATCCCTAGCTAACAGGACCAGTGGTCAGGGATGATGGGAACTGTAGTACAAAACATCTGGTGGGCCGGAGGTTAGGGATGCCTGCTTTAAGATATATGGTTTATTGTATACCGGCTTACACCTTCAAAGGAGGGAGTGCAGAACATTCCGACTAAACATCGGGAAGAACTTTCCGACAGTAAGAGCTGTTCCACAGTGGAACCGTCCCCCTTGGGGGGCTCTCCTTCATTGGAGGTTTTTAAGCAGAGGTTGGATGGCCACTTGTCATGGATGCTTTAGCTGAGATTTCTGAATTGCAGGGAGTTCAGCTAGACCATCATTGGAGGGTCCCTTCCAGCTCTACCATTCTATGATTCTATTATTATATGTCAAGAGTGTCTCCCGTTGCCTCTCCTTCCCAGAATGGCTCAGTTGGTAGAGCATGAGATTCTTAACCTTAGGGTCACGGGTTCGAATCCCACGTTAGGCAAAAAGTTTCCTGCATGGCAGGAGGTTGGACCAGATGACCCTCATGGTCCCTTCCAACTCTGCAATTCTATGATTGCTGAACACTGAGGAACAAGCCGCTCTTGAGGTCAGCTTCTGATTCCCCACCTGAAAGCATGATCTGGGTCGTTTTCTCCTTTAGGCCATTCTGAACATCATCTTAACAGGCAGAGCTTGTCCACACGTGTTTAATGGGTTCCAGAAACTTGAGGCGGAAGGCAATGTGCAAAAGCAGCTGCATGGCGTCTTGTCCCGCAGTGAGGTGGGCTATTTACACTGGAGCAAGGAAGAAGTGGAACATTACAGATTCCCACAGGTAAGGTAAACATGCAAATCGGCGCATAGGTCTTTTCGGTGCAGGTAAGCATTTGAGCTACAGGGCCAAACTACACGTAACATTAGCAATGTGTTTGAAGGAGCATGCTTTACCTGGGCTCCTTTGGGAGGAAGGGAGGGATATAACACATAAGGATATGTTTGGGTCCCAGTGTGGCGTAGTGGTTAGAGAGTCAAGCTAGGACCTGGTATGTAGGGTTTTTGTGTGTCGCAAATTCCTAGCAGCCAGTCGTTTTCAGTTATCAGCTGGATCATGCTCTTATTTATATTTGATGCCTACCATGGGAGGAAGTTTTTTGAAAAAGATGAAGATGTTGGTTTTGTTTGGGGTCTCTGTGTTTTCTTTTTAATGCCTTACCGCACCATGAGACTGTGAATGAACTCTGCTCTCCCCTCCCTAGGTTGGCAGCATGCTGAAAACTCCTAAATTGCCTGTTTGGTTGTGCAACATCAGTGGAACATACAGCGTCCTTTTCAGCACTAACAGGCTGCTCTTGTCCGACTGGAAAATGGAACACCTCTTTGATTTGTATTTTTATAATGGACAGCCCTCGCAGAAGACAACAGTGCATCTAACAGTAGGTAGGCACTTACCTTTACTGAAAGAGAACTTTTCAAATGAACACTCCTGACATCTCTTCAATTTTATATGTCCATCAATGCCTTTCTTCCCCACAAGTGATACTTAAATCCATTTTGGTGTGTTTTGCATGGATCAAATATATATCTATATTTAACAAAAAAAAGTTCTGTGGCCTTGCCTGCACCTTCTGAGTTTTAAACTGGCATACATTTGCATCCTGTGCCACATTAACAATACATTCTAAACTAAAATGTGCTTTAGATAAGCAAACCTTATGAAAACACCCATACAAGCAACAGTAAACAGCACAATAAGAGAGAGGGGGCAACTCTGAGAGCAGATCTGAAAGGAGACTCCAGCAATTAGGAAAGAGGAGAAGTACAGTCCCTGGGGGAAATTCTGAAAGCATTCTCAGTAGGGGAGAAAATACCCCCAATCGTTTTTAAGCTGTATAATCCATTAAGAGCCCAGTTCTTCTTCTTCTTCTTCTTTTTACTAAGCACTCAGTGACCACTGAATGTCAAGAAAGCCTCTATGTTTTTAAGATGTTTTATCACTTGTGGTTTGCCACCCTGGGCTCCTCTGGGAGGAAGGGAGTGCTATAACACATAAGGATATGTTTGAGTCCCAGTGTGGTGTAGTGGTTAGAGAGTCAAGCTAGGACCAGGTATGTAGGGTTTGTATGTGTGTTTTTAAGCTGCAGACCCTGATCCAGAGTGGGTCCGTGGAACAGGGAAAGTGGGGTATAACTCTTTCCTCCTGCGTCATTCCCCCCACAAAAGCCCCCCCCCCAAGCCATCTTTGGGCAATTTGCCCTTATTTTGAGGCTGTGTTTTTTAACTCCATTGTGTCCTAGAAAGAAAGATACAGGAGCATATGGGGCCTGATCCACAGGACGCTGCCATATAATATATCAGTAATGTCTACACTGGGATGCGGGTGGCGCTGTGGTCTAAACCACTGAGCCTAGGGCTTGCTGATCAGAAGGTCAGCCATTCGAATCCCCCTGACGGGGTGAGCTCCCGTTGCTCAGTCCCTGCTCCTGCCAACCTAGCAGTTCGTAAGCACGTCAAAGTGCAAGTAGATAAATAGGTACCATTCCAGCTGGAAGGTAAACGGTGTTTCCGTACACTTCTCTGGTTTCACCAGAAGCGGCTTAGTCATGCTAGCCACATGACCTGGAAAAACTGTCTGCGGACAAACGTCGGCTCCCTTGGCCAGTAAAGCGAGATGAACACCGCAACCCCAGAGTCATTCGCGACTGGACTTAACTGTCAGGGGTCCTTTACCTTTTTTAATGCCTACACTGACTGGCAGTGGGTCTCAGGGTTTCAGGCAGGAGTCTTTTCCAGTCCTGTGTGGAAACTCCAGGAATTGCATTTGGGGGCTTTTGAATGCAATGCATGTCCTCTGCTAACTGACCTAAAGGCAGACAGCTGAAGCACAGGAGAGGCTGAGAGGCGTGAGAAACACCAATGGCAGAAGCTTCCATTTTGCACGAAACAGCGCGCGCACACAAGCTTCTTTTCTTTTTTCCTTTCAGACACCCATTCTCATCACTGGGAGGAAAATCACCGTGAGGAGGACGGCGATGCCGAAAAGCGATTCCCTTCTGTGGAGATGGCCATCCGAACAAAGTGGGAGGGTGCTGCTATCAATTGGAACGGCGTGGTCCCCTTCTTCTGAAGATAGCAGGTGCGGGTGCAGAGCTGGTCCGCAGACTCTCTTGCACGGATCCTGCAGCCCAGACCTGGAGGAAGAAGAAAGGAAACTGCTACCAATGGACAGCTCAATGGGCCTGCCAGTTTGGACTTCCAATCTGCATTCGGTAAATAAATTAGCTGTGCTTATGGGATAAGCAAAAGACAAACTGTGCAACATGTGGACACACAGAGAGAGAACGCTGCAAGCTAAACACAGAACTGAGATAAAATCGGAGTATAGCAAGACAGTTTTACACACACACACACACACACTGCTGTGAACTTTTGCTTCTCCCACCAGCTGGGCCTCATGGAAGGGTGCTGCCTGTCATGGAAATATAATTGGTGTGAAATGACTGAGGTCAATTAGGAATGTTGGAAGCGACAGAACGAAGTCATGACCCCACCGTTTCATATCTTCATGATGATTTCTCCCTGTTGTTGAAAATTATTACTGTTTCTGTTGTTGAATTTTTCTGCTGGCAGGATGCACAGTCTGTAGCGTACAGAAGTCCCAGCCCAGAGTTCTTTGAGTCAGAATGTCTGCAGTCCATTCCTAAGAAGCATATACATTTGGAATTCAATTTAATTAAGTGGCAATTACTGTGGCTGAGGATGGGTGAAAGGGCACTTTAAACATGACAAATATGTGAATCGACATAGAGAGAGTGATGAGGTTTAACAGATCATGTGAGTCTAGCAGTTCAACATGTGCTTTGAAAGGGGGGAAATTACTTTTTTAAAACTTTTGGAGGAAAGGGAGGTGATTCAGTGGGTTGGACAAGGGAGGAAAAATGGATAGGATAATTTAGGCAAAAAAGATAGAGGTGTCCTTTTTCCTACATCAAATAAAATCTAAGTAGCTAAAAGCTTGGATACAAATGTTTTTTTTAAAAAAGAAAAAGGTTTGTGAGAAACTTGCAAGAGAAACATAATACAAATTAAGGGTGTGTCTAAGCAGTATTTAAAACAATTTGCACACATGGAGGAAAATGGATAGCAAACCTTTTAAAGAAGTAAAAAGAACTTAAATTGTTTTGTAAACTAGGGCAGAAAATCAGTAGTGGCTTTGAAAATCGCTAGATATGTTTTTCCCCTTTTGACCTCAATATATAACAAGGGCACTGTAAAAATAAATGTTGAAATATATTTTTTTTAAAAAATTAAAAATGTCCAGTAGCACCTTAGAGACCAACTAAGTTTGTTCTTGGTATAAGCTTTTGTGTGTGCATGTACACGAAAGCTTATACCAAGAGCAAACTTAGTTGGTCTCTAAGGTGCTACTGGACAATTCTTTTTATTTTTTAATATATTTTGACAGTGTCAGACCAACACGGCTATCTAACTGAATGTAAAAATAAAGTATTGGTAATCTACTATCAGGAAATAATAATGGAAAATTTGGCATTACTGGGTGCCTAAGAAAATTAACTGAAAAGACCGAGATGGCATTTATACTTTGCTTGATCACGGCAGCCGAAATAAATGTAACCTAACTCTAGACAAAGTTGTATGCAACTAAAGCATGATTAATTAATAAGTATGTAAAACTTGATGACTTACGGATGTGTAAGAAACGGTAGATAACCTAATTTGTTGAAAATTGGTCATTCTTTATAGCACATAATTATATCATTGCCAAGCTTTTGGTTTGCTGCTGCTTCTTTTTCCAACTTAGTTGTATTGATAAAATAATGTTGAATATGGCTCTGCTTGAAACAGAGGGAAAGATGCAATATAGAATCCTGCCACCCAGTTGTATTCCTCTCCTCCCTGCATCAGTCTATGAAATCTACACCGCCACAACCGGAGAGCAGGTGCGCCCCATTGAGTTGCTTGCAAGGCAAATACGATTCAAGCAAGCTAGGTAATGTATGGTGTTACACAGTGGCAAGTCACCCACAAGGTGGCGCTCAGAACTGCAAACTTTTGTCTTTCAAGTCAGCAACAGCAAACAAACCAGGGGTGCTCACGTGTTGTTGATTCTGCTTAATCCATACAGCGAGCTATCCACTCCCCTGTTTTTGGTGTGGCATTGTTTCTGGGAGCACAACATGGTTTAATAATAATAATAAAAATTTATATTTATACCCTGCCCTCCCCGGCCAGAGCTGGGCTCGGGGCGGCTAACACCAATAAAATTTCAGTAAAAACATAATAAGAAAAAAGAAAAAGAAAAGAAAAAACAATTTAAAATACAGGTAAAATGCAATTTAAAATGCAGACTCATTTTAAAAGTCAAAACCATAAGAAAAGGGAAACATAATGGACAGACTGAGTCCAAACCAAAGGCCAGGCGGAACAGCTCTGTCTTGCAGGCCCTGCGGAAAGATGTCAAGTCCCGCAGGACCCTAGTCTCTTGTGACAGAGCGTTCCACCAAGTCGGGGCCAGTACTGAAAAGGCCCTGGCCCTAGTTGAGACCAACCTAACCACCTTGCGACTTGGGACCTCCAAAATGTTGTTATTTGTGGACCTTAAGGTCCTCCGCAGGGCATATCAGGAGAGGCGGTCCCGTAGGTACGTGGGTCCTAGGCCGCATAGAGCTTTAAAGGTCAAAACCAGCACCTTAAACCTGACCCTGTACTCCACCGGGAGCCAGTGCAGTTGGTAAAGCACTGAATGAATGTGATCCCATGGCAAGGACCCCATAAGGAGCCTCACCACAGCATTCTGCACCCTCTGGAGTTTCTGGGTCAGCTTCAAGGGCAGCCCCACGTAGAGTGAGCTACAATAATCAAGCCTGGAGGTGACCATCGCATGGATCACTGTGGCCAGATCAGGGCGAGAAAGGTAAGGAGCCAACTGCTTAATACGGCAGAGATGGGAAAATGCCATATGCTGTGTTCAAGCAAATCAGGAGGAAAGCTCAGTCTGGATGGTGAATATTAGAAGCATAGAACTGTAGAGTTGGAAGAGACCCTGAGGACTGAGTCCAACCTCCTGCAATGCTGGAATATACAGCTGTCCTTTATGGGGTTTGAACCTGCAACCTTGGCATTATTATCAGCACCATGTTGTAACCCACTGAGCTATAACTTATACCCCGGGAGGCACATTCCCTCGAGACAGATGTCAACAACAATTTATCCATCTAAACCAATATTGTCCATTCTGACCAGCAGAGGTTCTCCAGGGTCTCAGATAATGGGCTTTCTTGTCAGCGCCTACCCAATAATTGTAGCTGGAGATGTCAGGCCCTGAATGTGGGATGTTCTGTGTAGGAAGCATCTATGACACATACACCCTCCCCCCAAAAATCATAAGGATTGCGGACTATGGGATTGTTATGGTAATTTAGATGTAGTAAAGATAACAGAGGGACCCGGGTGGTGCTGTGGGATAAACCACAGAGCCTAGGGCTTGATGATCAGAAGGTCGGCAGTTCGAATCCCCGCGATGGGGTGAGCTCCCGTTGCTCGGTCCCTGCTCCTGCCAACCTAGCAGTTTGAAAGCACATCAAAGTGCAAGTACATAAATAGGTAAACGGGAAGGTAAACGGCGTTTCCATGCGCTGCTCTGGTTCGCCAGAAGCGGCTTAGTCATGCTGGCCACATGACCCGGAAGCTATACGCCAGCTCCCTCGGCCAATAACGCGAGATGAGCGCCGCAACCCCAGAGTCGTCCACGACTGGACCTAATGGTCAGGGCATTATCTTTACCTTTAAAGATAACAGAGCAAACTTTAATAGACAAAAGCAAGAATATTACAAAGCTGCGGCATCCTCCAAACTTATTTATTGTGAAGTGTTTGGTGGGGGTGTCACATTAACTATGTAGCCAAACGGAACACTTTCCAGCAACATCTTCCCTTTCTTTTTTGTGCAAACTTTGAAAATGTTCTGCAGATCATTCAGGTCACAGTTTGACAGCTGTGCGTTTTTGCCCACATGTGAATTCCCAGGTGGCATTTCGAAAGGCACTCTGTATTCCCCGAAGACCACGGTGTGGCAAGAAGAGATAAACAGAAGCAGGTGCAGATTTTGCAAGTTGCCACTTTTCCATCACTGGATCCTGTATATGTGATAATACAATTAGCTACACATGGTCCTCCTATCTTATACTGAACCAGACCTTTGGTCGATGTAGCTCAATCTCCTCTTCACTAACATAGCAGCTGCCCAAAGTTTCAGGCAGGAGTCCATCCCAGCTCTTCCTGGAAACGCCATGGATTGTATCTCAGGCCTTCTGCATGCAAAGCAAGTGATCTGCCAGTGAATCATAAAATCAACCACAGTAACATAGACTTGGAAGGGACGCGGGTGGCATTGTGGGTTAAACCACAGAGCCTAAGACATGCCGATCAGAAGGTCGGCAGTTCAAATCCCCATGAGAGGGGTGAGCTCCTGTTGCTTGGTCCCTGCTCCTGCCAACCTAGCAGTTCGAAAGCATGTCAAAGTGCAAGTAGATAAATAGGTACCGCTCCGGCAGGAAGGTAAACGGCGTTTCCGTGCGCTGCTCTGGTTCGCCAGAAGCAGCTTAGTCATGCTGCCCACATGACCTGGAAGCTGTACGCCAGCTCCCTCAGCCAATAAAGCGAGATAAGCGCCGCAACCCCAGAGTCGGCCATGACTGGAACTAATGGTCAGGGGTCCCTTTACCTTTACCTTTAACATAGACTTGGAAGGGACCATGAGGATGATTTAGTCCAACCCCCTGCAATGCAGGAATATTACACCCAATGTGGGACTCGAACCCATGGCCCTGAGATTAAGAATTGCATGCTCTACCCACTGAGCTATCTCTGAGGTACAGTCCTTCCCTGATTCATCTTCTACAGCAAGGGTAGGGAACCTTTTTGGCTTAGCAGGACAGATTTGTGTCTCCCTCCGTGCCATAGGCCAATTTTGACAGGTAAAGAGGACCACCCGCCTGTCTATCACCTGATGGCATTATGATGTCAGATGATGGACAGGTGAGTGGTCCCACCCACCTGTCCAATGTAGCCTGTAGGGGTGGTATGATAGTGACCAAGCAGGAATAAACTCCCTGGGCATAGGCTGATAAACAGGGAGTTGAATCCTGCTTTCTGCAGGGTTCAGGTGTGCTAGCGGGTCTCCCATGAGGAACCAGCTCGTACGTCCAGTCGAAGCAGTTGTCCTGCAGGGATCGCACTCAGGCACCTGAACCAAGCCGGAGTGAACTCCCCACCCACTAACTGACATGTGGGGAGCTCAGTCTTGCTTTCCAGCCCAATAATTCAGCTGTGTCTCTACTTAATCTCATGATTGTGGGTTCACTCCCCACACTGGGCAAGAGATTCCTGCATTGCAGGGGGTTGGACTATTCAATCCTTGTGGTCCCTTCCAACTCTACAATTCTATGTTGCTGTGATATCGTTTTGTGGAAAGGGCTTCACAGGACAAATGCCGAGGCCTGATTTAGCCCACGAACTGCAAGTTCCCCACCCTGGTTATATAGAATCCGTTTTCTTTTCTGTTTGTTATGCAAATGCTCCATGAGAATTACAGGCCGTTGTAATCGCCGTGAGACTTCTGCGCTCCCGACAGATCACCTCCACTGTGCAACTGGTCATCTCTGTTCAGAATGTACAATTCTGCAATAATTTTTAGGAAAGGAAAAGGGCATTCCTCCCCACGCTCTAAGCTTCCAGAATTCTCCTATCTGCAGAGGGGGCAGGTGATGGTATCAACACATTCCTAAATCCTGCCACTTATGACATCGTCTATATTTACATTGGCTCAAAGGGGCAGGAGAAGCTGCAGCAGAAAATGAGTTGGCATCACACTACACCCTCCAGCTGAGAGGACAGAATAATGTGCTGGGGAGAGGGAGAGCAGGGATTTACTGCAATAATAAGCAGTGAATCCCTGCTTTCTCTCTAAAGCCTCTTCTACATACTTCTCTACACTGCAAAACTCTGAATAAATATATGCAATATTAATAGTTTCACTATGTGCCAAGGTAGCTGATACATACCAAATGTACACATTAGGTTAATTTAAATCTGCATGATGTACTTGCATGGACAAAAGGCTGTCTGCACAACCGGATAACACAGCTTTGCTAGTGAGTATAATGAATGCTAAAGTTCTGAAAGTGTTCACATTACGTAAGCATACAAGGCTGCAATCCTATACCAGGCCTGCCTTATTGATTTCATTGCAGTACAATGTTTCACAGATTATCTGGTCAGATGACGTCTGCTTTGGACATTTCTGAAGCTAATAAAAAGGCTGCCTTTTCTCATGATCCTGCTATAGTCAGAGGCTACTGAATTTACCCAAGAAACTCTATCAACCCTGGCAGACATAGGAATGGCAAAACTTTAAGAAGTGGTTCCCCAAATGCATGCAGGGGCTAAAAGTGCATCTCTGGGTCTGAAAAGGTGAAGACTGCTGCTTTAGATTGGGGGTGGGCACACCTATGCTTTGAATGCTAGGGCCCACCCACCAGAGCCACATGCAAAAATCCTGGCACAGAACATATGTGGCTTGGGCACAGAATTAAGGGAAAACTTATTTTCAGCACCAGAACTGAGCTCACAGTCCTCCCACACAAAAACCCCCACTCATGGTTTCACTCTCTAGCCTTCTTCAGCAGAACAACCTCTCTTCCATAAAACTGTCCACATTTCTTTTAAAGCCATCCAAGTTGGGATCGAATTCTGCCCTTTATATTCTGTGTGGGAAAGTATTTTATTTTACCTGCCCTCAGTTATTTTTAATGCTGTGCAGTGTTTATGAAAAGCTGCCTTGCACATCTCATATGGAAACAAATTATTATTTTTTTAAAAACATTTTTTTTAAAAAATAAACAAGTTGTTTTACATCGTTATTCTACTGACTAGAAGGCGCCTTGGGCACAACACGTCAGAGATGGCAGCATGAAACCTTTTGAGTAAAGAGGGGGGAAATAATGCTTTTGAATGCAACATGATATTCTAGAGAACCTTCCTCGAAGAGAATCTTTCTGATTCCAGACTAAGAATCTGCCACAAGGGAGTCAGATTAAAAATGCCTTTTCCTCCCTACATGCCCCAAGGGGCTATGGTAGAGCTGAAGGAAAGGAAACAGCCCATTTGTTCTTAAGTGTGTACTGCACAATGTAAAATGGCAAAACAATGGGGTGGTGCTCTAGGAAATGCCCCACGTAGCCTTAGCAGCTGCACATGAAGGCATGCTTCTTTCGCAAGTGCAATGCTGAAGCCATAAAGGAAGATGCCATAAAATCTGCTTTCATGTCAGAAACAATTATGCTGCCTTTCTCCCCCCCCCCCCCCCCTTTCTAAACCACACTGGCACTGATTTCCCGGCCCCAGTTACATCCGCAGTGTGGATTAGATCTAATTTAAGATGCAAACACCATCTCTAAATTGCTCTTCTTTAATAAGGGTCCCCGGGGAATTGCACACCGATAAATGTAAGCCGACTTTTAAAACTATTGACTCTTAACACCATTTCCTTCTCAAGCTGCTCTCGGTTTTGCAGTGTGCAGATCCTGTCTGACGACTGATACATTAGCCCATTAATCTTTATCAATTAGAGACAGCACACCTGAGCAACAAAACCTCTTAAAACCCCTTCTGATTTAACGCCTGGGCATGATTGAAAGCTGACATGCTAACTACACAAGGTGCCCTTTTATTTTACGGAATGGTTCCTATTCTCAGCCAGTCTGTTGAGCTGTTAAGGTGCTAAGGCTCCCCTCTAGCTCCTGTTTTCAGCTAGAGACCTATGTTCACTCATCGGAGGAAATTCAGATGCAGGAGCTGACTCCATACTTAAGCCTCAGACTTCATTTTCACAGCACCGGAGCTTATTTCCTATGCATGGCAACTTTCCTTTAGCAACTCAGATTGAAGGCACATTGCCTGGGTGCAGAAGGAAAGGCAACATGAATGACAGGCAGCGCAATTCTAGACACAACTGCTGCCGCTGAGTTCACTGGGGCTCATTACTTTTGATCCTAGGGTTAGCAGGTATATGGGTTGCAAGCCAGACTGCCTAAACACTGGAGGTGTAACATTTGAAAAGGGGACATGCAGAAACCCTGAATATGATAAGAATTTAAGCATCCTCCCCTTATTTTTCTAATATTGCATTGGTTACCAACTGTGGCAATCACACAGGGTCCCCGGACGTTTCACCGTCTATTGATCCCTGTGCCACCAATTTATTTCTCGCTGCCACCACCCAGACCCTACCTGGTACAATACTGAGTCCAGTCAGGGTTAAATTGGAACATAAACTTCTGTTTATTTATTGCAGTTTAACAAGAGCATGGTTTCATAAACAGTATCAGTCAATTACAATCATGGGGTGCCTATCCAGACCTATAACTTCCGCTATCTGCTCTCACTCACTAAACCACCTCTCAGTTATTTGCTTGTCTTCCTAGCTCCTAACTGTTCCTGACTCAGTTTATTTCGCTACACTAACTCAACCTACCCACAGACTCTATCCCAATTCACTCCCACTCCAACCAACCTCCCAACGAACTCCTCCCAGAGCTGGTTTTATAGTCCCTCTGACTCCACCCCCCTGGGTTCTGATTGGGTAACTTGTTTAACTATTTCACCTCCAGCACTATCATATGTTAACGTCACACCAACACCCCCCCCCCCCAAGATATGCAAGTCAGGAATTGTCAGGGACTGGATTGAGGAGGAATGGTGGGGACCGCCCTCCCTCCTGCACCTTCCCGAGAAGAGGAGGACAGTGTAGATTTAGAACAGTGGTTTGCAGAAGGTCATAGCTCAGAGGCTGCAGAGGGGAGAAGCTGAGAAATATTGGGAGAGGAGCAAGAGGAAGAGGAAGCACCAGGAGAGAGACGATTGACAGACTCAGTGTCCTTGGAAAGCATTCCTGACCGCCGCCCCCTCTCCCAGGACCAGGCGTGCATTGAGAATAGGAGAACAGAAAGCTCAGAGGCAGAAAGCACAGATCAGCTGACGGAGGGATGACATATAATAGGAGAGACGGAAAAGGTGGGACTTTACTCAGAGCAACGCCATTATCTAAGATAGACAGCATTTTGATGTCTATCTCTGTGAATATTGAATAAAAGACTTGGCAAGAACTCTTGTTGGTTATCTACTTCTTGGCTGCCACCGTGGGCAGGATCGGATTCCTTGGAGCCTGACAGGCATACTTTCCCATATCTTTCCTCCAGATCATGTGGAAGCCCCAGACCCTCTAAGAGTCCCTGTTTTCCAGGGACAGTCCGGGATTTAAAGGATCCATCTCAGTCTACGGCGTGTGGCCCCAGGCCCCCTCAATCGCAAGGGAAGGCTTAGAAACTTGTGGAGTGCCCTGAGATCAATGGATGCAGGGCAGTATACAAATGTAATTTAAAAAAATTAAAAAATGAATAATAAAGTTGAGGTCATTCAAATCTGTTTCAGTTTTTTTTAACTTTCATATGTAGGGCTGTAAGTAATTTTCTTGATTTTACTGCCTGTTTGTACTTACAGTCAAGTTATGTATGAATTTTATGGCATAAAATAATAAATAAATAAATCAGTCCTTATGGGACCCAAGTGAACAAACCTTAACTTAGGCTACCATGTTTGCATAATTCAACCCTCAGATCCGTATTGCGTCAGGTTGTTCTTGCATGGAAAAGCCAATCCACTCACTTACCTTACTGCAGCTTTCACCAACCTAGTGCCCTCCAGATGTTTCCAACCAGCCAGCGCTGAAGGGAGTTGTAGCCCAAAACATCTGGATGGCAACAGGCAGGCAAAGGCTGGCTTATTTGTGATCAGCACTGAATTTCAAGGTTGAGTAAGGTCGTGACTGTTCTCACCTAAGACTGCTCCCGGCAAATTCCATGCAGGGGGTGCAAAACACAATCAAATACCCGATAAATAATAATATAAAAAACTGGCTCTTGGATAGAATCACAGGTGAGTCATACAGTCACATGTGACAAGGAAGCATTGCTAAATTGGCCAGTGTGTTGCAGGTGGAGTAGCAGTACCTGAAGAAGGGTGAAGCAGGTTTCTTGCTATAGCTTCATTTATTTTGACATACATAAATTTAATGACTATCTCTTTTCAATTTACTCCCCCTGGCTGGATGAAGAGCTAAGTACAGTTTCCCTGTCTCTAAAACCAATTAATTGTGATGACCTTGGAAGGCAGTTTCTGGTTATAGTACTTCTTGATGACTAACTGGCATTTCTGCTGTTATGCTGATTGTAGTGATTTCGACATCAGTCAGAGGAAATAGTTCAGTGTTTCCAGCCTCTGAAATTTAATATTGAAATATTAGATTTGCACAAGACACAGCATTAGTCATAACTGAATGACACTTCCCCCCAAATCTGTGCATGTCTGCTCAGAAATAAGTCCTATTCAGTTCAATGGGACTTACTCCCAGGCAATCCTTACAGGTGCTTTTGCTACATGGTGATTCATGAATAAAAGAATAGCCAAAACAGACAGCCAACTGAAAACAGGTGCATGAACAAATAACACATTTTCCTTATACTGTTGAAGTTTTCCTCTTCCGGGGCGGGGCGGGGGGGATGGCAATGGAATATATGCGCTTTTCGCATCAATACATTCACTGTTTTAACTTTCGCCATTTGTCACACTCTTCCTGCAAATTGTCATTTTACAGTTTGATGTTCAAATCCACATTCATTCATTCATTCATTCAAGAAATTCGTATCTGCTGTTCTGCTTCACAAGGGAGTTGCTTAAAGTACAGTAGCTTACATATCACAATCACAAAAGCAACAAATTAAACATTGTAGCACAAATTATCAAACAAAAACAGCAGCACAAAGCACATGATACAGCTCCCTACCTCAGAAATGGGGTATCTGTGTGTCCTGTGCCCCCTGCCCCCCCCCCCGGTACTAGTTGGATTCCAACTCCAAACAGCCTAGATCCAAATTGCAGGGCTAGGCATGCTCTCTAGCCAAGATTGTTATTACACCTAGATGAGGTTTTGTTATATGGAGGAAGCAGAGGTTGCCTGGGAGCAAAAATATCAGTTAGCTAAGCTCTCATTAGAGGAATATGTAGCAAAACCTCTTCCTTAGAATAAGGCTTCTCCGGCCCCATTACTTGTATTTGTTGTTGTTTAGTCGTTTAGTCGTGTCCGACTCTTCATGACCCCATGGACCAGAGCACGCCAGGCACCTCCTGTCTTCCACTGCCTCCTGCAGTTTGGTCAAACTCATGTTAGTAGCTTTGAGAACACTGTCAAACTATCTCGTCCTCTGTCATCCCCTTCTCCTTGTGCCCTCAATCTTGCCCAACATCAGGGTCTTTTCCAGGGAGTCTTCTCTTCTCATGAGGTGCCCAAAGTATTGGAGCCTCAGCTTCAGGATCTGTCCTTCCAGTGAGCACTCAGGGCTGGTTCCTTCAGAATGGATAGGTTTGATGTTCTTGCAGTCCATGGGACTCTCAAGAGTCTCCTCCAGCACCATAATTCAAAAGCATCAATTCTTCGGCGATCAGCCTTCTTTACTTGCATACTCACAATGTAAAAGACCCAGGCTATCCATGTAAGATATCTTAATGTAAGATACAGTGGTACTTCGGGTTACATACGCTTCAGGTTACAGACGCTTCAGCTTACAGACTCCACTAACCCAGGAATAGTACCTCAGGTTAAGAACTTTGCTACAGGATGAGAACAGAAATCGTGCGCTGGCTCCGCGGCAGCAGTGGGAGGCCCCATTACCTAAAGTGGTACCTCAGGTTAAGAACAGTTTCATGTTAAGAACGGATCTCCAGAACGAATTAAGTTCTTAACCTGAGGTACCACTGTATCTTTGAAGAACCTCTTCCTCCCTTTGCTGAGACACAGGAGTACTGCATAGATTTCTGGACTAAATTTGGCAATAAAGTTTTGGATGTCGTAACGGAAGCACTGCAGGTCTGTGCTCGTGTAATAACCATATTAAAACTGCTGAGTGTCCTTTGATCAAGATGTTCTTCTAAGCGTTTCTTATCAGTTTCATATCAGTTAAAAACGCCCAGCCAAAACAGCTGCTCTTTCCGCTCCTGTCCTCCAATTAAAATATATGGTTTTTAAGCCCATATAGAAATAAAACAAACAAAACAGGTATGCTCCTTGCCTGTATGGAGTAATTAAAGTTAACTGCTGAGCCAACTGCCTTTGCAATTTAAAAACTATTCAAGTTGTGGGGTTGTGTGTGTGTGTGTGTGTGTGTGTTTTTAATGAAAACTAGAACATACTATGGACATGGGTGGCGCTGTGGGTTAAACCACAGAGCCTAGGACTTGCTGATCAGAAGGTCGCGGTTCGAATCCCCGTGACGGGGTGAGCTCCTGTTGCACGTCAAAGTGCACGTAGATAAATAGGTCTGGCGGGAAGGTAAACGGTGTTTCCGTGTGCTGCTCTGGTTTGCCAGAAGCAGCTTAGTCATGCTGGCCACATGACCCGGAAGCTGTACGCCGGCTCCCTCGGCCAGTAAAGCGAGATGAGCGCCACAACCCCAGAGTTGTCCACGACTGGACCTAATGGTCAGGGGTCCCTTTACCTTTACCTTTTTAGAACAGACCACGGAACTCAAGGACAAGAAGCCATACTTGTCGCCATCGTCACCCAGAAGTCCAATGCAAACCCCTTACGACCTGTTGCAGCCAGTGTGGTGTAGTGGTTAAGAGCGGTAGTCTCGTAATCTGGGGAACCGGGTTCGCGTCTCCGCTCCTCCACATGCAGCTGCTGGGTGACCTTGGGCTACTCACACTTCTCTGAAGTCTCTCAGCCCCACTCACCTCACACTGTGTTTGTTGTGGGGGAGGAAGGGAAAGGAGAATGTTAGCCGCTTTGAGACTCCTTAAAGGGAGTGAAAGGCGGGATATCAAATTCAAACTCTTCTCTTCTTCTGCTAAAATTCAGCCCCCATTTTAGTTGGGGGCTGAATGTAAACTGAATCCCGCCCCACTGAGCAGTTTGCAAACCTGCCGCCTTGGCTGTGTTTACCAGTTCTGCCAATGCAGAACTGATTCCTTCCTCTTGCTCCAAACTGGGACGCAGGAGTGTCTGTCTGTGATATCCTGTACTCTGCATTGGAAAATCTGGTATATATTTATTAGTTAACATGCATGTTTCATTGGCACAATATTGTGCCAGCAAGAATGAATCTGGCCCACTGACAGGACCTCTGCCAACGATACAGTTGCTTATAGATTTGTTGGACTTGATTCTTGAAACATTAGAAAGGCTTTTTTTTTTAAAAAAAAGTCCCTGTTTTTCCCCTGCCACTGGAAATTCAGCTGGAGTGGGTGGGGGGAAATGTTTGCATTTCCCCCAGGACTGGAAATTCTTATATCTTAAAACAGCTTGAACAGGTAGATTAAAATGTCCAGAATGAACTGGACATTCTGAGTTGTGCTTCAGTATTTATGGGTGGTGGCTCCCTGCTTGTGGAATAATTCCTTTAATTAAGCTGTTGGCTAATTAAACAATCAATGGCCTTTTAAATGTGCTTGTAGGGTGGGTTATTGGGGTTTGTTTATGTATTTTGTGTTCCCATTTTGCATTTTTATGCTGTAAACCACCCTTTGATCTTGAGATGACGGGCAGAATATAAATTTAATAAATAAATAAATAAATAGGTAAATATTTACTTTATAGACTGCTACTAATGTCTGTGCTGTGGAAGAGACAGCCAAGTCCCCAACTGCTGGGTAAGATCAATAGAAACAGCAGGTCCAGTGCAGCGATCCTATGTGCATATTATCTTGAAAGTAAATGCCATTGTGTCCAGTGGGGATCCTGAACGGATCCGTGCGCTCCTTATCACAACATTTTCTTTGGAAAGCCTCCTTCAGAACACAAGAATAACTGCCCTGCTGGTCAGGCCGGCGGCCCACCTAATCCAGCGAGGTTTCCCAGCAACTGGTATTCAGAAGCATTGCTTCCTCCAGCTTCTTGGAGCGATGGGTTCTCTCCAAAGAGAAGCAGCGCGCTCTGTTGTGGACCTATTATTGGCTCGGGCGAAGAAGTGAGTTCCATGCCCAGCAGATGGCGGGCCGGAGCGCCTATCCTGGCTCTGGTACGCCATTGAACAATAGAGTGAAGAAGCTTCCATGTGCGCGCGTGCCCATCTCCACTCCCCCTTTTTTCTCTCGCCTTCAGCGGCCGCTGTTTTTTTTTAATTTTAATTTTAGGGGGGTGTGTGCCTCCGCGAGAATCTCCAGGAGCAGATTGTAGCGGGGAAAAGGAGAGAGAGGGCACCGATTTCCTCCTTTCTTCGCTCCCGCCCATTCTCTCTCTCTTTCTATCTATCTATCTCTCCCCCCCCCCCCAAGTCTCCGCCTTGCCATCAGCAAAGACCAAGGGCATGCTCAGTAGGAACCAGCATCGGCTTCGGGAGCAGGCTGCGACTCTACACCACCCCCTGCCTCTCTTTCTTGCGTCAGATTAATGTTCCGGGGAGGGACGGCGTGCGTGGGGGGGGGGCGATTTGAGAAGGAACCACGCGCGCTTTGCCCGGGGGAGGAGCGGAAGGGCCGCCGGGGGCGGAGGAGCGGCTTAGAACGCTGAGCTGGCCCGGTGGAACGTCGGGGCTTCTCTTTTGGAACGCTCGCACACACTTTGGAACGCTCGCGCTCTCCCGCGGCGCGGAGGCGAGGCCCGGCCGGGCTCTCCGAGGAGCAGCAGCTCCAGGGAAACGGGCGCTGTTGTTGTTTTGAGTCTCGCTGGCGGGGGCCTGCGGGGTTTCGGGGAGCGAATCAGCTCGGTGCCCGCCGTTCGATGGTTTGTCCCGACCGAGATGAGCCGCCCGTCCTCCGCCGGACCCAGCGCTAGCAAACCCTGCGGCAAGCAGCAGCAGCACACCCCGTCGCCGGCTGCTGCCCCTGCCGCCGCCGCCGTCGCCACCATCTCCGCCGCCGGGGCCGGTTCCTCCGCGGTCTCCGCCGCGGCCGCTGTGATCTCCAGCCCTGGAGGAGGCGAAGGCAGCGGCGGGCCGGTCTCGCCTCAGCACCACGAGCTGACCTCGCTTTTCGAGTGCCCGGTTTGCTTCGACTATGTGCTGCCCCCGATCCTGCAGTGCCAGGCCGGGCACCTGGTGTGCAACCAATGCCGGCAGAAGCTGAGCTGCTGCCCCACGTGCCGGGGATCCTTGACCCCCAGCATCAGGAACCTGGCCATGGAAAAAGTGGCCTCGGCCGTCCTCTTCCCTTGCAAGGTAAGGAAGGGCAGGTTGCAGGCAGCAACCGGCACAGCCGCCGGAAAGGTGGGCGGGGAGAGGGGGCTGGGTCGAGGGAAGCAGCGGGGCTTGAGGTTGTGGTGATCCAGGTGTTATTTTAAAAGCTAGCTCTCTGAAATTTTCCATACCCTACTGGAAAGTATTGGGGCGAACCCCATGAGCACACCCCCGCTTCCCACTAACTCACTCCTCATGAGAAACAAATACGAAGTGCCATTTTTTCTGTGGAGCTGATTCTCAGAGACCGTTTTCATTTTAATGTAAGATGCACCTGCGTCTGTAATTCTGCCTCCGCCACCTTTAAGTCCAAACCACTATTCCAAGCAGCCTTTAGACATAACCCCATTACTCTTCAAGCTACAGAAGAAGTGTGGGGTCTTGCGTGCATCCACAACAGTAAACAGTGTCCATGGTCCTGTCAAGAATGCAGATGCTCTGTTGTTATCTGTTCTGGTGCGTTGTTGTCAAGAGACGGGGGCCAGAGAGCTCCTGGCTTTTACGCCTGACCTGTGCCAGGGCTGTACCCAAGCCAGTATTTCTCAGTTTTGCTCCCTAATATCTTGCAATATGGAGTATTATCCTACTTTAGTTGTAAGGATCCCTGGTATAAATGTATGTGAAGAGCTTGGAGCACTTGAAAGAACACACAGATTTTAAAATCTCTCATTATTATTATTATTATTAGCTCATGTCATAGTTATACCTCATCCCTGCTTACACTTGAGAGCGTATGCTATGTTACACCAGATGTATAATTCAAAAATAGTGGCCACTGAGGAGCATAGCTGTCAACTTTTCCCGTTTCATGTGAGGAATCCTATTCGGAATAAGGGAATTTCCCTTTAAAAAAGGGAAAAGTTGACAGCTATGCTGAGGAGTGGAGATCTAAGGGAGCATAAAAGTTTGGAAATGATTTGGAAACTCTTTAGCAGTACCTGGATTAGTAAAACAGGAGGGGTTTTTTAACGGGGAGGCCAGAGATGGATAGCTCAGTCAGTCAATAGATTCTTGACTCCCATGTAGGGAGCCTTGCCAAGTGTCTCGGTTAATTGAAACACATTGGTGCTAATGCACTCCCTGTTAGTCTGCGCTGTGCGCTAGGGGAATTGGGGCATTGGTCTAAACATGGCAGAGATGTGTGCAAAGGCCCATGAAATGTGGTACCTTTCCCTCCTCCTCCTTTCACACTTCTGACTCAACCTGAAAGGCAGAACTTGACAGAGTGAGAGACAAGTTGGGTTCTGGTGTGTTAGTTGGCAGGGATACGTGCAGGGGAGAAGGGGCAGACCAGGGGGATGTGGGGAGGGGTGATTCCCCCCATCAACAAGTTTTTCCACCTTTTTTTTTATCCTGCATGATTCGGTTGCAGGCAGCTGGGGAATGGAAGTGTGTGCAAAGGAGAATTGGTTGGGTGCAGAAAGGTGTACACAGCTGATTCTCCTTTACAATCCAACTTCACACGTTACATCTGCAGAGACATCCCCCCCCCCCCGATATACTTTTGCTGATGAAACATGTTTGCATCCCCTAAAATATCCTCAGGAACTTCCCATATTGGTATGTCCGAAGCCACAGAGCTCCTCTGCATCCAGTCAGAGGCTTGGGGGTTCTGTTGATGACGTCTTTTGCTGTTGTGGAAGGGGGCAGGACTGGAGCTTAAGGGCACCTGCAGCCTATACTGGGACGGTGCTGATCCTTGTGCTTTGTGATTATTATTAGCAAAAATGGTTGCAGCATATCCCTACCCTCCAAGAGGAATGATCCTGTTCAGGGCTTATTATGGGATGACCCCGTTTCACTCCTAAGCCGTCGGCCCTTGACCACCCAATTTCACAAATGGAATGAGTCTAGCTAATCGCTAGTCCGTATGGACTTAGAAAAATGAGCGTGGGTTGCACAAAGAAGGAACAGCATCGACATCCCATATCTGGTGGTGGTACCATTTACAGCCTTTTTCTTTTAAATGTCCCCACCCCTTTTTCTCAATCTGTGTGAGTTTTTAGGGGGGAGAGGCTGTTTGGAAGCACGCTAACAAAGATAAACCCGAGGTGGCAGCTGGCAGAGAGAAGAGCTGTTTCCACCCAAGCTTTCTATCAGCGCCAATCTTTAGGCCCTTGTCTCCCTTAAACTAGATATACCGGTGTCGGTTTCGCTCCCAAGGCGCAGGTTTAGGCTGATCAATATGCACTCTAAACCATTCTAAAATGACATTGACACAGATCTTAAGGTCGTGTTGATGAAAAGCAAGGCTGGAAGCGACCATGTCGCCCGCGTTAACAGTCTCCATCGGAAGGGCTCCAGTTGCAAAAGCAAAAATTAAACTTGCGGAAACAGAGAGTTGCTGCATTGAACCACTGATACTGTCATAGAGAGTTGGAAGGGACCCCCAAGGGTCATCCAGTCCAACCCCTTGCAATGCAGAAATCTGAACTAAGGCATCCATGACAGATGGCCAGCCAACCGCTGCTTAAAAGCCTGCGAGGAACTAGAGTCCAGCACCTCCCGAGGGAGTCAGTTCCACTATATTTCAACCAGGGTTGTTTTTTTGAGAGGAAGGGGGCGTTTAGGGAAAACCGCTCCTTTCTTATGCTGTTTTGGGAATAGTACTGCAAAAGAGCACCTAGTTCTTAGATTTAAGGGACACTGTCATAGAGTGTGCTTACAGAAGGCACCAGGTCCAGTCCTGGGATTTCAGGTAGCAGGGCCGGGATAAAACCCACCCTGGAGACTTGCCGCCAGTCAAGAGGAGTCCGTCCTGGACAAAGAGGGGCCAAATGGTCTGACGGAGTAGCTGGCAGCGTCTTCATTCCAGGCCTGAACATTGCAGGATGCCAACTTGATACCAAGTCAGACTGTTGGTTCATTTAGTTCGATGCACCGGCCTTCCTCATCCTGGGGCGCTCCAGGTGTTGTACTACGACTTTCATCATCCCTGAATGTTTGTCATCCTGACTGGGGCTGATGGGAGTTGTAATCGGATACAGCTTGTGGGAGGCTGGTGACAGTGTTGAGCTAGGTGTAACAAGGATGGGAGATGGCATAAAGCAATGAAGAGGTTGGTACATATAAAGTTGTGTCCTCTTGAATTAGGCTGGCATTCCAGTTTCCGGCAGGGGACTCCCACTCGCCCTATCCAGAAATGGCAGATATCGTGAACTTCAGATTTTCCCCACATTAAGCATGTCCTCTGCCAATGAATTTGGGGGCTTCCTCATTAGTGTGTGACCTACCAAGCCAAACGTATCCCATTGGGTATCTGGTGTGATCTGCCAAGTGTCCCAACAACTCTGCTGCTTTGCAGTAACAGGCCAGCGGCAAAATCCGGAGGTTTATTGTGTTCCTGTTGGACCACCGTACATGTCTTGTAGGCTATGTTTGGTTTAGCGGATCACAAGTTGCTCAGAACAAGTGCTCACAGTTCAGAGTTTTGAATTTAGATTCTACACAGAGAAACAAATGGTAATCACGAAACTGTAGTTGAAGACCAGTATTAGATTAAAACATGATATGCTTCCCTGTGGAAGTCACTAAAACCTGCATGTTTGAAATGTGCATTTTTCAGAATCAACATATTGCATGGAGAATCTCCACATCTTCATAAGCCACCTATGCTATGTGTCTGCAATGAAGCCATGCCATATACATAATGATTCCCAAATATTACATAGATAGGATGTAAAATTCCCAGAAAGTTTGAAAGGGAAAAACTTCTTTTTCTGAGGGCAGGGGAATGGAAATGAAAACCTATGCAGTACTTATTTTCTTTTCTAACCCAAACCTTTTACAGCTTTGGCAGCATTAAATGCATAGTTTATAATATGGTTAGCATGTAAAATTGGTGTGTTCTTGGAATTTGCAGAGCAATCCTATGTGTTTACATGGAAGTGAGACCTGCTCTATTTAGAGAAGTTTGCTGCCTGGTAAGCACACATATAATTGCTGCCTCAAAACTAGAATTGCCTTAGTTTGGGTAGGAGAGTGTGTATGTTACAGTTGTTTCAAGGGGCAAGCGGAAAGGTTGGCCACAAAAGTGGGGTTAGCTCATAAGGGCAGCAGGTGCATGAATCCTTTTTTTCATTTTTCATTTCCAAAACTTAGATCAAAGGTCACCAGAAGAGGATCCATTGTAGCATTAGAAATGTATGCAGTACATAGTGGAACCTGGACATCTGGGAGTTAGAGCCTGGAGCTATAGTCCTAAGCCCACTTACCTAGGGGTAAGCCCCAGAGGACAAAACAGGACTTACTTCTGAGTCAAAATGCATAGGGCTGCGCTGAAAGTTAGGTATCATACAGAGTCGATTGGCATAACCTGGGGACACTTCATACATTGTGTAGTTGATTTGCGCACCCTACAAATGCAGCATTGTGAGACATCCTAGAGTACATATTTTGTTGAAGGGAGCAATCCAAGCCCATGGTCCACCAGGGATGAGGAGAGTTGGGAATAGCAGGTCTCAGGCTGAGCCTGGGTTCAGTAGGAACTGAGTCTCGCATCCTGGCTAGGCTGAAGATATGCCATCAAAAAGGGGGGGAAATAGAATAAAAATCAAAGCACTACATCCTACCTTATCTTGGGGCTCAGTCATAGCCGTCTGAGCTGAGGCTGGGTTAAGTCCTGAAAGGGGGCCATTTTAGAGGTTTGGGGGGTAGTCATGACGGGGCAGGGGAGACTTCTGTTCCAAACATGACCTAGCAACCCATCAGAAGTTAACACTGGCCAAAAGGGTGGCACAGGTCAAACTGTTTTAAAGGCTTGTTTTCCCTCTGCCAGGCTCTGGCCAGCTCACCTGGCAGCAGAGGCAGCTTTAGGGTAGCATGACCGGTGCCACACTGCAGGAAGCACCACAACAATTATGCGGAACGGAGCGTGAGAGGCAGGCAGGGTGTTTGTGTCAGATTTTAGCATCGCACAGGGTGCTGCTGAAATTTTGGAGCCCAAAGTCTGCTGCTGGTGGTGATCAAAGATTGGAATAGGGCTTTGTTACACCAGCATAGTTTACCCCAGCATCCATTATTCTGGCTTCCTTTTGTTCGGATCACTCTGCCTTTCCATCAGTGGTTTCAGGATGGTTTTTAAACGCTAAATAAGTAAAACAATGGCACAGGCATACAAAGCAACCAGCGGACAAGAGCGTGCTTGAAGTCAAGAGAGTAAGACAATAAAAATGTTCTAAAATGCCTGACTTAATGAAGAAGTGTTTGTGTGATGCCTTTAGCGACAGTGAAGTTGGCAAGGTATTTCATAGGTGCCAAAAAGGGTTTGTCCTTCGCTTCGCACCAGAACAGCCTTGGTTGCCCCGAGTGATGACCTCTATCCGGGAAGAGATGAGAGAAAGTACAGCCTTGTTGGTTATGCTTTCATTGGCTTTTGAGAACGTTGACCGTGGAGTTCTTCTGCAGTGACCCAGGGAGGTGGTAGTTGAAGGTATTATGTTTCAGTGGTTGCACTGCTATCGGCAAGGTTGCTTCCAGAAAGCAGGGCAAGGAGATTGTTGCTCAGCAACGTGGCTGTGGGGTCCCAGAAAAGGTCTGTTCTGTCTCCTGTGCTGTTTGGCATCTATCTGAAATTCATGGGATCTTGGGATTTGGAGCATGGTGCCATCTGAGTCAGGAGAAACTCTGAAGGTGTTGGACTGGTGTCTGGAGGCAGTGAAGGGCTGGGTGGGAGCTAATAAACTCAGGATGAATTCTGATAAGATGTAAGTACTGTGGGTGGGGGGGGGAAGGTGGTTCCCATGTCTGGGAATTATGTGTAGAACCTGTTTTGGGAGGGGTTCCACTCCCTCTGAAGGAACAAGTTCATAGTCTGGGCGTACTCCTGGATTCCAGCTTCAAATGGCTTCTGTGGCTGGAAGTGCTTATGTCCAACTTCAGCGAATTCACTAGCTATGGCCATTCCTAGATTGGGATAGCCTGGTCTCAGCTGTCCATGCCCCCATCACCTTCTGCCTCGATTACTGTCATGCGCTGTATGTGGGGCTGTGTGGAAATTGTCAGACTGTACAGCAGGTTAAATGGAAGTGATAAGAAAGAAAGAAATAGAATAAAAATCAAGGCACTAAAGTCATGTCAACATCGTCTAGGTCTAGCAAGTCAACAACCTTCAAACAGAAAAAGAGTATCTTAGCACATGACTAGTCAGTGGCCTGACCTTTCTAGCCGGTTGCTGTTAAAGGTCAACAGAAGTACATTTAATGCAGGCTTTTCCTGTTCTAGGAGAATTACCATGGAAACGATAGGTGACCGGGAAGTATTGTAATGTGGGTTGTCATCTGATGACGAAATTGTGTTTAATCATCTAGTCTGGAGATGGGCAGTTTCAGGACTTTGGGCCAATGCGGCCCTCCAGGCTTTTATGGGTTCTCTATCTGGCCCTTGGGGCCCTTCACAGGCCACGCACACACCCCGAGCCGCACCAGCACTGCTCTGCGTCCTCCTTTGCCTGCCTGGAATGTGCCCTTGAACTCTGAGAATGCCTTTTGCCTGAATGGAGGACTGTGATATTAGGTATTCCTATGAGGGCAAAGGCACAGCACTTTGCAAGATCCAGTGGCCTGTGGGCCAGATTGCCCATGACTGGTCTGCACTGCAGGATTTTAGACACAGATAGACAGCACGGGTGGCACTGTGGGTTAAACCACAGAGCCTAGGGCTTGCCGATTGGAAGGTTGGCGGTTCGAATCCCCGCGATGGAGTGAGCTCCCATTGCTCGGCCCCTGCTCCTGCCAACTTAGCAGTTCGAAAGCACGTCAAAGTGCAAGTAGATAAATAGGTACCGCTCTGGCGGGAAGGTAAAAGGCGTTTCTGTGCGCTTCCCTGGTTCGCCAGAAGCGGCTTAGTCATGCTGGCCACATGACCCGGAAGCTGTACGCCGTCACCCTCGGCCAATAAAGCGAGATGAGTGCCGCAACCCCAGAGTCAGTCACAATTGGACCTAGTGGTCAGGGGTCCCTTTACCTTTACCTAGACAATGCTACATAGAGATGCTGTCTGGAAAGGACACGTTCTCTCACTGAGCTGTGCTCCATATGCACCAGAAACATTAGGAAATGGAGCAACTAGCGATACGGTTTCAGATCCATAGGAAGCTGCTTATACCAGGTCTGGCTGCTTATCCTTGTGGGCTGGCTGGCATTGTCTACTCATGACTGGCAGTAGCTGTCCAAGGTAGCAGTTGGGGATCGTTCCTGATCCTTTTAACAGACAGTGATAGGTACCGAACCTGGGACAGTTATCATGTAGATCATGTGCAATGTCACTCAGCTGTGGTTCCTCCCCACTTTTTCAGCACGACAGTGGCTTTTTGAGAGAGTCGAACCTGGCATGGGATAGAAGCATCCTTCCTTGCATCTTCCACTCTTACCGAGATCACTGCCATCTGCTGGAAGGTTTGCAAAGAATAATAATAAACAAATGCTTTGGTTTTTTGCATCTTTCGCAAAACCTGTTTGGCCAGAGATGGCAGTGGGAGGAAATAAACAAGAACATTCATAGTGGTGTCTTCATTGTTGCCACCTTCAGCTGTCTGAGTGTATTGTCTGCCTTCAGCCTACCTGAGCACAAGGACAGGGTATGGGCCCATCTCTGTTTAGCATAGTAATTAGGATTTAGCATGTTCAAGATAAGCATCCTCTCTTACCCCATCTCCTGCCTGGACCAGCTCTATAGAAGTGCTGTCCCAGGAATCAACACCACCACAAAGGGTGCGGGAAGAAACTTTAAAACAATTAAAGATACCAATCAATTGATTTTCAGGCTGCTACCTTAATTGTGTTTGAACTCTACTGTAAGGGTTGCCTTTGCAATTTAATTGTCATTGCTCATATGATAGGGGAATATTATCATCTGCAATTATGGGGAGGCTTTGCTAATCCAAAACAAGCAACTGCAGGTTTGTTTGGCAGCTGGAAGGGGAAATTGCTTAATGGATTTCTCTTTCCCCCACCCCTCCAACATGTAAACAAATGGGCACAGTCCATTTCCCACTGAAATCGATGGCAAAGCTGCTATTGATTTTAATGGGCTGTACAGTAGTGTCTTGGTTTTGTTTCAAGAATGGGTGGCATGAGTGATAGCTAGGGTGAGAGGGAGGAATAGAGGGCATGAAAAAGAAAAGTTTTCCAATAACAGTTCAAGTGTTACTCAGAAGTAAGCCCTGGTGACTTCAGTGGGGCTTACTCCCAGGTAGAGTGGGTTAGGGTGGCAGCCTAAGTAACTTTGTAGAAGTGTAAAACTAACCTGCTTGACCAGGGGTAGGCAACCTAAGGCCCGGGGGCCGGATCCGGCCGAATCGCCTTCTCAGTCAGCATGTTTTTACATGAGTAGAATAAGTCCTTTTATTTAAAGTGCATCTCTGGGTTATTTGTGGGACCTGCCTAGTGTTTTTACATGAGTAGAATATGTGCTTTTATTTAAAATGCATCTCTGGGTTATTTGTGGGGCATAGGAATTCGTTCTTTTTTCTTTCTTTTTTTCTTCAAAATATAGTCCGGTCCCTCACATGGTCTGAGGGACGGTGGACCGGCCCACGCCTGAAAAAGGTTGCTGACCCCTGTGGTTGACTAATCCTCTTTTCACACAAACAGTGCATTTGCTGGATTATTTTTTTTCCCCAGTGTCTAAGGGTTTCTGCAGAGTTGCTTGCACAGTGCTGAGAAGAGGGCAGTTATAAGATTATTCATTCATCGAATATCTGAGTTAGCGACTGGATTGGCCAGAAGTGTTACCCGCCCTGTTCCTCTGACCCAGAGGAATGTGCAGAATTGGTATAGCCAGTGTTATTTGACTTCTGGCTAAGTTAGGGATGGAATTGGCCACTTTGCTTTCTCTCCCATGCTTTTCAATTTGTCCCACTCCGCACCTTTTCCGCTCCTGCTACAGTGGTACCTCTAATTACGGACGCGTTCTGTTCTGGGGTGCCGTTCGCACCACGAAAAGTCCATAAGTAGTGTGCCGCTACTGCGCATGTGCGTGACGCAATAGAGCACTCCTGCGCAAAACTCAGAAGTATACACTTCCGGGTTTGCCGCATTTGCAACCCGAAAATCTGCAACATGAACCTAACGCAACTAGAGGTATGACTGTACTTGGGCAATAGTGGGCTCCTTTCTCCCTTCCTAGAGTGACAGCTTTCATGTTGCCAGAGAGTATGGAACAGAAGGCTTTGATTATCCTCTCTGCAATGCCTTCATATTGTGGCAAACCACTGAAGTCTGATACTTAGTGGTATTGCCTGTAAAATGGGTATATTATTGCTCTTCACGAGCTTGATGGTGTCTCGTGCTAAGCTTCCTGACAGTTAGTTGGTCATTCTTAACATTGCTGTGTAATCTCCAAATTCTGCTTTTGGAGAATAGGAAGGGAAGGGGAGAGATGTCAACTTCTCCTAAGAACTGGTTCAAAGGTGACTGGCCTGGGGACAACTACTCAATGTATTAGGCAGCTTTAGATATTTAGAGAAGACATTTGCATGGTTTATGGCAAGTAGACATTTACTAGCGTGCGGCTGTTGTCTTGTTAGGAGTTGAGGTCATGAGAGACCTGATGGTGGCCAATTCTTTAAATAGCAGAAATGTACATGCTGTGTGTGCTTTTAATCCCAATCACTAGTAGGCTCGCTTCATTAATTTTTTCCCTTTCTCCGAGCATACTATTTTACTTTGTTGGTCTCAGTGATGCAAAGCTAGTTCACCTTTCGTTCTTCTCAAAATAATATCAAAATGAATCAATAGCTTGCTGCTTCCCTGCCTCTGACTAGCCATTGTCTGACTGCATTAATAAATGCTTGCGCCTGTTTTATAATGATCAAATAAGACTTAAAAGGTATGATAAGAGGCAGGATCAAGGTTTGTTTTCTAGAATCGCTGATGACAAATATGATGGGGAGGGACGGGAACCAGTTCTATTTTTAGTTCTTTGATTGATTTTAATGAATGAGTTGGGAACAAGCCTGGGGCTGTTAATTACAAGGCTGGGGTTTGGGTTCTTTAGAATGGAGTTTGCTAGGTAGGATTTGGAGCGAGACCCCGGATTGCAGCAGACCATGTTGGTAAGGAATTGCACTGCTTTTGCATGAATCAGGTGGTGTTGCTTAAGAGCAGCAGAGAATACAAATGAAATAGTAGTCTGCACTGATTGTCCCAGCTAGAGCTGGGCGATATCAGCTTTTCAACATTGCGGTGTGTTGCCAGCCAAACATCACAGTTTGGTGATGTACCATGATGTTGAAAAAGCAAGCTGCATTGGCCTCTGCCCGCGAGGCACCTGGTGAAACTTCCCCAGCTCTCATCTCAGGAACTGGCGCCATTTCACCCAGGCGCACGCAGGCTGGGACAACGCAGCTTGTTTGGCTCCCCCTCCCTAGCTGAGACAGCCCCAGCACTCCCCCTGCTCACAGGCAAGCAGGCAGAGCATCGCTGCTGGCTGTGGGAGCGCTACCCACGCTCCCCTCAGCTGAGCAGTTTCACGGAGCCCCCAGCCCACTGCTGGCTTGCAGAAGCCAGTGCCGGACTGGGGGCTCCTTTAACTGCTCAACTGAGGTAAGGGCAGCTGCATACAGTGGTACCTTGGGTTACATATGCTTTAGGTTACAGACTCCACTAACCCAGAAATAGTACCTTGGGTTAAGAACTTTGCTTCAGGATGAGAACAGAAATCGCGCGGCGGCCGCGTGGCAGCAGTTGTTGGCCCCATAAGCTAAAGTGGTACCTCAAGTTAAGAACGGACCTCCAGAACGAATTAAGTACATAATCAGAGGTACCACTGTACTCAGTCGAGCAGTTTAAAGATGCAGAAGGAGGAACAAGCTGTACAGTGGTACCTCGGGTTACAGACGCTTCAGGTTACAGACGCTTCAGGTTACAGACTCCGCTAACCCAGAAATAGTACCTCGGGTTAAGAACTTTGCTTCAGGATGAGAACAGAAATCGTGCAGCGGCAGCAGGAGGCCCCATTAGCTAAAGTGGTACCTCAGGTTAAGAACAATCTCAGGTTAAGAACGGACCTCCAGAACGAATTAAGTTCTTAACCTGAGGTACCACTGTATTGGCGCCCCGGTTGTTCTCCCTCTGCATCAATGAGGGCAGAGTGTGATGGTGGTTTCACTCAGGGATATGTCGCTGGTGAGACTGCCACCGCTCCCGAGCCCCTCTGCTAACAGCGCCACTGGAGGAAGGAACTCTAGCGGATGCTGCTAGCAGAGGGACCCGGGAGCAGTGGCGGGTTCACCAGCGATATACCGCTGAGTGAAGCTGACACTATGATCTGCTCCTCATACTGGTGATGGGTGATACAGTGGTGCCCCGCAAGACGAATGCCTCGCAAGACGAAAAACTCGCTAGACAAAAGAGTTTTCCGTTTTTTGAGTCATTCCACAAGATGAATTTCCCTATGGGCTTGCTTCGCAAGACGAAACGTCTTGCGAGTTTGTTTCCTTTTTCTTAAAGCCGCTAAGCCGTTAATAGCCGCTAAGCCGCTAATAGCCGTGCTTCGCAAGACAAAAAAACCGCAAGACGAAGAGACTCGCGGAACGGATTAATTTCGTCTTGCGAGGCACCACTGTACATTGATATAACCCCCAGGCCTAGTCCCAGCATGTGCTGACTGCAGCGGCTCCTGGAAAGCCAAAATGACTCATTCTTCATCTTCATCTGGGGTTGGGGGGCTTTGTTGTTAGTCCTTTTGTGTACTTGGAGGGGGGATGCCGCCACCTTGCAGCGTCTGGTGTCAGGCTAGGACTGAGGAGACCTTTACGCTAGCAAAAAACACCTCGGAGGAAAGATGGGATTGCAATCACACCAACTTTTTTCTTTTTTTCCACAATCCAAATAAATTATATTTGCCTATATATCTAGACTTCTGCTTTAGTTCAGATTTGCTTTCCTGATCTTGGGTGATGATCTTCATAGTTCAGTGGACAGAGTCTTTATAAAGCTACAGTTGTTGTTGTTGTTAAAATTTGCATACCATCCTATACCCATAGATCTCAGGGCGGTTCACTACATAAAATCACAGTATAAAAAACAGAACATACATAATAAAAACAACCCAATAATCCCCTTTCACAACACATTTTTAAAGGGCATTGATGTCAGTTAGCCAAAGAGGTATTTATTATTTACAGTTCTACACTAATAAATATTATTTATTAGTATTTACAGCTGTGTCCCTGCACAACTCTGAAGCCACTGGCTCTTTTATCCTAATCTGCCACACAATGTGGGTGCCTCTTAGGAACAAGACTGGAATACAGTATAGCAGATCATAGTGGAAATACCTGAATTTCCACTGTTCAAGCAAATGCAGCTGTCATTTATCTACACCTGGCCTTCATGCGAGAGAATTGCATGGAGCACCCATGTCATAGATGACGTTATCAGCAAGGTGGAGGGAGGAGCAGAGAGTGCTCTGCAAAACCCAAGACTCTTGTTGATGGTAAATGAGTGTTCAGATTAGACTACAGACACTCCCATTGTCCAGGTGCAACCTGAATACTTACTCCCCTTATACATATGGAAGCTGCAGTTAGGTATGGAGGCATCAGCTCATGTCATCTTTACGTGTTCGTTTCGTTTCCATATTAATGGGCATATTTCTTTTTTAAAAATTGGAAAAAAGTACTTGGGCGGTGGTTTGGGGGCTGCCTATTAATATATACTGTATTTTTTCGTGTATAAGACTAGGGGGGTTTTTACCAAAAAATTAGGTTTACAATTGGGGCTCATCTTATACACAGTTAGTGCTGAGGGATGTTTTCTTAATTTGGAGTCTCCCAAAATAGGGGGCGTCTTATACATGGGGGGGGGGGGGCAGCTTATAGATGGTAAAATACGGTATTTTTATATTGTTTTACAGGTAATAACTACTCCGAACAGCTGGAAACTTTGCTGCTGGCGTTCAAAATGTGGCTGGATAAGCCTGAGAGTGTTGGGATGGGATGAAACAACATTCCTCCTAGGAATATTGTATATAGGAAAACAAGATTGCTGACCCCCCCCCCCAATAGCATCCTCACAGAGATATTGTGAAGGATGTGTTGCAACCACCTTTTTCTGTATAGTCTTCATGGCGCATTTCTGGCCCTGTTTTGAATGCGCATAGCACCCACTGCAGCCGCCACCAGGCTTTTTAGCTGCTTGGAAAAGATACAGTGGTCATAGCCTTCCTGTGCCTATGCTATTCCATTTCGGCATTGGCTGCAATTGATTTTGGTCTTCCTTTTTATTGTTGGCCACTGCTTATTCCTGATGCTGCCTTTGATCTGACATTTGCCCATCTACATCTTATCACTTCCTCTGCGGCTGGAGTTTACCATGTGGCTTGAATACTGTATCTTAGGTTAGGCAGTTTAGTGCTCTCCCATAATTCTGGCCATTGGCCAAGCTGGGTAAGGCTGATGGGAGTTGGGAGTCCAAGAATATATGGAGGGTACCCATTGCACTTGCGGCCCCAGTCTATGACTCCTCCATTGGATCTTTGCTTAGATTGTTGATGGCTGTGCAGGACCTTCTCCTTTGTTCTGATTCTGAACTTGCCACTGACTCTTGAGTCCTGATACTCTTCCCCCTCCTCTTCGATCTTTTCTGTTCTTCATCCACTCAGTCTCTGAGCAGCGGCTTGGGCTTGCCCAGATCTGCTGATTATCGGTATTGTTCGCCAGGTGCAGATTGTTCCAATCTATTGTTAGCTTTAACTGAAAATTCTCTTCAGTGAGAGGGGGAACTAACTAGAAGATTATGAATGGCTGGGACTTGTTTCTTTGGTGTGTGTGTTTTTTTCCTCCTTTCCTTTTTTTAAATAACTTACTTTTAAACTGCAATTCAAAACCACAGTATTGTAACACGGTGTAAGGTGGCAAAAGCAGAAACTTAGAAAAGCCTAGCAGCGTTCATGCTTAATTTCCCACCAACCAAAATGAAGCATCTTAAAAATTAAAATCAGATTGCATTGCTCAGAGAAACCCTTTTAATAATTTAAATCTAAACATTTATGTGATGTTAGTTGTATCTGCTCCGAAAATAGTGTTTATTTTTTCTTTTTAAGGAAATGGTGCCTTTGCTTGATTGCAAATTCCAATGCTACAAGCACAATTTGGAGGATCGGGCATATACTGGGGGCTTACGCACGTCCCCATTATTTCTCACAAATGCAGATTCCCTCATCCATTTCCAGACGTGTTCTCAATCAGCTTTCCTGAACCTGGTTCCTTCCAGATGTTTTGAACTCCAGCTCCTTTCAGCCCCACCAAAGACAGCTCTGTGAAGGGCACCAGGTTGGGGGAGGCTGTTCTAAACATACCTTGCCTTCAGTTCCAAATTCATGCAAACTTTGGTTAGTGCTGACCAGGAGTTAACTACAAACTATAGTTTGCAGTCCTTCTTCAAAGCAGCTCCCTGTTAACCTTACTAGGTAAAGGTAAAGGACCCCTGACAGTTAAGTCCAGTCACGAACGACTCTGGGGTTGCGGCGCTCATCTTGCTTTACTGGCTGAGGGAGCCGGCGTTTGTCCACAGACAGTTTTTCTGGGTCATGTGGACAGCATGCCTAAGCCGCTTCTGGCGAAACCAGAGCAGCGCATGGAAACTCCGTTGGCAGGACATGGGACCGAGCAACGGGAGCTCACCCTGTTGTGGGGATTCAAACCGCCGACCTTCCGATCAGCAAGCCCTAGGCTCAGTGGTTTAGACCACAGCGCCACCCACGTCCCTTAACCTTACTAGACTTGTTCAAAAAGCGTATATACATGTGCTCACTTTGCACAGTTCTGCTTCCAGCAATTCAGTTTTCCTCTGGCTTCCGATATTTCACCAGCCATTTTTGCTGACACTTAGTAAGCGTCTGTCCCTTTGTAGCTGTGATGAGAACCTAGAAATTCTCTTTTGTCGAAATGCTCACGGTAACTGGATTCTGCAAATGGAAAATCTTTGCTTGCAGGGTGCAGTCCTGCCGTGTGCTCAGACCTAAGTGAGTTAACTGCCGAAGACAACTTCTGCATTTTAGAACCGATAGCAAAACCGTAGTGTAAGGGAACAGTATTTCACAAATGCAAAACTAATAATATAAGCAAGCAATTAGCTATGTGCCCAGCTCAGCAAGTGCTGACCTATACAGCTGCTGAGACTGCAGTTAACGGTGATTGCCGGGGGTGGCGCAGTGGTGGCTTACAATGCATCTCGGAGGGAAACTTGGAATAATTGAAAAGTTTGTGAAATAGATCATAGATGTTAACAGGATCTAAAGCTTTCCACCTTCAGCTTTGTGGGGCTTCGGAGCTAGTTTCGGTAACAAGGTTTTTGTATCTAGCGGCCAGCAGGCCAGGGATTCATGTGAGATGCAAGGTCCTGTCTTGTACTTATTATCCCCCCCTTGGCAGTTTCCAGTGAGATCTGGGCTAGGTCAAGCCATTTGCCCACCTCCAAACGATTTTGCCTTGCAATCCGAGAGCTGCACCCCAGAATAGTTAGCAGTATTGGGGGTGGGGGGTGTCTATGCCCCAGTGTCCTCAGTGACACTGACGGTGATTAAGGGGCCTCATTGATGCCCCTAAAACACTGTACAGTGGTACCTCAGGTTAAGTACTTAATTCGTTTCGGAGGTCCGTACTTAACCTGAAACTGTTCTTAACCTGAAGCACCACTTTAGCTAATGGGGCCTCCCACTGCTGCCGCTCCGCCGGAGCCCAATTTCTGTTTTCATCCTGAAGCAAAGTTCTTAACCTGAAGCACTATTTCTGGGTTAGCGGAGTCTGTAACCTGAAGCATATGTAACCCGAGGTACCACTGTATCTCTAAATGTGGGCTCCTGCGTTGCTTGTGCAAATAGGTCAGTTGTGGGTGATACACTCTCTTCTCTTCCCCACCCAGAAAAAAACACTGGTAATGTTTACAGGTTATGTTATAAGGTAGCGCAAAGTAAAGTTTCCAGTGCAAGCTTTTTAGAGATGTGTTGTAGACATACGCAAAAGAAATGAGAGACTTCCGCAATAAAACATTGGCTGTTATGCATATTTTAGAGGCGGTCAGGCATAAATGGGGCAAGAATGAACATGTCCCTGAGTACCGTAGAACTAATGTGCTTGGTTCTTGGTTTCTGCTGCTCAAGTGATTCCCACCTCTGTGTAAGAGGCTTGGCACCATTTCAAATGCTGCTTGCTTTGCTGTCTGGCTGTGGCAGATGCAAGAATGCGCAGAAATTTTGTCCGCTCCCAGAAATGTAAATGTGCCCTCAGAGGCAAGTCTTGTCCGTGTCCCAAGCACATGGACCTGTTTATTTCTGCTTCATATTTTCCCCGCCCTCCTCCCCCAAGTTATATGGAGACGCTGCGATTCTCTCATCACCCGGACGCCAGTGTCTCCCAAGGAAACCACAGCCCACAAACTCTTAATGGGCCCCTTGGTTTGTTTGGTCTCTAACCTAAAAGGTCTTTTCTCCTGGGCTGAGCTGTCTAGACATCTTTATCTAGATCAAGCCTTCCATGCTGATGAGTCACGTCACAATCACTGCCACAATTACCCGCTGCAATAATGAATTGATAAAGGGTGTGACATCAAAGCAGGTCGTTTCAGTTGTGTATTATTAGCAATAGCACATTGCTGCAATACAGAAGGTTCCTGTCTGTGATACCATCTGGCGGGCCAGGCAGGCTGCTGCAGTTTGCTGTGCTTTCATTTTTGCACATATATCGTATGTGATACCCACAGGTTCTCTGCTGCAGCATGTGCCTCCCTCTCTCTGCAGGGGGACTTTACAGTTTGTGCTTCTAAAGCTCACTGACCAGGCTGTAAAAGAATCTCTTAAAACTGTTGATAAATGGGGTAGGATAAGATTTGTAATCTAGGCTGTGTGTGTGTGTGTCTTGGGCCAAAAGAACTGTATTCCACAGAAATTGAAACGTTATGCCCACAATACATTATTCACAAGTGGATATTCTTAAAACAGTTAATTTGCATCGTTTGGATTTCCCCCTGTCGCTTTACCATTTAGAAATAATGAAACGAGGGCGGAGGGGAAATCTATAAAAGAGCTGGGTGAGAGAGAGAATGGGTTGAAAGTGTCTGGAGGTGGGAAAGCCTGTTTCTCATCTGTCATCTAAATGCTAAATAATTTTTTCCATTGCAACCACGTGGTCTAGAAACTTGAAAAGTTGTCTGTCTTGGCAATGATAATTTGGCCCCATAGGAGTTCCCCCGAAAGAATTCCCCAAGTCTCATGGTTCACACAAGTCTTCTGTTTCCGTGCTTTTAACCTTTTGTACCTTGTGTAATGGGACGCGGGTGGCGCTGTGGGTTAAACCACAGAGCCTAGGACTTGCCGATCAGAAGGTCGGCGGTTCGAATCCCCACAACGGGGTGAGCTCCCGTTGCTCGGTCCCTGCTCCTGCCAACCTAACAGTTCAAAAGCACATCAAAGTGCAAGTAGATAAATAGGTACCACTCTGGCGGGAAGGTAAACGGTGTTTCCGTGCACTGCTCTGGTTCGCCAGAAGCGGCTTAGTCATGCTGGCCACATGACCCGGAAGCTGTACGCCGGCTCCCTTGGCCAATAAAGCGAGATGAGCGCCACAACCCCAGAGTCAGCCATGACTGGACCTAATGGTCAGGGGTCCCTTTACCGTTTACCTTGTGTAATATTTTTATACATTAGCAAGCTCGCCACAACTTCTTATGGGTCTGTGTGTGCCTTTGAAGCTGTTGGGTTTGGGGGATTTTCTGTGCAGCAAGCAAACACTACACAAGAGCTGAGTGACATGTTCTCACCTACTGGCCGGTCCTTTCCGTGCTTTGCCATGGAGTTTGCAGGATCAAGAAATCCCATCTGCTCACCTTGTTCCAAACTGAGATGTAGCATGTTGTACACACAGGAGTGGACATCTCAGGAAATTGTCAAGAAGCAAATTAATAATAATGCCTCTCACCTTTTTGTTAACATAGGTTAGTGTTGAGCTTTGTAATATTATCCTTAGCAGCATCAGCAAAGCTAATGTGATTTTCATATATGGCACAATTACTAATGCTGTTTAGCTGACAAAGCTCAGTGGGAAATGCTGGGGTGCAGTTATGGTGCCTCTGAATGTGGGATGGAATGAGAACTACTAGGTTAGAAAGAACTGGACATAATATAACATGGTACAGGAATGATAACAACAACAATAATTAGTTTATCTCAGGTGCTCAAACCACTGCACACAAACACACACAGAGTCATCTTTACAACAACCCTGTAAGATAGGTCAGCATTATTATCCCCATATTGCAGGTGGATGCCTAGGTAAGAAAACTGACTTCCTTCAAATTCAGAATTAAAAACAGTTAACACAGATTACAGTCACAAGAATAGGCTGGGCCCTGAAAACACACATCTCAAGTGTCAGAGACCAGAGTATAGAAGTGCATCTTCAGCGCTTACCAAAAGCCAGGCTTACATCTGAGGAGAGGGAATTTGGGGGCTACCACAAAGAATGCCCTCTTCTGGGCCACCCCCAACACACTGAACTTCTGAGGAAAGTGGAACTACCCAGAGAGCCACCCTCAGAGGGCGAACACTCAGGATGATCTGCCGGGAAGGATGCAATCTTCCACATATTTGGGGCCTAAGTTGTTTAGGGTTTTAAATGGTAACATGAGCATCAAAATGTTGGTGTTGACCTTTAAAGCCGTAAACAGCCTCAGCCCAGTATACCTGAAGGAGCATCTCCACCTCCATCATTCTGCCCGGACACTGAGGTCCAGTGCCAAGGGCCTTCTGGCAGTTCCCTCACTGCGAGAAGCAAAGCTACAGGGAACCAGGCAGAGGGCCTTCTCGGTAGTGGCCCCCCATCAGATGTCAAAGAGATAAACAACTACATAACATTTAGAAGATATCTGAAGGCAGCCCTGTTCAGGGAAGTTTTTAATGTGTGACATTTTAATGTATTTTTAATCTTTGTTGGAAGCCGCCCAGAGTGGCTGGGGTACAAATAATAAATTGTTGTTGTTGTTGTTGTCTTAAATTGGGCCTGAAAGTGGGTTGGTGACCAATCCTGGGAACTGTAGTTTGTTAAGGGTGCAGAGAGTTATTAGGAGGCCTCTAACCCCCTCGCAGGAGCTACAATTCCCAGAGTTTTATGGGAAGAGGGATTGATGGTTAAACCACTCTGGGCATTATAGCTCTAGGAGGGAAATGGGGGTCTCCTAACAACTCGGACCAACAAGTTCAGTAATAGACACCATCACTGACCTTTCCTTAATATATCTATATCTGAGAGTGATTTATGTATTATGCCATTCAGCAAGTGAGGCTTTTAAATCTGAATTTAGGCCAAATGTGGTTTTTATTTTTGAAAAGTTGACTATTGGGTGCTGTGCGCTGGACCTTGTGAAACATTTCAGAGTAGTTGTTAAAAATTAATTGCGCTCTGCGGTGCTTGTGTGAAGTTGATGGCTGCGACGGGAGTCGCCGGAGGAGCTAAATTTTTGGCAGTTGCTTTCGCCTGAGAAATCGGTCGAGTCTGTTGCTCTGTTAAACGTTTGCCATAAAAACAAATGGAGTCTTTAAACTGCCACTTACTTTGAATTAAAAACGGTTGTAATTTCATGTAATCGCACACCCACCGATATTGCAACCTTCGTTAGCAAGCGGTCTCCGCTCGTGAATTAAAATCCTAAAGTCATTCATGGCACGAGGCTCATGCCCCCAAACCAGCAAGCCTTGTGTTCCCTTCCTCTGTCGCACGCTTTTAGATTTGTGGAGGGTGCCACAGATTGGGGGTCAGAGCGCATACATTGGAGACAGAAGACCACAAGTCGAACCTCTAGCACATCCAGTGAAAAAGGATCAGAGGGCAGGTGGTGGGGAAACTCAAAAGGTCAGAGGAAAGCAATGTGGTTGAAATAATAATTCACAGCCTCACCTTTGTTACACGTCTTCAACATGGCATCCAGAAATAATAATAATAATAATAATAATAATAATAATAATAATAATAATATATACCCCGCCCACCTGGCTGAGTTTCCCCAGCCACTCTGGGCGGCTCCCAATTGAGCGTTAAAAACAATACAGCATTAAATATTAAAAACTTCCCTAAACAGGGCTGCCTTCAGATGTCTTTTAAAGATAAGATAGCTGCTTATTTCCTTCACATCTGAAGGGAGGGCGTTCCACAGAGCAGGCGCCACTACCGAGAAGGCCCTCTGTCTGGTTCCCTGTAGTCTTGGCATTTGGTGGAGGATAGCCATGGTTTAGACTAGCCATTACGTTCAAAAAACGTAAATGTTTGGTTTGTGCCTTATAAGGCAAGCTCTAGTTTCAGGGTATTTCAGTCCATTCGATTTCATCCGTGAAAACCAAAATCAAGCAGCAAGCCGTCGATTCTGCTTTATAGCCGTGCTTCCCACCCGCCCACCCTTGATTTTATTTTATTTTATTGTCTCCTTCCAGTACGCCACGACAGGCTGCTCCCTGACACTCCACCATACAGAAAAACCGGAGCATGAAGACATTTGCGAATACCGCCCTTACTCCTGCCCGTGCCCCGGCGCCTCGTGCAAGTGGCAGGGCTCGCTGGAAGCCGTCATGTCGCACCTCATGCACGCCCACAAGAGCATCACCACCCTACAAGGGGAGGACATCGTCTTCCTCGCCACGGACATTAACTTGCCGGGGGCCGTGGACTGGGTGATGATGCAGTCCTGCTTTGGCCACCACTTCATGCTGGTTCTGGAGAAGCAGGAGAAGTACGAGGGCCACCAGCAGTTCTTCGCCATCGTCCTGCTCATCGGCACCCGCAAACAGGCGGAGAACTTTGCGTACAGACTCGAACTGAACGGCAACCGGCGGAGGCTGACTTGGGAGGCGACCCCGCGCTCCATCCACGACGGGGTGGCGGCGGCCATTATGAACTGCGACTGCCTTGTTTTCGACACTGCCATAGCACACCTTTTTGCAGACAATGGGAACCTCGGGATCAATGTGACTATTTCTACGTGTTGTCCATGATATTTCTATGTAATTATTGAGACCATGTTGTTGTCTTTCGTTTCACTGACTGTTTTTATTTTTATGGTGTTCCACTGTAGCCCTCTTCAGGTGTTCCCTCACACCCTATTAACAATCGCATGAGGGGAGAACAGGGCCCCAGCCCCCTGGCACACACGTACCCCCGTCATTGCAGCACCACCATCCACATGTTACAGAGAAGGACGTTTGTGCCAGGGAGGCAACTCCACATGAGCAGGCTCCCCGATGGTGTGGGACCTGTGTAATTGTTAATCGTGTGAGCGGGGGATGCCGAAGGGGACTTTAGGGTTCTTTCTTAACCGGCTGTTTTCTATCCTCATTCTCTCCTTCACTGCCGCCGCCACCTGCCTGTACCACAGAGTTTTTTAAAGCACAGTTAAACAGGACAGTTAAGATGATTTGATCCTGTTACTCTGAAAGGAAGGGAGGAGATTTGTTTTTTTAAAGAAATAGCATTATTTAAGGTTTTAAAAGGTGAAGGCGAATCCCTTTTCTTGACAAGCAAAACCTTTTTTAAACATAATGGAATCGGAAGAGAAGCAGCAAAATTGACTTAAAGAGGGAGTTTGCACATGCAGAATGTGGGAGGTGGACTCCTTAGGTGTTCGAGTGCAGTGTACTCCTTCAGACGGCAAGAGGGGCACTTAAAAACAACAACAGCAACCCTTATAACTTCCTGTTCTAGCACAGCATCTCCCTGTTATAGTAGTGTTCTCAACTGCCAGGAGTTTTTAATGTCTGAGTGTGGGACCTTTTAGAAACGTTGTTTATCACCTGCAACCTGAAATTTTACTAGCTTATTCTGCTGCATTTGTGTGTGTAGCCGCACAAATCTGCTTCTCTTAATGATCTCAGTGATTGGCCTTCTAAAAGAACAAAAGAGAGAGAAATTGGAGTACGGTAGTATCACTTTTTAGCAATGCAGGAAGTTGCTGAAGCCTTGGTGGTACACAACATGTCTCAGGCATGTTCTTTTGCACACAGCAGTTTCACACACTTAACAGGCGGTACCACTGTCATCTGGTTGGTCTTGCTGTTGCTGTTTTGTCCTTTTTCTTCCCAACAGAGTTTGTTCCCTCCACCCTCCAAAAAAGAAAAAAGAAAGAGTTTCCATACACCTGCAAAATGTTTGACCCTCTTCATCCATCCAGTTCAGCAAGAGCTGAAGAGGCTCAACATTTTGTGGAAGCTGCTAACTTAACGTGGTGGCAAAAAACAAGATGTGTTTTGAGCAGTTTTAAAAATAGGTCCCACCTATAAATATACCCAGGATGTTTGGCGTACTTGACATTAACATTGTAAAAGCTATTTTCAAATAACACAGGGGAAAGCGATGTGCCGATTCGTCTTGTTTATGTTCTTTGCTATCTAAGTTTCCTGTTGTTGCCATATTTACTCTAGTTTTTTAAATAAATATTTTGCAAAAATAATGTGCATGGTCTGTCTGGAAAAGCATTTGCGCATCCGTCATATCTTCTTCGGCGATCCTTCGTAGCCAAGTAAGCTTGTCTTCCATAAACACGGTTTTAACACTGAGTGTGTAAGTGACTGTGGAGGCCAATTCTGGATCCACACGTCCTTCCACAGTGGGACATAGGTTTCTGGGTGGGAGTTGATCACGGTGAGGGTTTGCCAAGTGTGCCTTCCTCTTAGCACATTTCTCCCTTTCGTCCTGAGTTCGAGCGTCTTCAAAGCCCATGATACCATTGGTAAAGGCTGTTCTCCAACTGGAGCGCTCGCGGGCCAGTGTTTCCCAGTTGTCAGTGTTTATACTACATTTTTTTTAGATTTGCCTTGAGAGAGTCTTTAAACCTCTTTTGTTGACCACCAGCATTACGCTTTCCATTTTTAAGTTTGGAATAGAGTAGTTGCTTTGGAAGACGATCATATGGCATCCACACAACATCACCAGTCCAACAAAGTTGATGTTGAAGAATCATTGCTTCAACACTGGTGATCTTTGCTTCTTCCAGTACACTGGCATTAGTTCGCCTGTCTTCCCAAGTGAGTTGAAAAATTTTCCGGAGACACCGTAGCTTAGGGACGGAGCAACACTCCACATTCATATGAGCCTGGATTCATCCCGGGTATCTCCAGTTTTCAAAGACATATGATTAGCAGAGTTGGGGAGAATCCTCCTTTCGGCCTTGCAGAGCTGCTATCCGGGAAAGTACACAATACTGATTTAAATTAGCCAGTATTCTGACTCTAAGGCAGCACCATATTTTTAGTATGTTTCATACTACAGGGGATGCATATTAACTAATTTGCACTAGACCCAGTACTGAACTTGTGCCTGTGTTGTACACTTCAAGAGTTGTATGGCTTCTCAGAACAGCGCATGGGTGTTGGGCAGCGCACTGTTCCACCTCCCATGGGTGCCTGCGAGTTTTCATCCCCTCCCCCAACACTAATTGAGTTTCCTCTAATAACCTAGAATAGGGCCCTGTACCTTTTCTGCTTTCCACAATAACTGTTGTCACTAGATGCACTGAGTGCAGTAGTACCTGCAAATGTTTGTAAGCACTGCTTGCTCAGAGATCCAGGCTGACAAGCAGAGGAAGCAAGGAATTTCAGATGTTTTGGCCCGAGCCTTGAATGAATTGCTCAGCAGTTGCTTGAAATTTCCAGCTTTATAGGAACAAATTTTGTTCTGACTTTCCTTGATGGGCAAGGTGTGGATAACCATTCCTCTGTAGTCCAGATCATCAGTGTGTGTCTACTGAAAATACAGTGCTGCCTTAGAGTCAGAATACTGGCTAATTTAAATCAGTCTTGTGTACTTTCCCGGATAGCAGCTCTGCAAGGCCGAAAGGAGAATTTCCCCCATCTCTGCTACTCAGTCTTTTAAAACTGGAGATACCAGGGATAAACCCAGGCTCATAGGAATGTGGAGTGTGTGCTCTGCCCCTGAGCTACGGTGTCTCCGAAAAATGCTTCAAATCACTAGTATGCAACCGTTTTGGTACATCATTGGTGGAGTAGAAAGCTTTGGGAGAAGGTACTCTGTTATGAAAGGGACGTGGGTGGCGCTGTGGGTTAAACCACAGAGCCTAGGACTTGCCGATCAGAAGGTCGGCGGTTCGAATACCCGCAACGGGGTGAGCTCCCTGCCAACCTAGCAGTTTGAAAGCACGTCAAAGTGCAAGTAGATAAATAGGTACCGCTCCGGCGGGAAGGTAAACGGCGTTTCCGTGCGCTGCTTTGGTTCAACAGAAGCGGCTTAGTCATGCTGGCCACATGACCCGGAAGCTGTACGCCGGCTCCCTCAGCCAATAAAGCGACATGAGCGCCGCAACCCCAGAGTCAGTCACGACTGGACCTAATGGTCAGGGGTCCCTTTACCTTTACCTTTGCTCTGTTATGGAAAGGGCTTTAAGGACATGGTGTAACAATGCCTTTCCTCTGCTTCTTGGGATCTACACGTTTGTCCATCTCTGCTCTGACCATCAGCCTCGATGCAATTTCTAAACCTGTCGTCATCGCGTTAACATTCACCAACCAAGTTCAGACCGTGACTTGAGACTATTGGCTCCAACAACCAAAGCCTAATTTTGCACTAAAATGTAAGTCTGGGTCGTCCGCAGAGCATTTTGTAAGTGGCTGTATTCAGCATCTGCTCTGCCCGGCAGCGGAATGTCTATACTTAACAAACTTAGGTGGTTTGCACTTGTGAACTGTTCAGAATGTTCACACCATTCAAAGAGCCAAGATTAAATGGCAGCGTTGATGCCCATGCTGGGTGTGAGGGTGGGGGAAAGAGACCTTTTAGGGCCTGCATTTTAATATACCACTCTCTGTGCCCGAGAGGAAGAGATTTCCCAAGAGGAGAGTTACTGGATCGCTGGCATTGCAAGACCTTGATTCCTAGAACTCTGTTGACATGGGAACCTTTAAATTATGACACAAGTGTCCCTAGAATAGCTACTGTACATTCCGAAAGTGATCTCACCAGGATATTGAAAGCAGACTCTTGCTAGCACAGCAATGGTTCCAGCTGTCATTTCCTAGGATGGTGTTTTTGTATTCCTCTCTGCTCAGCGGTCCAGAAGGATGAACATGGAGGTGTCTGTGGATTATATCGCCTTCTGGACATACCCATGTAGAGTTCCTCACTTACATATCTGAGCACATCCTACGGCATGAGAAAAGAACGCCAATAACTTCCTGGGCAGTGTCCACAGACCAGGACAGTCTGAGCAAGCAGGGAAGTTGGCAGATCGTACTGAGAACAGGAAATGGTATCATGAACAAAGCTGACTGGCTGGCTGAGGAAGGGGGTCGCCCCATCATTAACAAACACATTGCCAAAAAAATTCTTTACATACAAATTGAATCTGAACATATGTTATTGCTGACTTTTTAACGCTGAATTCTGGAAATGACTAATGCTGTATCAGGCTAAAGATTTGCATGCAATATCTCAATCCTAGCACCGTTCAGGGGCAACAAAGAAAGAATCAAGTGAATGTATTGATATGATTACATAAATATTGAGAATGCAAAATGTTTCTTTTAAAAGGCAGGAAAAGCTCTCTTCCTTGAGAATCACTATACTTTATAAAATATTCATATTTTTAAAGAAGTGCATAAACGCAATTGCGAAGAGTCCCCCAACTTAGCCCCCTACCCCAGACAGTCTATTAAGTTTTGCCAACTTTGTGAATATAAGAATAAGAAATATTGATAATTTTTATGCTGACACATAATAAAATGTTGGGAGAGATGTTGCAGCAAATTGTTCGCCAAACGAAGGCTGGGGCTACAGATGATGTTGGACTCCAAGTCCCATCAGCCCCAGCCAAAATGGCCAAGTCAGGAGGAAAAACAAGTTCCAGCCCCTCTCCCCCCCCCCCAAAATGATGGTCATTCATTACCATTCAAATGGTGTGCATGCACCGTGTCTTGTGATCAATTATGAGGGGTGGGGCTTTCCTGAACCCCCCATATTTTATTCAAGTTGGTATCACTGCTCTGTTCATGGTCAGCATTTTCTAGGAGAATATAAAAACCTTTGCAATAGGCCTCTCGTTTTCTAGGTCACGATAGCCTTTTCCACGTCATCTCCAAAGAAACCCGAGCATGTGCATCTTATCCATTCAACCAAGCCTTCTCAATGGAAGTTGCTAACCTGAATTTATTTATTTTTAATTGCAACCACCTATTTTATTCCATTGCGACTCCTCAGGTGTGTGCTGAATCCGGTGGTTCTTTGGACCTAGGAGAAGTAGATTGACACCATTCATTCTGTAATAATAATAATAATAATAATAATAATAATAATAATAATATATGTTTCACCTTCAATCTTCCTACCTTTATTCACATGCTTAATCTTGTTACTGCGAGTACACTCTCTTCTTTGTATAGCAAAAACAAAAAACTTTGCAGCTTAGTAAAGAACGGCTTGGAAACTTTAGAAATGTTTCCAAGTCGAACAGCCTCTAATTAGCAGGAAAATGTTGGTCCACTGAATAGAACAGAAACTGATTTTTCCATTCAGATGGTGAAGTTTCTGCAGCTTTGGTAGCTAACATGCATGCACATTTTGAAAACAACTTGTTAAAGCGTCTGGCAGGTTCTGTAACATGGTCTCCCTCCCCCTCCCCCGCTTTGATGAATTACCGGTATATAGTTGTGGCTTTATCTGGGAGTTGGACAGGGGGACAGTGCGCCCCTGTTGGTTCTGCAGGACCTCTCAGTGGCTTTCAACACAATCGGCCATGGTATCCTTCTGAATCACCTTGCTGGGATGGGACTTAAGAGATCCTGTTTGACAGTGGCTCTGTTCCTTCCTGGAGGGGAGCAATGACTTGGCCATTGGCCTGCCGGGTACCTTAGGGTTCTGTTCTGTCCCCCAAGGCCCATGCTATTTAACATTTACATGAAACAGGTGGGAGTGGTTGTCGAGAGTTTTGGGGTGTTGCCAGTGTCATGCAGATAACACCCAGCTCTATTTCTCCTTTCCACACAAATCCAAGGAAAATGTCTCTGTTCTAAACTGGTGTTTGTCATCAGTAACGGACTGGACAAGGGTGAACAAACTGAAGCTTAATCAGGACAAGAAAGTATTTTTTCCCTAAAATTGTGCCAGTTTTTTTGGGGGGGGGGACTTTTCAAAAGCCTAGGCTTGTGAGGGGGGTGATTTCCCTATGTCACTGTATTTGACAAGGATGCTGGCAGTGGCACTGAAGGGGAAAAAATTGTTTTTAAGAAAGGAGTGATGGGCACGCTTTGATTTGCAGAACAAAAAGTTAAGTAATCTATTGAGAGCTCCAGATATTTTCAAGTGCTCTGTGGGGAAAGAAAAGTTTGAGAACTAACTGCTAAAGATAGATCCTTCGCGGAATTCTTTCTGCTCTAACTTGGTGTGTGGGAAGAGACAAGGAAAAAACAGAGATATATATATATATGTCCTTGCATCCCCTGAGGCTGCTGTGGTGCAATGAAAGATGTAGTCTGCTGGCAGTGATTACTCTATCCTTATGTAAAAAAAGAAAAGAAAAGGAGCCAACAGAATTGAAGTAGATGGAAAAACACCCACTACCGTTCCGTGATGTGTTTACCACAATCTTATTCTTATTCTTTGGCGATCACTTGTAGCTGAGTAAGATTGTCTTCCATAAACACGGTTTTAACAATGAGTCCGTAAGTGACTGTGGAGGCCAATTCTGGATCCACACGTCCTTCCACAGTGGGGACATTGGTTTCTGGGCGGGAGTTGATGACAATACTATAACCCCTGCCCTCAGTGTGTGTGGGAGGTGGGGGGCTGAGGTGTTGGCCTAGGAGCTGGAAGACCTGAGTCAGATCCTCACTCTGCCTGGAAGTTCACAGGGCTAATCCAGGTAAGGTAAAGGACCCCTGGACGGTTAAGTCCAATCCAAGGCGACTGTGGCGTTACGGCGCTCATCTCGCTTTCAGGCCGAGGGAGCCAGCGTTTGTCCACAGACAGTTTTCCGGGTCATGTGGCCAGCATGACTAAGCCGCTACTAATGCACGGAGGACCATGACGAGTGCCAGAGCGCACGGAAACGCCGTTTACCTTCCTGCTGCAGCGGTACCTATTTATCTAGTTGCACTGGCGTGCTTTTGAACTGTTAGGTAGGCAGAAGCTGGGACAGAGCAACAAGAGCTCACCCCGTTGCACAGATTTGAACCACCGACCTTCCGATCAGCAAGCCCAAGAGGCTCAGTGGTTTAGTCTTAATCTACCTCTTAGGGTTATTGTGATGATCAAATGGGGAAGGGGAGAACCATGCGTGCTCCTTGGAGGAAAAGTGAGATGCAAATATAATACAGTGGTACCTCAGGTTAAGAACTTAATTCGTTCTGGAGGTCCGTCCTTAACCTGAAACTGTTCTTAACCTGAAGCACTACTTTAGCTAATGGGGCCTCCTGCTGCCGCCATGCCGCCGGAGCACGATTTCTGTTCCCATCCTGAAGCAAACTATTTCCGGGTTAGCGGAGTCTGTAACCTGAAGCGTATGTAACCTGAAGCGTATGTAACCCAAGGTACCAGTGTAATAATAAAAGCCAAATAGTGGTTTTTTTGTGTCTGAAAAGTGTTTGTCCCAAGACTTGGAAATGAAATAGATGCGGGTGTAGAGAACGGCGAGCTAAACACAAACACAACTTGAATGTGGCTGCAAAGAGCGGGGGAATATTCTGCACAGACGTGAGAATGAGACGCAGATCCCGCCCCGTTCCCGCCGGAGTCCCCCTGGCAACTGGAACGCAAAACACTGCGCGTCATAGAGGGCGAAGAACGCCGCTTCTCCCTGGAGCCTTAAAGGGGCCGCGGCCCCGGCGCCGTTGCGGTTGCAAAGGAAGCGATTGGGTTGCACTTTGCATGATGGACGGGGCTTCTGGGAAGTCGGAGAAGGATGGCGAGGAAGCCCGAGAAGATCCAGGTGCTTGCTCGAGAGAGGCAGTGCTCTGGAGCGTAGATGCCATGGGAGGGGGCTAAAAAATAAAAAAATAAAAAAGGATGGGGCGGGGGAGCGAGAAAGACCGATGCTCCCACCCCGCAGAGGCTTGGGCTAAAGAGGGAAGGGTGTGCGGGAGCCGAATTCCCTGTGGAGCAGAGGAGACGTCCGTGGAGTCCGGGCTGCAGGACCTGGACTACACTGAAGTAGCAGCTCTCAAACGGACCTCTTTTCAAAAGATGCAAATTTGGGCACCCTCTCTTGGGCCGGTAGGCAGCGGAACTACTTGCCACTAGTCCTGCCACGTTTTAAAGCGACGGTGGTCCCATCAAGGCAGCGCCCCAATCTCATGCTGCCTTCTTGTGCCTCAATCCTAACAGGTGAAAAAGGCTGACACAGTGCCCCTTCTTTCATCTGGATCAATGGCAGGAGTGCCAACTTTAGCACTGTATTGGGGGCGGGCAGGTGAGCCCCCGTCCTGCATCACATGATGCGGTGCACAGGCACAACTGGAATGGCGATGCGCATCCATTGCGGGAGGTGGGGTGGCCCCAAATATTTTGGGGGGCAAAGACCCCTTGGCCCCTAGGAGTTGGCTGCTATGATCAAAGGAGCTTCTGCAAAGATGGAGCTGAGACTAATTTCATGAGTGAAGCACAGACACAAACAAACAAACACCACAAGTTTGTACATTGGTTATATTTATAAACGTCTCCCATCAAATAGACTCAAGGCAGTTTGCACCAGTGTCCTTTAAGTCCCTTGTGTTACTTTCCTTGTGCAGTATCCAGTAGCCACAGAGGCATAGGGTTGTAGCCAGTTAACTTTTTCTCAGAGCAGGACCATTGAAATTAATGGCCATAGTTGACTTTGGCCCATTCATTTGAGTGGGTGTGCTCTGAGCAAAAGTTTTGAATGCAACCCATAATATGGCTTAGGGAACCGGGTGGCACCAAGTGTAAAAGTACATACGGAAGGAGAGAATGTGAAAGGAAACTCACTGAGTCAGTTCCTCACCACGTCAGAAGCCTTCCTCAAGATGCCACAGTTTTCGGCATCCTGTGCAATTCTGCTACATGGAAAATGGAGGAGCTTTTCCAGCAGAAAGAAAAGGTCTCTGCCTCGTAGCTTTTAAAACAATACAGTTGTTTCTTGTACTGTTTTTAAAACTGCTTTTAGCTGTTTTCATGGCGTGTTTGTAAATCAAATAAATAATAATTATATAATAGGATAGGAAGAAGAGTTAGTAGCATAGTATCCTTGTATTTTTAAAAAAATATCGAAATGTTGTTTAAGTCATTTTAAAATAGAAAGCGGGGAGGGCAGTAAGAACACTGGAAACTGTCTTATACAGTCATACCTCGGGTTAAATATGCTTCAGGTTGAGCGTTTTCAGGTTACACTCCACATTACTTCCAGGTTTTGCCACTTGCACATGCGCAGACGCTCAAAATGATGTTACGCGCATGCGCGGAAGCAGCGAATTGCGACCTGCGCATGCGCAGACGCGGGTTGCGTTTGCTTCAGGATGCAAATGGGGTTCCGGAATGGATCCCGTTCGCAACCAGAGGTACCACTGTACTGAGTCTGACCATTGGTCCATTTTGCTCCGGGTTGCCTTACTTGCTGCCAGCCATTATGTTGATGGACAGCAATCCTGCAGGATTTCAGACAGGTGTTTTTCCCAGTTGCACCTGGAGATGCCAGAGGTTGAACCTGGAACCTTCTGCGGGCAAAGCAGATGCTGTATCACTATGCTACAGCCGTTCCCATATGTGCCGGCAGGTTGTTATAATTTTTTTAAAGAAACAACCACTACTACTAAACCTTATTGAAAAATTGGCAGAGTGGTTAAGATAGTGCCTCCACCTTCCCAACGAACATACAGTAACTGTTGTGGAGGCCTGCAGAAATGAGATAGATCTAATATTTATAGCTTCTATGCATTATTAAAATATTGTTCCCACTAATGTCATTTTCATTTACTATGGAAATGTTCAATAAAAGGAAATACTTCCAGATTCAACCAGACTGTCATGATTAAAGCTGAAGTCCTTAAACCTAAACACCCTTGCATGGGAGTAAGTGGCACTTATTTCTGAGTAGATTATGTATTTGATTGCACTCTAAGTCCAATCGAAAATGATAACTGATCCTTTGCAGATTTATTTGTAATTAATTACTAACTGAATTCAATTGGAGCGGTAAGCCATGACCTGGAATGGGGTCCATTATCTGCAAAGCTGTTGACCTTAAACATTCACGTACTGGAAACTGTCATTAGGATTATATTGCATACCAACAATTTACCTATATATGTTTATGTTAAACAGACAGCAAAGTCATTGGAAGAGAACAGTTGCCCCCAGAAGCTGTTCAATCAGGGAGGTAAGTAAGTTAAAAGATTGATACAAATGCATGGGAAAAGGGTCTGTCAATAGAAAATTTGCTGAAGCAGCTAAAAATGAAGCGTGGCAACACGCTGGTCATCACAAAATTCTAGTTATCTACGCTAGAATTGAGTGACTGTGGCCCTCAGCCTAATTTTAGTGCCCCCTCTGCAAGCAATCAGTTTAGACTACCTCTTGTGAGAGTGAACTGTCCCTCTCCCAACACCCCATAGGGTGAGGGTGGGGAGAAAGATGGTGTGGCTCCACTCACTGTCAATAGGCAGCCTCTGACAAATTGTCCCCCAGAGCAACACAGTCCTCAGCTGAAAAAAAGGTGGCTGATTCCAGACCTATAGCATGCTTCCATTGTCAAAAATTCCAGAGCTGTAGTCTTTTTTTTGCTCTTGGAGCAAAAATACTGAAGAGCCTTGTGGAACCTGAAAGACCTAGCAAACTTATCATGGCTCCCTCCCATACCCACGTGTGGAAGGGAACATAACACTTCATGCATCGGATGAAGTAGACTGAAAGCTTATGCTTATGGGGGTCTTCCCGGAGTTGTCTAGCTATATGAACGTAAACAGTGGCGTAGCGTGGGTTGTCAGCACCCGGGGCAAGGCAACTAACCCGTGGATTTGCGCCCCCTAATCCTAACCCCCAGATGTTGCGCCCGGTGCGGCCGGCCCCCCCTGCACCCCCCATGCTACGCCACTGAACGTAAAGATCTCCAACAAGGCAGTTATGTATTGGGGAGCTAAACATTTCAGGCAGCGATGCAAAAGTCTCGCTTATTTTTGAGCCATTTTCTCTTCTCTCCTGAATTCTGGAACATGGAAAGTGGCACTTTGCTAAATTACAAATTGCATAGTGGTATTGCCTTTCGCCAGGCAAATTGTTTGGTAATAGCTAAGGGCGTGTCCTTTGTGGGAGATGTACAGAGAGCCCTGATGGAATGCTTAGAATGTGATGGCCATGTATTTGAAAAGGTGACACACAGGCACACACAATTTGGGGTGGAGCTGATAGAAGGGTGTGTGTGTGTGTGTTAACAATAGAGTTGGTTTGAGTAAGTCAGAGGACCTGATGTTGGTTAGACAGGGGTCAGAAAACTTTTTCAGCAGGGGGCCAGTCCACTGTCCCTCAGACCTTGTGGGGGGCCGGACTATAGTTTGGGGGGGGGAATGAACAAATTCCTATGCCCCACGAATAAACCAGAGAAGCATTTTAAATAAAAGCACACATTCTACTCATGTGTGCTGATTCCCAGACCATCCATGGGCTGGATTTAGAAGGCGATTGCGCCGGATCCGGAACCCGGGCCTTAGTTTGCCTACCCATGGTTTAGCATGTGTGCTGGTCCTTCTAGGACTAGCTGCAGATTGCTTCAGCCTGCTTTCTGCTGCAGAGAAGCCCATTATTTCAAAAAGGTTGTAAGTCTTCAGCAATCTTTCCTCCATAAGGAAGGCAACCCTTGTTAAGTGCTGCCTGTGGAATTTCACACTGACAAAATGTAATGGCAGGATGGAGTCACGTAGCTGTGATGCACTGTGGGATTAGATTATCCTCAGGCTGCCGGCCTGAAACTTTCATAACTTGTCTGTTGTCACAGACAGAGGTTGAGGCTTTCCAGCACATGCTTCCCTGTATTTCTTGACAGAGTTTTATAAATAAATAGTGAGGCATTTCAAGTAACGCCCTGGAAGGGAAACCCTCAGACAGGAAGCTACAGGCACCATGCAAAGTTGATTTGTTGTATGAATTCACAGGGCATTCAGCCTTAATAATATTGCTGTAGGTATTTTCCCTTCCAGAAATGCTTTTGATGGTATCAAAGGTTGAGCAAACAATATCGGATCCTGAACGGAGGATAATTATATATTGCTAATTTAAATAATGGCTTTATTGTATTTGATACAAACTATTTAACTGCCAGGGGTCCTTCACCTTTACCTTTATTGCATCCACAGTTGGGCTGTATGCTTTTTGAAACATTTATAAATAAAAAACTTATTTACCTTGGTTCTCGAACGTAATCTGTTCTGGAAGTCCATTTGACTTCCAAAACGTTTGAAAACCAAGGCACAGCTTCCAATTGGCTTAGGCGCCCCAGAAACAATAGCTAACAGCTGCATCGGATGTTCGGCTTCTGAAAAAGGTTCGAAAACACTTCTGGAACACTTCTGGGTTTTTGGTGTTCAGAAGCCGATTTGTTCGTCAACTAAGCCATTCAAGAACCAAGGTTCTACTGTAGCACATGAAGAGGTCAAGCTTGATTGCCTAAAAGGTTTGCTGCCATTTAACTTTAAAGTCCATTATTACTCAGAAGTCTGGACTACAGCTCCCATTATCCTTAAATGGCTCTCAATTTCAAATTGTGTGTGCATCGGTCCTTAGCGTTGCAGCGTTGCAGAGGCAATCTTCATGAGCTAAATGTGTCATTTATTTTTAACATAGGGCATCTGAAATTGTTGTGACAGTTTCAGAGTTTTACAACAGTGAGATGGAGCCAGAGGAGACCGTAGAGAGGAGAGAGATAGGCACAGGTATTGTATTGTTGCTGCTGTGGAGTGCTTTAAGAAAGCATAACACCTGGAGTAGGCAGAGGGAAGGAAGTCACTACATTGTGGCTCACAAACTTGCTGCAGGGTTGCCATCAAACGCCAAAACATACACACCAGCCAGTTACTGTTCGCTTGCTTTCCTAGTGCTATTGCTCATCCAACTAGAGCTGTCTCCAGGTGTTTTCCAAAGCATGCAGGGGTTAAAAGAGGGCAAGGGGTGCACACGCAAGACCCACCTTTGTTGTTCTCACATGCCTGGCATTCCCTTGCATGTTGAGCAAGAAGGTCTAACCGCATTCACCTGGAAGGGACTAGACGCCACCTGAAGATTGGGAATCCAAGACTGGGACTCTTCCCAATGTGAACCACCTGGACCCTTAAATCTTCTTCTGAGGCCCTTCTCCAGGTCGCTCCTCTGAGGAAGGCTCAGAGGGTGGTGGCAAGGGCAAGGGCCTTTTCAGTTATGGCTTTCCATTGGTGGAATGCTCTCCTCAGTGAGGCCCGCCTAACGCCTTTTTTGACATCTTTCAAGTGCCAGATAACGACTTAGCTTCGCTCCCTGCCCAGCTTTTGATGGACCAAGATGTTGTTTTGTTACTAGTGTGCTGCCAAAGCTTCCCGTGGTTGTTATGGGACTTGTTTTGTTTTTAATTTGTTTTCTTTGTTTTCATGTTTGTAGTTGTATCATGAGTCTCTTTGGGACATTAATGTGACCAGTGGCTTAATCATCATCATCAACATCATCCCTGATTATGCAGTTCCAAATCACATGGTGGCTTCTAACTACATTCAGCTGAATGCAGTTAGATGTCTCCTTAATGCCTGTGCCAAACAAGTAACGGTTGAGTGGATAAGGGATATGCCTAGCGTACAATGGCCACTGAGGCCACTGGGTTTTAGGGTATCACTACCAGTGCAGGCGACAGAGCCTAGGACTTGCCAATCAGAAGGTTGGCGTTTCGAATCCCCACAGCGGGGTGAGCTCCCTTGCTCAGTCCCAGTTCCTGCCAACCTAGCAGTTCGAAAGCACGTCAAAGTGCAAGTAGATAAATAGGTACCACTCCGGCAGGAAGGTAAACGGCGTTTCCGTGCGCTGCTGTGGTTCGCCAGAAGCAGCTTAGCCACGCTGGCCACATGACCCGGAAGCTGTACGTTGGCTCCCTCAGCCAATAAAGCGAGATGAGCGCCGCAACCCCAGAGTCGGCCACGACTGGACCTAATGGTCAGGGGTCCCTTTACCTTTACCTTACCAGTGCAGGCACCTGTGGGCGCCATGCTGCAGAAGGTACCACACCAATGCTTTAGAATGGAGCATGAGACACAGAGTGGGGGTGCCAAATTTTAGCGTCAGGCGCCACTGAAATTTGATACCCCAAAGTCTGCCAAGGTTCCCATCACTGGCGGAGGAAGAGGAGTGCGGAGGAAGCGCACTGCCCCCAGCAGCACAATCCCGGTGGGGTGCCATGGTGGCTGCCCTCCTGCCCGCACTGGGCACCACGCCCCCATGTGTGCCATGCCCCTGGGACACGCGCCAGCCCTGCTCCCACCTGCTCTCCGCCCCTATGGTGCCAGGGCATGAAGCTCTGCCACTGGTTCCCATCAACCCCAACCAGCATGGCTGGTGATCAGGACGATGGAATTTGTAGTCCAACAACACCTATAGTCCAGCATCACCTGAAGGGCCACGGTGTCCCTGCTATGCTGGTTGAGCAGGTATGAGACAGATGCAGAAGGAAGCGCTCAGACAGTTCCAGGCTGGCAGCGATTCCGGATCAGCCTCTTCAAATCCAGATCAACTCTTTGCATACCAGAAGCAGCCTTTCAGATCAGGCAAAACTGGTTTTAGCCTTGGGGGTGGATATGAGCCCAGATGCTTGGAACAAGGGATTTCTTGCCTCAGCTGGTTGCCCAATAGGGATTGTTCTGCACACATCATTGCCTTGACTGTACAAAGGCCTACAGAGCTTACACCTCCCCTTTCTGTCATAGAACAATGCACACACAGGGAACGCTAGAAAAGTCTCGTTCATTTGGTATTGCAGCAAAAGCCCTGCCCTCTATAAATTCTACCTTACATCCTGTGCTGTGCTATTTAGTGCATAGGAATGGTGGCTGGGCAAGATTTTTAGATCAGTGTGTAATTTTTCACACGCTAGAAAACAGTTGACTTAAATTCTCATCACAGAATAGATGTGCCCACCTCCCCAGTAAATCCCTTGATATTATGGTACTATTTTCAGCATAAGGCAAACTGATGTATTTTTAGTGTGGATTCATTTAAAAGATGCCTATATTAAAAATACCATTTGGTTTCCCAGAAAAGGTCAGGATAGATGTTTTGTGTTTCTCTAAGTATGTAAGTGCCATCATAATGCTGTTTATATGAACAGGTCCTGAAGATCATCCAGGAAGAGATAAAAGTGGACCATCCACTTCTCCAGCTAGGTAACAACAACAACAGCAAGTCCTTGCATTAGTCAAAATGGTTATTAATGGGGTGTACCTTATTACAAGCGGGTGGTGGATGAAATTTCTGCTCACTCTTCTGACATTATTTATGAGCTTTCCCTCTAACTTATTGCATCTTGTTCAAACTGGTCCGCGATGTGTCATGGAAGGTGGACTACAGATTTCCAGACTGTAGAAGATACCACAGCTAGATTTCTGGGTCTCATGGGAAAGCCTGCTTCACCTTTTAGAAATAAAAATGTAGCATTTTTAAATTTAATTTAAATTTTTTTTTTTAGTGCTCCTTAGGTGTTTGTTTGAAAGATGTAGATATTTTGCACTCCCACCACCTTTGGGGCTCCCCCATGTATGCTGATCTCTCCTCCTTCCCCCCAACCCCGGCTCCGTGGCCCAAGTTTCGCTCCAGTCCTGTTGACACTTGTTGTCACTGCTCGAGTTTGCTCTTAGAAGGAGCGGCATGCATCGCAACTGAATGGAAAACATGTTTATTTCTGGCAGGCTATGCTGTGGTCAGAATCAGAATTCCTCAGGAACTGGCAGTAGTAATTACCGACGTACTATTTGTGCCGTGGATAGAAAGCTCCAGGGCTTGCCTGTGTTGTTATGAGGCTCAACGATGTAAGTGTCTGTGTTTGCGCAGATGCTGACATAAAAAGTGTGGGGCTTCCTCTAATTCAATTGCTTGCCCTTTCCCTCAAGCACTAATACATCGTTTTTCCATCTGCCAAGGTCAGAGAGCCCAGAGGGAACGGCTGACAGCAGTCAAAAGCCAGGATTAGATATTGCCCCCTTTGAAAGATCAGCAGAGTTCTCCTCCCCAGAAACCACTGACTCTTTATCCTCAAGCAAAGGTACTGTGTTCTAACTTCTGCATGCGCCAAGAGAGAAGGACTGTAACTTGGGGGGGGGGGGCTATTTCCCAGCTCCACCTGGAGATGCTGAAATTGAACCCTGTTTGTGGAATGCTCTCCCCAGGGAGACTCGCCTGGTGCCTTCATTACATATCTTTTAAGGCCCCAGGCGAAAACATTCCTCTTCAGCCAGGCCTTTGGCTGATTAAGCAATCTATGGCTTTTTAAATGTGTCTGTTGAGGTGGGCATTTTTGTCTGGTTTCCTGCTATTATGCTACGTGTTTTGTGTTTTTACGTTGCAAACTCCCCTGTGATCTTTGGATGAAGGGTGGTGTATAAATTTAATAAATAATAATAGTAACCTAGGACCTTCTCTCACACTCAGCTATGGCCCTTTCCAAATCGGTGCTCCAACCTTCCTTTGCATGTTAAAGTGGAACATAGGAAGCTGCCTTATACCAAGACAGGCCATTGGTCCACCTAGTTCAGAATTGTCTGCACTGATTGGCTCTCCAGTATTTCAAGCAGCGGACCTTTTGAACCTGGATTGAACCTGGGAACTTCTTACTGCAAGGCTGCAGCAATGTTTTCCGGGGGGGGGGACCTTTTTATGAGGGGACAGCTTAAGCGAGAGAGAGGAAATGTGGAGCCAAACACTCTTACAGTTTAAGTGCTTGAACAAGAAGAGGGAAATTAAAAATATATATTATACCAATAGCGCTTTCAAGCACTTCATGTGCATCATCTAGTCGTAATCATTGCAACAGCCCTGCAAGGTAAGGTGATTCTTATCTCCCGTTATTGAAATTTGAGGAACTGAGGCTGAGAGACAGTGGGTTGCCTAAGGTCACCTCATGAATTCATGCACTCCTGCCAATGTGTTTGCACCACCTTGTGTCTTCCAGTAAGCAACAGTGACCCACCTTGGTGGCTCTGCCTCACCTGACAAGCGACTTCTGCTTGTCTCTGCATTCCTTGCCAAATCAATGTCACCCTCAAGTGTCTGCCCCACTCCCTGTCCTGCAAAGGAACTAGAGATCTGGCTCTGAGGGAGATATCTGGGGGTGTAGGCGTTCTGGGGTCATCAGAGTGGCCCCAAGACTGAGATGTCCCATTCATGAAGGACAGATAATCTTGATGGTCTGTAGCTCGTACGCAATGGAGATTTGGTCAACCGTACGCATACCTAGTTCGGCTTGTACTCAGCAGGATCCAAGGGCCACCCTGCAATACTGGGAGGAATCAGAAGAGAGAGCTCTGCTGGGTACCACTTAAGGAGGTGAGCAATTGATGTGTGTTGCTTTTCCATGTTTCTGTTGAGTTTGATCATGTCGCTGTTGAGTAACAACAGCCAAAACCCCGAGCAGTGTGCTTTTCTTCCAAATGATCGTGAAGATGACAAGAAGAAATCACACTTCCTCCTTTTATTCTTCAGCATTAAATTAAAGTTTGGTTTAAAATTTAGGTATAAGAGGGTGTGAATTGCAGAGGTGCCATGAAACAAGGACTGAAGGGCAGGGCAGTCTTCTGTATTTTAAGCCGAATCGTCTTCACAAGATTAGGCTCAAGGCTGAAATTCCTTTTGTTGTGGTTTTGCTTTGGGGGTAGAGCTGTTTCCCCTTTTTTTCATGACTGTTTCCTTAAGGTTGCTTATATGCATTTGCTCTCTTTTCCAGGGCTAGCATAACAACAAATGGATGGATTTTGTAGTCAGTTCAAAGATTAGGGTAATAATATGTTTGAACAGGTGGCATCATGAGTGGGATTCTTATAATGGGTCTAAACCACAGTTCCCTATATTGGCCACTGGCCCATTCCTTCTGCCATTTTGCTTTTCCGCTGCTTAGAAGCTGCGAGTGACAAAGATAACTCTTGTGCCTCAAAGACAACAAAGGAGCTTGGAGTTTGCTTTGAGACATTAATTATTCAGCTTGCTTACACGTCTTATGTTGTGTCTACTGAAAAGGGAGGCATTGGATGCAGTTGCTGTTGATCAATCCGGAAAACTTTTGGGAAGATCAGTCTCAATGCAGACAGATAAGAGCTGGCTTTATGACCGCTACAAGAAAAGGCGTAAGTAACCGGCTGCTTGTGCTGTCTATCTATCTATCTATCTATCTATCTATCTATCTATCTATCTCTCACACATGTACACAGACACACACAGAATAGCAGCGAAAAAATCTCCACTGTAATCTCCATGCATAGAATTAACAATTTAGCTACATAAGAAACCACCCCAAGCCTGATCTGATTATTTGCCCGTGTAAACGTAGGTTGTCCACTCTGACCGGCAGTGCCTCTCCTGGGTCTCAGAAGGGGTCTTTCCCTCATCTCCTTAAAATCAGAGGTGTTAGGGATTGAAAGCAGAGCCTTTTGCTTGCAAAACATGTGATTATTCTGCTGCAATGTGTTATAGGTTGGGTTGCGTTTGGCAAAGGCTGTTCTATAGTTAGGCCAGATGTTATGTTCTTTTTTGCTTACTTTGCAGATCCAAAGGAAGACAAGCTTCGTCCTGAGAATGGTAAATTGGTCCTCAGCACATCAATTTCTCCTTCATTTTGAGCCCTGCCTTGTTTTGTTTTTTTAGTCTTGTGTGACTCCATGGAGGGGATTGGGTGTGAAATCTAGGCGGTATAACCCCAGCTCAGCCATAAACTCAAGAGAATGTGGGAACCTTGCTATTCCTCAGTCTTAAATCATGGTCTGTAAAATGGGAATGTTAACAACCTGCTTTACATTGCAAGGCGATGATCAATGAAATGTGTATTGTGACACACTGAAGGTGGAGGCAGACTTGTGTGCAATCCTACGGTTGCCTATGGCGAACAGGTTTTGCAGGCTTTTTATTGCTTCGAAAGCTTGCAAAACTGATCCGAAGAGTGGTGGCGGGTCAAAAAAGAAAGAAAAATTTACATCACAGGAAATGATGCTACTCTCACTGTCTGTCTCCAGCCTCAGACTGGATTTATGTCAGCACTTCTTGTTCTGTTTCTTCAGCATCTCGTTGTTCCAAGATATTATTCGGTTGCTTTTTTTTGGTGAATTTGTGCTTTTCCCTTGTGAATATCAGCACACAAATACTTGCAGCAGCTACTCTGGCCTGCGCTCTGAGGCATCTGCTTCCAAGTTTCCCATTTTAAATGGCAAGCTGTAGCCTTGACAGGTAGACAACCCCAAACGATGGTTTAAACTGGCAAGCGCTTCTTCTTTTAACCTCTAGCAATGCTCCATTGCTGCTTATTTGCTGGGTAGAATCCAGATGCGGCTCCTCAAGGAGCACATTCCCCACCCTGCCCAATTTTTCACAGTTTACTATTCCACTCTTCCTTCAGCAATGGAACCACATGGGCAGGCGCTGGCTGTTCCTTTGAGCCTCCCTCCCTCCCCTCTTGCCATGTTGTGGCTTTTATTCTATTCTGACCACTATATTTTTAACGCTGTGAGGCTGAGTGCTCCACCACTGCACTCCTAAGGCACAGGGGCATTCTGCCTAAAAACAAATTCAGGCTTGTCTTTGGGCAGCCCACCGTAAGCAGACAAAAGCAATAACGGCATGGCAGCAGGCCGGTCTAGATAACGCATGCAAATCCATGAAAGTAACTAAGGCAAGGCTTTTGGGGGGAGAGCTCAAAAAGCACCTGAACGCATGCAAAGAGGCCTACAGCAGGCTTGATAGCACAGTATGTCTCCTTGAAAGTAAGAGCCACTGAGCTTATGGGAATATCTGTTGATAACCAGTCTTAAGACAGTTCTTTGCCATCTTGAGGCAAAACAGGATGTGCCATTTTGGCCTGACTCTGTTGCCATTCCCACCACCACCACTTACCTGCTCCTGGTCCCACCTTGCCACATCCACCGCTGGGGGAGAAGTGACACAACCATTGGCACCAATTTGGGGCAAAATCATGTCAATTTTATTTATTTTTTCCCCATTTTTTTAATTGATTTTCCAAATTTAAAACAAACACACAAAAAGAAAAGACATTACAATATTAGAAATAGAAACAAACAAACATATAAACACCTAACTGTTAAAGGCCCAATTTAATTTACATTGTTAAGTGAATTCCTCAAATCTCTCCTAACTGAATTTCAATAAATTTCATTGTAACGGTTTTCCAATATCTACTTTTCGATAAAATTTGCTTATTTAAATTTCTATCTTCCTTCCTTTTCATAACATTTTCAGTCCATAATGTTATAGAATTCAACATATTTTAATCCTAGGCCAATTTAGTACTTTCAAGTGATTCTACTTATGTGATATTCGAATATCTAGCTAAATAATCCTTAAATTTCTTCTACTCTTCTTGATGTTCCTCTTCTTTCTGATTGCGGATTCTTCCGGTCAGGTCAGCCAGCTCCAAAAAGTCCAACATCTTCATCTGCCATTCTTCCACTGTTGGTATTTCTAAAATCATGCCAATTTTAAGTGACGCCTTGCAGGCTCTGCAAGATCTGGCATGATTTCAGGCAAGAATTCACCCAAAATGGAGGCGCTCTTGCCCAAAATCGGTGCTGCTGGCAGAGGCAGTGGTGCAAGCGGGACACCCATGGGCCTGAAGCAGCATCTTCACCTTGCCTAATGACTGGACTGGCTTTGCTTGCCAGTGTACATTCACCGACATGTGGAACTGGAGGACCAGTCTTCTAAGGGCACTTCCAAGAGAGATAGTTGATGGTCTAGTGACATCATGCACAAACACAATGGAACATGTGCAGTGTCTCTGGGAAAGGGGTATCCCCCCTCCCAGAACATCTTGAGCTGAACAGCTGGCCCTGCCATCAGTCCATGTCCACTGGGCATATGGATGGGCACAAGCTGCGGCACCCTGCTCTTTGTGTACTGGGAAGGATTTGCACATGGCAGAGGTAGCCAACATGGTGTCCTCCAGATGCTTTGAACTGCAACTCCCATCATCCCTCACCATTGGCCACACTGGCTCGGTATGATGGGAGCTGTAGTCTGAAACATGTTCAAGGTATCACAATTGGCTGTTGCTGGCCTATTGCTACTTCAGCATCCCCAGTCCTAAATAAGCCATGTGGGTGTGTCCTTTGATTCAGACCTAAAAGCAAGAACGGACCAATTTCCTAACCCATTCTCCTTGTGTATGTTTAGATATCTACGCCGTCTGGTATGAGGACCTCAGCTGCTTAGACATTTTGTGCGACACAGAGGTATTTGTCACTCGTGGTCTCTGCACATTTTGGTCAAAGCATCCTCCCAACTCAACGTCCCCACCTCCATCCCTTTCCCTTTCAGCCAAATCAAGGCTGATGCCATTCATCTTTGGGAACATTCTGGGCAACGGGGTTCGAGATTTGAAATGGAATTAATCTCTTGTATTGTATTGTTTTCTTTTTCTTTTAAGTTTCAAGAAGACTTCTTAAAGCTGTTTCGGGAATCTCTACGCACCCTGTCCAGCGTTGGTCCACCAACAATACTAGCCTTTAGGCCAGAATCATCAAGAGAAGACATTAATTTTGAGGTGGTGTCTCTATCCATTCTGTGGTTTGTGCATGTAGTATAACCAGGGAGATGCGTGTGTAAAATAACACACAGGGAAATGTGTGGTGCATTGCACACTTTTGTGCAAACCTACAGTGTAGTGCTTTTGAAGTGTCACCACTTATGAATGCATGTCTCTGTGTGACTGAATGTCCCATTTCCTCTAAACACACACACACACACACACACACACACACACACACACACTTCTCTCTGATGTACTAACTTTCTGTATGCATATTTCAACATGTAACCCCAAACCCCTGCCACCAGCACCTGCATCTCAGAAGGGGCTATACCACATACTTTTAAAAACATACTGATTTGCTTAGGTAAGTAGCCTAAGAAGAACGCCACATAAAGACAAAATAAAATGGTAAGGAGCATTCAGAAGTGGAAGAGTTGAAACTATTTGGTTTCTAGAGGCAGGTGTACTCCAGAAATATATGTGGGGAAGCCTCATCCTGTGTCTAGATTGCCGTTTGTCATGCTTTCCAGGAAACAGATGGCTCTAAGATCCTTAAAGAAATTGGATCATTTACAGTTACCTGTAATCCCTTGAGAAAGGGAAAGGGAAACAAGACTCTCCAAGCCATCCTTGATGTTAATCAAGATTAACAAGTCTGGATTTGGGAGAGGAGACCAGGAAAGGAACAACATGTGATATAGTTCAGTGGTCTTGGTGTGTTACTGTTTGACACCACCTGTTCCAGTAAAAAATGAGAGCTGCAGGCAAGTTGAAGAGGTGTATGGGTCTTTTTTTAGAAATGTGCAAGAATTTGAGGAAGCAAGCTTTGTTGAACTGATAGCGGAAATTAGATTATTGGATTAGGAAAAGGCACCCGTTCTTTAAACCTTATGTTACTTTCCCTCTCTCCATTCAGCATTTTGCTAGCCAAATTTTACATTAGTCATTTTTAAATTTATTTTTAAAAGAGCAGCCACATGAATTGCCTGAACACTGTAGTAAATTCTGATGAAAATCCATTGCAGAAACATCGCCATTTCCAATTTACAGGGTGTAGGATGGGTAGGGAGAATAATAGTATTATTGCAAAAGCCAAAAACCATCAGGGTTGAATGACCTCCTTGCATCACCTCTTTTAAGGTGATCGATTGAGAATTCATTTAAGAAAAGCAATATTCTGAAATCCAATGGTTTGAGATTTTCCCCAGGAGCAGGGAAATTATAATCATTTAGTGTTTTCATTACTTACTTTGTTGGAGAGATGAATTAGTCATAATTATCTATAAGAAAGAAGCAGCTACGTTATTCCTATATGCAGAATTGACTGGTTCTGGCACTTTGTTTGCATAAAGTTTGTTCCACGGGTTCTTATTAAAAGGGCACAGTGCCTTATTGTCTAATGATGTACACAAGTTGCTGGTATGTACCAAATTTTGAAGTAATACTGATGGAACCTGCCAAGTTCCAGTTCTGCTTAATTTAGGCACACAAAGTTCTGCCTGACTTCAGTCAGGAGATGAATCTCACAACCTTGATATTGTATACAGGAATCTCAACTCTCTTTTTGCATTTTGCAGAGTGAGATGTTGCATGTTATGGACATTTAGGAGGCAGTCCTGTGAAAGTTAAATACTTATAAATCTCACTGATTTCCGTGAGAGTGAGCTAAGCACAGATTTCAACTCTCCCTCCAAAGTAATGGGACTTTTAGGAGTTATTAATGGTCCTGCCGAGCTGCTCGCTAAAATAATATCTGACAGCTAAATGCAAAAAATGTAGCCTCTGGATTGTAGCCAAAATATGTATTTGCAATATTTTATTTAAATGCCTTAAAAGGAAGCGTTGTGGGAATAACAGGAAGGGGCATTCTTTTAAAGCCATCAGAGTTTGTCAGCTGTAGCCTGAGAATTTGCATGTTCAGCATGCATCCTGTTTCTGCATTTGAACTTGAGGGTGGCTGTGGTCAAAATGACTTGCTCTCCACTGTCAAAAAATATATATGAATATACTGCAGGGCCAAGGGAAGATATTCCCACCTGCTCTGCAGTCTTTTCACAGCACCTGAATGAGACTTGCAGACAGCAGTCTGAGAACCTCTGCATTATGGGGATAGAGATCTGAGAAAAAGCTGGGAAGTAGGGATTATTTGCTTAGCATTATAACTAGGCCATATCCTTCTTCGACAAACTGGCACCCTCCAGATTTTCTGGACTACAATGCCCATCAACCCTATCTTTTTAAATAGGGTATGTTTCCAGTACGTTTCCGAGCACAATTCATAGTGTTGGTGCTGACCTTTAAAGCCCTAAACGGCCTCAGTCCTGTATACCTGAAGGAGCGTCTCCACCCCTATCGTTCAGCCCAGACACTGAGATCCAGCGCCGAGGGCCTTCTGGCGGTTCCCTCATTGCGCGAAGTGAGGTTACAGGGAATCAGACAGAGGGCCTTCTTGGTAGTGGCGCCCACCCTGTGGAACGCCCTCCCTTCAGATGTGAAGGAAATAAGTAACTATCCTATCTTTAAAAGACATCTGAAGGCAGCCCTGTTCAGGGAAGTTTTTAATATTTAACGCTGTATTGTTTTTAATACTTGATTGGGAGCCGCCCAGAGTGGCTGGGGAAACCCAGCCAGATGGGCGGGGTATAAATAATAAATTATTATTATTATTAAATAAACTTTTTCATAATGCTTTTCTTCACTTCAGAAACTTTTCACGATTCTGGGGACAAGCAACCAAAACAGGAGAGGACTGCACCCCAGTTCCCACCCTTGCCTAGCCCTGCAAGCCTTTCCTTCGAATGAGCAGCCTCCTTTGTTCAGTAGATGCAGCCCTCAGTGCTGGTCACTGCATGTTATGAGTAAATGCAATGCAGTAATTTTAATTTTCGATTTGGATGCATGGCCTCTATTTTATTAGGGATGGCATTCCCGACAACTTTAACATTGCCCCCTGCTGCTCATTCACTGTAGCGCTGCATTGAATTATTTCTGCTGCTGTTTATTCTTTCCCTGGAGCTTTGGAAAGCCAAGGAGCTGCTTGTTTTCTTATGCCGTTTACAGAAGGAGGCTTAAAATAAGCCTGTTCAGATTGCTTGCTGTGGCCTTTTAGCATGCCTTTGGGGAGAATTTATGCCCAGGTAATACAAAAAAAACCATGCAGTCCTTAACACAGGAACCTCCCCTCCATTTTCCTCATCTACTTAGTTTTGGACGAAAGTGAATACTGTCAGGTGACTTGAAGGGCTTCAGTTTCACTTATTTACACTCTGAGAGGTTTAAAAAATACTTAATTCTGACCAAGAGCAGAGTCTTGCACATTGTTGTTGCTGTTATTCCATTTTCAGTACATGCTTGCACCTTTAAAACACATTTGAAGCACATCCTTTCCCTCAAAAAATTCTAGGCGCTGTAGTTACCGGGAATTGGAACACTGGGAGGGAATAAGCTACACGTATTTATTTTGCTTTAACTTTTGTGTTAAGAAGATACAGGGGTAGGATTTGTGTTTTACCAGATGCACTGCGATTTGTGCATCTGAGGCTTGACTATGACAAAATCATAAGTTTGTAATGACCAGCACCAGCATACCTCACATGCCTCAAAGTTGGCAAAATGGCTAAAAACAGTTGCAAAAGAATCTGTTGCAAATGTAAACATAACATGTCGTGAGCTGGATCCAGAGCGGCGCACCAACTCCTAGGAGTAGGGTGAATTCAGCCCCCTCAAAATCAGCTGGCACAGGGCTGGGCTCTGCGCTTGGCCTCCTCCCGATGATGCGATGTTGCATGTGCATTGCGTGTATGATGTCACACTTGTGCAACACATGCTGGGCCCATGACATCACATGTGAACGCTGTGCACCAGGAACCACCTCTCCCCCAATATTGGGTGCAAAATGGCAACTCTGATCCAGAGTTACTCTCAGCAGAGTTCTGCTTGCTCTGGAGGAAGGAGATAGGATTGTTGATTGTTCCTCCCCGGCCCCTTGCTGCTTGTGACCCTCAACCCTTTGGAGCAGCTTGTGAGGTAGCACAGGGGGCTGCACAGGGAAAGAGAAATTGGCTAAAACAGCTCCCCCATCCCTTCTCCAGTGGAGAAGTTTTTAATGTTTGATGTTTTATCGTGTTTTTAATATTCTGTTGGGAGCCGCCCAGAGTGGCTGGGGAAACCCAGCCAGGTGGGTGGGGTATAAATAAATTATTATTATTATTATTATTATTATTATTATTATTATTATTGCCTCCACAGGGTCTCGGTGCCTTACATGAATGGAAAGAGCCTTTTTGTCCATGGAATGACCATGGATCAGATGCAATAAAACAGACAACAGGAATGAAATAGCTGCAAAATAAGATTACAAGAATGGGAGCATTTCTCCATTAAGCAAATCTAAAATGGTGACATTTGGGGTGACATCCCCCTCCAATAAAAAACCATTGGAAAGGGCTTGGAGACATTTCAGCTGCCTTTACCATAGGCTAGAGCACTTTCCAGCTTTCTTTATTAACATAGGCTAGATCCCTTTTCAGCCTAGCTACTTTTCAGTCCTAAAAAAGATTTAAAAATTACAAGCCTAATACTGAACTTTCCCGCAAGGTGATTGTCATCACTAATGTCTTCAAAATGTTCCGTTTCCTCTCTGCAGTTGGAAAAACACTATGGAGAAATCTGTGAGTTCTGTGGCAGCCCACTGAGAAATTATCCGTCATTTGAAAGTCTAGAACAAATAGCAGAATATGGAAACGTAAGTAATGGGGAAATCATCCTAATGGCATCGCTACAAAGTCAAGGGCGACAAAGTCAAGGGCGCGAGATAACTGTAGGATCTTGCCTTCCAGCTTTTCTGTTGCCAGCAATGCAGAGATCTTCACGAGTTCATTGTCAATGAAAAAAAGCGCTATGCGAAGGAAGGAGTTCAGCTGATTGATATCACCACTAAGCAGGTCGAAGGAACTGCGGAAGAGAGGAAAAAAGCCAGAGAAAGAGCTCGCCAAAGGTATTGCCAGTCGGTTGGTGTACATGCTATTTTCAGGAACAATTTTGGTATCGTTTGGGGCAAGCATTTCTGAAGTGTTTTGCAAGGAAGAGCAGGGTAATGATTACAGTGGTACCTTGGTTCTCGAACGGCTTGGCTCCCAAAAAAATTGGCTCCCAAGCACTGCAAACCCGGAAGTAAGTGTTCCAGTTTGCGAACATTTTTCAGAAGCCGAATGTCCAACATGGCTTCCGTGGTTTCCGACTGAGTGCAGGAAGCAGCCAATCGGAAGCCGCACCTTGGTTTTCGAACGGCTTCGGGAGTCGAACGGACCCTCGGAACAGATTAAGTTTGAGAACCAAGGTACCACTTTGGTTATATTGAGTTTTGAGCTTTCCTGCTACTTCAGGAGGTCTGGCCCTGATTCATAGGCTTTAGCTAATTGTTACACACAAACATGTGCAGTCAAACTTTCTGTTATAGAAAAAGACGTCACTGAGCAAGGCCAGGGTGATCTGCAGCAGAGGAGCATCTCTTCGGTTTCAGTGGCTGAAAGATCAGCTAGTCACCTTGCCAGCCCTCCAAGAGCATCTGGAATTCAACGTTTAAGAAATTGGGGGTTCATGCCACATACGTTTTGATTTTGCAGGTTGAAGGAGAAACAAATGGCCCAACAGGCTGTCCACCTCCCAAGAGAGAAAGCAGAGAGAGAAAAGGACGTCTCTCCAACTCATGTCTTTGACTGTGAGTTCTAATTTTTCTGCAAGTTATCATGGACAGTACTCATTAGTGGGTGAAACCATGAGAATGGCTCTTACATAGCAGAGATTGAAAATGGCACATATTCACTCTTACACTAGAATCTTGCCCTGTCCCCAGCCAGATGATGGCACTTGTAGTTCAACAACATCTGGAGGGTCAGAGTTACCCATCCCTGGATTAAATAGTCTCTTGGGTCAGATCTAGCATGTTCCTACTACTACTATTACTACTACTACTACTACTACTACTACTACTAATAATTTATTTATACCACGCCCATCTGGCTGGGTTTCCCCAGCCACTCTGGGAAGCTTCCAACAAAATACTAAAATACAATAACCTATTAAACATTAAAAGCTTCCCTAAACACGGCTGCCTTCAGATGTCTTCTAAAAGTTTGGTAGTTATTTTTCTCTTTGACACCTGGTGGGAGGGCGTTCCACAGGGCAGGTGCCACTACCGAGAAGGCCCTCTGCCTGGTTCCCTGTAACTTGGCTTCTTGCAGCGAGGGAACCGCCAGAAGGCCCTTGGCACTGGACCTCAGTGTCCAGGCAGAACGATGGAGGTGGAGACGCTCCTTCAGGTATACTGGACTGAGGCAGTTTAGGGCTTTAAAGGTCAGCACCAACACTATGAATTGTGCTCGGAAATGTACTGGGAGCCAGTGTAGGTCTTTCAAGACCGGTGTTATATGGTCTCGGCGGCCACTCCCAGTCACCAGTCCAGCTGCCGCATTCTGGATTAGTTGTAGTTTCCGGGTCACCAACACACCTAGATAAGAGATGTGCATTGTATTTTTTTTTAACTCTCTGTTTTATTGTTTCAGGTTAGTAAACAGGTTCATTTAAGACTCTTAATATAAACATACGTTGTAATTTTTACCTTAGCTGCTAATCCAATTTGTGTTGCTGCTGTGTTTTGTTATAATTTCTTTATTCGTTTTTAACTCCATTATAGTGGTTTTTAATTTCATATTGGGAGCCATGCTAATAATTTGTATTGAAAAGCAAGCTATTAAAAACCCAAATGAAACAAAATAAATCTGAACTAAATTGAAATTGGTTTTTGTTCTACTTAGTTCAAGTTTATTGAATAACCTTTATTGAACAACATTCTGTGCTGCTTCATGTTCCCTAGATACTCGGCAACTCAGCACCATTTCCTACTGCCTGTCCCAATATAGACCTTCTATAACGGGCTGGACAAAGATGCCTCTCCAGGGAATTAAATTCCGAAGTCCCACGAGCCAAGACGCTAGCTACAGCATCTCTAGCTGTGATTTCACTATTGCAGGTGGAAAGGTAAGCACCTGGATTTTCTTGCACTGGAACCCCATTAATGGACCTGCTTCTTCTTCCAGGATAAAAACATTCATAGGACAGAGCATTCTGCATTTGACTATGGCAACAGCTGCACCACACATTTAAAGCACCATAATACCACTTTTTTTAGGGATGCGGGTGGCGCTAGGGACGCGGATGGCACTGTGGGTTAAACCACTGAGCCTAGGACTTGCAGATCAGAAGGTCAGCGGTTCGAATCCCTGCGACGGGGTGAGCTCCCGTTGCTCAGTCCCTGGTCCTGCCAACCTAGCAGTTTGAAAGGATGTCAAAGTGCAAGTAGATAAATAGCTACCGCTCCAGTGGGAAGGTAAACGGCGTTTCTGTGCACTGCTCTGGTTCGCCAGAAGCGGCTTAGTCATGCTGGCCACATGACCTGGAAGCTGTACACCAGCTCCTGCGGCCAATAAAGCAAGATGAGCTCCGCAACCCCAGAGTCGGTCCCGACTGGACCTAATGGTCAGGGGTCCCTTTACCTTTACCTTTAATACCACTTTAACAGTCATGGCTCCCCACCCCCACATCCTGGAGACTGTCATTTGTTAAAGATGATGAGAGTTCTTAGAAGACCCCTGTTTCCCTCCCAGAACGACAATTCCCAAAGTGATTTAACCACCAGTCCCTCTTCCTATGGAATTCTGGGATTTGTAGTTCTATCAGGGATGCTGGAGCAGCAGACTTCCTGCACTGGCAGAGGGCTGGGTTTGAAGCCACTTTCCAACTCTAGGGTTCCACCTTTTGTATGGGCAGTGATTGGTTTTGGAAGGGTCTTTAGCTGCTGGCAGAATGCAGGCTTGAATGTTTGCCTATGTAACATCCAACATTGGTTGCCACGGAGGACAGGCCTGCGACCGCTTGACTGAGATCTTGCACTCTGGTGCCCCCATTCCCAGAACTGTCAACTATTAACCGTCACTTGGCTACAGGATCACAGAGCTGGGAGGCAGCAGGTGTGACTAGAAACTCATCAAATCATAGAAGGAGAAAACTGGGAAGGGACAATTCAGTCGGGCAGCGTAGCTTTTTGTTACCTAATCCCACCACCCTTTTTGCATAGTGACCTTTTTCTTCTTCTTGCCTTTTGTATACTAATTCTCCTGAAAACAAAATATTGTTTTAAAGTACGTGTCTTGTTTTCCCTTCGTGTGCAGTTGCTGAAAAATCAGTTCTTCCAGCAATACTACAAAAACGGTGTGAAGTTTCTTACCATGTTTCCAGATGGCAGTGCACAAATATTGTATCCTTTTTGTGGTTTTGGTTTTTTTGACTTGTGGCGATATCTGAGGCGCATCTTTACGTTATTAAGGGTATAATTCAGCCAAAGCTAAGCACATTTTAAGTCCCATCAATTTCATTGTGAAAAGGTTAAGAACTCAACTCAAATTCAACTATGCATGTAACTTTACCTCACCTTTTAACCACCCTGTCATGGTCACAGTCAATATTGTGGTAAAGAGGATGGTTTTTTCCTATTTCTATCTATGCTTATACAAGAGGAGCAGATTCCCGTCCTCCTTAGTAATATTGTGAATGTTGGACCAAGGAATTAGTGCTTTACAAAGCTATAAGGAAGTGATCTTTGTTCTTGCAAATATCAGGGCTGCTATACTGTTTTGTTTCCAATCAGTGCATGTCCCATAACTTCCCCCTGAAATCCTGTAACTTTTTATACCACAAATGTTACAGGGTCTTTTTGTCCCGCTTTGCTTGGGCTGTAGTGCGAGAGTAACGCCCCCGCTGATGGCAGTAATGCAATACCGTTGGAGAAATATTACAAAACTAATAAAACAGAATATGTGGATGTTCCAGTATAAATCCACCACTATTACTGTATCAGTGACGCATTGCAGAATGCACCTGCGGAAAATCACTGGTCTGGAGGGGTCCCAATTGTCCACATCCTGGGACTTGGAAAAGAGCAGCTAGTACAGGTTATTAGTAAGCTATTAACTATGCAATCCTAAAGCCATCAAGGACAGTGGTTCTCAAAGGGTGTGGTGCGCCCCTGGCACTGGTGTGGCAGGAAGATTCAAGGACAATCAAAGAAACATTTAAATATTTCAGTGCAGTGCAGTATAGTATAGTATCAAAATAATGTTTTTATTTCCAGAATATGGATAGATATTCAGGAGCACTGGCTATTCTTCTACAGTTCTCCAGAATCTATTGTCAGCAAGGATTTTCAATTAATATGAAAGATCAGAAAAGAGAAAGACTTCTTTGTGTTGATGAGATGAGAGTTTGTTTGTCTGTCTCAGATTAGGCCGAAGAAGCAAGCTCACACTTCTCATTGAGTTTGTATGCCTACTTAATGTAAAAGGCTTGTTTATAATTATATTTGGGGAACAACCCCTGTTCTTATGTAGCTGCATCCTTTTATACTTTCTGGATGTCCCATGGCCATATTATAAAAAAGTTGTGTTCTGTGTTATAAATCAGGCACCACAAAGAGTCGTTTCTTTTTGTTATGCAGTGTATTTCTTATCAGTTAGAAAAGCAGTGAGCTAATTTTTAACCTGAAAGTGTTGCCCGGAGAAAAAAGTTGGAGAACCTCTGTAAGCCACACCGAATTCAGTGGAATATAACTTCTCAGTAGGTGTGTACAGTGGTGCCCCGCAAGACGAATGCCTCGCAAGATGGAAAACTCGCTAGACGAAAGAGTTTTCCGTTTTGGAGGTGCTTCACAAAACGAATCTCCTATGGGCTTGCTTTGCAAGACGAAAATGTCTTGCGAGTTCCTGCGGTTTTTTCCCCCTTTTCCCCCCTTTTTCTAAGCCGCTAAGCCGCTTATCTGCTTATCCGATAAGATGATAAGCCGCTAAAAGCCGCTAAAAGCCGCTAATAGCGCTAATAGCGCTAATCCGTCAATGGGCTTGCTTCGCAAGATGAAGAAACCGCTAGACGAAGAGACTCACAGAACGGATTCTTTTCGTCTTGTGAGGCACCACTGTATAGTGTTGCACTGCAAAGGCTTTAAAGGCTATTAATGGCTCATAACTGAGTCTGGGGGGAAATGGGTGACCATGCTACTAGATAAAGGTGAAGATGGAACTAGATAAAAAGAAGCATTTTCCAAACTCCAAGCCTGGCAACCACATTTTGGACCAGTTGAAGGATTTTCCTAGGAGCTACTATTACACTTTATCTATTGAAGGTGGTGAGATTTTGCCGCAATCTTAGCCACTCTGTTTTGCTACCACACAACCCTGGAAGGGGTAGTAACAGTGTTTGTTTGTGGTTGTTTGCTTGTTTTTATTGAATATTTTATTGGGTTACAGAAGTACACATAGTGTTTCTGGTGTTTGTTGTGATATGGGTGCAAAAGCATAGCAGAAAGTAGGACTGAGTCGTTCAGAAGTGGTATCCAAGAACACACACGCACACAAAGAACTAATGAGTTAAAGCCATGCACACACCTTGATAATGCGGCAATGTTCCTAAGCATGTGAATGGGCCCATTGGAACCTTATCTACATACAGCTATCCCTCTGGAAATCTGGCGATTATCATTGTACGGAGGAATGAGGGCACAGGCTATGTTGCCATAGTACAAGACGACAAGCCTGAGAATGCAGAAATCCAAGCAGTGTTCGATTCCTGTGGCAATGGGACTTGCTATCATTCAAATGGAAATGTGTGGTACGTTCAGTTCAATCAGTTTGCTCTTGTTGTTTTACGTTTAGGTTGTAAAATGTATACCAGTGTTTTGTACTTAATTTGAAGGGTGATCAGGACCTCGTTTTCTAATTCAAAAACATGCTGTGTCCTTTGTTAACCAAACGGCAAATACAGAATACTGGAGGTTACTGGTGAATGTAAAAATTCCAACTGAACTTTTAAAATGGATTTCCCGCTGAGAAAACCAAAAGAATTGGAAACTTGAGAGCCATTTTGAAAGGTTCACATGGATTTCCCGCCAAGAAAACCACAAGAATTGGAAATTTGAGAGCCATTTTGAAAGGTTCATGTTTGTTCCCAGAATAGTCACGTGTTTCAGCCCTGCTGTGAGAAAGGGAAGTTATAAGACAGAATGGTGTTTTAGCTGCTGGGCCGTGGCTTCCTTTCAGCAGAGGCAGGCTGGCAGAATTAGCAGCAAGAGGAAGAGGTTAGCATCTGAGCAAGGGACCAGGGACCATGGCTGAATGCCAGTCAGGGACGGAGAAGTAAGCTGGGTGCAAGAACAGCCTGACAGGAAGATGTTCAGTACATGAGGTTTGTCCCATTGCAACAACACTGTGCTGGGAGAAACGGCATCCTCTGAACTTGCTGAGCTCTGGGGTATTAAAAACCCCAGAAGCCAAAATTGTAGTTCTGCCTCCTGATGAAAGAAATGCTAGGTGAGAAATTGTATGGGTTTTAATGAGTCGGTCAGCTCATTAAATACATTTACATTTTCCTGGAAGTAAAATCAACCAGTGCCAGTGTGGTGTAGTGATTAGGAGTGGTAGACTCGTAATCTGGGGAAGCGGGTTCGCGTCTCCACTCTTCCACATGCAGCTGCTGGGTGACCTTGGGCCAGTCACACTTCTCTGAAGTCTCTCAGCCCCACTCACCTCACAGAGTGTTTGTTGTGGGGGAGGAAGGGAAAGGAGATTGTTAGCTGCTTTAGACTCCTTCGGGTAGTGATAAAGCAGGATATCAAATCCAAACTCTTCTTCTTCTTCAACCTTTTTTTAAAAAAGAAGACATGTTCCTTGTTTTCGCATTGACGAATACCTATGCCACAGCAACTATATTAGAAAATGTACTCCCTCCTATGTCAAAAGAGAAGGAACAACTCTTCTGGGATGGTGTCTGTGTCAAATTAATTGGGGGCAGCTTGCTAGCCAGTGAAAAGGTTTTTAATGGAATAATTAGTTAAACACTATCCTATTTATCTAGCAATGGAGACGATGATCATAAGAGTTGGGTGGGGTAACTCTGTTAGCAGGCAGGCTGATCTTTGATGAGGCAAGTGACCCTGGTGTGGAGGCAAGCCAGTATTCGGTTATTGTTGATCCAACCTTGGAGATTGCCCTTGTACCTTTGCCATTTCCCCCCTGTTTGATTTGGCAGTACAATGGTACCTCGGGTTACAGACGCTTCAGGTTACATACTCCGCTAACCCAGAAATCGTACCTCAGGGACTTCCGGGGTGGCGCCATCGGCAATGGCGGACTCCCTCTGATCTGGAGGGACTAGCTCCACGCGAAACGGGTCTTTTCCGCTACGGCGAAGCGGGGACCCTTTCAAAAATCACAGGCGGATGAAGCCTGTGACCATGGGACTCGGCGGGCACCTTTAGCGCCCCCCCAACCCGCAAAAGAACCCACTAACGGGCTCCAGAGCGAAGAGGGGGAAGTGGCGCGGTGCTGAGAGTCAACTGCTTCTTCCGTGGAGTGAAGCCGCACAGCCGTTGCCGGAGAGCGCTGCCTTTTTCCTGGGACAATTTGGCTCCTAAAATAATCACCTGTGAGTACTTAAATCTCGGACAATTGGACTTTAAATAAGGACTTGCGAGCAGAAAGGAAAATTGGACTTAAAAGTTTATTTCAATTTGGCACAGAAACGGGAAGGTCTAAACAGGAAGTCAGCCTTCCGTTTCTTTGTAGATAGATTGAAGCAAAGACATGGCAAACTAGAGCCCAGAAAATCACTTGTAAAAGGTTAACTTTCATCATTTAAAATTGTTGAACCCCCGTCGGAAGCAGGAGAAGAGGGGGGAATTTTTTCGGACTGTTTAAACCTGCAGGAGTGAGTGCAAAATAAAGTAACTTTCCACCGTCTTGATCCTGGAGCGGGGTGTCAGGACTGACGTTTTTTGAAGCTCATTGACCAGAGACAAACGTCTTTGACAGATAGCTAAAAGAAGAGAAACATAGTGATTCCATTGTTCCCCTTCGCATTTTAAAGGAACAAATATTGACAAAATATCTGAAAAGGAAACTTTGTTGTCAGACTTGTCTTTAAAAGAAAGAACAAAAAGAAGTTTCCCCCTAGAGGGAGACTGTGAAACTGTAACCAATTTCGGGGAGCTTGCAGCTGTTACTGATTACAATCGTGGGAATAGACTTCTGACCTTGCAGGACAATGTATTTAGAAGCTCTGTTGTGTGCTCTCTGTAAAACAAATGCCCTACTGGAACAGCTACATGAGAAGACACACTTGATGACTGATGCGATCAGAAATTTTGAACAGGCAGCGGGAAATTATATGGAGCCCACCCAGGAATTAAATCAGGAGTGTGCCCTGACAGAACAGATGAGGGAAGAGGATGTTGCTGAATCTGGGGCGCCAGAGATGGAGGGAGCTGTGGCCCAGCAGGATCATGAGCTTTTGGATTTGACAAATGAACTTGGAAAAAGCCAGATTTGGAAAGATAAAGTTTGGTCTGGTTTGGAAATGGGGGGTTGGATAGACCCCCCTATGCAGGGATGTTTGGACTTTTCAAGTCTGGCAATGGGCCGTGAGATGTTTGGGGTTGTGGGGGCTCTTAATTTTGGAGGGACTTTGAAACATGTTCTTAAATACCATATGGAGTTTAGTGTGGACTATGGAAAATCGAGAAGGGTCAAAAACATTGTTAAGCTGGAGTTCCCACGAGTGAAAGGAGCAGGAGACAAAGGAAAATACAGCTATAAACATGAAGAAGAGCCGCGGAAGGGACATGGAAGAGACTTAAGGGCCTCGGATACAAGATTACCAGGTTAATGCGCTAGATTGATGGGATAAAAAGGACTGACAAAACCCGGGACCAGGAGGAAGGGACGTTGGATGAAGATTGGATTGTTTTTACTTTGTTTTTTTTATTATTATTATTAGGATTGTCTTATAAAATTGATGTTAGAAAAATGTTGGAATGAAATTACTTGGCTTTAGTAAAAATGTTTAAAGAATTATGTAAGAATATTATGGTTATGAGAAGTTGGTAAAAATAAGACTTAAATTTTAAGCTTTAAGGTTTTTTATAGTAAGATAAGATTAAAATAGATTAAGGTAATGTAATGACAGAATATTATGAAATATGGAAAGGATTTGCTGCGACAATTAACTACCAGGATACAAAAAAAGGGAGGAAGAGGAGGTCAAAGAAAGAAGGTAATGACAGTTAAGGATTTGAGAATGATGGATTTGTTTTTGAGTGTTTGTGGTGTATTTTTGTTTTTTGAACTTGTATTGTTTGATGTGGTTTGTTTTTTCTTGTTTTTTCTTTTTTTTCCTGCTTTGTTCTCTTTTGTAATTCTAAAAAATTTTCAATAAATATCATTTTAAAAAACCAAAACAGAAATAGTACCTCAGGTTAAGAACTTTGCTTCAGGATGAGAACAGAAATCGTGTGGCGGCAGCGGGAAGCCTCATTAGCTAAAGTGGTACCTCAGGTTAAGAACAGTTTCAGGTTAAGAACGGACCTCCGGAACGAATTAAGTTCTTAACCCGAGCTACCACTGTATCTGGATGTGAATATATTTTCAGACAAGGGCTTGGGCTGTACAGCCAGGTTTCACCCCCTTCCCGTTCGGAGGTCCTCTCAAGTTGTTATTTTCCACATTTAGGATAAATGTTACGATTCGAGGAGGACATTATTCGGACGAAGCTGGCAACAAAGTGAAAACGTGGATCTGGCCCAACAATTTGCAGAAGTGCGTCTCGAGAGCACCGTTTAAGCCAGTCTTTCTATCCTTGAACCAGAACATTGGTGTCAGGATAGTTGAGCAAGACAGAGTAGCCATTTCTTTCCTTGCAAACGGCAAGCAGGCAAAAATCAACATAGGAGCAAAAGTAAAGGTACTTTATTTCAGAGTTAATATGGAGGAGGGTGGATGAGTTTACATGTTCTTAAGGCACAGCTGAACAAGAGAGGGTGGGATTGTTTGGGGGGGTAAATATAGAAAACGTTTTTGAAAAAAGGAATGGAGCAGTTTGCTTCGAACTTACAGAGCTACTTGAAAAACGAAGTTAAATTGGCCAAAGACTGACACATAGTTTATCTGGTTTGTACAAGACAATGTCTATAGTTCAGCATCACTTGACCAAATAAACCAAAATGTCAGTCAGGTGGAAGTTGGGGTTCCCCCCCCCCTCTAGTGAACAAAAAGAGGGAAACAAATTATAAATTCAAAAAGATTTATGAAAGCATTTACAGAGATGAATTTGTATAATCAAGAATTCAGGCTGAGACTCAAATGATGTGGCTTATAGGATAAGTTAAGAAAAAAGCAGACTGAGAACAGGCCAAGGAAGAATATTATATAAAACTTTAAAATTAAAAATCTAGTAGGTAGAACACTCTTCAGCCATGAAGTTTAAAAATTCCTTATGTAATCTGATCCATGCAGATTATCAGTGTGCCCATAACTGTTCTTGAACTTCTCTCAAGCGCACATTGCTTAGCAATATAGTTCCATACATTAAATTTCAGCAAATTTGAAAATGAGAGCAGGAACGGCATGCTTTTTTTTTTAACAGGGAGCACAGAAAATAGCAGTTTTAAGAGAATAAAAGGACATTGGGATGGATCCATCTAAGTTCTATTCATAGTAGATCCATTGAAATTAATGGACCTAAGTTAGCCATTCCCATTAATTTCAATGGGTCTACTATGAGTAGGAATAATATTGGACATATTAGCAAATGTCAGAGAATCCTGCCCTTCTTGAGGTTTCAGCAAATGTGGTGCCCATGTGCATGCAAAGAGGGAGGCTTCTGAAATACTCATCTGACCTGAGTTGGTTTTATGCCTTTTGCTATTTCTGCAGTTTTAATGAGGTTGAATAAAAATAGGGTTGGTGGTTTTTTTTTAAAAGCAACTTTTAAAAGAAAGGCTTTGGGAAGGGAAAACTGAAGGTGGCTCATCCACTTAATTCCATGTTCTCATGTGGGTAGAAATTAGTGCTCTTTGAACTCCTCATTCCTTTTCCAATTTGTTTTTGGCTTGTTTTTTTGTTTTGTTTTTTACATTATTTCCCCTCCCACTGGGAAGCATAAGAGGAAAATTAAAGTGAACCAACAATGCCAACTTCAGGGCTGGCGTAGTTAACCCCTGGTCTGAGGGCATGCCAGGGAATGGGGAAGTTTTCCAAACCACCCTCTTTTTAGCCTTGCCAACATCAACAAGGTCTGACCATCAGTAAATTCCAGATAAGAAGAGGGAATCTGGTCCTTGCCTCTCTTCACACTCAGAGAGAAATAAGACTGCTACGTTGGTCAGTCTCACAGTAACACTGATTTAATTTCCCTTGATTTAAAACAATACTCACTGTTAGGTTTCTTTCCCTGTGTGACCTTTCTGACTTTCTGCAAGCGAGAACTGCCATGTGACTTGGGAACTACATTAACTCGTTGATTTTTTGCTTCCTTAAAAGCCGCTCGCTGAGCATCACCCGTGGCCGAAGTTTGTGTCTGAAGATGACCTCTTCCTGTTTGCCTGCCGGATAAAGATTCTCCGCATCTTTGCTAAACTGCAAGGGTGTTTAGATTTTCCTAACAACGACTGGTGGGCTAAGCTCCAGCTGCCTTCATTTCTTTTCACTAAGGCTTTGAAGTTAATGAACCTTTGTAAGGAATGTGAAATAAGTTCTGCTCTGGACACCTTAATCATGGAAACATTAAATTCACCAGCCTGATCATGATTATGTTATGTGAAGATACTTGTTTCGTTGTTCAAATGAATATTTACCGGTATGTTGAATTCTAGAGGTATCGGAAATCAGATCTCAGGATTCATTTAATAACAGTTCCATTTATGCTGGTCACATAACACGCAGTACCTTCTTATGTTATACAGCAGAAAAAGGGGACACTGAGCCTACTTTAGGCAGGAAGTTAAATTAGATTGGCATTTTAGTACCACCCAACTATGATCTAGGTGCTCTTATGGTGCTGTTATAGAGTCCAGACTCTAATTGAGGAATTGAGCTTAGACAGGTGGACTCATCCATTGTCTCCCGAGACAGACAGATGCAACTGTAATGGTCCTGGCAGCATGGCTTGGATCTCTGTGAGGTTTACAACTCACAAAGGAGCCAAAACTTCCTCACATCTGATCTGCAGCAGGAGTCGATTCCTATCATATATGACTTTGTACTGTGGCCTTTCACAAGCAATTGAAGGGTGTAGCAGTACTAGAAACCAATTGCTTATGTGCCATGCCTGTCAAGTTTCCCTGAATAGCCCTGCATGGCCACTCATTTCTGTTCTCCGTCTTGTTAGAAAACAGGCAGCAACTCAGTGGAAGCAACAGCTATATGGGACGTCCTCCCAAGAACAGGGCAGGGGGGCGGGCGGCGGTTAAGTTTAACAATTTAATAAATAACAATGTAATACAGCAATAAGGGTGGGAGAAGAACGTAAAGGCTGGAGATAGATTTGGGTTTTTATTTAAGTTTGTTTATCGATGCTTGGATTAAATTAACTGCATAGAAATTGGTACTGAAACTAGACCCAACACATTTCCCCTTCTAGTTCGTTTATCTAGCCACATGTGGAACCAGATAACCAGGCAAAAAGGAACATATATCTTACAAAGGGAAGGTAGACTGGATAACAGCACGTACAAAATTCTGTGTTAGGGTAAAATTATTTGCACACTTATTCCCAAAAGGCACTTATTAAAAAGAACACTAAGAGGGGAAATATATGCAGCACTGTTTTCTTAGCTCACTGTTGATCTCTGCGTCACCAAATTATGGTTAACTGCCCAGTAGTGGAATAGATAGGATAGGAAGCCCAAACCTTAGTTCAGAAAACTTGGTTGCGCATTTGGACTTTTTCTGCATTACCTTTTTTTACTGATGATCAGGGCACAATAAGCTTTCCATCTGCTTTATGGTGGGTTTCCTCTCTTCCGCCTTGAATCAAGAAATGGTGAGCACTCCTCTGAAACTGTTGAAGGGAGGAGATTTAGGCAGTTGATCCCCAGATGAATTTCCTCCGCAGGGTAAGTCACTTTGGTTTATGATGTTGAAATGGGTCACTGCCAACCTGTTAGACCTGTGGGGTTTTATTTGTCCCTTTCCCTTACACTTCAACATTTTGACCAACTGGGTTCTTATATCCTTGCTGTATAGCGAATAGATAAAAGGATTTATCAGAGAATTGGCTTCTCCTAAAATGTATAACAAATCCTTCAGCCGTGAGCTCAGGATGCAGGAGGTACAAGTAGCTTTCACAATGGCAGCTACATAATAAGGGCTCCAGAAGAGGACAAAACAGATAATCACAATGAGGACTGTCCTCAGAGCTTTGAAATGGCGGAGAGGAGCAGTAGGGGTATCTGGGTGCAAGCAAACACGTTGGATCTGCTTCTGATGAAGATAAGCAATCCTCCCCACCGAGATATGTAAACAGACCAAGGTCAGCAAGGCAGGGATATAGATGCCAAAACAGATTATGTACAGGTAGTCACTCTTGGCTGCTGCCAGGACCCCACAGCTACCTGAGAATTCACTTTGTTGCAGTTGTGAGAAAATAAGTGGCATGTGTCCTACCAAGAAGGAAACCGTCCACAGGACAACAAGAGAGAAGACTATAGGTTTCTTGCTCATAAGTGTAGGGTAATGAAGAGGCAGCTTCACTGCCAAGTACCTGTCCAGAGAAACCAAAAGCAAGGTGAGAATGGACCCAATGCAAGGAGTGATGCTCATGCAGATCCGCAAGAGACAAATAAACAGATTTCGGTCAAATAGTGCATCTGTTGCATCATCCAAAGCTTCCCCAATGCACATCACACCAACCAGCAGATCAGCAGCTGCCAAGTTAAGGATGAAGACATAATTTCTGCTTGGTTTCTTCTTTCTCAGCTGACAGATGACTATGATCACCAAGAGGTTGGATGATGGGATGAAGACGCTTAAGAAGGCATGTAGCACTGTACACAAGGTATCCGGCATCTTCTTTGGGAAGCAGCAGTGGAAACTACTGGGTTTAACATATGCGTTGCATACGCAACTTACAATCAATCCACAAGAGGCGACATCAGGCTAGGAGGAAACATACTACCATTGAGAAACTGGTAGAAGTAACAGCAGCAAGAAGTGATGATCCAGTGTCTAGAATCCATTGGCTCGGCTCTGCTGGTCAGATGGATCCTTTCAAACTTCTGGGCAATGTTTGCCATTGAGAGAGATTGCCAGCATCACTGTAGCTTCCGAGTTCTTTTCCCTGTGTGAATATAGGTTTTTCTTTTTCACCTGGCAGAGGTGCGTCTGAAGATGCATGAAGGCTTCGGGCACAGTGAACTCGTTGGCTTGAGGAGGAGGGGGAAAACACCTGGGGCGGGCAGTGCAGCCTTGTTCAATCAGTTCCTGAAACTGTCTTTGACGCAGAAAGATAAGGAAGGCGTTTGACAAACAGAGTGGAGAAACATTGTGAGCTCCCCCACCACCACCATTAGGCAGCTAAAAGGAGCTCGTGCAGTTTAAAAAGCATGCTCCGTATGCATGCAGGAAAATATTCCTGCATGTTTATGCTATTAATGTCAATGGAGTCAAATTATTTGATCTCGGGTAGAAAACATACTTCAGTCACTACAGCCAGAAAAAGGTCATTGTTTCCAGTTTAGTGGATATTGGATGTAAATACAAAGCTAGGATGTGAACTGGTAAAAGCTCACCAGAAACCACGCTTTCGAATACTGGTTGACTTTGTTAATCCAAAATTAAAATGGGGGCTTAGTACTTCCTACATTTTATTTAGGAATGCAGTCTTGGTGTATTTCTTTACTTGGATTATTAAGTCCCATTGAACTCAAATCTCTAATAAGACAAGAATAGGATCACACTGTTATCTTGACTAAACACTTTTTAAAAATCAATTGTTCCACATCCTCTAGCTGTCTTTCAGAGCAGGGAAGGCTTGGAGGTATATCACCTGCACTGCCTGCAACAAGTTCTAAGTTCAATCCCTGGCAAATCCATGTATGGCTAAGAGAGCTCTCTCCTTGAAAACTGTTGCCAGTCAGTGTAGAAAAAACGCTGAACTAGCTGGATTAATACAGTGGTACCTCAGGTTAAGTACTTAATTCGTTCCGGAGGTCTGTACTTAACCTGAAACTGTTCTTAACCTGAAGCACCACTTTAGCTAATGGGGCCTCCCGCTGCTGCCGCGCCGCCGGAGCACAATTTCTGTTCTCATCCTGAAGCAAAGTTCTTAACCTGAAGCACTATTTCTGGGTTAGCGGAGTGTGTAACCCATAGCTGCCAAGCGTCCCTTATTTGGCGGGACAGTCCCTTATTCCAGCGCCATGTCCCGCTGCTGTCCCTTATTGATGATGTCTCTTAAATAAGCTACTGAAGGTAATGGGGCCCTTTCTATGTCCAGCTTGCTTTGTCAACAACAAATTGTTGCTTTTTGTGTGTGTTGAATATATGCTATATGGTAATTTATGGACCTTATAGGTATCTAAAGCCATTTGCACGCAACAAAATAGGTAATTTATAAAAGTAATTGTTGATCCCTTATTTTGGCTGCTGATCCCTTATTTTCGAGGCTGCTGGTCCCTTATTTTCAAATCTGTAAGTTGACAGCTATGGTGTAACCTGAAGTGTATGTAACCTGAAGCGTATGTAACCTGAGGTACCACTGTATTCTGACTCTGTGTAAGGGAGCTTCCTAACACTTGCATGTTTTAGGTTGCCAAGAAATCTTGCATTTTCCTTCTAAGTTCAAGGCTATGCGTTTGAGAGTTGTGATTTAGGACAGGGGTAAAAAACAACGTGCTGTCTTTGAGGCATTTTGGTCTGTAACTCCTGTCAGCCCCAGACAGCATGGTCAAGGTTGACTGACAGTTCAACAGCATCTGTTCTACACAGGACACTCACAGGTTTCCATCCTCCAGAAATCAATGTTTTGCAATGACATTGCAATATAAAAGTGGCAGTAGAGAACGAAGAGTAAGAGGAGGGGTGATACAAGAAGGGGCAGAACAAATTAGTAAATCTCCTCCATCATCCCCCAAAGCCAAACCCAGCTTCCTGGCAGTTATAGAAACTAAGTCTGTTGCTTATATTTCTGAGAGTAACCAGAGCAGGGCCCCAAATAGAGAGGGACAAGAACAGATAAATTATGGAAAATTGGGTGCTGGAAAGAATAAGCAGTCCATAAATAGTTGCAACAAATAGAAATGTGCTCTGTTAAGGTCTGAGAGGAAAGAGAATTTTATAGTGTACGGACAAAGGTATACCCAACTGTGCTATATTTAGACAACTGCAAGGAACTGGTTCAACTCAGGACTCTAATATGTTGTCAATTTATCCTCTGTCCAAACAGTATTTTCATTAAGTTCACATTTACTGCAGTTTCCAGTTTTATTGTCAACCATTCCAAGATAGGCATCACTAGCGACTACTTGTTAATGGCCACCAGAAGAGTTTCAGTAATAGCTCTGCAAACACTGCTTTGGAGAGATTGTACCTTGTGGCTGTTCCTAAGCAATTCACACAGAACATCTGCCAAGCTTTTAGGGCCTGCAAGCTTCTAATCCTAGGTCTTTAAAACAGTGGCTAGTTACAGCTATGAGAAATAGGGACCCAACAGGGTAAAGCTCATAGGACCATCCTGCAGAATTGATGATGTACTGCCTATTGATAGTGTCCCCCAAGAAGTTTCAACTGGAAAAAAGAAAAAGAAAAGGGGTGGGGGTGGGGAGAAAGACAGAAATAATCTCTTTTCAAAGGCATTACCTGAAGTATTTTTGTATGGTTTCAAAACTGCAGCACCTTGAAAACAGGAAAGGCAAGGCAACAGAATTTAAGGTCCTATGAAGTAGGAAACAATCCATTTTATAATTTGAGCACCAAAGTATTATTTAATCACTTTGATTAGAAGCCCAAAAGAATATTGAGGAAAAACAGGTATATGGCTTTGGGTGCTCAGTAAAATTGTGCGTGAATTCACAATTGTGTGTGATTTCAGTGGGACTTTACTTTTTCCAGGGCCAAACCCTATGGTGTTCTCAGTCAAACGATTTGTGAGAGTCGCGTACTTTTGTCTTACTGAAGACCAGTTATGAAGGATTAAACAAGTGATGTTTCCCATATTGCAAGTGTAGGAAGCCTTCAGCCTTCCAGATTTATTTTTAGTTCAACTTTATCAGCGCCAGCTAGCACAGCTAATTGTCAGGGAGGTGTGGTCCAGAAATAACTGGAGGGCCACAGGGCATCACACACCCACACATACACGTAGACTGACAGTATACAGAACATTATTTCTTGTTTAAACTCTCATTTTGTTGTTTTAAAAATACTGTGAGTCAGGGGTGGCTAACCTGTGGCCTTTCAAGTATTGAACTACAATTCCAATTAGTGCCAGCCAGCTTGGTCAGTGGTCAGAGACGATGGACAATATTTGGAAGGTCTCTCGTTAGCCATCCATGTTGCAGATCAGAAGTAGATAACCTGATCTGGCCACCAGGCTATTCTTTTAGCTCCTACCCCTTGTGGGCTGAATTTGGTGGGCAAGGTTACCCACCAGAAAATTGCCTGATGTCACAGTGATGTCACCAGGATTGCGAAAAACTCTGTGTGGTGTTTTGAACCAATGCTGATCAGCAGATTTGAAGTCATGCCCTATGAGCTGACGGGCAGTGACTTCAACCATACCTTTTGCAGGGATTGGCCGCACAAGTGCATTCTCCAAGGGCAACCAGATCTTTATGGAGTCATGACTCTTTGCCCCATGCCTGACATCACATGACATCAGGTGTGGGAGAGGTGGGCATTGTTTCAGGTAAACAGTCTCGCAGGCCCAACTTGGTCCTCTGGCACAGGTCCCCCACCCCACCCTCCGACCTAAATAACTAAAATTAAAAGTTACTCTGTTATTAAAATAAACGAATGCTACAAGTAAAAGGGCTTTGGAATGATCTAGTATAAATTACGGGAACAAGCATAAATTACGTTGGTGCTAGAATGTGAAGAACGGAGGCAATCACAAGATTTGTATCCATAACAAACGAAGGTTTCCCTTTTGTTTACTTGATGAATACAAACACTGCTTCCAAGACATCATACCAAACCTGTTAAGAAGGGTAGGAACAAGCAGCTATTAACCTTGTAGCAGGTTAATGCCTGGGAGTGGAAGGCTTGACATGAATGTGGACAGGAGGCAGCCAGGGAGGAACCCAGCTGTATATAGCAAAATAAAATTATGAAGGAGAATCTAGAGGACCACAACCACCAGTCAGTCTGTCTCAAATGCAACTCGTCCCTGGTTTTAGGATTCTTCTCTTGAACACCCCCTACTCAGTGCCGGATTTACGTATAAGCTAAACAAGCCATGGGATGCGGGTGGCGCTGTGGGTTAAACCAGAGCCTAGGACTTGCCAATCAGAAGGTCGGCAGTTCGAATCCCTGGGACAGGGTGAGCTCCCATTGCTCGGTCCCTGCTCCTGCCAACCTAGCAGTTCGAAAGCACGTCAAAGTGCAAGTAGATCAATAGGTACCGCTCCGGCGGGAAGGTAAACGGTGTTTCCATGCGCTGCTCTGGTTCGCCAGAAGTGGCTTCGTCATGCTGGCCACATGACCCGGATGCTGTACGCCGGCTCCCTCAGCCAGTAAAGCGAGATGAGCGCCGCAACCCCAGAGTCGGTCACGACTGGACCTCATGGTCAGGGGTCCCTTTACCTTTAAACAAGCTATAGCTTAGGTCACATGGGTAGGCAAACTAAGGCCCAGGGACCGGATCCGGCCCAATCGCCTTCTCAATCCGGCCCGCGGGTGGTCTGGGAATCAGTGTGTTTTTACATGAGTAGAATGTGTGCTTTTATTTAAAGTGCATCTCTGGGTTATTTGTGGGGCATAGGAATTCATTCATCCTCCCCCCAAATAAATATAGTCTGGCCCCCCACAACATCTGAGGGACAATGGACCAGCCCCCTGCTGAAAAAGTTTGCTGAGGCCTGGCTTAGGACTCTCTTGGGGGCCCCAAAAAAATGTAAAGGGAAAAAACCTGGATGTGCATTTCCAAAATATAAGTTCAACAATTTGATAAAATACGTATTTTGGTATGTGCAAATGGCTTTAGATACCCATTAGGTCCATAAATTACCATATAGCATATATTCAACACAAAAAACAGCTGTTGACAAAGGACAGCCGGACATATAAAGGGCCCCATTACCTTCAGTAGCTTAGGGCCTCATCAAACTAAATCCGGCCCTGTCCCTACTTGAGTGTTAAATTCCAAGTTGATTAAAATTCTGGTTCATTCTCAGAGTAACTGTCTCAGTGACTAGTACAGCAGCAAGTCCTCATCTCTGTTCTACCCCAGATTTCCAAGTGGGGCAACAGTGGGCTCACTGCATGGCCAGAAACTACAAGAAACCAACTCCCTAAGTGGGAAGAGATGCTGCACATTGTGCTTTTTACACAGCCCTGTTGCAATGCCATGAAGCTAGTTTTAAAACCATGCACTCTCAAAGCAGGAAGGTTCAAAAATAGTGTTGATGTTCTGTACGGCTACGGTTTATGGAAATTAACAACCTAGCAACACACCTGAGCAACCACAAACACAGGTGCACTCTGCTTGCTTGATACTAAAACTGTTTGTTCACATGGAGGTGCATTATTCATGGGAAAAGAAAATCCTTCCTTCACAAGATACATTCAGGGTGAGGGGAGGAATATACTGAATGCTGAGAGTTGGGGTGCATTTCACTGGTTATTCAAAAGGCTCAGGAGCTGATCAGCAGATTTGTAAGTAACATTTGATGGTTTGTAATTTACAATTCAAGCTGTGTTAAAGCCAACATGCACATGTAACTCATATCCATCAAGTATCTGTTTCACTCAGATACATACTGAAAACTTCAAAGACAAATCACGTCACAAAATACTCAAATTAGAAACAAAACAGGTGAACGACCATTAAAAGCTCGTATTAAAGTTAGCTACATATGGATGAAAATTGCAGGCGTTTTAGTTACTGCCTACTGACTAAATAGCTTTTCCTTCCCTAACTCACTAGACCAACACTGATAAAATAAAATAAAAATAATAATTTACTTGTACCCCGCCCATCTGGCTGGGTTTCCCCAGCCACTCTGGGCGGCTTCCAACAAAGATTAAAAATACATTAAAATCTCAGACATTAAAAACTTCCCTAAACATAACCCTAAACTTCCCTAAAAATATACAGCTTTTCCAATAACATAGTGGCATAAAACCACTTACTTAGATGAAAATGCAATACACTGCAGAATAAATTTACTGCAGTTCCTGTTGAAAAGCACAATGTCTGCTACAGGAGACGAATCACTTATTTGACTACTCCTGCACAGTTTTCCTGCATGTGGAGACTTCTTACTCATTCTGATTATTGTTGCCCAAGTTCCATCTTTCAGTTAGGTAAAGGTAAAGGTACCCCTGCCCGTACGGGCCAGTCGTGTCCGACTCTAGGGTTGTGCGCCCATCTCACTTAAGAGGCCACGTGGCCAGCATTCAGTTAGTGCGTCACAATAATGATTGTTTATTTGCATATGCTCGCCAAATGCTGAGGAAAAGATGCTGTACATCAAATGTTTTCTCGTGCGCATCAACATTTTACGAACTTCAGACTTGCATATAGTGCTAGCAATCTAGTGCTAGCAATCTACTTGCAGAAAACATTTTAGGCATTTGTTTCTTTTTTAAATGAAACCTATGACTTTTCTACAATTTGGCTACAACAGACACAAGAAACCAATTTTTTAAAAATACATTAGAAAAACTGAGCTCCCCTCTGCATTTACCTGGGGTTCCTAGTCTGGCTATGGAAGGGGACAAGCCACTGTTCATTTGTGTGTACATATGTATGAGGGACGCGGGTGGCGCTGTGGGTTAAACCACAGAGCCTAGGACTTGCCGATCAGAAGGTCGGCGGTTCAAATCCCCGCAGCGGGGTGAGCTCCCGTTGCTCGGTCCCTGCTCCTGCCAACCTAGCAGTTCGAAAGCATGTCAAAGTGCAAGTAGATAAATAGGTACTGCTTCAGCAGGAAGGTAAATGGCGTTTCCATGCGCTGCTCTGGTTCGCCAGAAGCGGCTTTGTCATGCTGGCCACATGACCCGGAAGCTGTATGCCAGCTCCCTCGGCCAATAAAGCGAGATGAGTGCGCAACCCCAGAGTCGGTCACGACTGGACCTAACGGTCAGGGGTCCCTTTACCTTTATGTATGCCTGTAATTCAAGGCTTCAAAATGTTACCTTGTTTCAGTTTAATTCTTCACAGATATATCATTAAACATGTGATATAGAAACACAGTGTGTGTCCCAAATTATTCTATTTTTGTTTTGCTCATTCTAATTTTTTTTACCCAGAATTCAAGTCTAAACAAAAGGATGAGTTATGTTTCCGCCACCTCCAGCTGCTTCCAAGTAAGTTACTGTGTTAGAACTGAGAGTGCAGTTTTGGTCACAGAACACTCTCACAAATGGAGGCAAAAGGTAGGTGGTCGTTCCCCCCCCCCATTCTCCTTGCAATCACAGAAAAGCGCCATGGGTTGCTGTATAAGGAATTTGCAAAATACACTTGAGCTTGTGGAATCCTCTGGTGGTTTACAATCCCTTCTGTAAATAGAACAGCTGCACTGGATCCAACCAAACAGTCTTTTCTGCACGGCTTAAATATAAATAGTTGTGGTTTCTCATAGACTTCTAACACATTCTTCCAGCTCAGTAATTAGAATGTTTAATTTCCTTTCTATCTAAGAAGCCAGAGGAGAGGAAACGGCTGTTACTAGGCTAAAAGTATTCTATCACAGGCAATGTATTTGGTGCTTTCCAAACCTAAGTCTGTAACTGTAACTTGATGTGTTGTGAATTGCAGAAGTTGAAGTTTCAAACAAGAAAGCCTCCATAAACATTAAACATTGTCTTGTGTTTTTCTTCTTCTTCTTCAAGCACAGTCGCCAGACAAACACATTCATAAAATGATTCAAGGTCTTTCACACAGTAGATGAAATTTCTTTATTTAAATTAGTTTGCTTAGCTCATATTTAGGACAGAATAAAGGCCAAGCTATTTGATCATTTAAGAGTGGCCCAGAAACAGACTTCAAAATTGCTGAGGGAATTCGAACAGCACTTGGTCTTCTTTGAAGTCATGACACTTAGGTACTTACTCTGCATATAGTTTTGTTTCTATAATTTATTATACAATGCACCATTCACTCAGCAATATACTCTGAAAATATACAAAACTTACATAACCAAATCTGCAATATTTGACAGCCACCAATTTTTATCCAGACCAGTTTAAAGGATAACCAGTACTCGTAAGAGATCAATTTTAACTACAAATGGAACATAAATTTCACACACAGTAGATCAGACTTTTCCAATGAAAAAAATAAGGTTATTAAAGCATTTTGTCATCTTCTTAGAAATGAAAATAAAAGTGTTGGATCTAGGCTTTGGGTTGTATCCAACATTGGTCATACTTGGAGCAGACCCAGTAAATAATGAACTGTTCTGTTAATTTTAGTGGGTCTAGTTCAAGTAGAACTTAGCTGGTCTAGCCCTAAGTTAGATGCACTTATACTACATTGATTTCAATTGGAACTAAGTGCAATTAGCTATGGATCCAACCCAAAACACTGTTATCGGTTAATGTCTGCATTGTCTAGCTCTAGAGTGGTTGAATTAACTTTAAAAAAAACAACTATATAGTATTATTGCACTCCTTGAATGTGCAGTACTTTGAAATATACCAGCACCGAAAGGGGTCTTGCATTAAGGTATTCAGGAACAACATGAAAACGAGGAGAGCATCCAGTCTGTACCAACAAGTATTCTGTCTTCAGTACAGGCCGTCATTTATTTCGTTCATGTTGTCTTTTGAAAGTGTCGCTTAATGTCTGAAAAACATAGCAAAAACATAGCAGGTTGTGCTACAAAAATAGATCAAATAAATATACCCAAAGCCATTCTATATCCAATGTCGCCATGGAAAACCTACTATATTCAGTTAGAACAACACCACACTAGAAGCTCAGCAAACAGAAATAATGAATTGATATTTAATATGCATGCCACCAGGCTAGTACTACATGAGACAACATGTGTAGAAGTTATCTAGCAAAGGAAAGAGCTAACACTGACAGTCACCAAGTTCCAGAAGTTCCATGTTAAGCCTAGGTGGAACATGTGTATGAAACATTAATTGCATGAAAGTTAGTTGCGATATTTTTTTGCTAGCCTTCAAAGAGGCCAATAGTCTTTTTTTCCAAAGGAAGAGAAGCTCCTTCCTCCACAGCCAGCACAGAAAAACAACAGTCTGGAAAATAGGGATGGAATTATCTGTCCCTGATCCACCAGCCCACTTACTTGCCTGCATAAAATCCCTTGTCAGCCAAAAGCTATCAGGCCAGTGATTAAATACAAGGATTATTTATTACCATTTTATCTTGCAAATCAAATACCTAGCTGAGTAATCTTCAAAACAAACTTACAAGAAGTTTTCAGTACTGATGGATGGGGCTATGATCTATGGTGTGGCATTTGCTCCATGTGCACGTTGAGTTTCATTTCATTATCGAGGATTTGAACAAGTTGTTGCATGGAAGGAAGGTGCCCAGACTGTAGCTTAGACCACACTGGAACATCTAAATAAGAAGTGTAGGAGGTAAAGAACATGATTAGCATATTAAACTACTTTTTGTACAGTGTAGGAACTGCCAGTTGCTGCTCTTATTTTATGCTTGCCAGGATATCCAGAGAAAAACAACTGATACAAGCTTCTGAATACAGTATAGGTTCACTCTCACTCCCGTCTCCATCCCACAAATACCTTTTGTATATGCAACTAAGTATTACCAAGCTTCTGAAGAAACTAGATTAAAAAATATATATATACTTCTGTTTACAAGGTTTGCATGAAGAATTTGTGTGCAAAGTTCTTTCTTGACAGATTACTCTGTCAATGTTCAATCAACTTACACTGGAGAGGTCTTTTAAATGGCACATTACTTAAGAACTGTTAATACTATAGCTTTAGTTATTCGTGAAAGTTTAGGGATCACTCACATTAGTCACAACTTTGACATAGGGTCATCTTAAATAGACCCTTTATTTTGGTCTTCTGAACCAAATGCAGCTGGTAGCTTCATAAATACTTAACAATGGGTACAATTAACACAAAATCCCTCTGAAGCTAACAAGAATACACAAAAGCTGTTCAGAACTCACCATTTAAAGTTATTTCAAATGCACCTGTTGACATACAAATGTTCTCAGTCATGCTGCTCAGGAAGAAAACCATCATACAAGCATAGACCTAAAAATTAAACACATTAATCTAAATGCTAGTCTTTAAATGATGCAACATATTTATCAGTTCAGCTCTATATTCAGCTGATACTAATATTTGGTGAAAGTAATCTCCTTTCTTTGTGACTCTAAATTAAAATTTGTTCATTTTCCTTCCCTGTCTTGAATTCAGAGGGTTCATTTATAACACTTAAGTGAGATAAATACCAAGTGATAACCAGTATGACACACTGATTGCTAGAATAAAATCAGGACGGTTATTATTTCTAAAATAAAACCCCTTTTTATAAAGCAAGTAAGCAAATACACATATGCTCTACATAAGTTGTCTTATTACTATTCTGTTTCAAACCCTAGAGGCATCGTTCCCTTTACTCCAGAATGTTAAATGTGCTTTTGGCGCTATACCCAAAGGATAAAATGATGCAATCTTCAGCAACAGGGCATAAAAAGATCTCATAGTGAAAGATTTATGTTTCAGCTCATATTAAGATTGCAGCTTCTTGTACATGGATTAATTATCCAAGATCATGTGGTTATATATTTAACCCATTACTTCATAAGTTTAGTTATTTTTCAGAATTTCTAATACTAAAGATACTACTTAGACCAGAATCCTTGCCTCATCTGAAAAGTAGTGCTGCTGTTTTCTGCTCTTCTAGGTCTTCTGCACCAGCCACCAAAGAAACCATAACTAATGGTGACATTCTTATTTGCAGCTCAAAAAGCTGATTATAACCAGTAGAAAGTTATTTTTTCCAGCCCTCTTAAAGACATACAGTCGTACCTTGGAAGTCAAATGGAATCCATTCCAGAAGTCCATTCAACTCCCAAAACTGAATTGAGGCTTCTGATTGGCTGCAGGAAGCTCATGCGGCCAATCAGGAGCTGCGGAAGCCCTGTCAGATGTTCGGGTTCCAAAAGAACGCTCGCAAACCAGAACAATCACTTCCAGGTTTGCAGCGTTTGGGAGCCAAAACATACGAGTTCCAGGGCGTTCAATAACCAAGGTACGAACGGGGTGTGTGTGTGTGTGTGTGGGTGTGTTCTGAAGCAATTTCCCCTTCAAGCTATTATCAAAGTGCATGTTTGTGGGAGCATTTAGTTGTGTGAACACCAGGAAACCAATCTCCACTCCATGAAAAAAGTGATGTTGTAAAAGAAAAAGTAGTCTCTTTACCTTATTTTCTTGGCCCCACTGCCAAACGCTTGGAGCTTGCATGCCAAAGAAAGCAAAAGGATCCTTGCCAACAATAATGAAGCCTATTAACACTAGTTTGAAGACTGACAGGAAAGATGCTATATGTCTGGGAGAAGAAAGAGATATGTTAGTCGCCAAAGGCTATTCCTAAACTTATCTTATCAAAAACGACAAAGATTATGCCATACACAGCTGCATGTCACTATTCCAGTAACTTTAGTGATATTTCATCTTATCAATATTACGTATTTGAAAATGTTGCATTTAAAATGCAAGACTACATGTAACTCCCCGCATGTGCGCTCAACTTGTGCATGGCGCTGGGAAAGAAATAATTCGATTTAAACTGCAAAAAGGTGTGGAAAAAGCAGGGAAACAGCAGTCCCATGAGCCTTTGCACTGCCCTTTGAGGCCTGCGGACAGTTGGAATTTGGATAGCAGCAAAAGAATCTGACCCACAGCCAAGCACCTTGGGGTACCAGTCTACCCAACTTGTCATTGTTTCCACATCATCCTCCAGTGATGAGGAAGACTGAGAGCCACTAATGCCACCATTCATGCCAGTCTGGTAAGTGGTGCTGGTTTTTCAAGGGTTTCCAGAGGTTTAAAAGGGTGTTTACAGGCTTTTTAGATGTGTGTTCCCCACTATATGTGATTTCAAGCATACGTGCAGTACCCAGGAACATAAGCTCCATGTAACTGGGGAGTCGCCTGTATTCTAATTAATGAATGCAATTCTGGGCTGAGATCTTAGTTCTTCAGGTTGCCATAATGCAAAAAACTCACTGCTTCTTTATGCTCTCTCTTCTGCATCATCATTAGTGTAAACATTCTAACCACAGCAAAAGCAATCTATCATTACTAGTTTGCAAGTGTGGGTTGATTAGTTTAGCTAGCCTCATGAAACTGAACTCGTGCCATAGGTACCAAATTAGATTAACAAGAGGAATAATAGGTCTAAACTCATGTTTCTGTCATATTTTAATTCATAATAAACTTACCTATAAAGAGGCTGAGGGAGATAATTTTCCCCTTCAATGCGGATGTCTGGGTACCGCTGGCTAATAACCTGCATGTACTCCTCAAACACCCGTCTGTATCCTCAGGAAACACTGAACAGAAATATTTTATGATGATTAGTTTGTGTGTAGTTAAGCATAAACATTTTGCTAAGATTATATATTTGTAGGTAATCAATTGGAATTAGCATGCTTCCGGATTTCCCTAAAAACAATTTACTCCCTCAACTTCACCATCCTCATCTGCCCAAATGTTTCTTGGTCTCCATCATAACTCCCACCGACTTTTCCCCCTTTGAACAGTGGTGACAGCTCTCTCTCCCCCCGCAAAGTCTTTCCTCAAAATCTACATTTTAATGCACTGCAAATTACTTTGAACACAATTCTGTAAATGCAAAAGTATCATGTAAATTAATATTTAATCTAGTCTTTTATGTGGCATTTTGGATTACCCCTCAAATAACCAACTTTGAAATGCAGGCAACTGCATTTTTACACATGAAGCTCTAAACATGGTCTATTTTAAACAGTAAGTTCCCTAAGGAATAAGGCCTGTTTAGTTTTACCTATAGTTTGGTATGGTGCTACGTACACTGATGTATAACCACTTTCACAGGTAGCTTTTGGGACATTTTATCCCAAGGATAAAAGCCTGCTTCAAGTCCATCTCTGTCAGTGCTAGAAATTAGCCAAGTGCATTTTGCGACTAGCATGGGTTCAATTGCAGCCAGGTGGAGATCTCTAGGTGCCAGGTTGTAGACTAGGGAAGGCAAAATGTCACTTAAAGAAGGATCTGAAATATTTTCCTTGAAGCTTGGATTTGTTTTATTCTGGATTGTTTTATTTGATATTTTAATGTGTTATAAACTGCTTTGAGATTTGTTCTTTAAAATATAAAGTGGTACAGAAATGAAATAAATAATAATAATAAATACCATAAAAGGTGCCTAGATATCCCATTGTGGCAAGTGCAACCTAGGTTTAAGGTGCCATTTGTAGATTAGATTATATATCTGAGTTTCTAACACTGATCTCAGTGTGTGTGTCCCATTTCCCCTACCTCTGGTTCTGGGGAATCAACTAAATATTTTATCTAAAGTCATGCAATAGCTTGGATGGCAGCAAGAGCCTTCAGTATGATATGAAAATATTAACCAAGCCAGCTAGAAGGCGAAATCCGAACTGTATGAGAGCTTCCAAAACATGTCTGTAGGTAATAATTAATTCCAATGCTGAAACTTAATGAGTCAACGGTTTGTTTTCCTTGAAAGTATCCGCAAAAAACAATAAGAAAATGGAATACAGCCGAGAACTCTCCAAGAAGAAAATGACAGAAAATTAAAACACACTTTCTCCTCATGTCACAATACCACCTGGAAACTTGATTGTTGTATCAAAACTCTTTACGTTTTTGGTGTTCCCACTACAGCTCTGGGTATTATCTCTTCTGTTCCACGTCATACATTTCTAAAGAGCCCAAGGACTTTAGTAATTGACTTCTCTTGTGTAGCTCACTGTACAGCTATGCCTTAGTAAAAACTATTACATTAAGCAATCACTACAAAAATCACTAGTAATGGCCCTCTAAAGAAAACTGTTTTTTTAAATTAAAGATTTCTTAGTTTACAAAAAGATTTGCATTGTCTCTTTTTTTTCCAAGTTGTCCTTTCTGCATCTCAGTTTCATTTGTTGTGAGACAGTGTTGCATGCAATATTAGGCTGAGAAGAAAAGAGTGGTGGAGATAGAGAGGGGTTGCTTCTATTCTTCTTTTGAGTGCATATGTGGGGTTTTGTGTCTGCGTCACTTGTATAGGCTCTTACTATTCGCTTGTTATATTTCCTTGGTGATGAGAGAGGTTGGGGGTGGCCTAGGGTGTGGTTGATTGTTTTTGGTTGGCTGTAGTGAGATTTGTTTATGTGCGTGAGCGTGTGAGGATGTGGATTTTTGGATCAGGTTAGCCATATTGATTTGTAGGCTATCAGTGGACTCTTGCTGTTGTCTTGTTGAGCTATGTATGTGATAAAGGAGAACCATACTGAGGTGAAGGCATCTTCTTCTATTTGTCCCTGTGTCAGTTTCAGCTGATTGGTTAGTTTTTCTAGTAAGGCTGTTTCCCGTATTATTTGATAGCACTGGACCATGTTTATTCCTGAATGGTCTCTCCAGTGTCTGGCTGAGGCTTCTGGCTGCTGAGAGTAGGTGGGTTATGAGCTCTTTATAATGTTAGTGGGCATTATTGTCTTGGAAGATGTTCGGTAGGGCCAGTTCTGGGGTGACTTCTAATACTTGCTTAGTTATTTTGAGCATTTCTTGTATGACTGATGTCCAGAAGAGTTGGATTTTGGGGCATTCCCATCACATGTGAAGGTATGTGACCGTGGAGGTGCAGCTTCTCCAGCATTTTGGTGGTGTTAGGTACAATCTGAGTTTCAGGGTGAGTTTTTTTCTTTTAACCAACATTGATTTAAAGGGAAGTTTAGACCACATTCTAGTACATTGTGTGGGGTTAACCTCATAGCCTATGTCATCCTCTCATTGTTTATTGCCTACGTTGAGGGGGTTTGTGGGATTTTAGAGCAGTGTTTAGTATATTGTGGATTCCATCCCCTTGCCGTGTCCATTTGTTGTTAGGAGGAGGCTTTTAAGAAAACTGTTTTGAAGCAAACTAGTCTCTAAAATGTTTCGAACACTAGCACAAATAATCCACAATTTCCTTCCAGGAAATTTATACATAATGGTGATCAGGTCATAGGGATACTGTACACCAGAAGAACAAAATTTCCAGATGATGTTTATGATTCTAGCCTTGAGTTTCCTTTACTTGCCTCCCAGTTTGATTCTCTTCTGAGTTTTATTTTGAGAGCCACAGTTTTGAGAGCCTCATGGTTGTCCTCTTCAAAGACAAGGGAGATTTATTTTAGGTTTGTTTTTTTAAAGAAAAGGAAAACTGGGATTTTCACATTTATAACAGGGCTTCTTGATTTAAAAAAAGCTAAAAAGCTACTGAGGAATATACACAATTCACAAATATTACTCAAAACATTCAGTAATAGAACTGGGAACCCAGAAGACTAATGTGAAATGTTTTTTAAATGACTCTGCTTTTCTTTCCCTTTGGTCCCAACTGTGGTGCGTTGCTATGCTGATGTAACACTGCTAACACAAGGAGTAACAATGCCTGAAAAAAATTGCAATAAATAGATGGAGAAACTTTAAAAATGAAGAATGTTTCCAACACAAGAATGAACAATGCTGAAGCTGATAAAGAAAGCCTGAGGAAAGAACATGTTACAGAAAGAAAACTGGATTGCTAGATATGGGCAAATGCTGAAAAACTGCTTGAAATTCAGAATTCTAACCATTACTCCATTAAATAGTTATTTTTAGAGGAAAGTACTAACATTTTAGGCCCACACTTTAATTGACTTTCCTATTTTTGCTAATTCCAAATCCATTATTCATACTCAGACTGAAGTCTCATATCCAAATAGCAGTTTGCATATAAATATATTATTAGCAACTTTGTTAATACTGTAAAATGTTGTTTGTGACTTGTCTAAGTTTTCCAACTTTAGCTACAAAATGCCTTACTGAAACCCATCACTAACTACAACTTGCTGTTTAGAAGTTCCTTTAAATAAAACGTTGTGCAATTCTAAGCATGTTTACTCAGATACGAGCCTCAGCAACTTCATTAGGACAGTGTTTTATACAGTATAAGCTTACTCTGGATTGGAACCCAAAGCATCGACCCAATGTACACAGATCTAGGACTTCAGTTCAGTGAACATGGTGGGACTGACTTTTGGGTAAACATGCACAGCATTTGTGTTGCATGTATTTGGCTTTCATCAATATAAATACAAAAGTACAGACTATTCCCCTTAATGGATCACAAACCTTATGACAGACATGAGTATCCAAAGGAAAAGAGCACTATTTAAAGGAGCACCATTTGGCAGCTCCACTTTTGACAGGTCAACACATTATGTACCGTATTTTTCGCTCTATAAGACGCACCAGACCACAAGACGCACCTAGTTTTTGGAGGAGGAAAACAAGAAAAAAAATATTCTGAATCTCAGAAGCCAGAAGAGCAAGAGGGATCGCTGTGCATTGAAAGCGGCAATCCCTCTTGCTCTTCTGGCTTCTGGGATAGCTGCACAGCCTGCCTTCGCTCCATAAGACGCACACACATTTCCCCTTACTTTTTAGGAAGGAAAAAGTGAGTCTTATAGAGCAAAAAATACGGTATACCTTTAGGTCCTAAACAAGAACTAAGGTTCCTTTCATGTTATAAACTGCTTCCCTCAGTATAGAATCCTCACACATACTGGAGTGTGGACAAACCATGTCCTCCCAGCGTTAGAAGCTCAGATATATAAGCTAGGCACCAAATGGCTCCTTAAACCAGGGTTACAGTCGCCAAAACATTGTGGGGCAAGACGGCTCTAAAGTCTTATTTTTCAATGATGGACTGACTGTGATTGATTCTCAGTTAAACATCTGGCTAGTTCAGATGACAACCTTGAGTTGGGTTAAGAGCTTTGAGAACTTAAAGAAAAGCCACTTGATCCAGGGACAGTCCACACATATATTGTCCTATTCCAACCTCTTTTTCTTAATGGTGACTGCTCCTGCTCAGGCTGCACAGAAAAAGCATTTTGGTTCCAGAAATTCATTCCTATCGCACAGATAAAATATAACTGATAGAATTCTACAGGATGGGGTATTAATATATGAAAACAGACCAGATCCAATGATCCCAAGGCATGCACTTCTAGATTGGTAGAGGTGTCAGGTGCCATCCTGGTGCCTAGGCCTCTTCCCTTGGTTGCAAGTGGTAGAAAAGCCACCTGGCTAATTTCAAACTCTGCCTTACCTGCAGCGTCCAAGTGCCTATACCGCCCCCTCGACTTCTTGCACCACCGCACCATTTCTGAAAGCCCTTACATAAACACCTTTTTTATCACCAGGCACCCCCAACTCCCCCCCCAGCCAACATAGTCCCACCAATCCGCCCTGCTACTCACACCACTTCTCATCCTCAAACCCCAACCTAATTGCCAACACCGTGGCCTCAATCTAATAATTGCTCAGGGCCTCCTTGTCTTTCCCCATCCTATTGAACACCTATCCACCTCAAGCCCTATATTTCACAATATACGGTATATATTCAAGGTGAGCTAAGCACAGCACCGAAAGGACAGCATTGCCCAACCCTCCCTCCTCTCATTTCAGCTTCATGCCTCCTGCCTATCAGAAAGCCAACATTATCGTAGCAACCCTAATGTCTTCCAACAAGGGCCACAGCATCCTAAGCCAGTCGTCTTCAACTGGTGGGCCATGGCCTGATCCTAGATGGGCCAAAACAGCTGCACTACCGCCATACAGATATTTGGGGTAGATTGGGGGGGGGAGAGATGATAATAAGAAATGGGATCCCCAGATGCATGTTTATTTGAGGTTAAAGGTGAGTCTAAAGGCTAAAGCGACTGAAATCGGGGGGGGGGGGGGGGTGAGAGAAGAGAGATAGATAAGAACCGCCCTGAGACCTCCGGGTATAGGGCGGTACATAAATTCAATAAATAAATTCAATAAGTAAGAGACAGAGACGTTTCCTGCCCTGGGAAAACAACTCTTATCTGAATTCCGACGTAGCCTGTCCTCTACTTTCCCCGAGGGCTTCTCCACACCTTCATGTGCGGACCTGCCGCCCTTCGCCCCCAACATCTCCCCAGGGGCTCCCCTAATTCTCTCTCTCTCTCCCCCCCACACGCCCCGCGTTGTCAGCCTTCCCTTCGCCCCCTCCTCGCTCGCCCTTCGCCTCCCTTCCCTTTCCGGCCTCCGCAGGGCGAGGCTTCGGCGGGGAAGGGAGGCCAGAGGGACGGCGCGCGGTCGGCTGTGGGCTTCGCCCTCCCAACCCGGACGGAGGAAGGTCTGAGGAGGAGAAGGAAGGAGCAGAAGGCCTCTCACCAGATCTGGAACTTGAGCAGCGGCCCCGTCGCGTAGGCCATGCGCAGCTTCTTCCCGGGCGGCAACCCGTCCGGCTGAGCGCCAGAGCCGCCCAGCCCCGCAGCCAGCAGGAACAGCAACGCCAGCGCCGGCCTCATCTCGTCTTCTTCTCCTCCTCCTCCGCGCGACCACGGCCGGCTTTATAAACGCTCCTCGCTCCGTTTCCCTCTACCCCCTCCCACCTCCGCACGCACACCGCCTCGCGCTCTGCCGCTAGCGGGCGAGGGTCACGTGAGAGAGGGCGGCCGCAGTGCGCCTGCGCCAGGTTCCACCTATTCCTGGCCGCGAAAAGATTGGCGCGCCCCCCCACCAGTCGACGAGTTTGCCTCACGGGTGTTGTACATACGGGCTACTCGCGCCCGGCTGAATGGAAGGGGGGTGGGGCTTCCGTTGCTCTGCCAAAATGGGAGACCCTAACCCTCCCCAGAGTGGCTTAAGTGCGGCATTAAAAGCAGTTGAAACAAAGCTGTCTCTCCCTACAGGCTTACATTCTAATAAAATCATCATCATCATCAGTGGGTTTTTTTAAAAAAATGTTTAGGGGTACTCTTATTTTCCTACTCATATTGAAATACTTTCAATGAGGCCAAACTTAGGTTCACAAAATGTTTAGGGGTACACATCCCCTCAGAAAAAAATCACTGATAATAATAAAGCAAGATTTATTCAGGGTGCTCAGGGTCATGAAGTTTTGGAGTTGTTGGCAAGGGACCTTGCGGGTCATCTAGTCCAACCCGCTGCAATGAGGGAATCTCCACTAAAGCATCCATGACAGATGGCCATCCAACCTCTACTTAAAAACCGAGTCCACAATCTCCCGAGGGAGACCATTCCACTGTCAAATAGCTCTTACCACCATAAAGTTTTTCATGGAGTTTAGTCAGAAGCTCCTTTCTTGTAACTTGAAGTCATTGCTTTGAGTCCTAGCCTCCAGAGCAGGAGTAAACAAGCTTGCTCCCTCTTCCATGTGACAACCCTTTAGATATTGGAACATGGCTATCCTATCTCCTCTCAATCTCCTTTTTTTGCAAGCTAAACATACTCAGCTTCTTCAACCAGTCCTCATAATACGTTGTTTCCAGTCTCTTGAACATCTTGTTCACCCACCTCTGCACACGTTCCAGCTTGTCAATATCCTCTCTAAATTGTGCTGCCCAGAACTGGACACAGTGTTCCAGGTTTGGTCTGACCAAGGCAGAACAGAGCAGGAATATTACTTCCCCTGATTGGGACACTATACTTCTGGAACAGCATTGGCGTGTTTTTTTTGATCCTGTCATGAGAAGAGAAGACTCCCTGGAAAAGACCCTGATGTTGGGAAAGATGGAGGGCGCAAGGAGAAGGGGATGACAGAGGACGAGATGGTAGGACAGTGTTCTCGAAGCTACCAGCCTGAGTTTGACCAAACTGCGGGAGGCAGTGGAAGACAGGAGTGCCTGGCGTGCTCTGGTCCATGGGGTCACGAAGAGTCGGACTCGACTAAACGACTAAACAACAACAACACACTGCTGACTCATGTTAAATCTTGTGGTCTACTAAGCCCCCAAGATCCTTTTCACGTGGACTATTGGTAAGCCAGATGTCCCCCATCTTATATTGTGTAGCTGGTTCTTCCTTCTTAAGTGCGGAACCTAACATTTGTGCGTATTGAAATTCATTTTGTTGGTTTGATCTGAAGTCAGTGCAGAATGCTGCAGCGTGATTCCTGACAGGTCTGAGCTCTTACCAGAGATCAGCACTGGTTGCTATTAATATACAAAGGCCTTAATAACCTGGGAGCAGTTTACCTACGAGATCACCTTACCCCCCACATGTGCATACCCAACCACTTCAACTGGCGGAATTTGACACTACCTGGAGGCGGTTGGAGGGTGGATGGCGGCTAATGGATTGAGGTTGAATCCTGACAAGACAGAAGTACTGTTCTTGGGGGACAGGGGGTGGGCTGGTGTGGAGGATTCCCTGATCCTGAATGGGGTAACTGTGCCACTGAAGGACAGGTGCGCAGCCTGGGAGTCATTTTGGACTCACAGCTGTCCATGGAGGCGCAGGTTAATTCTTTGTCCAGGGCAGCTGTTTACCAGCTCCATCTGGTACGCAGGCTGAGACCCTATGTGCCTGCAGACTGTCTTGCCAGAGTGGTGCATGCTCTGGTTATCTCCCGCTTGGACTACTGCAATGCACTCTACGTGGGGCTACCTTTGAAGGTGACTCAAAAACTGCAATTAATCCAGAATGCGGCAGCTAGACTGGTGACTGGGAGTGGCCACCGAGACCATATAACACTGGTTCTGAAAGATCTTCATTGGCTCCCAGTACGTTTCCGAGCACAGTTCAAAGTGTTGGTGCTGACCTTTAAAGCCCTAAATGGCCTCAGTCCTGTATACCTGAAGGAGCGTCTCCACCCCCATCATCCAGCGCGGACACTGAGATCCAGCACTGAGGGCCTTCTGGTGGTTCCCTCGCTGCAAGAAGTGAGGTTACAGGGAACCAGGCAGAGGGCCTTCTCGGTAGTGGCGCCTGCCCTGTGGAACGCCCTCCCAGCAGATGTCAAGGCAATAAACAACTATTTTACTTTTAAAAGACACCTGAAGACACCCTGTTTCGGGAAGTTTTTAATGTCTGACACTGTATTGCTTTTGATATTTGGTTGGAAGCCGCCCAGAGTGGCTGGGGAGACCCAGTAAGATGGGCGGGGTATAAATAATAAATTATTATTATTACTACTCCAGGTTCCACATAAAACCTGTTCTGCTTTTGCATGAACCCAACAGTTAGTGTGGCAGCACCTGCATTTTGGAACTCTCTGTCAGTTGATATCAAGCCTTCAGATTCAGGCACTATTGTAAACCACTTAGATACATTTTTGTGGTACAGCAGTTTGAGACCCATTGGCAACTCTCACTTGGTTTAGCTTCTTCACCATGCTCTTTTGTAATAATGAAAGATTAAATTTTCCAGTAATTTGCAGATGTGGCCACATTCTACATATGCATGTTTTCTCCAGAAATGGCATTCATGCATGGTGGTGATGGTGGTGGTTTTAAAGATCCTGAGCACTATGCAGATCAAAGACAATGTCTGCAAATGTGTTAGAATCATAGGACTGTAGAGCTGGAAGGGATCCACAGGGTCTCAGAGTCCAACCTGTTGCATTGCAGGAATCTCAGCTAAGGAATCCCTGACAGATGGCCATCCAACCTGTGTTTGAAAACTTCCCTCTCACAGAAGTCAATGACATTTAATCAGCCTAATCACATACAGAATTGCTGCTAAAGTCCAAAAGGACAGCTCACAAACAATATTGATGCGCCATGATAGCACAGCTTGTAGGGGAAGCGTCGCCCTTGGCTATAGATCAGCAAAACTATGCAGTAATGATTATGTACCTCAGAGCAACAATGAGCTATTATTCACTTCAGTATCACAAAACTCAATTAAAGCCAATGGAAGTCACCCAACCAACAGCTGAAAATGTTATGTCCTCCCGGTTGAGGAAAAACTACTTTCAGAAAGGTTGTTATTGTTTGAGGGGGGGTTGGTGGTGAAATATTTAGTGGAGGGGTTGAGACAGGAAAAAAACGCCGCCTGAATACTTCCTGTCAAGCTCCCCTTCCCCCCACCCCCAGTGTGGATGGCCCAAAAGAAATAGCAATGAAAATGGTCCCTGAAAAGTTAGGAGTGTGTGGCACCTGTGGCTGTTTTGTGTGAAATTCGACACACTGTAAAAGGCCATAGAGATGAGTCCTCGCACACAGATGTCCCCCATCAGAGCAGGCCATGTTAGAATAGGGGAGACCCCCTAAGCTCTTGGGAGTAAATAGCAACTAACCAGAATAGAAACTGAATGGGGGGGGGGAATCTCTTCTGCTGGGAAGGACATTGACCCATCAGAAACGGCATGATTATTCACCTTTTCATGCTGATGATAGCACAACCAATTCAGGACTGAAGCTACTGAGAATGTTTTGTGGGATGAATGTCACCTTCTGCAATCAGCTGATGTGGACAAGGTGCTGGCAGCAATGCATCTGATGGGGACTGACTGGTTGGGTCCAGATTGTGCTTAATGCTTCACTGTGTGAGGGGGTGGTCCTTGCTGCATTGAAAGAAACAGTGGTGCGACCTCTCTTAAATAAATCTGCTCTGGATCCCTTGGATTTGAACAGCAACTGGCCAGTTACAAGAAAAAACACCAACCCTTTTTAGGGAAGGTGGCGGAAAGGACTTTGGTGGGGCCCCTGCAGGCATTCTTGGAGGACACAATTCATTTAGATCCATTCTGATCTGGATTTAGGCCTGGCCATGGGATGGAGTCAGCTTCAGTTGATCCTTGTAGAGAGCAGGACGGGGGAGTATGACCTTGTGCCTGCTTCTTGATCTCTCATTGGCATTTGAAACCATTGACCATGGTGTCCTCCTGGACCAGATCTGAGGAATGGGGATTGGGGGCACTTTATTACAGTGGTTCCAATCCGACCTTCAGGACCGTGTCTAGAGAGGAGTGCCTTCTGGCCACTTGGCAGTTATGCTATGGCAGCTACCTTATCTCCAGCACGATTTAATATCTACATGAAACTGCTGGGAGCGGTCATTAGGCGTTTCCGGGCGAGGTGCTATCAATAGGTTGATGATACTCAACTCTATTTCTCCATCATCTCTGAATCAGGAGAGGCTGTCCAGTCCCCTGGGGCATTGCCTGGGTACAGTTGTAAAATGGATGAGGAAAAACAAACTGAGCTTGCAAGAAGAACAAACCTATCCATTCTTAAGGAAATCAGCCCTGAGTGCTCACTGGAAGGACAGATCGTGAAGCTGAGGCTCCAATACTTTGGCCACCTCATGAGAAGAGAAGACTCCCTGGAAAAGACCCCGATGTTGGGTAAGATGGAGGGCACAAGGAGAGGGGACGACAGAGGACGAGATGGTTGGATAGTGTTCTTGAAGCTACCAGCATGAGTTTGACCAAACTGCGGGAGGCAGTGGAAGACAGAAGTGCCTGGCGTGCTCTGGTCCATGGGGTCACGAAGAGTTGGACACGACTAAATGACTAAACAACAACATCATCTGAGGGACGCGGGTGGCGCTGTGGGTTAAACCACAGAGCCTAGGACTTGCCGATCAGAAGGTCAGCGGTTCGAATCCGCGATGGGATGGGGTGAGCTCCTGTTGCTCGGTCCCTGCTTCTGCCAACCTAGCAGTTTGAAAGCACATAAAAGTGCAAGTAGATAAATAGGTACCGCTCCGGCGGGAAGGTAAAAGGCATTTCCGTGCACCGCTCTGGTTCGCCAGAAGCGGCTTAGTCATGCTGGCCACATGACCCGGAAGCTGTACGCCAGCTCCCTCGGCCAATAAAGCGAGATGAGCACTGCAACCCCAGAGTCGTCCACGACTGGACCTAATGGTCAGGGGTCCTTTTACTATCTACAGGGGAACCTTTAATATCTGTTCTGGATTTGTAAGAATGCGATCGTTTAGTCTGGCAGCACCTGCACTTTAGAACTCCTTACCTGTGAGATCAAGCAAGCCCCTTGCGCCTGCTGAAAACATTCTTGTTTAGACAAGCCACCTCAGGTGCTTAGAAAGTTGAGGTAATTTTAGTGCTGATATTCCAAGGGAGCAGAAAAGACTTCTTATGTACGAGGCGACAGCCAATTGGATGCTACTAGCCCAGAGATGGAAAGAAGATGAAGTCCCTACCAGAGAAGAATGGCAAATTAAACTGTTGGACTATGCCATAATGGCAAAACTGGCCGGAAAGCTCAGGAATCAAGAAGACCAAAACTTTAACAAAGAATGGGGAAAAAATATAATTTATCTTGGAGACCACTGTGAGCAGATGAAATTAGCATGATTGCAATAACACTTGTAATGTAGCAAATATTATGGAGAAAATTGAGTGATATAAAATATGGACTATTGAAAAATACGCAGTAGAAAAGGTTAACAATAGGACCCATGGAGGAGAAGGTGGGAAGTCCAGAGATTCAAAGGAATCTTTAAATGTGTATGGTTGTATTGTTATATCTTTATACTTGTGAAATCGAATAAAAATTATATCAAAAAAATGAAAGGAAGTTGAGGTAATTTTAATCTGTTTTAGTATTTTAACTTTTGTATGCGGGGATGTGATTTTTTCCAAGATTTTACAGTCTTACCTTTTTGTAAACTGCTATGATGTGGGGGTTTTGTTTTTTTAAAAAACCAATCAAACAGTGTATAAATTATATGAAATAACTAAAAACATAATGGTGGGTGTGGGTTTCCCCCACCCGCCATCCTAGAAACTAATATACTGTTATTTTTTGTGTGGGATACCTTGACTCCTGTTCTAATTATGGGTTGCCAGACATTGAAATTAGCATGCTAAAACAGAGATGGGCTGGCTTCCTGATGAAGCAATTGCCTTGAGAGATGGACCATTAAAAGACCACAAAGAAATGGGTGATGACCCATTAGAAAGGCCATTAACAGAGACACTGTGGGCCAACAGCAAATGAGGAAAGCCCCTCCTGAGGTGAGGGATAGTTAGCAAACACAAAAAACCCAGAGTTTCAGGAGTGAGCAACAGAATTGCAGTGGGGAGTGGTAGAGTAAGAAACATTTTTCCTCACCGTGAAAAAATGAAACTGCCCACCTGACCAGCGGCAGGGCGGGATGGCTCTTTTCCCCGGAAAAGGAGGCAAAAGACTTGGAAGACCCTGCCTGCCCAGTCCAGTGCAAGGAGTAATCTTATTCACTGAATGTCTTCCACTCCACTCTGGCAAATGGAAAGTGCAATTCCAGTTTGGACACTTTAAAACACGGAGGGCTAACCTGTGGCCCCTCCAGATGTTGATGATTACAGCTCACACAATCGTTGCCCATATTCCACGCTGGCTAAGGCTGATGGGGGATCTCAACAACATTTGGAAGGTCACGGGCCAACCATTTCTGCTTTGTTCACTTTAACATCAATTTCTTTCGAAATGATGCAGACATTGCATGGCTATTCCACTAGAGGGCATCTCAGGCATTCATTTGGACACTCTTGTGTCCACCTAGGACGAAAATACCATGTGACATAAGTACACAAGGGTTTTTTCAAGCTCTAGGTCGACTTGGTTACTTCGAAAGTTTCTTTCAGCTGCATTTAAAATTACTGCATCATGGTCCATGCAGAAAGGGAGTTGAGGCAGAAGGAGCCAGCCACTTTTTAGCAGTTCACTGTGATTTTATTGGTGTTTCTGATGTTGCCTGCCATCTTTAGTTTCCATTGTGGAAGAATGGGAGAATATGTTGATTTAATAACAACACAGAATCATAGACTTGTACTGTTGGAAGGCACTTCCAAGGGTCATCTAGTCCAACCCCCTGGAATGCATAGTCATATGGGCAGGGAAGGAGCTATTCTGAAAAGGCTATTTTCTATATCATTCCCACCCACACCCCATTTAATCTACACTATGACACTTCCTAATTTAGACACCAGGTAAGTGTGTAACGGATAGATCCCCTTGTGAATATTGACCAGTTACCTAATATTCCTCCTTTCACTTCTAGCACACCATGGAAACACGAATAAGTTCAGACATTTACTTCTAATTGATTTGGAACTGGGGTTTCCAGGAAGGCAAAACTTACTCCCTTTTCATAAGGGAGTTCATGAATCCCTCCTGTCTCCATTTCAGAGGAGGGACATGTCCTTTCTCCTTTATACTCAATCCCTTTTCTCAGTTGTGACTTTCTTGTACACACACAGAGAGAAATCGAAATCCCAGTATCTAGGGAAATGTGTCTCAATCCACAAAAAGTCACACTGAAACAGAAATACAGCAGATTAGAAACATGCAAGACCTATAAAGAAAACACCAAAATCTTTATTAAATGGAAAATGCTTTTTATTATATTCTACAGTCTTCTTATTGCATAAGGGTCACTTCTATTGTATCTGGCCAAAGAGTAAATAGAGGGACCCACTGTACTTTATTTAGTTCAGTAATACCATTTTGGAATCACAGCAAGTTATTTGCCTCATTTTGATTTACAATACTTCTGCTCAAAATTTTTACATGTATCCATATATTAGGGACAAGGAAATAAAAATGTAGCTGTGTATAGTGTTTTTAAATGAGCATTTCCAGTCTTTTATTATTAAATGATTCTACAAAACGAACCCATGAGTTTCATCTGTCTTCTTTCTAAACACCCAGCTCCAACTCTTCCAGCTCCTTTAGGAGGGCAGCCTCTTTCTGAATTTTCTCCAGCTAGGACATATACACAGAAGACACCATCAGATACTACTTAGCACAGGCAAAGGAAAAATTAAACTTGAGTACACAGAACAGTCATATCCGACAAAAGCTATCTACTTCTGAAAACCATTTCTTAACTTAAATCCAGATGGGAGATTCTTGGTGGGTATCAGTGGCTCTCAGTCGCAGCAGCCAAATGTAACGTCCATGTTTAGATGCTTTAGGACTCCATAGGAACTGGGTCAGAAAACTTACTTTCATGGCCTGCCAATGGGCTTCCTGGAAGCATCTCTCTGGCCACTAATTAAAAACAGGCTGTTGGGTTGAACAGGTGTGAGGACTCTTGGGCTCTCTAACCACAACTGACATCATCCCTGGTCCCTGACCATGCTTGCTGGCGCTGATGGGAATTGTTGTTGTTGCTATTTATTAAATTTGTATACCGCCCTATACCCGTAGGTTTCAGGGCAGATCACACTATAAAGGTACAACACAAAAAGCACAAAATACGTAATGAAAATAATTTAAACAATTAACTATACTAATATACAAAAGCTAAGAAAAAATGCACTCCCCAACAAAGGCCCCTAACCATTACCCCAGCCCACAAATGCAAAATACAAATTAACATATATTTAAAAACAATTTTAAACCACCCCACCCAACCAAATAAACAGCACCCACTCAAGTTAAAAACCCCATCCCCGTTAGAACAGTAATTATAGCACAAGGGGGTGGCCCACCCCTTCGTTCCACCCCCAAAGGGATGGCCCCCTTTGGTTTCTCCCCTTCGGTGGTGGCCCCAAGTTGTACTTCAGCAACATCCGGAGGGCCTGAGGGTTCCCATACATGGGCTAGATGGCGCTTTGGTCCAATCCAGCAGGGCTCATCTGATGTGCTCACAAACACTATTCATTTCAAGATGTCTGCCTGCCATGTGTGGGAAGGAGAGTCCCGTGCATTCAAGAGGTTCTAGGTCATGACTTCTGTCTCTAGTCCCACATTGCAACTTTAAAAGGAGCACATTCAAGTAAGTTCAGAGCATTTGTTTCGATTGCAAGAAAAAACAGAACTTATTGAATCTCGGTGCTGGCAATTTATTGTTTTCAGAAGAAAACAGAATAGTGCTTTTTTACATTTATAATGTACTAATAGTACATTTTAGTACTTTTAACGTGCTGTACAAGCCATCCCTAATAACAGAATAATATATGAATAGGCATACCTGGTTTTTCTCTAGTTGTTTGCCTGTAGCAGCCTGATCCTTCAGCTGTTCAATTGCTTTTAGTTTCTGCGGTGGTGGGAAAAAACACACGTTTTAAGACAACATTTGAATATTTATGCTGTAGGATTTGGGGGGGGGGAGGAGAGAGAGGAAGTGCCCTTTACTGTTCCCTAAGCATTTTTTAAAAAAATGATATTTATTGAAAATTTCTAGAATTACAAAAGAGAACAAAGCAGAAAAAAAGAAAGAAAGAAAAGAAAAAACAAACCACATCAAATAATACAAATTCAAAAAAACAAAAATACACCACAAACACTCAAAAACAAATCCATCATTCTCAAATCCTCAACTGTCATTACCTTCTTTCTTTGACCTCCTCCTCCTCCCTTTTCTGTATCCTAGTTGTTAATTGTCGCAGCAAATCCTTTCCATATTTCATAATATTCTGTCATTACATTACCTTAATCTATTTTAATCTTATCTTACTATAAAGAACCTTAAAGCTTAAAACTTAAATCTTATTTTTACCAACTTCTCATAACCATAATATTCTTACATAATTCTTTAAACATTTTTGCTAAAGCCAAGTAATTTCGTTCCAACATTTTTCTAACATTCATCAATTTTATAAAACAATCCTAGTAGTAAAAAAAAAGAAATAAAAACAAAATTCCTCCTGGTCCCGGGTTTTGTCAGTCCTTATTATCCCATCGATCTAGCACATTAACCTGGTAACCTTGTATCCAAGGCCCTTAAGTCTCTTCCATGTCCCTTCCGCAGCTCTTCTTCATATTTATAACTGTATTTTCCTTTGTCTCCTGCTCCTTTCACTCGTGGGAACTCCAGCCCTACAATGTTTTTGACCCTTCTCGACAAATCAGCCCCTTTTCCATAGTCCACACTAAACTCCATGTGGTATTTAAGAACATGTTTCAAAATCCCTCCAAAATTAAGAGCCCCCACAACCCCAAACATCTCACGGCCCATTGCCAGACTTGAAAGGTCCAAACATCCCTGCATAGGGGGGTCTATCCAACCCCCCATTTCCAAACCAAACCAAACTTTATCTTGCTAAATCTGGCTGTTCCAAGTTCATTTGTCAAGTCCAAAAGCTCATGTTCCTGCTGGGCCACAGCTCCCTTCATCTCTGGCGCCCAAGATTCAGCAACATCCTCTTCCCTCATCTGTTCTGTCAGGGCACACTCCTGATTTAATTCCTGGGTGGGCTCCGTATAATTTCCCACTGCCTGTTCAAAATTTCTGATCGCATCAGTCATCAAATCCGTCTTCTCATGTAGGTGTTCCAATAGGGCATTTGTTTTACAGAAAGCACACAACAGAGCTTCTGAATACATTGTCCTGCAAGGTCAGAAGTCTATTCCCACGATTGTAATCTGTAACAGCTGCAAGCTCCCCGGAGTTGGTTACAGTTTCACAGTCTCCCTCTAGGGGGAAAACTTCTATTTGTTCTTTCTTTTAAAGACAAGTCTAACAACAAGGTTTCCTTTTTCAGATATTTTGTCAATATTTGTTCCTTTAAAATGCGAAGGGGAACAATGGAATCAATGTTTCTCTTCTTATAGCTATCTGTCAAAAACGTTTGTCTCTGGTCAATGAGCTTCAAAGCACGTCAGGCCTGACACCCCGCCCCAGGATCAGGACGGTGGAAAGTTACTTTACTTTACACTCACTTCTGCAGGTTTAAACAGTCCAAAAAAAAATCCCCCCTCTTCTCCTGCTTCCGAAGGGGGGTTCAACAATTTTAAATGATGAAAGTTAATCTTTTACAAGTGATTTTCTGAGCTCTAGTTTGCCATGTCTTTGCTTTAATCTATCTACAAAGAAACGGAAGGCTGACTTCCTGTTTAGACCTTCCCGTTTCAGTGCCAAATTGAGGTAAACCTTTAAGTCTAGTTTTCCTTTCTGCTCGCAAGTCCTTATTTAAAGTCCAATTGTCCGAAATTTAAGTACTCACGGGTGATTATTTTAGAAGCCAAATTGTCCCAGGAAAAAGGCAGCGCTCTCCGGCAACGGCTGTGCGGCTTCACTCCACGGAAGAAGCAGTTGACTCTCAGCACCGCGCCACTTCCCCCTCTTCGCTCCGGAGCCCGTTAGTGGGTTCCTTTGCGGGTTGGGGGGGCGCTAAAGGTGCCCGCCGAGTCCCATGGTCACAGGCTTCATCCGCCTGTGATTTTTAAAAGGGTCCCCACTTCGCCGTAGCGGAAAAGACCCATTTCGCGTGGAGCTAGTCCCTCCAGATCAGAGGGAGTCCGCCATTGCCGATGGCGCCACCCCGGAAGTCCTACTGTTCCCTAAGCATTATCCTCAAGGTCATGGATGCCTCCACGCTCCTTTGAAATATATTTTTCCCTGCGGAAAGGTGTAAACAGCACAGAGAGAGCCTGAGTTATGCAGCCCAAACCACAGATCAGCAAGCGGGCAGCTGAGTGATTAAAATGCACACTGATTTCTTGCTTTCCTAAAGGAGATATGGTAGGTTCAAGCACTCTGTTGAGAGCAACAGCCGTCATATAGATTGCTGCTCTGCACCCTGGAGTGGTGGCTGCTGAATGGAAAGGATTTTGTGCCACATTAGTTTATAGCAGGCATAGGCAAACTTGGCTCTCCAGATGTTTTGGGGCTACAAATCCCATCACCCCTAGCTAACAGGACCAGTGGTCAGGGATGATGGGAGCTGTAATCCCACAACATCTGGAGGGCTGAGTTTGCCTATGCCTGGTTTATTGCAAGATTAGAGAGCATATCTAGATAAGAACATTGTGCCTATCCCCACTTAAAATTGCTCTTCCAGATGCTTCCCATCCTGTAACTTTTCTGCTCCAGAAAGAAGAGGAGCTGGCAGACTATTTTGATTTTTTTTTGGGGGGGGGACAGCAAGGGAGAGCTGATCACCCCTCTGCACCACTGCTCTCCTCAACCTTACAGGTTCCCATCCTTTTAAAAAAATAATAATACTTGCATATGTGTCTGCTGCATTTTCCCTACTTTTGGCACTCACAGGATTTCTCATATAGCCTGTCTAGCAGCTGCCACGCTGTTTCTAATACAATAGGGAAGAGACTGGAGGACTTTGGCTGCCTTGGGGAACATTGGCTCTGTACCTAATAGCCCTTATTGTGCATCTATGCATTATACTAACATAATAATAATAAAGAAGTTAGATGGTGAGAGAAGTGACAGCTGTCAGGTACTGGGGGTTGGGGTTGGAGAGAAGACCTTTTGCCAGAACAGACAAGCTTCTTCATTAGAAAAGCTCCCCACCTTCTTCAGGTTCTTTATCTTCTTATCAACCTCAGGATCTCCTGATGTTATGGAGGGAGCCGCATTCTGCGATGCATTCTGTACTGGTGAGGCCGGAGTAACTTCCTGGCTCCCTTCAGCTCTAGCCTCCTGTAAAAAACCAACAAATTAAATCAACATCTGGAACAATGTCTTTCGTATACAACCCCGTGGGACATTTACACGAATGGTATACATGTTAAGCTCCCCAGAATGTTGGAATTCAGCACGTTTTGGCTCTGTTCAGGGTATAGGTAAACAGGTTTAGAAAATGTGAATGCAACCGTTTGCTCAAGAGAACTGAAGCAGCAGCCATACCTGTTTGGCAACTTTCTTTGCCTCGTGCTTCCTTTGATTTTTGAGTGCTGTTTTAGATAAAGGTTTATCGCCATTTTTGGATCTCATGTTCTGCGGTGGTTCATCCTCATGCTAAGAGAAAGCAAAGGGGGGGGGGGGACGAAATTACCATAAGAAAACCCACACATAATTATCTGCTGCCTGATAAGAGGGGCTTGTGGTGTTGTTTTTTATGTTCACTTACGCCACATGTCTTATAGCAATGCCACAACTACACAACCCCTACACTAGGGATGGGAAACCTGTGGCCCTACCAGATGTGGTCAAACTCCAACTCCCATCAGCCATAGCCAACGTCACCAATTATGATGGGAGTTGTAGTCCAACATCTGGAGGGTCTCATGTTCTCCATCTCAGCCCTACAAAAGAGGACTTACTTCCATGTTAAGAAATTGTGTGAAACCCATGTAGATTGTCACTTATTAGTGTGTGTGCGTGTGCATTACTCAATTATGATTATCTGTTTCAGGGTTCACAAAGTATCCTGGGTACTCCCAGGATAATTCTATCCACTATAATGCAGTTAAGGGGCTGGTGGTGAGCTTATGTCACAGAAAGCAACTTTTGTGGATGAGAATGACATGTTATAGAGAGAGACAACACTGAAATGTGAAATGTCTGTCATTCTATCTGTTTCCTCTCTCTCTCTCTCTCTCTCACACACACACATTTTGAAAGCAATTATTCCTTATATGTCCATTTTTTTGAAATTCCATCTTGATTAAAAAGTTGGTCGACTTGCCAAGGGACAGATCAATCCTTTTATGGGCCACCCGTGGCCTATAGACAACCAGCTGGTCATTCTCAATCTATATTATGCACAAGGATTCCACAGAATTTATTGTGCAAGTGTTGCTTCTGTGCATGGGAAGTGAAAACTTTTGAAGCATCCATTTCAATAAAGACAGCCGGCAGGGGAGGGGAGGAACAGTTCTCTTCTTCTATTTTGCTTTTGTGTTTCAGGGGATGCTTGTTTCATTTCCACTGCTGCAGCCTTATTACTAACCATCCAAACATTTTTACCAGTCATCTTTGGCTTGCAAGAGACGACCATCTTATGAGTAAAAAAAACTGGTATAAAAATCTGCAGTCAGTAAGTGGAGTAATCTCAGGAAGGAGGAAGAGGGAGCCAAGTCTCTTTTTCACCAGCCTGCTGTTTCCACGCTGCCCTTCGAGGAAAGGGCTTCGTTACTTTCACAACCAGTACAGAATCCAAGCGGCTGGCAAAAGCGAAAGAGAGGGCTCGGTTTCTCCTTCACAAGCCTGCTTGCTCACCTAGAGGGAATTCCAGACTTGCCTGTGGTAACCAAGTGAGGGATTAAAGACTGCACTACAGGCATTTCAGGTACACCTTTAAACCTTCATAAAATAATAAAGACAAGAGCTTTCCCCCTCTTCACTGTGCAGCTTAATTTTTTAATATATCATGTAGGTTAAATCCCCTAATGTTACTTGATTCCTAGCCTGCAGTCCCCTAAGTAACACCCACTTAACTATGGGAAGACCCCCAATGAACTTAATTCTGAGTGGACATGTATTACCAGGGACGTCCAATTCCCAATGTACTGCAATCTACTCACAGTATAAAAAAACTGGCAGTGATCTACCCATTGTCGTTGGGAAGGGGAGAAGGGGATCACTGAGGGGCCAGAGATCTACCGGGATCTACCAGGAAGACCCCACGATCTACCAGTAGATCACGATCTACCTGTTGGACATGCCTGTATTAGACTGTGCTATGAGCAACTTTAACCCACTACACACCTTAAAAAATTCAAAGAAGCTTAATATGTTTCTCAATGACCAGTTTTGTTCCTCTGTCACATGCGATTAGGATTACATCAGCCTTCTTTCATAACAAACCTCTTATTAACTGTGCTTATGGAGTTAGTAAGACATAAGTCACTTGCAATGACCAGCAGTGTGGGAGAAACCAACACTCCTTTCAGTGCTGGTAGTCTCAGGTTACGCTCTTTCAAAAAGAAAATAAGAAAGAGGAAGTAAAGAGCTATGTTCTCAAACCTGTTTTTGAATACTGAAAAAGGAAAATAGGAGATTAATGACTCTCTACATAAAAGGCAAATGCAGATTAATATAGGTTTCCCATTCATTATAGCTAGGAGATGAAGAACTATTGGACTACCTTCCTGGAACAAATTCTCCTCTCCTATCTGAACTGCGGTTAAGGAATGAATTGGCACCTCACACGAAAAACAAGGAAAAAAATACCCAAGGGTCATTTTGTGCAAATAAATGTAGGAGGGAAAAACCTGTAATGCCTGGGCAGGAAAAGCGACAAGACCTTACATTTGAGATGAAGGCATAGTAGTGACTCTGTATGTGAACCGACACAGGAAGCGTTAAATTCGTAAATTACAGAATCATAGAACTGTAGAGCTGGATGAGGCCACAAGGGTAATCTACTCCAACCCTCTGAAATGCAGGAATCTTTTGCCCAACATTGGGCTTGAACCCACGACCCTCATGCTCTAACAGCTGAGCTTCAGCCCTATAACTGAGGATGCAGCTGGGCTAGAGAGATAAGAGCTATCAGCAGTAACCGAACAGATAATAAAAAGAAAAGCACAGCATATTATTATTTAGACGGCTACTGCGATTCGGTTACTGCAACTTAGATTCTGTTTGAAATGTATCATGCCTTCGAGACTGTGTTCTTGCATGACACCCACAAGCATTATAGTTTCCCATTTATACTAGGAAATACCAGCTCCATTGTATCTTTGAAGTCGTAACCTAGGGTTCTCATATTTTGGTAGGGTATCAGTGCCTTAAACATCTTCCAGAGAGGCAAGAATCCAACAAATGAATGAAGAACTCTGGAGTCAAAGCCAGAACTCTGCATGCTGGCAGCTGTGGGAAAGCCCTGCAGGCTGTATACATGGTACCCATTTGCATGCGTGTCCCAAACAAGTTTTGAGAGGTTATTATGTTAGGAAGAAAATGATATTTCAGTGAATAGTACTGCTCTTGTATAATATTTTTAGTGACTGCTAACAAGCAGGCTCGCAGCTGTTCAGAAGTAAGCCCTGAGGAATTAATTCTTCGTACTACTATAAAAGGATAAAACCTAATTTGCCATCAAGCTTAGTTACTGCCACTTTTCTTTAACTTTCCTTTCGCTCTGTCATCTCAAGTCTTTAAAATGTTGTTGGGAGGTGCTTTCCCCTTCTCCACTATTGAGATGTGAGCAATCCACGGGATGCTTGCTTAATAAACCCCCATTAGTGTCAGAACCCATCAGGGATATGGTCATAACTGTTTAATCCTCATGGGAAAGAGAGGCCAATTACCAGAATCTCCTTGTGCAAATGGCATCTCCTGTGAGCCCCTTTTTCCCTGCGACACAACAGGGATACTGCTTGATCATGGAACAGGCTCCCATGATGCAGCAATAGGGAGGACGAATGATGGATCAAGCTTGTTTTCTTCCGCACCGGAGGGTAGGAAACGAACCAATGGCTTCAAGTTACAAGAAAAGAAATTCTGACCAAAGATCAGGAAGAACTTTCTGATGGTAAGAGCTGATCAACAATGGAAGGGACTCCCTCGGGAGATTGTGGACTCTGCTTCATTGCAGGTTTTTAAGCACAGCATGGATGGCCACCTGTCAGGGATGCTTTAGCTGAGATTCCTATATTGCAGGGGATTCAACTAGATGACCTTTGAGGTCCCTTCCAACTCTTACAATTCTATGATTACAGGGATGAGGAACTGGTAAAGAAGAATTCAGAGGAAGTGCTGCAGATAATGTACCAACAAATTCAAAGCATCTGGTAATGAATTTGTGGGATTAAATCCCAACCATATTCATTCTTTTAAAAATAAAAAGGCTACATGGTTTGAAACTTCTCTGCCATTGTTGAGCTATACCAAGTGTCTATCCTGGTGATGTGCCAGCAAGGCCTCCTACAATAGTAGTTGGTTTACTTTAAGAAGGTTTACAGCCTGATTTGCCCAAAAGAGCCAAAATTTATTCAAAAACAGGAGCATTTTCACAGAAATATATTTATTTGTTTTGGAAATATGAACTATATGTTAAAATTATAACGTTTTAATGTGCCACTTTTTTAGGTGACTGAAGGCCTTTATATTAAAAATAAAGTTGGGGGAAGAAGTTACTGTACTTCTATTGCACAGCCTGTTTGAAAAGAAATGAGTATTTAAGATTACCCTGCCTTTACTCCCACAGACTGAAAAAAACAACCATGTACTGATCTGACAGCAGAAAAACACTTGTGCAAACCAGTGCTTACATATACCTTTCCTATATTATGTGTACCTCAGCGGCTTTTATAAACAATACATGATTATAGTTGGGTGGGGCAAGTGGGTAGGGGAATCCAATCTTGGCATTTGCAAAGTCCTAGTTAAATGGCCTTCAATAGTGCTAATTACCAGTTGAAGCGGAAGAACAAAGGACTGGATTTAATATCGTGCCCCCTACCCTTTCCCAGAGCTGGGAAGACATTTTTCAGCAAGACATTTTACAGCAGAGGCGGCAGCAGTTACTTACTAGTTTAGAGCTAGTCACAGGTTTGTTTCTCAGAGCTGGGGGCCTGTAAGCTTGGGCAGCCTTGGGCTCGTCGTTTGGCGCTTTGCTCAGAACAGCATATGTTACCGCCTTCGCTGGAAAGACGCCATCCAAAAAGGGTTGCCAGGCAACTTGCCAAAGTTCTGCGTTCTGCTGGACTTCATACTTGTATAGGACAGGGCCTGTGTAATGCCAGATCTTGTACCCATTCCCAACCCGCAGCCTTGGAGAACATGTAGCTGTTACAATATGTTCCCCATCAGGGCACCAGGCAAAGTACGTGGAATCCGAGGCCTGTGGTTTGGAAATGAGTTTGTAGTTTTTAACGTCCCAAACGTCCAGTTGCCCATTGAGATTCCCAAATCCAGCTAAGACTAAGATGTGTCCTTGAGGGCTGTAGTAGGCAGCATTGTGTGGGCCGGTTCCAAAGTCAAACACGGGGTCGCATTTCAGATTGAAGATTGTAGCCTTGGCAGGCATAAAACCATAGACGACACAAAACTCTGTGGAATTGGGGCTCCAGGTTGCATCATAAATAGGACCATTTTTTGCTAGAGAAAAAGGAAACAGTTGAATTTTTTAAAACTGTTATCTACATGTGCCTGAAGAAGGAATTGATTTTGAAGAACAGTTACAAGTCATGTTAGTTTCTGTTAACAAGCATAGGTATAACGTTAGCCTCCTTAAAACTGCAAGATATTAGAACAGGCCACCACAACTTGTAACCTGTGAAGCTGAAAACAGCCTTATTGTTCCTTAGCAGAGTGATTCAATAATCTTTTTTTGCTGCCTCTTTCAGATTGCATGTGTGAGTGCACACACACACACACACACACACACACACACACTGAAGGTGTGTATTTGTGTGTGGATTGTCAAGCATCTAGACACCACACTGTATGCCTGCTGTGCTACAGTAGGCTTGGAAGTACATAAGTTACTCAGGCCTACATTAGACTGTCATTATTCTACCACAGCCGGATAACCGCATCTCTCCTGCCACTACTGAGGAGCAGCAGCCAGCGAGTAGCCTGGCCACGTGATGAGAGAAACACCTCCTTATTCAGTGGCCAGAACACTGCCCAAGTTTCTTTCAGCAGGATTAGCCCTGAAAGGCTATTCCACAAGGGCCGCACGTTTTCCTTCGTTTAGTTAACTCATTGCAATTAAAAACCTTAATCGGTTAAAACGGTCTACATGTTTTACAGATTTAAAGAGTAGTCTCATTAGTAGTAAACACTCTGGATATATTGCAATTGGTCCAGACACTGTTAAGAGGGCTTTACTTTCTTAAAATGAACAGGTACCCTTTTCTTACTTAAGTTGTCACGCCCCAACTATCACGTGCTCAAGATGGATGATCTGTTTAAGCTTTGTAATATATACATATGTTGAATTATAATAAGTGCGACAGATTAAAAGCAATTCAACAATTGGGGGTTGGGGCTTTAAAACTGATTTGGAGTCCTAGTTTTAACCACTTTCTTTTCCCAATTCAAGAATCAGGGGCTCCTTAACGGAATTAGGTGCTCCATCCTGTCCCCATCTCCTCTCTATAGTCCGCACTTTCGAGCTCAACTCTTATACTACCTCACTTCTTCTGAATGAATAGAACTTCAGATAGCAAAAGTCAAAACGAAAACATTCCAAAGGAATTTAATCTGTACAAGGTTGGTCATCAGAGCAAACACAGGAGACTGAAGTTTATTTCCAAAGAACATTACAGATCTTTTAGCATATATGGAGGACGATTTTTCAGTTCATTATACAATTACTAGGAGAGTCACTTACGTAGTTGTACGACAGCACTTTCCCCATTCGTTGCGATGTAATGCAGATTTTGTTCCCCATAATACGAAGCTCCCGTTTTATCAACTTCTGTACTAGCGATTACAAGCACAGCAGTAGCTATTTGGATATAAAAACAACAGTAATTAAATGTTTTCAGAAAGCAAACTACCCAATGATATTAATTTAAGGTTCAATAAAATGAAACTGGAATGCATGGCAGGGGCAGCAGCTCTTAAAGTACCAGCTGCTGGCGGTGGAACAACAACAGAGAGAGCAACAGTTTCTTGCAGGCACTGTGGAAGACAGGATGCTGGGGAGACAGATCCAGCAGGGCTCTTAGGTTCTTACATGTTGAACCCCCTTCTTCTCACTGACCAATTTGTACAGACTGTGGGAAAACCAGCAGCCTGGTACCATTTTCTGCTTTACTTGCTGCAGCAAAGGACTGTTCCACCATAGCTGAAGAATCATCATTTAGCAAGATAAATCCAACTTACAAATCTGCCTAATTTGTTTTTGAAAGAGAGCTCATGTGCCACGGTGCACAGATCAGCCATCAGAGCTGTATTCGCACCGAGTTTATATAAACATCCCAAAGACCGTTTATGGCCACTGTGCTTGCTATAGTAATGCCACAACCCACCTCCACCCAACGTGTTTGCTTCCTGATCAGTATACAGTGGTACCTCGGGTTAAGTACTTAATTCGTTCCGGAGGTCCGTTCTTAACCTGAAACTGTTCTTAATCTGAAGCACCACTTTAGCTAATGGGGCCTGCCGCTGTCACTGCGCCGTTGCTGCATGATTTCTGTTCTCATCCTGAAGCAAAGTTCTTAACCCGAGGTACTATTTCTGGGTTAGCGGAGTCTGTAACCTGAAGTGTATGTAACCTGAAGCGTATGTAACCCGAGGTAAAATTGTACTATATACAACTCACTGGAATACCAGCAACCCTAGCGTGCAAGGACTGGAGTTAACTCACAGAAACAAAGCAAAAGATTCCTTTGCATGTGCAAAAGGCACTCTGCACATTAATGTGATACTGTTGGAGAACTATAAAATGTGCCATGAAGTTGTATTTTCTTGGCAAAGCTTCGAAGACTGCATTACCGCTCAAAGAATCACAAGCATCCATTTATTACAGTATCCCTTGTGACGTTTTTAAAGACAGGCAATATATCTGGAACCTGTATAGAAGCTCTATTTAGAATGAATGGAAGATTTGCACAATTCATGTTGTTTGTCAGTTTAGTCTGTCTCAATGGCTTTTGAGTAATGCCTGTTACTCAGAAGCAAGTCTGATTGTACTCCCAAGGAAGGGTGCCTATGACTGCTACATGCTGGGAGTTACAGGGGATGGGACTGGTCTGGAAGAGTAGCTGCAAGTATAGTTTAAATGTCATAGAAGAAAATTGCAATTAGCACTTAGAATTACAAAACACTTGCACTAGTTACCTACACAGAAGAACACAGAGAATCAATACATTCACTTCTTGACAGATAAAGACAGGGGAAATTTGAAATTTCTTATACCTTTACTATTCCACAGCATCGTCACCTTATCAGCTTTAAAGAAACTCTTGTTGGCCAATGCAGATTGCGGGCCTCCAAAGTTTGGGTACTGATAGAGCCTTACGAAAGATGGAGCTCCTTTGCTTCCAGGAACATAGACAGCAACCTGTGTCAATAACATTTAATCAGCTTGGTAATACAATTCTTAAGAGCAGCACAAAAGACAGAAGCGGAATAATTCATAAACCTTTTCAGGATTCCTACGAAATTAAAATGGTCGAAGAAATAAAAATCAAAAGAAGGCACCTTAGTTGGCTGATCCCCGGGCGATATCACAAAATCGGTGACTTTTTGCAAATGAAGTTTATTTGCAATTGTACCTGCAAAATCATAATTTTACTCAGGTTAATAAAAGTTACCTAAATAATTGTTAGATTTTGCTGCTGATGAGCCTATGCTAGTGGCAAGTAAAAAGCAAACACACACAAAATGGTAAAGGCCTTCTTTATGTAGTAGAATAACCCCTTCAAAATTGGTTTACACTAAAGCTATATATTCTCACAGCATGATGCAAGTGAATCACATCTATCTATCTATCATCTATCTATCTATCTATATTGGAGCAACAAACCACATTTTCTACAACTCTTAAAGCTTTTTCAGCTAAACTGTCTATATTTTAAGGGGTGCGTTCAAAAAGTAAGTTTATACATGCATTCAGGCACAGCTCAAAGCAGCTCCTCAGCTTAAGTGTGGTCCAACCTCTTCTCTTAGCTATGTTCTTGAGTAGAGGTGAGGAACCTTAGACCTAAGAATTGCATATGGCCCTCCAGGCCTCTGCCAGGCTCTCAGAAATCCCCCAACACCATACCCCTCACCAGACCTACTCTGCACCATCGTTGTATTGATGTAAAATACCATGAAATGTGTAATAATCTCCTGCTTGCCTGTATGGAGGATGCAGCAATGTGTGGGTGTGAGTAGAAACTTCTGACTTTTGCATGGCTGGAATGCAGCCTGTACAAAAGTATCACACACTTTTTGCCTCTGGCCCTTGCCCATCTCTGGTACGCATCCCTGCAAAAGGTTCCCCTATGAGAGAGCTTGGTCCTTGGGCTTTCCTTGAGTAAGTTAGCTACTTTGCTTCAGGCTGTCTTCACACTGTTGAATCAAGTGCTCCTATCTCTTTTATGTATCTGAGAGTCTGCCTCCATACACCATTACATTTCCCAAAGGGCAAGCAGCTTCCTCCCTTAATGCTTAAACTAGACATTGGTCATGAGTCCCTACTGCTGATGCCTTGGCAAATTCCAAGTGTAAGGCACTGCTCATGATTAGTTAGAGCATCTGCAACAGGTTCAGAAAAGTTACCTGTGCAAGACTGTCTACCTGGAGCCCAAGTTTGGCTGCGGCTTACCAGGACTCATTTGCCCTCAATGTGAATGGGTGTGTCTGCACTGCCAGTGTGATGTTGTTGCATCACATATTGCATATGGCTACTCAACCTCATATCTGCCTCCATCACCACATTCAAGTAGCAACCATTTACACTTGCCTTGGAGAAAGTTCCATTGACCACAGTGGGACTTACTTCCGAGTGAACTTACACAAGGTTGCTCTCTTAGAGTTTGTCTCTCATTATCTTCCATGCATCTCTGGCTGAACCACAGGAGCAATTAATTCACAGACCTACCTGGCATTGCTGCCCCCTCTGTAAGGACCACTTTCTAAAAACATTTTTCAGAACTATTTCTGATTTTCATCCATTCAAGTATTCCTTAGGTATTAGGCCAATGTGGATTTTGTACTATAGAAGGGAGCTTCAAAACTGTATCAAGGCCCTCAATAAACGCTATGGTTCCCCAGAATCGGTCAACTGTGATAAATGCAGGCGCTCAAAACACAAGAGAAATAAAGGCAAACTAAAAGGGAAAGCTTATCTAGAGAACAAGAAAGGGCTTGCATACTGAAGTTGTTGTTTTCAAAGAAGTGCAGTTCATTGTTAACACTCCTGGCGCATATGCTTTCATCATCTGACCAGCAAGGGCACCTAATGGTTAGAGAGGGGGGCAAGTGATTTAGAAACGTGGTTTGAAAATGTTTAAGAATTATTCAATTAGGAAAAAAGTATTGAAATGGTTACTGGTGCTATTTTTCAATTATCCCACTGCTTTCATTCTGGTTTGCTAAGACAGGCTGACATCCAATGACATCGCCTCACCAACAGAACAGATGTCCCTTGTGCAGTGAAGCGCATACTTCCTCTCTTTACTCTGCAACCCCCTACATGCCCCAAAAATCTGCTCTGGGAGTTTAGGGGACCTTTTGGAGCAGATTTGTGTTGGGGGAAGTCCTACTGCATGAGTAGAAGTCTTCTTCCGTGATGTCAAATATTGCTCACCATCTACAGGGTTGCTTGAAATGAAATATACCATGTTATGAACTGCAGAACAAAATCAGATACTGCAACTTCAAGTACAAAAGTTTTCAAGTCGCTTTCGTGAATAATAAATTATCCTGAATGCTACTTACCAGTTCTGCATCTTTTTCTGGATGAACGATTTTAAGAACTTTCCAGTATTCACATCAAAAAGTTGAAGGTTGGGCACTCCTGCTCCTCCATCTTTAGAAGCTACAACAAACAACATATATTGCAGTGGTGACCTTCAAAATAAGCACTAGATCTCCTTCCCTAATCTACAACATCCTGACCAAGGGTTCTGTTGATGCATTTTGTTAATGCCTTATAGGGAATGCTATACTAGAGGCTAGCACACAAGGACAAGAAAACAGGATGTTTTCTTTAGCATCTGCTTTCACAGATCCCGTATCTGTAAGTGTGAAAAAATATTTTCCTTCTTAAACAAACCTAGACACAACAGGTTTTTCCTGAAATAAAAATTCTCAGTCCCTAACACTCTTTAGAGATGCAATACGCTAGTTTATTTAAAATCCTTTATAAACCTCTTAATAGTTCATAAATGGTTCAAAAGTAGTGTGCAGTCTAAAAAAATACCTAGTTAAAACTTTAAAACAAAAAGACAACCTAAAACCAGTAAAACAGCAATATAGAAACACATAAAAGTATGTAAAAAGTGATTACAACAGATATTCAGAAGATTCAATCACATAAAACAGGGTCTAATTTTAGAGGGTCAGCAAAAGCCCGGGCTTATCCTATCAGATAAATTTACCCTCTGATGTCAAAATCCTTTGTAGATGCATTTTTTTTGGCAAGAGTCACTCTATTCTTTGCTTGAGTTCATCTGGAACTAGTTGTGCCAAACAGTAATACATTTACTCTCCATTTGCGGGCCAAACGAGATGTGACATGGGAGATTCAACTGCAGATCTGCCAATGCCATTTCCTTTTACCTAAGAGCAGCCACAGGGGAAATGGAATCAGGGCTGCTGCAGTGCTGGATGATTTTTTTTTAACCCATTCCCTGGTTTAGATGCTTGCTCTCTGCCTACCTGAACCCCTGTCACTAGAAACCACTGTCTGGGGTGGGTAGACAAGCAAGATCTCTCTTCCCCTACCTCACAGCTAACAGCAGTTTTAGGGGGACAATTTAAGCGGAAAAAACTGCAGGGTGTGTTTTAATCCATTCCCTGTGCTATGGCTCTGATCTAAACCCCTAACTCCCTCCCCAAACACATACAGACACAGACACACACTCACTCCTGCCTTTAGAGAAAGAAAATAGCACCACATCTAATTGAGTATGCACTGGTTTTAGTTGGGGGCATGATGTCTGGAAGGCCTTGAACTGTGTTGGATGATGAATCAGACATAATGACTTTTTGGTGCTTTCCATCAGTATGATTCTTTCCATTATTATTATTAACCTACTGTAGCCTTCCCTAACCTGCTGCTCTAGGCTACAGCTCCCATCACCATGCATAATGGTTTTATGTGTTTCAAAACTGAAGTGATTTTTATCTATTTTAAAATTGCATTTTTTATAGTAGTGATTCTTATCTATTTTATAACTGTACTTTCCACTTGTTGCAACCTGCCACTGGTGAAAAGCAGGTAATAAATTTTACAAATATATAAGGCCTCATTGGCTATGCTGGCTACAACTAATGGGAGCTGGAGTCAAAACCATCTGATGGGCACAAGATTGGGGAAGGCTGGCTGACACTAACAACAGAGAAAAAGTGGTGGGGAGGGGGGATCCTAAGGAAGAAATGCAAGTCCCTCTCCTGAAGAGCTTGCAGTCTATATTGAAGGGCATAGCAATGGGAAATTGGAAAAAGGAAAGTCAAGGGTACCATACACAACTTATTACTATGACACTTCAGAAGGAAGCTTTTTGATTTTTCTTCTGTATTCTTACAATCCTAGCATACAAAAGGTTGCAGTATTTATGAACCTTCCAATGTTTACAACATGCACGACTGCAGCCATGTGTACACTGAAGGAAGCTGGAGCAGACACCTGAAGTACTCACTTGTGTAGGGCTGCCATGTTACCAGGACATTGCTCTTTGGAGAGAATTCAAGGCAAACTGTCTTCGGCTGATCAAAAGAACGCAGCACCTCATGGCTGGTGACATTCACGATGTTTACTCTGGAAGCAAAAGAGGTAACTTCAACAAAGCTTGATTAGGGTGGTTAATTTATAGCAGGCTTTATTTGTTCAGTGCCAAATTTGCTTTCTTTTGAACCACTTAATAGAATATAGAACTATATTTCCACTTACCATACTGTTCAATATTTCACTAATATAATTTTTTTTCCTATCAAGGTTGCATTCCTTTGGTGGGTAATTTAGCAATAGTAAGACAGCAACAGGCAGATCCAAGGCCAAAGGTAGATAGGGAAACCCTTCTCTCTCTGCCACCTCTTTCCACCATTTTGTTCCCTCCCAGACAATCACATATTAGGCTGAGGGCTGCAGGTTGCCCGCTGCTTAAGTTTCCTCAGTGTGTAACCACCAAACTCCAAACCTTCAAAGACTCGTGTGCACACGTTTCACTACCATGCCCTTGAGACTGAAGTCATGCAAGAGTCACATTGCAAATGACTGTGATAAGAGAACCTTTCTATTTTTGGCCTATTCACACACTACTTCGTCCCAATTGGCACAAAGTAAGATTGGGGAGCTGGCCTCAGGTTAAACAGTAACAGTCCCATCTGCTATATGTTAAGTGATATCTAAACTGCTGAGAATGGCACACATGTGCAATACAATACTCCAAGAACGACAAAACAGAACTAACATCTCTGGAAATGTACTAATTCAAAATGGAAAGGGGAGGATATTCAGTTTCAGAAACTACAATCCTACACATGCTTAGGTCAATGCATTTCAGTAAGCTAAGCCTGCCCAACTGCATCCATGATTCAAGCATTTTAGGCTGTCAATCCTACCAATCTAATCCTACCATCTGGAAAGCAATGCGTAAATTGGACAGAATTGTATCTGTTGGTAAAGCTTTAATCCTGTCCACTCTTCCTGGAAGTTCAATTGAGAACTGACTGAGGTTGGTTTTGAATGAACATACCTACAAATACATGTATTTGTAGCAATTTTCCTTCCTCAAGCAATTTTTTTAACACACTTTGCACAATTTAATATAGGCCCCCAAACTTCTTAACAAATGTTTAAAAAAGAAGGAGTTATACTGACTGTTCTCCATTGCACCAAGCAAAAAGGGAACCATCCTTGCTGAAAGCAAAAACTTTGCTGTTTTTCCCAGACTCCCTGGAAAAACAAATACATTTCTATCACAATTAAAGTATATGACACAAAATGCATAGAAAAATATTAATAGACTGTGTTCGATAAATATCCCTAGCAGTATATAAGTATACCAATTCTTACTTGTTATTGATTAACATCTGAATTTAATCAATTAGATATAGTTTTGATCATTTATGTGAAGCATTATCCATCAGTTGCCACCACCTCATAAAGAGATCTCCTTGACCAGGCTGTCCTTGACTCATAACATTGGATCCTATTATTACTGATTTTTTGTTTTTATACTGTTTCACTGTTTTCTATGTTGTATCTTTGTTTTTATGACACTGTTTTATTGTCTTTGTGTTATGCTTTTGCTTACAATGTTTTAGAAATGCTTTCAATAAATAAATAAAATTCCAATTAAAAATGGCACTTAACAATAGAGAAAAGTGAAGTACCTTTGAAATGCTGTATTCTCTGTGAAAAGAGGAGGCCCATTCACCATATAGAGTCCTTCAGATCCTCGCACTAGCAAAAAAAATAGCATTTATTTCACACTAATAGAATTAGCACTTAATGTTTACATAACAAAAGCCTATTTTAATGATCATACCTCACATTAATAAGCTGAAATATTAATATTAGTAGGTGCCCCTTTGCTCCTCAAGCCTTCAAATAACAATTTCCCACTTCATCTGAATCAACTTTATAGTTTGGCAGCTTCAGAACAAGCAACAGTCATAAACTCAACTTCAAACTGTGCTTTTTCTGAAGTTGGCAGCCAGTTTCCTAGTTTGGACAAAAGGGAAATGATGGTGAAATAAGAGGCTTCCTGATTTGATTATTCATGCTAGAAAGGAATCAGTGAAGTCGCTGTGAGCATAGGGAAGTGTTTCACACATATCTAGGCCTATTAAGCAGAAAAATGACTGTCTGAATACAGTCAAAGTTTGAGGCTTGAATACTTGTACAGTGGTGCCCCGCAAGACGAATGCCTTGCAAGACGGAAAACCCGCTAGACGAAAGGGTTTTCCGTTTTTGAGTTGGTTTGCAGGACGAATTTCCCTATGGGCTTGCTTCGCAAGACGAAAATGTCTTGCGAGTCTTGAGATTTTTTTTTCGCTTTCCCCCCCTTTTTCTAAGCCGCTAAGCCTTTAATAGCCTTTTAGCAGCTAAGCTGCTAAGCCTTTAATAGCCGCTAAACCGCTAATAGCGCTAATCCGCTAATAGGGTTGCTTCGCAAGACGAAAAAACCGCTAGACGAAGACACTTGTGGAACGGATTAATTTCGTCTTGCGAGGCACCACTGTATCTTTGCAGGGGAATGGCCAAGTTTATACTGAAAATTAGAATTGTTGATTGAATATAAATAAATGGCAGTCACACATTCACTGGGATGGGCACCTATCAATAACCTTACTGTTGCATTCTGGATCAGATGAAGTTTCCAGAGATTTTTCAGAGGCAGTCTCACATAAGCCTGGTTGACACAATACCAAGCCATGTTTTATTTAACAAACCGCAGGTTAACCACAAGTTCTCACACAGATGATCATACAAATAAAAATTTCTCCAAAAATTGTTTTTGCTGCTCTTGTCTCATTTGCTACTGGTTCTTTGGGTGAGCAACCAGGGTAGGTCATCAAACAAATACACATCTCCAAGCCATAGTTAAAACAAACCAAGATTTGTAAGCCAACAGCGAAGCATGGCTTCAGATTATGATTTGTTGTCCGCAATCAAGGCATAGTTAAGCTGCTGAGCAGGGTCCATATATAACACTAACCTATGGTTTAATGAACCATAGTTTAGTGTTATGTGCAAACTAGGCCATTGACTTTGCTGTAGTTACTCATTATATACATAACTAAAGCAGGTCTGAGCTTCCTAGAAATGCGTGCACTTGCCACACCAATGTAAGCTTGGTATAAAGCACCCCCACCCCCCACAGCTGCCACCGCTTGTCTAGACATGAACAAAGCTGGGTCCAGGAGTACCCCAAGACTACATGCCTGATTTTTCAAAAGGAGTACTACCCTATATAATACAAGCTGAACCCTATCACCAGAGCACCTACGTTTTCCTTTAAAACCTATGAGTTCTGCTTGCTATAAAAAAGAAGGGGGAACTGCAAATAAATAACTCAATAGAAAATTGGGGCAGAAAAAAATTGCAAAGATGGCACTATCTCCTTCAGCCTAACTTTCAAAACCTGGCTCAGTTGTAACCTGGCAACCAACAGTATGACACAAAGGGCTCCCGCACCTTTAATTTTGTAGTTTAAGAAGGCACAAAGTTTCTCACCTCTTGCAGGCTTATGGCATGACATACATTACCCTCCAAAATCATTAAAATTATAAAAAGTATAGGAACTCTGTCCTATGTTGCTTTCAGATACTCTAGGCTTAAATATAATGATTTTGAGATCAGGTCACATTAATGACTTAAAAATAAGTTATCTACTGGGAATTTTTACATCAAATACTGAATCCCAATAGTGCAATTACTGCATTGTTGAACCCACTTCTACATAGAAACATAAGAAACTACCTTTTGCCGAGTCAGCTATTGGTCCATCTAACTCAGTACTGTACTTAACTGGCAGCTCTCTAGGGTTTCAGGTAGGAGTCTCTCCTAGTCCTTCATGCAAATGCCAGTGACTGAACATGGGACTTTCTGCATGCAATGCAGTTGCTCAATCACTGAGCTATGGCCCTTCTAACTTAGGAGAGGCAATAGAGTCTGAAACTGACATCCACAGATGAGATTCAAAAGGGAGATGGGGGGGTGTATTTTGCGTGTGCATGCACATAAGCATGTGCAACTGTCCATATCAGTGCTGTAAAGCCTGATCCTATGCATATTTCCTCATTAGAAAAATCGCTTAGGATTTGCTCCACAGACTAAATGGATAAGACTGCAGCTTTACTCGTTGGTAGAGAAGCCCTATGAAACTCAGTGGCCCTCAGTCCCAGGTAAAACATCTAAGAGTGTGATCCTAGGAATACTGAGTAGGAGGAAGCCACACTGGGTGCCTTGCCCTTTACCTCCGAGTAAGGCGATAGAACTCATACACGCTTGCATTTGAAGAAGCCCCAATAAGCTTTTTAGATCTTTGCATCTAAGTAAATTAATAAGAATCTGCTTTAGACCAAGCCATGCCATTAGTCCATCAAGCTCAGTTACTGTCTTCAGTGATGAAGTCAGGGACTCTCACGGCTCTGGACAACGATTTTAGGGGGGCGGGGGGGGAGACACACAAATTCCTTTAGCTGACAACGTGTCATGCTTAACTTGCTTCAAAGTGCAGTAAGCTAGCGCTGTCGCCTTGGGAGTCTTGCGCGCTCTTTCTGCTTAGCTTAGGGGGGCCCTGGACTTCCGTCCCGAAGTCTTGCCCCGCCTGCCTATTCCTCAAGGAGCAGCAGCCGTCCGCTTGAGTACGAATGCGCTCCGCTACTGAGGAACGGCGCTTCCCTGGGAGACCTTTAGGATCGCCCTGCGCCACGCGCAGGACTTCCCTCGCGCAACTCCGGCACGAGGATGCAGCTGAAACGGACACGGGGACAACACGCAGCGCCCCAGAGCAGCCGCCATAATGCACGCGGCGCTACATCGAAAAATAAAAAAAGATTTGTTAAAAAAAACAGGCAACTTATGGATTCGCCCGCCTCAACCCACCTGCCAGAAGCGGCGTGGGTGGCGCCATCTTGAGCCAGGCCCAACCTTTTCTCCTTCCGGGTCGCGGGGGTCACGGCTCAGGACAGTACACGTCTCTCCTCCGCCAGCTCAAGAGCGGACGCCTTTTTCCGGGGTGACGTGTAGCAACCTCTCGAGAGGGGCGGGGCGGAGAGTTTCCCACGTCACGCGGCCTCCGCCCATTTCTGCCGGCCACCTTTAGCGTTAGACGGCGAAACGAAGAAGAGAAAAACCTGAGGGGAGAGGCGGCCGCTTCCGGGTTGGCGGCGGCGGCTCCGCCTCCGCGCTTCCGGAGGGCGGGGCCTGCGCGAGGGGCAGTTTGCTGCTTACGCGGCGGCTCGGCCGGAGGGAGCGCGTCAGGCGGTTCGGTCTCTTCCCCCCTCCCTTCCCTTCACGCTGCCCTCCCCTCACGCGCTTCCTCCTCCTCCTCCTCACACAAGCAGCGCGGCCACAGCTCAGTCGCGGCGTCTGTCTGTCAGGCAGCAGCAGCAGCTTCGGCAGCGGCGGCGGCGGCCAAGATGGTGGCGAAGCAGCGGATCCGGATGGCCAACGAGAAGCACAGCAAGAACATCACGCAGCGCGGGAACGTGGCCAAGACCTCGGTAGGGGCTCCTTCGCGGAGGAGGCCTCGGAAACCTCTTCTCCCCTTTCCCCTCAGCGCCCTCCTGCGACCGGGGAGGGCGGGGCTCCGTCTCCCCCTGCCGCTTTGCCCCTCGCGCGGGAAGCAGCCTCTGAAGGGGGAAACGCGCGAGGAAGATGGGAGGCTGTGCGGGAGGGGGGGCTTGGCCTTTAACCGGTTCCTGAGGGGCTGAGGAGGAAGAGGAGGAGGGGGGGACTGCGGGGATCGTGGCCTCCCCCCCCCGGCCGCTGAGGGGCGGCTACCCCCGAAAGAAACCCCGCTCCTCCTCCTCTTCCTTTTCTTCTTCCTCCTCTTCTTCTTCCTCACCCGAGCCGTCCTGACACGCTGGCTCTTCCCACAGAGAAACGCCCCCGAGGAGAAGGCGTCGGTGGGGCCCTGGCTGCTGGCCTTGTTCATCTTCGTGGTGTGCGGATCGGGTAAGCGCTGGCAGCTGGGCGGGATTGGGTCCCTTGTCCAACATCTCCATCAAGGGAATTTGATTTTTTGGGTGGGGGGTGGTGGTTTTCAGGTGGGGAACCCCTTCCAGCCCGAAAGGTCTTGGGTTAGCAAAGGTAAACAAGCTGCGGCGACACTTGTTTGCTTCCCACAGATGTTCCCCTGTGCTTCTCTGGTGTCCCGTAGTTTGTGGTCCTTAAATTGTTGGTTAGATTTGCCAAGACGTGATCAGGGAGAAGGAGGCGGTTCTCCTCTTAGAAGAGGCATTTTCTTTTTCTTTTTGAGTGGTGGAAGGTGTTTTCGCCTAAAAGGGGGGCAGCGCTGCTTCTCGCAAGTGGTGGGATGGGGAGCAGGTGTTCAGAAACATCTGGAGAGGTGTAGTGGATTTGCTGGGCAAGGTGGACCCCTAGGGCTGCTGCTGGCGTTGAGTGCCATATGGGCAACTCTGCCATATGGGCAACTCTACCATTGGACCTTATTCAGCTACCAGTTTAGCCCTTAGGTTCTCACATTGGTACTTTTTCATCATAGCTATGCTGGTTTCTTAAAAAAAACACAACCCTGCTTAAAATTACTAGACATTATATTGGAATCACTCTACACGCACACACACATTGCCTGACTTGATTGGACTAGTGATATTTGCCCACTTTTTATGAATACCCCCCCACACTGATCTTTATGTACATCTGTAGCAATGAGGACTTGCAAAAGATAAAGGCATCCTTAGAATTTTAGTTTCTCAATGCTGTCTTAAGCTTGTTTTCCCAGAAGTGACCCACAAATCCCAGTGGTATTGTCTGTCTAATATACCTGTGTTCAGGTTTGCACAGCAGACTAATATAGCTGGCCTTTTGGAAGTTGCTATTTGAGACTTACCTGTTTAAATAGCCAAATTGCAAGTAAGGTAATTTTTCCGGTACACCAGGTCGCTCAGGACAGAGCTTCACAAAAAGAAAGAAAGGGTATGCAAAACAGATTTCCTGAACGCTGTCAGGGAACACTGTTAATAATATGTGATGGTTCACCTAGTTCTATAAGCTTACTGGCTCCAATTTTTATATCCTTAGGAGTTGTGTTGATGGTTACAAATAAGATAAGGAGAGTAATAGTTGTTATTACTTAAATGAGGGGCTTTATTCACATGAAGTTTGCCTACTTCACAAATGAGGGAGACTGGTATCTTATTGTGGGTTCATAGCTGTTTTTAAATGTCACGCTTATACCCCTTATTGTGGCTACTTAGTTGTTGACATAGCAAGCAGTGATCTAAACTAATAAGTTACAAGTGTGCTGTCAATAGCAATTTTATACACTATGCTGAAAACAGGAAGATTTACATTGGCAACCATTGCTTTCTTTTAAAACAGCCTTCCTATCCACACTTACCTGAGAGTATGTTCTACTGTACATGGATCAGTTCACTTCTGAGTTATTATGTGTAGGACTGAGTGGGAAGTCATATTGCTGAAATCAAAACTGCTAATTAAAATAGGTTGATTTCAGCTGAGAAAACAGGAAAAAAATTGTGCCATATGGTATAGTTTCACACTTCACTTGGTCTTTCTAGTGTGGCTTTCTTGGAAGATATTTATATAAAATTGGGAGTAGTAAAATGTTCTGTCTTACACAGCTTAGTAAAATCAAGTGGAACTTGTTCAAAGGTTTTCTGAAATCTGGTTTACTCTGTGTATATAGCAATGCCAATGTACATAACTCTTTAAAATGGTGCATCATTTGATATATTCTAACATAGCAACATCTAAACCTGTTTCCTTTTGCAGCTATCTTCCAGATTATTCAGAGTATCAGAATGGGCATGTGAAGGAGCTGATCCTTAAACAAGATTGTTATATTATCTCCTGTGAACTATGAACTCTCATTCCTGATGTTTGATATCTTGGAATTTAAATTAGCTGTCGTCTTGCTTCTGAAGAACTTTCCATGTTGACCATATGTCATTCCAGGTTCCTTCACAAGTCATTCCAAGTTTTTTAGTCCATGCCACAGTGCCTTGAAAAAGCACCACATGTATAAAGCAATAAAGAGTTATTGTTAACTTACAATCGTGGACCTACTTATTCTGTGAATCAAACCCATGCTTTATGTTAGTATATTAAAGTGTAAGCAGTGTAGATACTTAGTGACTGCATTATATGTAAACACCGGTCTTTCTTATGTTTCTTCTGTATAAATGGAAGTTGTTTTATTTAAAATGGAGAAGTTAAGCTTATCAAACAGTGATTGTATGACTAGTTCAAAACACACTCAAGCAACTCGGTCAATGGATGTGTGCTGTGGTTTTTGCTTATCTAAAAAGAACATCTGTATGTGGTAGCTTAGTTTGACCTTAGCATGTGGCAACTTAATAAGTCTCAAATTGTTCTGATAGAAGACCTTACCCTATGCTTCTTGGAATATTGTTTTAATAAAACAATGTAGTTAAAACCAATGGTTTAATTGACCATATACATAAATGAACAAACCTCTTCAGTCTTAAAAAGCACCAGAAGTTTTACAAAATGCTTAATTGTTGTTATGCTGTACTTGAGTGTCAATGTTTCTCATGTCATCATTCCTTTCTTTGGGGTGGTTAATCCTCTTGGGAGCAACTGAAACTTAAGTGTAAAACATCACATGGTGACTTGTTCCACGATACTATAACGTTCTTGATAGCCCACCCAAAGAGCACTAACATGCCTGCATCCTGAATAGTTCCCCAGTTCAGCTGAATAAGTTAACCAATCCAGAGTTTTATATTGCTGTGACTTAAATCTTTTTTTAAAAGAATCCTACAGCATTTTAATTTCATAGAAATCAAAACAATGTAAGAGTAAGTGGGTTGTATTTTCACAGGCTAGTAGACACAACTGAAGTATCCATCTTGTTGCAGAACATAGTGAGGTAAATATGAGGTTGGGCACTCTTCCAGGGAATGCCTTCACAAACAGGTAATTGGACCACAAATAAACTACTTAAAGGGCTACGTGTGGGCAAAGTTAACTAGGTAAATTACTCTGCAATTTTGCAGGGTTGCATTGCTGATGGGCAGGTGACTGGAAGGCTACATTTCTTACCATTAGCTGTCAGCACATTCTGTAAATGAGAAATGCTTGTTTGTAATCTAAGAACTATTTCCAATAAATTACTTTAAAATCTGAGGTGCGTTAATTTTAAGTCCTTAACTTAAGTCTTTATTCAGGTAATAATAACCCTGCGATTCTTATGGGGAAATGGTTATATTAAGGGCACAGCACCGTGCTCAATTTATGATAACTTTTGAGCCCTCTAGGATTTTCTGCATAGCCCATGCTAGTGATATAATGTCAGCATCAAGGTTTTGCTGATGTTGACTCAACATTGTTGGCACAGCTGTCAGTGTCACTGGGGGAAGAGGAGGCTTAGTGTGAATCAAACTGGTCCCTCAGATTCTACTCCTGAGTACCAACGAGTTAAGTTACACCAACAAAAGAGATTGTGTAAATTAAAACATTCCTATTAGTGGAGACGCGGGACGCGGGTGGCGCTGTGGGTAAAACCTCAGCGCCTAGGACTTGCCGGTCACATGGTCGGCAGTTCGAATCCCCGCGGCGGGGTGCGCTCCCATCGTTCAGTCCCAGCGCCTGCCAACCTAGCAGTTCGAAAGCACCCCCGGGTGCAAGTAGATAAATAGGTACCGCTTACCAGCGGGAAGGTAAATGGCGTTCCGTGTGCTGCGCTGGCCCACCAGATGCAGCTTGTCACGCTGGCCACGTGACCCAGAAGTGTCTGCGGACAGCGCTGGCTCCCGGCCTATAGAGTGAGATGAGCGCACAACCCTAGAGTCTGTCTAACTGGCCCGTACGGGCAGGGGTACCTTTACCTTTATTAGCAGAGAGTCAGAAAAGTCTTCCTGCCACTCTACTCACATCACTGCAGTGAAGCATAGGATTCAGACTGGCCAATCACAGCACGCATAGAATAGTGCAGAAACCCTTAACATGGAGTCCATTTCTCAGATGCCAGCACATGCAGCTCTTATCTCTGGTCTTAAGCCCTGCACAGCAAAGGGAATGTTGATGTTGAGAACTGTGGAGAAATACATAAGAATAAAACTTGTGAAGACCCTCGGGACAACCAGCAAGAACTCCTGGACGGCTCCGCAGGTAAGTAGATGGGGGGAGCTTGACTCGAGCTTTAAAGTATGGCTGCTACAGATATCTCCCATGTCTCTCTCCCACTTTCCACCGTCTGTCCATTTCAGTGTTCAGCGTTGTATTGGCTAATCCTTCCTCACCAGCCGGTGACGCCATCACATGGATAGAAGGCACTGTGTAGAAGGAGGGGTATTGGGGCCTGTGAACCATCACATTCAGGTAAGCTCTCTAGTGATTGAAGGGCACTCCTCTCACTCCATCCTTACTATTGACTAAGCTATCATAACACCCTTCGCTCTGCAGGATTGCAGCCCGGCCACGTGGAGGTCAGTCAGTCACTACACATCGCAGTTCCCTAGCTGAGAGAAGAGTGCTCCTCTGAGGAGCATTTAGGTGGCAGCATTCTCACAAACGCATACTGGACATCTAGGTCCAAGACCTTCCTGTCAACTGCTGGCCATTGATCTATGCTGCCTTTTGGCCTCTTCCTGGGCAGCTTTCAGGCAGGCGCAACGAGCAACATAACTCTTATTTCTGTTGCTGTGCAGTGAGTAAAAGAAGCGTACCAGCAGTAGTAACCAGTATGATTCCAGGTGTTCCTCCGTGGCGTTGCCAACTTGATATTCTAGCAGGCTCATGTATCTTTGCAAGTTGCTTGCTCGGCAGTTGCGAATGCAGTGTGGAGATGGCACAATGGGGTAAATGACATCTAAGCTGCCGTGGTACTTTCAAGATCACAGGAATCCTAAGCTAAGAATGTTGACGACTCTTATGTGTCTTTCAGAATCCGCTAAAATGATGCTGTCCACTTTGTTAGTGAGGATAAGCAGAGAAAGATCACTTCTATCCACCAAAGTTATTTTTTGCCTTCTCTTACCTGGAGATATGACTCTGGGAGGGATGGGGTCTTAACTTAATCTGCCATAACTTAGGGTAACTCTATCCTCTGGTAAGCTGGCAGGTTCTTCTGAGTTGTTGCTGCTGCAATGAACGAAGCATTTAGTAGTGGAGGGAGGGAGGGAGAACAGATGACAAAATTTGGGGCAATAATCAAAGGAGCATGTGTCCTGTGAGCTGGCAGTCTGACTGCGCTGCTACCTCTCTGACACCCCTCAGGTGTGTCCCTATTTGAGATGTCTCCTGTTGTGCCGTCAAAAGCTTGGTTACAGTCATACTTTGGAAGTCGAGCAACTTAGTTCCTGAATGTTTTTGCTCCTGAACGTTCCAAACCCAGAAGTGACTGTTCCGGTTTGCAAACTATTTTTGGAAGCCAAACGTCTGACGGGGCTTCCAATTGGTTGCAAAAGCTTCCTGCAGCCAATCGGAAGCTGTACTTTGGTTTTCAAACGTTTTGAAATGTTTTCAAACGTTCCGGAACAGATTCCGTACAACCTCCAAGGTACGACTGTATTAGCAATGATTGTGTGATACAGGTGAATTTGAACACCTGTTTGTAGAGAGATTTCCAGACATTCCTTATTGCTGAATTGCTGCTTGCCCTAGGGGCTCTTTCAGTAGTGATTGGTGGGTTGCCTGTTGTGTATGGCTCGGGGGTGAGGTCTTGGAGATGTTTCCCTATTGCTGTGTGTGGAATGGGTCAGTCTATGCATGGCTACTGGGGCATTGTTGGCATGCTACTCTGTGATTGATTTGTGTCAGTGGTGTTGCCTTGGATGCTGGGGGAATAGGTAGCATTGTAGCTATGGTTTTTATAGTTCTAACTCTTCCCCCTCCTCCAGACTGGTGCTGGAAGTACATATGGGATCCTGACTAAATTATACTGGTGCAGCTAGGGTCACAGGAGTGCTATGTTACCCTGCAGTTCTGTTCAGTGACTTGGAAATAAGTTCCACTGGATCTGGTGCAACTGCAAAATAAATCACATAGTTTTGCCAATAAGTACATGGAAATGTGCCATTGTATCAATGTGCCTATGACATAGTAATAATAATAATAATAAAAAATTACTAGTCTTCTCTAGTTATTAATTACTAGTCGTCGTCTTTGGAGATCACTCGTAGCTGAGTAAGATTGTCTTCCATGAACACGGTTTTGGCAGTGAGTCCGTAAGTGACTGTGGAGATCAATTCTGGATCCACATGTCCTTCCACAGTGGGGACATAGGTTTCCTGGAGGGACTTTATCACGGTGCCAAGCATGCCTTCCTCTTAGCACATTTTTCCTTTTCGTCCTGAGTTTGAGTGTCTTCAAAGCCCATGACATCTTTGGTAAATGCTGTTCTCCAATTGGAGCGCTCATAGGCCAGTGTTTCCCAGTTGTTGATGTTTTTACTACATTTTTTTCAGATTTGCCTCAAAAGAGTCTTTAAACCTCTTTTGTTGACCACCAGCATTACGCCTTCCATTTTTAAGTTCGGAATAGAGTAGTTGCTTTGGAAGACGATAATCAGACATCCGCATGACGTGACCAGTTCAACAAAGTTGATGTTGAAGACTCATTGCTTCGACACTGGTGATCTTTGCTTCTTCCAGTATGGGCAGTTATCTTTCCACAAGTGCCAACACTGATGCTGAAATCCAGCATCGCCTCAGCTCTGTGAGTGCGGCTTTCTCCTGATTGAAGTGCAGAATGTTTGAGGACTGGGACATTCTCAGGGAAACCAAAATGCTTGTTTACAAAGCTATTGTACTACCAACCTTACTGTATGCTTATGAAACATGGACCATTTATAAACGCCATTCTCGAAAGATTCCATCAACTGTGTCTCTGGAAATTTTTATTACTGGTACTCCACCCATCTGGCTAGGTTGCCCCAGCCACTCTGAGCAGCTCATAAGAAACAGTGAAACATCAGATATTAAAAACCTCCTGATACAGGGCTGTCTTCAGATGTCTACGAAAGGTCAGATAGTTGTTTAGCCCTTAGATATCGGATGGGAGGACGTCCCACAGGACAGGCGCCACTACCGAGAAGGCCCTTTGCCTGGTTCCCTGTAACGTCACATCTTGCAATGAGGGAACCACCAGAAGGCCCTCAGAGCTGGACCTTGGTACGTGGGCTGAACAATGGGGCCATTTAGGGCTTTAAAGGTTAGCAGCAATACTTTGAATTCTGCTCAGTAACATGCTGGGGCGTAATAAGCACCTTGTCCCGAAAGATTTATTGCATGCCTTCAGCATGTAACAAAAGTGAGCATTAAGTTGTGAAATCCTAAGAGTGAGTGCCTCATCTGTCTTCAGGAGTATTGGCATTGTGATCTTGGACCATATTCAAACACAGAAGGAGAAGAAATTACAACCAGAAACCGAAGGGTCTGTTGGTTTTATGTCTGATCTCAGTAAAGTGGGTTCACTTAAGATAAAGTGCTATTTTATTTTTCTGCTATGTCTGTTGAATGATATGGGGAATTTTGTTATTGAGATTGCCCACAGTCAATGAATAGTCTTGAAAGTATAGTCGCACCTTGGTATTCGAACGGAATCCATTCGACTTCCGAAAGCACTCGAAAACCAAGGCGCAGCTTCTGATTGGCTGCAGGAGCTTCCTGCACTGAATCGGAAGCCATGTCGGACATTCAGCTTCCAAAAAAGTTCGCAAACCGAAACACTCCAGGGTTTGCGGCGTTCAGGAGCCAAAACCTTTGAGTTGCAAGGCGTTCGAAAACCAAGGTACGACTGTATATGATCAGATACAGGTTTTATGAGCCTTGAACAAGAGACTATTTAAGCTACTCTGAACTCCTTGAAGGAAGAGGGTTCAAGTGTAAATCATATTCTGGTTTTTTTTCTACATCCCAGTAATCAGTTTTTAAAAATAACCTCAGTCATATTCTCCTAACAAAATATTATTTAGGAAAAAACATGCAGTTTTACGCTAGCCAGCAATGGCTCCAACCTGATAAGCAAACCAGTTGAGCTAGAATAGTTATTTTGATTGGACAAAATCACCCCCTCTAAACATTTAAAGTAATATTTGTTGAAACTTGCCCTCTCCAAGTGAGATGAAATATTTTAAGCAAACTTCTCCAGCATTGCTTCTCAACTGAGAAGGCACGGTTAAATTTCTGTTCCATACAAGGTCAAACATTGTGAGTATCAAATGCATGACATGCAAGTATTAAGGGATAGTAACTTAATGCATCAGTTAATACCAAGATATATACTGATGGTTAATAAATCAGAACCATATTTTGATAAAACAGATAGAGCATTTTATATTGTCGTTCAATACTGAATTGGCAGAAATATGTCCCGCACTATATAAATCTTTGCCATTTACTTCTGTTGGAAATATTAAACTCTTTTCACATCAATATAGAACTAGTATTTTTAAAATCCTAAATTTATTGAGGGTAGCCGTTAAATTTCATGCCCAATATTGATTTTTATGTTTATTAGGTAGCCTGGCAAGTACATGACCTTGCCTTCAGGTGGAAATTCCTAATACCATTTAAAAGCCTCAATCATAACTAACTAAATAAACCAATAAGCAGTGAAGCAAAGTACAATCTATCCTGAAAAGATGCAAACAGCTTTGCACGTATGCACCTGTTAAGTTTCAAAGTCAAAAATGCCATTGAATGCTTTGTAAAGAATTAGTGTGATTCTCATGTGGTTTCCAGTAACTGGTATTCAGAAGCATACTACCTTGACATGAGCCAGCTGGGTTAGGAACCATTGGGCGCCTTATTCTCCATGGAGCTGTTGAGTTTTCTTTTATAGTCATCAAGGTTGTTGGCCATCACTGCTTCTTGTGGGTGCAGATTCCGTAGTTTGGCTGTGTGAAGTAGGGCTGGGAAATACCTGGTTTCCAACACTGTGATATATCACTAGCTAAACCAGGGGTCCCCAAACTAAGGCCCGCGGGTCGGATAAGGCCCAAGGGACTCGTTTATCCAGCCCGCAGCGACCCCCCCCACTGCCGCCGCCCACTCTTTACCTGCGCTGCGCGGCTGCCCACTTCCAGGTCGGAGGAGCACTGGAAATAGCTTGTGCACATGCGCAAGCGTTTCCGGTGCACATCCGGGTCGGAGGAGGCCCGTGCACATGCGCACAAGCTATTTCCAGTGTTCCTCAGACCCAGAAGTGCGCTGGAAATAGCGTGTGCGCACGCATATGGGCACATGCTCTCCAGCCCACCGCGCGATCGGCTCTGGAGACGCCCGCCCAAGGCGGGGTAAGTTTGCTGACCCCTGAGCTAAACACTGTGATATACTGATATGTCACAATGTCTAAAATAAGCATGGATCTATGTAGAGGCATTGGCTGGCTTCACAGTGTTTCCCACATTGTGATTTTTGCATAGGATGCGCACGCACACATCATGATTTGCAATATATTGCCGGGTCAAAAACTATGAAACTGATATCATGATATGGACTTCAAACTGGTTTTGGATGGTATATCGATATATTGCCCAGCCCTAATGTGAAGGAGTACTTTCTTTGTCCGAATCTTCATTGAATGCTCCTGATTTCTAGTATTATGAGACATTTGACAGAGTGCCTTAGACCCCTACTTCGCTCCTGCTGGCATCTGGGATGAGGGAGACTAAAAGCAGGTTGTGGGCACTTGAAGACAATGGAACAAGCCCTCCCCAACCCCAGTAGTTACTGCACTTTCCAGTTCTCATATTTGGGCCTGCCCACCATCCAATTATTCAGCATTCAGTGTCCTCTCTGGGCATAGCATGTTAGGTAATTTGTGAGTGGAAATGGCCACAGCACATAACAGCCAAATGCTTCCCGTTCGCATTCGAAGCCCCAGCCTGCTCACTAGAATTTTCCTTGCTAGTGGCTCCTGCTTCTTGAAAAAAACCTCAGGCAGTGCTTGTCTTTAGCGGTGAGAGGAGGAAGCTGTGGGTGGTTTCTTCCCTCCAGCAGGACCAGGATAAGAAACGAGACCAGCAGGATGGCAGAGAAGAAATAGCAACTGAGAAGAAATGGGTGAATTCTACCCTTATTTACTTTGGGAGTGAGGACAGTGGCAAGTCAGTCAAAGAGAATCTGATGCCCTTAATTCTATCCCTCTCTTATTCCATTTTCCCCATGTGCATGTTTATTTAAATTATTTAAATTAAATTTTGCCACAAAGGGAGACGGGGTGTGTGTGTGTTCCTGGTTGTTTGCTTTTCTAACTTCTCCTATAAATGCTTATCAGCGCAAGGAGAAATCATTCAAACAGGTTATTCTCTCTCTCTCTCTCTCTCTCTCTCTCTCTCTCACACACACACACACACACACACACATTTGCTAAACAGCAAAGCAAGAACCAAGGCTTGGTTTGAATAAGATGTTTTTCCTGAAGCAAGTGCATTACCAATTAGGGAGTGGAACAGTTTACAGGAGCTTTTTTAAGCATTTACCTGAGAGTAAGCCCAGTTGAACTTGGTGAGGTTTACTTATGTGTAGACATGTATATAATCAACTGGTTATGGTCCCATAGAATTCAAATGGCAATGCAATGGAATAAAATACAATATAAGAAATAAAAGAAGCAATGAAAATGCAATCAAAAATCAATGAGAAATCCACAGAAATGTGGTGGACCACCTGAATGAAGCTTGTGGACCACCTTGGGCACTCCCATCATGGTGTATTCTGATTCACAACTTGAACCTAATTATGGACCTTGAGCTTGTTTGAAGGTTCTATCGGGAGTGCAGCTATCTTGACTGAAGAACGGTACACTCCTTCTATCTGGGATGATCGGCCTGTTCCACTGAGCATGCAGGTTTGGGAGGGATAGGTGGCACCCGCCTAGCCAGTCAGATCAGCTGAATCTACCTTGGTGATCAGTGGGGTGGCAGATGTTACAGTCAAATCACCCTCACATCCACTTGAACCTAATTATTAAGATTCAGATAAAGACTCGTGACTCAGTTGATACGAGCCCCTAAAATCACACTGAAATCCTGATAGGGACTAGTGTTGAATCGTTTTTAACATCCACCAGGGTGCAGTCTGGGAGCTGTACAACAAAATCCCAAACTCTATTTGGGATCCACAGTAACACAGACTCTGAACAAAATTTATGTTGACCAACAGTGCCCCCTGCTGGCTAGATCAGCTACTTAATGGGGACACAAATCATCATGCAGCATAATTGGGAGAATAAATATCCAAGGCTGAACAAATCTTGAACTGCTGCAACTTTTTCACCTCTTTGCACTTACAGATTTGCCTCTGGTGCTTGGGGAGTTGAAACAGATAAATATTGTTACCGTCAAGCTCTGGCAAAGCATTAGCTAGAACAGCTAAAATTTCAGACAATGAAAATAATGCTTGTGTTTAAGTTTGACGGCATAGAATTTCAGCTGCATTGCTCCTGTGTGACGTAGAGCCCACCCATGGAATGTATCCCTTGGGGTGGATTTGGGGCTGTGGGGATGGTGCACACAAGGGGGCACCATCTCAAAACCCAGTAAGTGAGGTGTTGGGCTCTGATGGGGTCCTGGAGTCCTCCTGCCTGTTTCACATAGCCTAGTGAATGCTTTCCCGGCTTTTGGAAGGAGGTAGGAGAGCTTTCCAACTCCACCAGAGCCCTTGCCCCTGCTTCCCAAAGCCAGGCGCCTCCTTACCTGGGAAAGGCTGGGAGAGGAGCGCCAAATTTTGGCCCAGCACGGGATGCCGTAGTACCCATGTCCGTCACTGTTCCCTTTGGGGTGGGGTGTGTATGTGGCATTTGAGCTTAAATAAGACCTGAATCTCTCTCCCTAGGGAACTCTATGCACTTAATGCACTGCACTGACAATTCACTGGGGTGGGCAGAGATGAAACACTTGACACTTCGGTCACATCATGTGCCTATGTCCAATACATAGCTGTCAACCGTCCCTTATTTGGCGGGAAACTCCCTTATCCCAGCGCCGTGTCCCGCTGCTGTCCCTTATTGATTATGTCCCTTAAATTTCCTGGGTTTCAAAGGAAGCAGCTCCTCTCCCTCCCTCCCTGCCGGCCAGGGAGGAGGGAGGCTCCAACTGTGTTGCTTGGCTGCCCGGCCTGCCCCCCTCCGGCCTCCTCTCACCAGCCTTGGCCCCCGGGAGCCCCTTCCCGCTGGGACTGGCGGGAGCCTCAGGCCCTTCCGCCGCCATCCTCCTTGTGGCTGCCGAACTGAGCGTCTCTGCCTGGGGCCTCCCTTCTGCCCGTCACCACCGCTCCCGCTAGGCCGTACTGCGGCTGTGCCGCTGAAGGACCCGGATGAGATGGGCAGCCTGGCATGGCCTATGAATTGCTGAGGAGCCTTGAGAGGAGAGCGAGGGCAACCATAGAGAAAGCAGTTCAGAGGGAGGAGGAGGAGGCGGAGGCACGGGCAGGTGTTCAAAGGGCTAACCATAGAGGGGGGAAAGTGGAGGAAGGACCTCAAGCGCTTCTCCCATAGATCTGTAGTAGTAGACGAGCATAGATGGTCTGATCTGCGGATTTACTTCGGGCACTATTTCCCCCCCCTCCTCCCGCCCAGTCTGATGGAACAGAGACCTGCAGATGGAGCACGAGAGAAAAGATACAGAACTGCAGCAGCATCTTCGTAGCTTGGACTTCGTTTTGCACGAAAAGTGGTTGCTGCTTGTAGTTATTTAATTGCAGTGTTTCATCAGCTGGTGTCTTGATAAGCAACCTCTGGAAACGAAGGGCTAAAAACCAGCGCTGCTCTCCCAAATTATCTGGTCCCTTTTAACTTCATATTTCAGCTGGTTGACTAAAATCCCTTATTTTGGCTGCTGGTCCCTTATTTTCAAATCTGTAAGTTGACAGCTATGGTCCAATAGTAAGTAGATCAGGCTAGTTTGCATTCTTCCAGGTTTTGAAAGCACCAAAAAGGGTACTTCAAAAACAGGTACCGGTTAGCAGTGTGGTGTTCAGTTGATCAGTTGGTTAATTGACTTAAAACTCAATTTGTTTATTTATTTCAATTGGTATACTGCCTTTCCTCCGAAGATCACAACATAAAAACACAAAATACAGAATAAAACAAAAACAAGCCAGTAACTCTGCTCCCTCAAAGACATTTAAAAGGCCCTAGGATGTTAATCAGCCAAAGGTCTGGTTATAGAGAAATGTTTTATTTATTTATTGAGTAATCAAGAAAGTGCCTTCATTCTCTCTCTCTATCATATTTATACTGGTCTGCTGGCAAACCGTCATGACAGTCTGAGCCACTAGGAGGTGCAAGAGGCACACAGACTGAGCCAGAAACATAGCCCAGAGCCTGAATGAGTCATCTCAGAAGTGGGAGGCACCACCATGACTTGCAGGAGAGAAACTCTCCTCCCTTTTTTTCTTTCACCCTGACACCAAGGGAGTCTTTTTCTGTCAGGGGAGGGAGGGAGGAGATATTGTTACCCTTTTGGAAGCTGAGGAAGCTGGAACATGTGGTCTTGGGAAGGAAATCGAGGCTGGGAGAGGGGAGCTGTCACAGAGAGGTAAATTCTAGGAGAGGGAATTTGAGACTGGGAGACGGGAGGCTGGGATGCAACCCCTCCAGTTAAGTAGATATTTGCAGGCACTCGTTCTGTGAGTACAGAACATGGCCCAATGGGCCTGCATGTCAGCAGGTTTCTCTCAACCAGCAGCTCTGACCAAGTAACTGAAGATCTTGGCACTGAGAGAGGAAGAGGAGGACTGATTACACAAGAGGGAGCGTTCAAGAATCATCTTAACCCAACGAACCTGCGCATTACTAGATCCTGTTGCAGCTATATTTAAATTAAGAGTGTGGGGAAGTACAGAGGAAGTGCAAATACTGTTTCTCAGAAAATTGATGCAAGAACCCGCAGGCGTGGAAGGCAGCGTCGGATGAAGATCATTCGAGGGTTTTTTTTGAATGGCATGGAAGTAAAGAACATTTGCTACTTTTTCCTAATGAGGCGGATCCAGTTGAAACTCGTGAGGAGACATACCAGCTTTCTCCTTTTCACTTGTGTTCTGAACAGAGAGAACAGGGGACAAGAATGGAGGAGGCCTGCCTGTCTTACACATTAAAAGGTTGTTCTAGGCCTAAGGCAAGCATTTGGTTAATCCCATCAAGTAATACCCCACAAAGTTGTTCTGTTAGCATAAGAAATTTGGGCTATGTCCCCATAGCCCCTAAATCTGTTCAGGGGTTTTCCACAACTCTCCAGAGCAAATTTGGAGAGGACATGGGAGGCAATGGGAGTACCACTGTGCAACTGCAAATCCTTGTATTAAAGCACTTACTTTGTTGGGTACTGCCCTTGTAGTTTGCACTTCCTTGAAAGAACTTGGGGCACTACCCTATCTCATTTTTAACATGCAGCTCCTCTATGCATTAAGAAGATAGTGGCTTTTTCAAACCCAGCCAGTAAGATCCATGACATAGTGGGGATTTGACTTTGCAACACTCTCATCCTAGCCCAACAGTTTTATCCTGCTCAGTATTCAAGGCGAAGGTAATAGATGCCATAATGACGTGTTTAAAAAACTGCTTGTTTTAAACCCTTCTGGCCAGCAGGTGGAGATACAGCACAAGGCAGCGTTCCCAAGTTAATCATTCTCAGAAAGGAAAAGTTTCACAAGAACCCATTACTGGGTATGCTGCAAGGCTCCGGAATTAGATTTGTGCATTTCGTACCATTAAAAAAAAATAAAAGGTCTATAGGAAACGGCAACAACATCTATATGACTCAGATCTCTAAGTTCTGGAAATCGCTGCTGTACTTAACAACTGGGGTGTTGCGGGGCTATTAATGGCTATTAGCCGTGATGGCTATATGGAAATGCTGTTTCCAAAGGTATTTATGCCACTAAATCACAGTTGCTGGGAAGCAGGAGGAGGAAAGGACTATTGACTCTGTGCCCTGTTTGTGGGCGTCCCAGAAGCATCTGGCGGGTTGCTGAAAAACAGGATGAACTAAATTGGGAAAGGGGAGCTGTGTTCTTCCAGATTTTGTCAAGACTCCGAACATCTCTGATCACTGGTTTCCCCATCCCTGGACTACGTGGGCCTAAACACTATTCCAGCAGCATTCTCCACTCCCTGGGGCAATCATGGCATCTGTTGATTTATCAGTTTTATTATGCTAGGGCTTCCTCTGTTGACATTGGTGGAAAAATGGGTTTCGTTGTTGACAATTGCTAACGTTCATCAGTGTGTTTAATAAACTATTCTTCTATTTTCACATTGATTTTTTTACAAGGCTGCTGAACTTTTCCACTGTTTTGGTGAGCTGAGTGAATTAAATGTATTATAGCAGCGGATATGGGGGAAACTCAAGTTCAAATTCCTGCTTGACCCTGAAAAAGCAAGTCACTCTCCACCCACCTTACTCCTTAAAGGTAAAGGGACCCCTGACCGTTAAGTCCAGTCGCGGACGACTCTGGGGTTGCAGCACTCATCTCGCTTTATTGGCCGAGGGAGCCGATGTTTGTCCGCAGACAGCTTCCGGGTCATGTGGCCAGCATGACTAAGCCGTTTTCTGGTGAAACCAGAGCAGCGCACGGAAACACTGTTTACCTTTCCATTAGAGTGGTACCTATTTATCTACTTGCACTTTGACGCCCTTTTGAACTGCTAGGTGGGCAGGAGCAGGGACCAAGCAACGGGATCTCGCCCCGTTGCGGGGATTCGAACCGCCGACCTTCCAATCAGCAAGCCCTAGGCTCTGTGGTTTAGACCACAGTACCACCCGCGTCCCTACCTTACTCCTTACAGGAGACTAAATTGATGCTCTGAGCTCAAGGTGGGTCAACATACATGTGATGTGTAAGCAGTGAGATTCGTTCAGATTCTAACACAATACTGAAGGGGGCTTTTAAAGGCCTACATGGTACATTAACTTGAGAAGCAAGCTTAATTTATCCTTCGCCCATGTCTAAAAAGTTTCTGCAATGCGGATGCTGTTGATTCAAAGCACTTTTGCCTTTATTAAATGCTTGGCCGTTCAATTCCAGTGGAGGATCCTAGGCTCCCCCACCTGTGAGCTTTCGAAGAATCATCAAAATTTGAATTGGGGCAAAAATTCAGGAAGAAGCAGGGAAATAGCAGTGAAACAGAACCCCCTAATACGTTTCTACATGCATTTGCCTGGCATGGGGCCTATCTGCCTAATCCTAGTGCTCTCTCTCTCTCTCTCTCTCTCTCTCTCTCCTCCCTTTTGGTTTGGTTTGGCTCCTTTCTTGCATGTGCAGGCACCTATGTGGTATTGCTGAATAGTGCTAAAAAAAGATCCAACTGGCAGGCAGACCCAATAAGCAGGGAGCAGCTGGCATGGCTCCTCTGCAAGCATTCATAGCGTTGAAAACCCTCCTCCACCCCCCTGTTCAAAAGGTTTTGTTTTCTTTGTTAGCTGCTATCATGTGATGCAAACACGGACTGCAGCAGTTGATTGACTAAGCTGGTGCTGTCACACAGAAAACAAAGAGGAGGCTTTGCAGGATAGGATAGGGAGCTGCTGGCTGATATAGCCTGTAAAGACTAGCAACAGCACATATAAACAAACAATGGTGTGTTTGGCCCCGTCCCCTAACTCCACTCTCACCGACAGACCCAAGCAAAGAAACTTTGCAAACATTCCCGGCCTGCAATGTAAATCTTCAATTTTTTTATTTCTCTTATTCCTGTCTCCCACCTCCCCTTTCGCTGGGTTGACGACAAGGACTCAGAAGCAATTTCGGCCTGATCTTAAGGAGTTGCAGTAGCATGGAAGAAACAAACCCTTCAAACATTTTTTTAAAAAAAAATGAGGACAGGAAAAGAGCAAGGGGCGGGGGGGGGAGGGGACACAGGCAATTCCTACAAAGTCCCGGCAACTCAGTGACAACTTCATTGTTTGTATTTCCATCAGCCGTTCAGCCACAAAATGGACCCCTGCAGCATCTCACACACACAAAAAAGAGGCTTTCAAAAACGCTTACAGAACGTGGTCCATGCAGGCCTCTAGAAAGGAAGGCATTCCAGAATGAGTGCCAAAACGGAAAATGTGCTTCTCTTTGTTGCCACCAGCTGGATCTCAGATGGTTGCAGCACTCTTGGACCACAGTCCCATCCGATGATCCAAGAGCACAGGGGAGGGTTTTAAGATACAATTCCAGATTCAGAAGCCCCAGTGTCTGTAGTCTGAGCCGCTGATGTCACCAGCTGCCTAAGTTCTTCAAACTTATTGGAAACACCTATCTTCTATCTGCTGCTGGATGAAAAGGCAGCAGCTGGCCTGAGAACAAGTGGGACTCAAATGCACAACATCTGGAGGGATTAAGTTGGCCATCATAATCGGTTGGCCGTGAAATGTGAATGTTCCACAATCCAAACCCAGCCTGAACTCTTCGTTGTGATGGACCAAGCCCGATTCTTCAGTCACTTGCTATAATAAATGGCTTTACGAGCTGCCGAAGAAATAGAGCAAAACAATGGAAAGACTACGTTTGGGGGAAGACTGTAGCTCAGTTGTAGAGTACCTGCAATGTTTTCAAAAGATTCCAGGTTGAACCCTAGGAATCTTCAGGCTGGGAATATCCCATACGAAGCCCCTGAAGAGATGCTGTTGGTCAGTGTCAACAAGACTGACCAATTCTGATTCGGTACAAGGCAACTTCCTAGATTCCTAAACACCATGGAAACTCCAGGGAATAAATGTTTGTGGCAACCTGAAGAATTTGAGGAGGAAGTGCACAGTACAGACCAATCAAAATGTGTATTTTCAATTTTTATGATCAATTTTCCTAAACATCTTTGGAGTCTCACTAAATCAGTCAGATGTTGCCCACTTTGAGTTATAGCCAAGGATAGTTCTACTCAGAGAAGACCCATTGAAATGAATGGATCTAAATTAGTTGTACTCCGAGTAGAACCTAGCTGGATGCAACCCTTGGGTTTTGGCAGGAGAAAACTGGCAATTCCAGCTAATTGTCATATTGCAGCATGACAAGCTAAACTACTTGCCAGATCTGTCAAAGAGTTTCACCCAACAGTGAAAACAAAATGACGGGAGTATTTTAAATGTTATCATCTGCCATTTCATGCCATCATGCTTGTTTTCAATGTGTTCCTTTTCCTGGGTGATCTCAGCAATGCCTTTGACCCTACAGAAGCTGTTCTGCTATCCTCATTTCCTTTCTGAATGTTCCATTATACAGATGGGCTAAAAATGATTATCCCTAAAATGGATAATAAAATGTGTAAAACACACACATTCTTCCTGCTGTTAAAATCTGCTATGCAACATACAAGACATGTTAGCAATTCTAATGTGCAGGAAGTTTTCTGTGAAACTTGGGAGGTCATCTTTAATCTAAAATGAACTTTTGAGGATCTGGTTTTTTTAAATCCACTAAATAATAATGAATTAAACACTATAAAGATGAGTTACCTTTCAAAAGTTCCACCAGGAAGAAATACTACTATGTATTGCTGTTTGATTTTCCAGGATTTCAGTTCTTTTTTGTTCAGTGTGCTCTTAGCAATAGGCAGGAGAGGAGAGGAGCCTTGCCAATAACTCCTATTCCTCTACATGGCTTAACCTTCCCATATACTTACCCCCAAAGTCGTTCCCCTCCACAGTATTCTCATCCAGGAATAGGTACACCAATTCTTCATACACTAAGCTGTCCAGCAGGTTTAACCCTATCAAACACTCCAGATCGCCATAATTATTCATAGAGGTTGTCAATCACTACTATGATGGCTTTGATATGAATGTCAGCTGGCAATACATAGCACACAGACCGAATAGTTAAGCCATTGAGGCTTCCTGTAATTTGTCCCTGAATTCACAAGAATTGTAATTTCTGACACACACACACACACACACACACACACACAAAATCCTTTGGCAAGCCAGACTTGGCCATGTGTCTTGTTGCCTATCCAGAACTAAGTAACTCACACATAAAATTATAAAGTTGCTTCAGTGTGGTCATTTGATGCTGTCCAGAATGGCAGAAGTCATTATAGTTCAGATCCTAAGGCTCTATATATACCACTCTATATACTACCACAGCTATGGGCCCTTGTTAGGGGACTATACCACTGAAGGATTAAGCAAAGTCATAGTGATATATTTTCTAGGCCGTGGGCTTAGTTGGCTTGTTAAAACATTATAATCGCCACTGTTGCTTACAGGAATGAAGTGTGGGCTTTTCAAGAGACTTCCTCTTTCACCAATACAATTTAAGTATATCTGTTTACTGAAATGGTGCCCGAAATAACGTTTAAGAGGGGGGAAATAGTACATTCTCCAGGGCTTGGTCACATAGATCACTGGGTGGCAACACAGTGCAACGTCATCACTTTGTGTTGTGGTCAACTGGGAATAACGCTTGCCAGTTCTGCAAGGCCAATTTAAGTAATACACTGCAAGAGACACATAATTGTCATATTCTTTTCCCTATGAAATGCACCAGACTACAGGGAGTTTATTGGTGCTATTTTATGAGACGTCTGTGTCCTACTAAAGCCAGAGTGTGCTTGGGTGGTCTTTGGTATTATAAACAAGGGCAATGTTGTACCACAGAAGTGCATCGGGACGTTTGCTGGTGATGATCCACATCCAAACACTTTTAACGGGAGCATTTGCAACAGCATGGTGGTGTAAAATGCGTAACAAAGATTCCATTTTATACCCCCAAGAGCTAGTAAAGTGAAAGACGACGTTAAGTTGCAAAGCAGTCTTGGTTTACTTTGCAGAACGAAACCTTGTTCTTGCATGAAAACTAAAAAGAGTGTGAAGTTGGGTGGAATCCAGCGAGTATCATTCCACTGACAGAAGGCATCTGCAATGGGACAGGGAGGCAACTTTTGAAAATTCCTTCTGCCCCCTGCAGCTGCCCACCCCCCAAATAAAAATCTGCTCTGGGGAGAGGTTGCCAAAAATTGCCTCCCCTTCCATTCTGTTGACAGCTGCCTTCTGTCAGTGGAGACACTCATTGGATTCCACCCATTCTACACTAATTACCTTAAAAGCCTATGTGGCCGTATATGTGACTCTCTTCTATATCCCTTAAAATAAAAAAATTAGCTTATGACTAGATTCACACTAAACCTCAAACCACCCGCTCTATAATGTTTCAGAATTGTGCAGTGGTAATTGGCTTTGGTTTAAGTGACGCTTTGTATGTTCCTAAACTCACTTTGATATCCTGCATTTTAGCAGGGGAAGAATTTAGGACCACATTGGGGAAAAGGTGTGGGTGATGGTTATCCATTGCATACTTTCTCTCTAAAATGAGGTTTCAGCTTGTGTGAACCAGGCATAAAATCATAAACTATGAAGGATAAAGTTGAAACACTAATTCCAGTTACTTTGCTGAGAAAAAGTTGGTCCTCAGCCAAAAGGGCTAAGAAAACAGGCAGCACAATCCTATGTGTGTTCATTCAGAAATAAATCCACTACATTCAAGGGATTTACTCCCATGTAAGCACATCTAGGATCGCAGCCTTGGTGTTCTTAATTTGCTCTTTTCAAGCTAACTCTAATCACTGACCTAAACCCTCATCACATTCTGAACACATGCAGAGGCAAATCTTTCAACAAAACTGCAGTTTAATTTCAGAAAGTGTTAAAATATACTGTACATCAACTTCTGACATACTACGTTAGTATACACAAATGGTCTCTTGAAACTGTATTTATGAAATGTACATTTTAATTTAAATACTCAGTATACACTGCACTTAATCTGCATGTTGCATTTATTAAATACATTAAAATCTGCAATGTAACAAAACGTTTTCTGCATACGAAATTCAAAACACCATTTTAAATGAACAAAAGATGGCTCACTTCATTTTTTAAACTAGTGCGTAACACACCAGCTCAGCTCCACCAACACTAGCTGTTCTTTCTTTTTTTTATTTGACATTGTTCACAGACTATTACATATCACAATAAGAGTGCTGGATAAAACATGAGGTACGAAAGTGGTTCAAAGATTATAGGTCATGCAGATCATGCTAGACAGCAAAGAAAAATGTGAATGAGAACACTAAATAAAAATACATAAAGAATGTGCATTATAAAATAAAAACTCAATTACACAGCTTTGCTTCTTTGGTTACAAAGTAGGTTGAACAATTTCACAGCTTTTTATTCCCACCCAAAAAATAATAATAATCATACGAAATGTCAAAAAGCAGAGGAATCATGGCAATTTCTCTATTAGAAAGTAGAAACAGAAATGAGCAAAGTTTTCTTCATCAAAATAGCCCATCAATTATCTCACAATGACTGGCGACTACCTGTACAGACGCACTATGGTCTTCATACTTACAATATACAAAAATTTACATTCAAGCTGGGTCTTAACTACTGAAAATAAATACCAAAAGGTAAATTGCCATTAGTGTTAGAAATATGCCAGGATTCTTTTGTTCAATTATTGCCTAAACATTTTATCTATTAAACTCAATCCTGCCTATATCAATTTTTACTGATACTTACATTTATTTTTTTAAAAAAATTAAAAGTTCTGTGACATTGTTCATGTACATTATGAATAGCAGCCCTGTAATAAATAAAAACACAAATAAATGAAACTAATGTAGGCAAATGTTACTTATAATTGAAAGAACAGTGGCTCTAAAGATGAGTTTGTTGCTATGTGAAAAAGCAAGGCTCAAAGTAATCCATGAGTAATGGAAACCTTGAAGAGCCTCACCAAAGCTCTTAAAGACCCCACTCATGTGCACCAAATAAATGCAGACTTTTGCATTATAACTCCTTCTATCATTTCCCTTTTGCACTGATGGCATAATTGAACACCAACTGTGCTGCATGACATCTCAGTGAGGGAAAGCTCTTGTAGAATGATTGTCTAATACTGAAAAGGCCAAAACACACAACTGAAGCATGGCTACTCGCTTTCATATAAAGTGGAAAGAACACCAGTGGCACACAAGGACAGATTGCTTTCAGTTTCTTAATGAGGCAAGAAAGCTTTATGCTGAGGAGACATTCGGCTGCTGCGGAGGTTGCGTTGGCTGTACTATCACTGTTTGCTGTTGAGAAGTGCTACTGGGGTTGGCCTGTTGGGTTGAGAGCTGGGATAACTGATCGTTGTTTGAGAGAGATTTTAACAGTGCATTTTCCCGTTCAAGTAAAGAGTTTCTTTCGACTAATTCTTTTATTTGTTCCTTCAGTACTTCCACTTCTTCTCTGACTGCGTACATCAAATGGCTTTTCACCAGATCCTGCAAACGGCAAATTAATCGTTAGATTTAATTTCTATAAACAGACTTTTACTTTGCACCAAATTCTTGGGCGTAACTTCATTAACAGTTAAATTTGGATCCTAGCACCACAAGTTAAATAGAAATATCTAGAAATCAAAATACACAGGATTAACTCCCCAGCATTGAATTCACTTGCTGTATTATGGCCAACTTCCAAAGCACTCAAAAAACACCAATGCTACATGTCTATATGTTGCTTTCAGGAAGGTAACCTAAATACAGGGATTTCTTACTCTCAAAAAGCTTCATAATATTTTTGTTGACAGAAATAGATAATAAGCAATGCTCTAGTTCAGAGAGCTCTCCAAAATGGTGGCTGAAAACCCATAAACATTAAAAAGGTAAAGGTACCCCTGACCATTAGGTCTAGTCACAGACGACTCGGGGGTTGAGCGCTCATCTCGCTCTATAGGCATTTGTATGCAGACAGCTTCCGGGTCATGTGGGCAGCATGACTAAGCTGCTTCTGGCCAACCAGAGCAGCACACAGAAACACCGTTTACCTTCCCGCCAGAGTGGTACCTATTTATCTACTTGCACTTTGATGTGCTTTCGAACTGGAGCTAGGACTGAGCAACGAGAGCTCACCCCGTCGCAGGGATTCGAACCGCTGACCTTCTGATCAGCAAGCCCTAGGCTCTACATTAATATCTCACACCTCAAGGAGCTCAGATAATTATATTTAAGCTTCAACACCCCTATGAAGTAAATCATAGTTGCTATTGCCCATCAAGTCAGCATCCTGGCTAAACAGGGACAGAACTTGTCTGTGACAAGTAAACTGTTGTAAACTGGATTAAAATGGTCTCTTTTCTCATGGGCAAATGTAAGAAAACAAACGCTGTGACCCAAGCTTCCTATTTTGGCTAATTTTTAAGAAGTTCTGCTCTTTTAAATCTGAGGATCACAACCACAGGCAAGTTATTTTTACAGAACCTATATTGTATGTATGATTAGATTGATTTTGTGTGCTTCTGAAGTAACCCCCAATTTTGCCATATTGCTTAGCTTTGAATTCTGTACATTCTTTATGATTACGTACAAACAAAATCTTTGTCTACTCTTGTTTGCAGCAGTGACACTGAGGCTAACAGAGCTGGTACTCTGGAAACTAATCCACTTGCACCACAGGGATCCCCACTAGCTCTCCATCACATGACCATAAATACTGATTAAAAACATGGGGCTTGCTAGTCTTGCCCAACTTGAACTGATGCGTTTTGAGTGGCAACACTTTTCTTATCAGAAAACCCATGGAAAGACTGGAGGATCACATGCCCCTGGATGAACCTGACCATTCAGTTCTATCTTCAGAGAGCCTGTTCCTGCCTTTAGAGACTAAGTAGGTGGCAACTGATCACAGGGCATTTTTCACTGGCAGGGCTCAGTCTTTGCAACACTCTCCTGAGAGCAGACCACTTAGCATCTATTTTTCTGCCTTTCACATATTAGAGGAAGGCACTCCATTTCCTGGGCTTTTTGCAGCAGCTGCTTTTTTACTTTTCATTATGACTAAGCTAGTAAAAACAAACCAGTTTTACCATTCCTATAGTGATCTGATGTACATTTATGAGGGAAGGCAGGTTATAAAATGTTTTCAATAAAGAATTTCAAGCAACTTGGAAATGAAGCTGTTTCCGGAGCCCAAAAGTATCTTTGCATAACTGGTGGGAGCCAACACAACAGGAAACAGCACATTAGTTTGGAACATTAAAGTAGACTACTGACTTTGGCATTTCATGGAATAGAATAATGCATTCGGACCAATATTCGCTTAGACTCAGGGCAGAAAGAAACACTGTTTTCTGTCCATGGTTTGCCCTACTATTTTTTTCAGTAGAATTTGTTCTCCCTTCATTTTTTTCCTCCAAAACTGGATGGCCGGAAAGCATGCAGATGTAACAGCTCTTCCTCTAGCTGCCAAGCCTTTTGTAAACTAAAATCCTTACACGTGCTATTTTTTAAAATGTCTGGATGCAGTACTGAACAGGCCCACGGAAGGGGAGAGTGGCAGCCAAGTACACTTGCCCTGGGCCTCAGAGGGCTAATCCAGTCGGGGAGCCCGGCTAGGAGCCAGCTGCCTTTTTGCCTGAGCATAAAACTTTATTCTAACAAGACTCCCGGGCCTGAGACAAGGTCTACACAGGCCTGGTACTGAAGCAATGGCCAACACATCAAAGATTTTGGATAGCAAAGCAATGCTTTTGATCATACCAAACAATGACGTGCTAAAGTAACGGCAGTCCTACTAGAGAATTAGCATTGTCTTGGTGTAAGCTAAAACTTTTGGACCTGGGTATGATGTACAGTGATACCTCTGGTTACGTACTTAATTCGTTCTGGAGGTCTGTTCTTATCCTGAAACTGTTCTTAACCTGAAGCACCACTTTAGCTAACGGGGCCTCCTGCTGCTGCCACCGCCGTGCGATTTCTGTTCTCATCCTGAAGCAAAGTTCTTAACCCGAGGTATTATTTCTGGGTTAGCGGAGTCTGTAACCTGAAGCGTATGTAACCCGAGATACCACTGTACATTAACTTCACTGTAGTAATATATCGGTTTACACATGGATTCTCCCACCCACCCCCCGAAAGTGCATGAACACATTTGGAATGGCACTACATGAACTTCCAGATGACTTTACAATTGGTGCTTCTTTGCTCATAATTGCATAAATGGCATGGCACAAGGGCACAGTGCCAGCAAGCAGCAGCAGGTTGAAGCCTAACATGTTCATGCTATACATGATACTGTACTGTATTATCATGTAAACTGCTGTTTTCCACCTATATGGAGTCCTCAACAGACAAACAATTGCTTGGGTCTGCTTTATGATTTTCTACCTTTAACATCTCTTCCTGATGTGGCCTTACAATCCATCAATGTAGGTTATGCAAAAATGACGACAGCAGGCTACAAACCCAGCGCTCTTTAAGAATTAAACAGTTCAGTTCTCTACTTACCATCGCCTGTTCTATTTTGTTGTCAATGGCTACAACACTCGCACCAGATGCACTGTTTAAAAGAAAAGACAAAACACATGTACATGAACTCCAGTGACCTCTGGAATGTTGTTCAGCAAAACTGAATGAAAGGCAAATTGCTCCTTGTGCATTTTATTATGGTTTCCCACAACAACAAAAATGCAGCATTTATATATAATGCTTTTCAGTGCTCAAACTGCTTCTTATGTATCTCAGCAATAATTACAAACCTTTAAGGATGGTCAGTCGGATCTCCATATACTCAGGAACAAGATGGAAAAGAATTATATCCTCAGATCATAAAGATTCAATTCCAGAGAAAGTTAGACATATTTAAGTCCCATCAAAATCAATGGGTGTTAAGCATTTAAGTGCTTTCAATGGGACTTAGACATGGCTAGTTCTTGCCAGAATGGGCCCAAGGTGTATCTAGGCAAACTGTGGCCCTTGTTTAAGCAGTGAACAGGCCTCTCAAGAGAGTACAATGAGATAGTGATGTCATTATCCTATTGGTTGTCATGGTTTGGTACCCTGAGCATCCTTTTTGTGTAACTTAATAGTTCACAATTATAACCAAGTCAACCGCTTTGGTGCTTTTGTGTATGTTAAAGTGGCATTTCGATGCAAGTTTGTTTTGTCTACTGTGACAGCCAGTATATACAGTATATACCTAGATATTATCCAGTATGACGGAAAGCCAACATTTATGTCTCAATTCAAACGATACTATAAGCAGGATGTGCTGTAATTTGGACACCTCCAACATGTGGTACACAGAAAAATGAGACCAATTTTGTTGGGCTTTTTTTTTTTTTTTTTTAAGCTACTGGATGTTTGCATTTCAACTTTTTTCAGTATAACACCAAATGGGGCACAATTGTTGCCCTGGAGCATGTGATAAAACTTAAAAACATGTAGTTCCCAAGAGATTAGAGATCATCTTGAATAGAGGACTCTTGAATCCATTTCAAGATGCTCAGTGTGTTGGCCCAATGAGGAGCTTTCTTCAAAAGCCCAATGTGGCCTAGTTTTGTAAGCAGGAGATGTCATACCAACAACAGCACAACATGAATTTAATTGGTCAGAGACCCTGTGCTCACATTTATTAATTTTTTTAAGTTTAAAAAATAAATAATTCTATGCCACTGTTCTGGACAAAGACCAAACAAAATGGCTTATAACATTGTGACTAAGTCTACAAGTGTTAAATTAGAGGCACATCATCCCGTATCTTAATAATCAAAACAAATGAAAGCACATTTCTGCAACTTACTATTTTAAATTAGTATTTATACTTTCTAAATGCTAAATTATTTATACTTTCTAAATGCTACATAAATAAAGTAGGCTACATGTATGCATTAGGCAAGTGGAAGAACTGCTAGGTATCACGGATTTCCCCTGACCTCTGAAGTCCCCCGCCCAGCTGCTCCTAGGGGCAGGAGGGTCCTCCTGAGCATTATGGGATGTGGTGCAGAGGGCTGCCATGAAAGACCAGTGAAGATTGGATGGGGAGATCAGTGAAACTGGGTGCCTTTCCTTGCAAGAGGAGAAGTGTTTCTATTTGCCAACTAAGAAATTTTTATCTTAAGAGTTCAGTAAGGAGATTTGCAATTCAATAACTGCCAATTTTAAATTTTAAAGCTCAGGTTTACCATGGAGAGAAATTCATTTTGCCATATTTTAAAATGTGGCATTTTGTATTCAGCAGCAGACAACTCAAACAAGTTTTATCTACTTGTCATTTCTGACACCCACCCTACTTTTCCCTGCTGAAGACGTTTACATGTGATTACTCCTTTTTCATAATCCAGCATTCAAGCAGAAGACAAATTTAAATGCTCATAATTGGATTATATGTTATTACAAACCCTGCCCCAACACTGAGAACTTGTTTCTCCTTTCAAATGATGCCACTGCAGCACCAGAGGTCAACCTCAAACGTGCAGTATTGCTTAGTTCAGAACATATTTAATATGTTATGTAGAAATACTCATTTTGTGTATTGCAAGAAGAGAAAGTTTACTCCATTTAAGTAATGACTACTTAATACAGTGGTGCCCCGCAAGACGAAAAACTCGCTAGACGAAAGGGTTTTGCGTTTTTTGAGTCGTTCCGCAAGACGAATTTCCCTATGGGCTTGCTTCGCAAGACAAAACGTCTTGCGAGTTCTTGCGAGTTTGTTTCCTTTTTCTTAAAGCCGCTAAGCCGTTAATAGCCGTGCTTCGCAAGACGAAAAAACCACAAGACGAAGAGACTCGCGGAACGGATTAATTTCGTCTTGCGAGGCACCACTGTATATTGATTTGTATTGTACCACACAACTTCTAACGCCAGTTTCTTGACCATTTTATTAATGTAACTTAATGTATTTCAAATAAAAGGGGGGGGGGAGCAACAAGACAAGACAGGTTGCTACTCACAAAGTATTACTAAACAACCTTCATAAAATGTTTAAAAGGAAGTAATTAAACAGGGATAACTAGAGTCCAACTCTGAGAAAAGAAGCAAGGACTCTATAAGTTTTAAAGGTTTATGTGTGTTCTATGGCCTATTCTAAAAAATGCACTTCTACGTGGAGACACACCTGCTAGTCCTGCAGGGCTGTTTCACTCCTTATGCTAGAATACTGTTTGAGAAAAGTTTGACTATGCTCAAAGCCTCTACCCTTTGGACTAGCCCTTACAAGAAGCAGCATAAGAACTATTCTAAACGTATCTGTCTTCCAGTCACAGCACTCCAATCAAGCTCTATCATTTGAAAATAGTTTTTTCCCCAGTTTGGCCATTCTTAAAGATTAAGCGAAGCCTATTAAAAGTGGTTATTCCAACTAGAAATGCCAGCGTTAGCTAGCAGTAAATGGTTTTCAGTGAATGTAGGAACCAATACCAGCCATTTTGTACTATTTGAGAGCTTAACTAGATAGCAAACCAAAGAAATGCACATTTCCAATAAGAGTGCCATCTCAAAAAGCTGCTCTTAACATTCCCAACTATTTCAAAAGTAGTCTGCCTTCTGCACTGGGACAGAACAGCGTACAAGACACGCAAGTCTGAAACACAAATAACTAGTTGTGTGGTTCTTTGATCCTGGCCAACCTTTCAAGGTGAAACACAATTACAGTATATGAATAGCTGGTTTCCTTGTTCCAACTTACCTCAAAAGTGAAAAATAAGTGTACAGCAGAAATTAATTTCACCTTTTCTATGTAATGTTTCCCTGAAACATTTAAATGTTTATACGAATAAATGAGAGAAACACTGAAATTAGTCTTCCTTGGATATTCAAAAATGAGCCAATTTAAAAGATCACCTGTATGATTTTAGAATTACTGTGCAATTTTTACTCATGTTGAAAGACAAAACAAAAATCAGTTCTGTATTGAGCATATCTGAAGGAGCGTCTCCACCCCCATCGTTCTACCCGGACACTGAGGTCCAGCACCGAGGGCCTTCTGGCGGTTCCCTCACTGCGAGAAGCCAAGTTACAGGGAACCAGGCAGAGGGCCTTCTCGGTAGTGGCACCTGCCCTCTGGAACACCCTCCCACCAGATGTCAAAGAGAACAACAACTACCAGACTTTTAGAAGACATCTGAAGGTGGCCCTGTTTAGGGAGGCTTTTAATGTTTGATGTAGTACAGTATTTTAATATTTTTTTTGGAAGCCGCCCAGAGTGGCTGGGGAAGCCCAGCCAGATTATAAATAATAAGTTGTTGTTGTTGTTGTTGTTATTGTCATGGAGCAGTGTTCACAGATATGCAAAGCGCATATAGGAAACAAATGACCCATTTCAGTGGATGGAATAGTTTTACTTAAAAGTCCTATGTTTTCATCACAAAAGATGTGATTCTTGAAGAACCAATAACTATATCCTTCCCTTTGAGTTGGTACAATTATTCTGAACATGTCTAAAATAAACTTTTCAGTAATATAAACACTCAAATATTGCTGAAGAGCATACTGTTTAAATATCCATGTTCAAATATGGACTTCTATATTTAGGAGGCTGATTTAGGGAGCTGATTTGAATTTGGAAGCAAAACTAAGTTTTTACTTCAAAAGCAGACAAGAAAGGAAATTGGCTTTTATGTTTGAGAGGTTTCATACCCTATTAAAAAAGGAGCCTTTTAATATTTTGCATGTTTACATTTTCAAATAGTCTTCATACACCTTGCGTATCAAGAGAACATTCCTCAGATCTTCTATGGCCCTTACATTCTTGTTTTTTGTTTGTTTTTTTATTTAAAAATAGTTGGCACACTTATTAGGTACTGTAAGAAATGGGAGCTTTAATACTGAAAATGAGTTTTATTTTTCCAGAGTCCCGCACACCCTTGACAAGGGAAACTGTAAGCGTTTACACACTAGTGCTGGAAGCCTCTGAGCCTAGGTGGGCAAACTGGAATGCCTGGTCTTAGAGGACAGTGTTAATACAGCTGGTGCAATGGATAACCAGTGGGACCCTGTTATCACTGGATATGGACCCTATAGGAAGGACAGAAGGGGACTCAGCGGAGATGGTGTTGCTCTTCATGTTGAAGAGGGCACTGAGTTCAAGAAAAAGAACTCTCAAAAGGGCAGACCCCTCCACATAATTGCTATACGTGGTGATACCAAGAGTAATATAATTCTGCGGGCATGCTAACAGCTCCCTGATCAAAATGTTCATGAAGATATTGCAATGAAGAATGAAATCAAGGAAGCACCCAAAAGAGGAATTGTTGTACTAATGGCCAACTTCAACTATCCTCAGACAGACTGACTACACATGTTCCAGTTACAAAAAAAGGCATAAGCATAAAATTTCTATTCTATTATTTTTAAATGAAACTCAAAGAGACTTAAACATATGAACATTATGATCATAGAATCATAGAATTGTAGATTTGAAAGGGTCGTCTAGTCCAACCCTGTGCAATGCAGGAAAATTAGCTAAAGCATCAATGACAGGTGGCCATCCAACCTCTGCTTAGAAACCTCCAAGGAAGGAGAGTCCAGTTTAGAAACAAGTATAAAGCAACCTGAGACCAGAGGTAATAAATTCATAATAAATAATAATAACAACCTAAATAAACAAGTATTTATATCTAGATATCCCAAATGATTGTGCCTTAGAACAGTTGGTCAAGGAACTGACCAGAAGGATGGTGACCCTTGACTTAGGTGGTGCCCAGAACCTGGTATGAGATATAAACGTTACTGAATCAGCTGGGAATAAGTGACCATATTGCTATTAAATTAAATACACATGTAAACAGCTAATTGTCCCCCAAATCCGCCATGGTCACATTTCAAAAAAAGAAACTTCCCCAAAATAAGTGTTTGGTAAAAAGGAAGGCAAAGTCAAGAAGATTGAATCTTTCCAAATTGCTTGGGAGTCATTTAGAAACACAGCATTAGAAGTTCAACTGGAGCGCATATGGAGATTAGGGCTGGGCGATATATCGATATATCGTCCAACACCGGTTTGAAGTACACATCGTGATAACTGTTTCATAATATTTGAGCTGGCAATATATCACAAATCACAATGTGTGTAAGGGCTAAGCGATATCTGGGTTTCAACATCGTGGTAACTCACCAGCTAAACGTTGCAAATGTTATCAGCAGCTAAACCTCACATCACCAACTAAACATCACAATATTACCAGCGAAACATTGCAATCTACCACAATGACTAAAATAAGGATGGAATTATACATACGCAAACAGGACAACATCCTGGCAACTGCTACTACTTAGGGGTCTAAAATGGATAAATGACAATATTATCAGTCACCACACACTCAGTTTCATCAGCAGGCAAGTCAAAATGGCCTGCTAGGAGGCAGAAGCAGCAGTGGCCGAAACATGACCACGATACGTGTCAGCAGTAGCGGCGACAGCCTGGTGGTGGTGGCACAATCAGTGGCGGCCTGCACATCCTTGTGGTGGCAACTGGAGGAAGCAGCAGTAGCAGTGGCACAAACAGTGGTGGTCTGCGAGTGATGACAGGGAGTGGCGGTGGCAGCCTGCGGCAATAGCAGCAGCGGCCTGCGAGACATGCAATGACGGCAGGTGGAGGTAGTAGAAGTGGCGGCCTGCAAGGCCTCAAGGCAGTGACAGGGAGTAGCAGTGGACTGCGAGGCCTCACAGTGGCGATGGGAAGTGGCAACAGTAACAGCACTGGCCTGAGATGCCTCGCAGAGGTGCCAGGATTTGGCAGCAGCAGCAGTGGTGGCCTGCGGGGAGCCGCATCACTGACAGGAGGTGATGGCAGCAGTAGCAGCATCCTGTGAGGCCTTGCACTAGCGACGGGAGATGGCAATAGTAGTGGCAACCTGTGAGGCCTTGTGGCGACACAAGCAATGGGACTTGCGAGACCTCGCAGTGATGGCAAGAAGTGGCTGTGGCCTGCAAGTCCTCCTTGCGGTAGTGGGAGGCGGTGGTTGAAGCTGTGGCAGCCTGCTCCAGCGAGGCCTTGCAGGCCACTTCTGCTTCTGCCACTGTCTCCTGCCACCACTACAAGCCCTCATACGCCACCACTACTGCCGCCACCACAAGGCCTCGTAGGCTGTTGCCGCTTCTGCCACAGCCGCCCACTGCCGTGGCAATGCTTCTGCTGCAGGCTGCTGATTATTGTGCCCCTGCTGCCACTTCTGCCTACTAGCAGGCCTGTGGGCAACTGGCAGTCCTAGATTATTTGTATTCACTATGACTCATCACCGTACTTTGGATTGTCCTGAATACCACCATTGGGTAGCCAAGCCCAAAATCAAAAGTCCTGATGGGCTGCATTTTGACTTGCCTGCTGATGAAACTTAGTGTGCGGTAATTGATAATATTGTCATTTATCCATTTTAGACCCCTAAGTAGTAGCAGTTGCCAGGACATTGTCCTGTTTGCCTCTGCGTAGTTCCTTCGTTATTTCAGATATCGTGATATACTGATATATCATGATGTTTAGCTGGCGATATATTGCGATATTGAAAACCAGTTATCGCCCAGCCCTAATGGAGATCAGGAAAGGTACCACAGGGATGAAGAAGATGCCAGCATGGTTAATTAGCAGAGTCAATAATGCAATTAGAAACAGTAATTTCCTTCAAAAAAGAACAAAAGAGGAATGCAAACTTTGGCACAAGAAATGCAAGCTGACAAGAAGGGATGCTTTAGAAAAGAATTTGAGGGGTACGTTGCTAATAACATAAAAACCATCAACATTAAAAGACAACATTAGTAGCAGTGGTGGTTGAACCCTGAATGACAAGGGGCTCAGAGGTGTGGTAAAGCAGGAGCAGATTTCAGAGAAACTAAATGAATTATTTAGATCTTCCTGCCTGAACTAACTTGACTAGGAAGGGAATGTGAGAAACTGAGGCAAACAGTGGTAATGAGAAATGAAGTTCTAGATAGATCTAATAGACAGAATAAAAAGACAAATTACAGGGTCCAAATGGCAGTCACCAAGAGTTTTCAAAGTACTCAAATGTGAAACTGGAGATTAAAAACAAAACAAAACAAAAACTAAACACATTTAACTTGTCACTTAGAACAGTCCCTGTATTTGAGGACTGCAAAGTGCCCAATGTTAACACCTATTTTTTAAAGAGAGACCTGGGAGGATCCTGGAAATTACAGGCTAGTTAGCTTAACAACTGTCCAAGGAAAACAGGTGGAAAGTTTTGTTAAAGATAAAATAACCAGGCATGTAGAACAACAAACCTTGCTGAAGCAGCACAAGCAAGGCTTCTGCAAGGATAAGCCTTGCCTCACTAAACTTTGTTCTTTGAGAGTGTCAACAAGCATATAGACCAGCTGACATAAAACCATCTATGTACAAGATATAGGCACCAGCAACTTCAGTAGAACCCGAATATTTGCAGAAATACAAAAAAGGGAGGAAATACAAAGGGGGGGGGGATCTCAAGCAATGGATCCAAAACAGACCAATGCTCAATGGTCACATATTGTGGCTACCTGCTGGCAGGGGGAACGGGAAAATTGTTTGGTTGAGGAATGGAATGGAGTGCCCTATACGGAAGTCATTTTCGTAGAAGACAAAGCAATACTAAATTGGACAAATGTATTTCATTTATATATCCAGCTCTTGCGAGGAAAATCTGAACCTAAATAACAAGTAAGTTAAAAGTGAATTATTTAGCTTTGATTTGTACTCCACTATAAACTTGTGATGCTGAAGTTGTACCCTATTCCACCATTCCATAAGATATAGGATCAGATAAAGGTAAAGGGGCCCCAGACCATTAGGTCCAGTCGTGACCGACTCTGGGGTTGCGGCGCTCATCTCGCTTTATTGGCCGAGGGAGCCGGTGTACAGCTTCTGGGTCATGTGGCCAGCATGACTAAGCCGCTTCTGGCGAACCAGAGCAGCACACGGAAACACCGTTTACCTTCCCGCCGGAGCGGTACCTATTAATCTACTTGCACTTTGACGTGCTTTTGAACTGCTAGGTTGGCAGGAGCAGGGACCGAGCAACGGGAGCTCACCCCGTCGCAGGGATTCGAACCGCTGACCTTCTGATCGGCAAGTCCTAGGCTCTGTGGTTTAACCCACAGCGCCAACCGTAAAGCTCAAAAATTATACTCAGGACTGGTACCAATTTTATAGCACCATGAACCTGTTTTTCAAATATTATTTATCATCATTTGTACCTTTATACTACTATGCTGCTCTAATGTGTTAGAGTTGATGTGACAGGAAGGTCACGAGGAGGGCTGCATGCGTCATAATTCTGCAGAAAGTGATAGCAGGAACTGAATTCAGCTCTCTCCTCCCACAGCTTTCCAAAGCAAGTATTTAGCTTTACCGAGTGAATATATTCTTGAAAGTGTGTGTGTCTACTGTCTCCTGAAATCCTACAAATCAGAGCACTGACTATTTCCACTTATGGTGGGAGTGTCATTCAGTGGCAGCTTTGGAGAAGCTGGTATTCTTAGAAATCAATTTGACAACAAAATAAGAAATGACACCAACTCCCTCACTGGCATTATTGGGGATATAGAATATGCCAGATGAAGATGATTTTGATAAAGAATCTGATAAAGAATTGAAATTATATTTTTTGTTAGCTGTGAGGATAGCTGTTTTAAGACAATGGAAATATTTAGAAGGGTTAAATAAGGATTTGTGGTTACAGTCAAATCTGGTCTATAACTATTGCTGGCAAATTAAGGTATACTGGGGGATAAACAAAACAAAACAAAACAAAACAAAACAAAACAAAACAAAACAAAAAGATTCATTTTTAACTACCTCGCAAAAGTTTATTTTATATATAAATGATGAAAACGATTTTCAAATGCCCCCTGTGAAATATGCTACTATTTGGAATACTTAGTAACTTTTCAGCTTCATGTGAAAATATCATAAGATGCAGAGGACAATATCCTGATTTTTATCAACAAAAAGGTGGACATGTTATTACCCTCCAATAAACAATGCTCATTGTTCCCAGGGATTGTGAAGGCAGAAGCCCCAAATTGTATATTTTGTGTGTTTCATTTTTAAGCAATTTATTGTATTATCTTTATTTTTAAATTGAATAAATAAGAAAAAATGCCTTAAAAAAAAAACAGCGGTAGGAGCAGGACTGCAGCATTATTTCTCCACCGTGACTGGTAAAGGTGGAATACATTACGCAAAACAGCAAAAATCTCAGAATTATGCAAATTCAGAGGAATAATGCTTTTCTTATGCCTAAGTGCATAACGTATTTTTCAGTGCAGAAAACAGAGCCTTGTCCATGAGCTCTGGGGGAAGGAAGCCATTTGCTGCCCACCAGTTTTCTGCTGCAGCAGCTGCTGGAAGTTAAGAATACCAAGCCAGTTGTACCTGGATGCAGAAAACGGAGCGAGAACAGGCTTTGCCTTTCACCCCAGGCTCTGGGGGAGATTAAGAGGGCTCCAGTTGTGCTCCTCCTTGACCCCAAGCAGCTGCCGTTCCCCTCCAATACCTAGTCAGCTTACTCTGCACACACGTACCAAAATGCACACATTTGTTTTAACATTTGTGACGTTATCTGTAGGAAGTATGAGGACTTTGCTTTATGCTGGCCTAGTAAAGATTAGCCACCTTCCGCTTTGATCAGCTACCAGAAACACTTCTCTTAGACCTGAGTGCCCACACCAATGCACTCCAATTTCTGGGAAGATAGTGTCCCTCACTAGACAAGAGTAGAGTGCAAAAATGATGATATGAATCATTCACCACTGAAAATGCTTTAACTGCAGTTTATAATAGTAATGTTTTCCCTACTGCATGTAAATCACTTTGTTAAAGGGGTGGCATAAAAATGCATTAAGTATCAAAAATATCACTTTGGGAAAAGTGTACTAAATTCCATACTAATTGCCTAATAAGACACTCCACAGTCACTAGAGTAAGCTACTTTAGTGACAGGTATCTTAGGCAACTCACAAAACTGAGTTTTCAACATGCAAGTATGCAGTGTGCTGACAATTTAAGTCAACTGTCTTCTCAATGTTTGATTTAATTAAGAATGTGTTAACAAAAGAGTTGCACATGAAACAAAATAGATTGAAATTCGATAACTGAATGCAAGTGTACTGGTAATTTTTCATACAAAACAATACTATTGAGCCCAAATGCATTTCAGTTACATGTAGTATCTCAAATGCAAGGCTTGTAATTGATGTAGGGATTTCTTAAACCAAAAACAATTTTGGTTTAAGAAATCCCTACATCAGGTACAGGTACAACAACGCAGTACCTGTAAGACTTCAGTCTGTACCTTTTGTAACTGCGGACTATTCCAGAAGCTTCAGTAGCACCATTTGCTGCATTCTTTTTGTAGTTGAAAGTTCCTGCAGGAGCTAAGAATGGCAGCAACGTCCTTATTTAATATGGGGACAAACTAAAATCAGAAAGCTGTCTTCAGAGAGCTGCTTTAAGTTGGTCTTCCAAACTATTTTAAGTTGGTCTTCCAAACTACATTTGTAAAAGCAGTTTGGCAAAGATTCTGACAGATTATTAATAAAATCTAACTAATATCAATGTGGTGATTAATTTTCAATTTATTAATTAGTTAAACTTATTTTGGGCCTCTATATAGGGCTGTCAATGGCCCAAAGCTGCTGCCCCATTGCACTAGTAGCCTCCATGATTTTTAGTGCCAGTAACCAAATTAAAAACTTGGTTTTAATACAACTTGAAAAAAATAATGTTCAAGAAGTCGGTTTTCAAATCACCTACTCTATGCCCCTCCCCGATCTATTTTGAGTTATTTAAGACGGGGAAGCCTCCTGAGACTAATGCACCTAGCAACAAGCGTTCAAGTGGCGAGCCGGAGAAAACATGGAGGCTTCCCAAAGGACGCCTCGGTAGTCATCATCTTCAATTTTAAAAAGATTTGAACTATGTAGCTATCGCAGGTATTCTTGCAAATATTGATATAAAAAGTCTAAAGAAAACACGGGTTTCTTCAAAAATGCTCATTCTGCTACATGGTGTTTCAGTCTCTTGCAAATAACTATTCGTAATTTTGTGGGTTTCAAAACACTCCCCAGAAAATTGCCAGACACAAGAGAATAGACCTTATCCATTGAGTAAGTGTAGCTGCAAGGCAGTTTGCTTTGTGACTCCGACCATCTAAAAGTATAAACACGTCAAGCTTTGCACTGCAGCACAATCATTTTTACTGAAAATGTACTTTGCATGTTTAAAGAAGTTCAGTACTACTCCACTGACCTGTAAGACCTGAAAAATAGCTCTAGCAGCAGTTTCAAATGACACCCTCATGGAAACCATCAATACAACCGCAGTAAATCTCTTTTCAAAAGGAAGGCTAAAAGAAAAAGTTCTATTATAGAGGTCTGCGATTAGGCAGAGACCAGATTGCGAAAGTTACCACCTAATCTACCAAACCAAAGATGGCCTGTTTCTACTGTTCCCTATGCTGTGTGGCTTTCGACATCCATAAAAATAGTGGAAATTGGGAGATTCTAGAATACTATCATGCTATAATGTCAGAATAGTTGTAAGAATTGGACAACTCTAGCCCCTGCACACCACCACAGCTTCAGGAAAGTAGTGATAATGTTTCAGCTACAAAACTTCTGGCAAGCAGCAAAGGAACTGTTAAAGCGTGGAAAAGCAAACATCATACCCTTCCCCCTAAAATTCAGGGAATTTTTGCATGTGATGAAACTGTTTTCCTGCAGGCATCTCTTATTGTCCAGGGGGCCAATCTGGAGCGAAACAACCTTGTAACCAAACAGCTCCTCAAGGCAAGCTGAAAGTTTTTAGGGCAACTCCCATTTAGCCCACCACAGATGAATTAAGAATTAGCTTGCCTCAAACTGGGAACAAATTGTATTGTAGAATATTGTGTTGCAGGTCCTGCCTCCAGTGGCAACTTGCCTTCATTAGTGATTTAACAGAGTGCATTGTCTAGCAGTAGCCTGTTTTAATTTACGAACTACTGCTAGTGACCTCTTTTCAGTTGAAGTTACAAGGTAAGAAGCTTTTTGTTATATGAATAGTCCCCTGCTGTTATTGTGAAATAGAAGCTTGTTTGAATATATCCCAAATGTATAGGTCACTCTTAACATTCAAACTTATGTAGAAAAGTTATCCATTTATTCCAGAAGAGATCAACTTGGATGACTGAAACAAAATAAGAGATCAACTGAGAACCTTGGCAGATTGCAGTCATTCAGTTTCAGTATTATGAGGCTTATACACCACTCAGTTCTGCCATGCATTCAGTTATTGCTTTCCAAGTCATGCAAGGCAGTAAAGTGAACAATCAAAACACATCATCCTGTTTTCATGTTCCCGAGCTCTGCTCAATACTGCTCTAAGAACAGATTTGGCCAATGGGGCAACTTTCATACATGATAACATCTTTGTGCAAAAGATACAAGGTTGGAATCTACCTACACTGCAAAAGTTACTGAATGACTAGAAATGAACATAGGATGCAACCTGTTTTTCTTTATAACTGTAGAACATGCTCTTGATTGCCAATAATGTGCAGAAACTCATAAAAGTGTACTTGAATCTACAAATAGCTTTGTTATGAAAATACCTAAACTCTGCTTCCAAGGCAAAGCCCTCTCCAGAGTTCCTTATAAATGTTGGTCAACAGGTATCTAAAGGTATTGAAAATAATACTGCAAAAGTGTCACAGATTTACTTTTCCAGTTAGGCCAGTCCTTCCCTCCTGCAGGATATACCATTGCATTCCCTGTCCCATCAGCACTAAGGAGGGGTCAGTCCTTACTAGCCTGTTTTGAGGACCCTCTCACTTTATTTTTTTTCCTCACCAGATTTTTTCTGTACTTCTGCAAACCTTGTGTTTTCCTGAGCCTGCTGATCTCTCTCTTTCTCTCTCTTGGGTAGGCATGGGTGGTGCCATTTTGGATAAATAAGCAGCATCACTCACACCTAAACGTTGGAAATGTTGGGATCATGGCTACATTGAATTAAATGCAGGGTGTTTTTTTAAATATTCCTTAACATAAAATATTCATATATTTGAAACTCCAATACTACTGAAATACCAAACATTTTCTAGTTAAACTGGTAAACTTAACCAAAAGTCTACAGGCTGAATTCAAAGCTGCTCTTTTACAAACAGAGAGGCTCTTTCTATTTGTGGAATTTCAGCAGAGGCTCCTGCTAGAAAAGGCTATTTTCACTAATCTTAATTTCAATCCCCCAACAACAACACACTACACATTGCGGGTTCCCCTGTCCAAACACCCCCGCCCCACCGAACCAAACTCCATAACTCTAGATATGTTATAGAGTTAGAAAAGATATACAGAAATGAACTCTTGCTGTTCCTGAATCCCCTCTTTAAGTGACATGTTTAGATGCAGCACTTAAACCCTTAAATGTTAAGAGATCTTCTATTCTTAATTCAGATGATGACAGCATTTCAGACTACTATTGTGATTTTAAATCCTGTAATTCTTCAAACTAGAATGCGTTCCTTCTGAAGTGAGCAAGCATGTGAAAAAGCAAGCTTTAGAGAAGCCATTATGTTTTCTTTGCTTCAGTAAGGCAAATGCAAACAAATGATGGTGCTTCATGTTCAAATACAAATGTCTGAACACACTATAGAAAGCTATAGCAGTAGAAAACTTGCTGTAAGCCAGAAAAGCCACCAAGCTTTCTATCTATAATATTAATATTGTGAGAACGCCAAACTGCAGATGTTGAATTAGTAATGCAACTTTTACAAGTGATGTCCTCCAAGTTGGAATTTGTTGCAGTTTCTCGCCACATGTCTAGCTTTGCCCAAATCCTTACAAAGGTTTTCCCTATCTATATTCCAATTTATAGCTGCACAATTGTAATGGTTTTCTATCAAAGTATTCCCCACATATGCTGCGTTTTCATTCTGCAATTTAAGTGACCAGTTTCCAAAAATACTTTCCATTGATAGTCTTCAAAAGCCAGGTTGGTGCTGCTGATCAACAACATTTCTTAGGCTTTTTGGTGCTGGGTAAAGACTTTTCTATTCATCCTGGTCTTCTATTCATACTGGTCCTTTCAAATTTTAAATCTGCATTTTAACTTTGGGGTTGCAGCAAGTTTTATTTTCAAATTGTGTTTTAAGCTACTTTTGCTTTTACGTTTTATCTTGCAGTTAAATAATTTTTATACTTATTTATTGTATGCCATTCTTTTTACTGGGTAGCATACAAATTTAACAAACAAATTACTACTATTCTGCCAACTACAGAAGAAGAAGAACGTGATGCATGGAACAGGGCCAGAATCCACATGGCCCAGAAGCGAATAACCATTTGACTGACATTTTTGAAAACTGTGGCTGCTCTAGTCAAGTCACAGCAGCTAAGTGAAGGACGTAGGCAGAATAGGTATGTTGAAGTGAACATACTACTTGATGACGAGAAACCTGCACAGTGCAAAGCCATTCATGCATACTTCAGCATGTATGCTTTTTTTCCATACTTAAGTATTCATACCTATCCCAGAGGTTCTTTGATTCCCGTAACTTGTTCGAATGGAACACTTGGTAGAAAGTAGCTGAAGGATTCCTATGAAAGCCAGGAAATGAAACAAGATTGAGAACAGATAACAATTTGCTTGAAGGAAAATATTAAGTTTTTAGGTTTCAACATGTAGAGCTCCCCACACAAAGATCTGCAACAGCTTGTAGAGTATAGAGTAGTACAAAATAGAGAGTTCACTAACACATGTAGCAGAAAGTGTGTAAAAATATAAGTTCCATAGATAGGAAAAGAACTGCCTTGCTGGATCAGCCAGCAAGCCCATTTCCAAATGTGGCTAGCTAGGTGCCTGTGGGCACTCACAAGCAGGACACAGTGATAGCATTTCCTGTTTTTACCTAGCATCTAATGTTTAAGAAGATACAACCTCCATACATGGTGACTCCCTTCTAGCTTTCACATATAACATACTCTAGCTCACAAACAGCAGGTTCTCCTCCTAATATGTTTTCTTATAAGCATGTCTTTTTACAACTTTTAATTTATAAGGTTAAGATGACATACACAATGGAAATTCAAGCAGTGAAATACGAAACCATAAACTGAAGGATTCATATTTGCTCATTTGGAAACAAACAAGTCTGTCACATTGGTCAAATATTTTTGACCAAGAATATTTATAGTCTTAAACGGCAAGACACACTTGGACATTTCACAAGTCATTTCACAAAATAGCAAGAGAAAGGAGACCCTAGAAGTCAGGTATACTGTGTAACCATCTTTCTAAAAGAGTCAAGCCAAGAAATTCTTCATCTGAGCTTCAGTGTTCCATAAAGAACCTCTCTAATCTTGACATAAAGCCTACAAAATACTCACAACTTTTGATACACCTGAATTCAACAAGGTAACCTTTTCACCATATCCCAATTTTCAGTGGGCTGTTTCAGACAAAGTCATATACAAACGTCTCCCCATGAAGGGGAACGGCTACACCCACTTAACACACATTCAACTTAAGTGTGACTGCATATTTGAGCAGCGCCAGGAAATAATTAAATAAACTGATTTAAACTGCAAAAAGGCATTAAAAGGGCAAAAATGGCCCCCAAAAGTGGGAAGATGGCCAGCAATCCCAGGATCCTTTGCACCAACCTTTGAGGCCTGTGGAGAGTTGGAGTTTGAGAAAGGAGGTTTGGAGGGAGCAAGTATGGTGGAATTTTGCAGATTTGTGGCAGAGTCTGGCTTTTTTATTTTGTGTTTCCCACTGTACGTGGTTTCACCTATACAAGTGGCACTCACGAACATAACCTCTGCATAAGTGGGGAGGCAACTGTAATAGCATTATGAGAACAAGTGACTGTGAAAGTTCAAAAGCACTTGCTTCTGTTTAAAATTAACTACAGTGTCAACACAAACAGATGCTCACTGTAACTATGGTTAGAGGAAGCGAGTCAATTTCACACCAGATTTTATGAAGCTATCTTGTTTCCACTAGCCACAGTTAATATCAACCACAGTTTAGGCATTGGGTGGCACAGCATACTGTAATTAAACTAAAATGATAGTACTGAGCTCCTTTTCTTGCAGCCATATTGAGAGAGGAGAGGGAAGGGTGCATGCAAGTCCACTGAGACTTATTTTCATAACTCTAATGCATGGTATATATAAAAATGCAGTTGTTGTCTCAAAATTGAACATTAGAAGTGGGATTAAATATCATACAAAGGTGACTGTTATATCAGCTTGCCAGGTGGCACAATATCCCCTCTCCTCCCCCTGAATGCTGTTTGGGGGGATTCTTCAGACCCCCCTCCCCAAAAAAGCAGATCTTGGGGAGCTTATGCTAGCAGGGCTTGATGTGCTTGCTTCCACTAATGCAACAACTTAGCAATAGCTTGGGAGAGAGTCAACTACGAAATTCACACATACACATGGTTAAAGCTTCAATGTAATCATGCTACAAGGCAAATCCAAATATAGAAAGCAAACCTATAGCTCCTGAAATAAACCAAAAATAATCTCTCGTGTCACGTCTGTAACAAGACTGACATTTTCTCAGGTAGAACTAGCTTGTAACAAAATAGTTGTTAACCACTTCCCCCAATATTTTATGAAGCTTGGGTGCAGAAGGGATGGTATGTAGAGTTGGGGATAAGAGAGAGTGTACAATGTTCAGTTAGCACAAAAGTGAGCAGAAATGTCTAAATGTATATCAAGAATTACTCAACATTAATTTTCAGTTACTGAACTTTTGATTCTTAGTCTACAAAATTGACAATCGTTTTCATGAGTTACTAATAATTCAGCTAGTCCACTATCCACATTCAGATTCATTCCAAAATTCCTGCCAACTAACAGCAGAAGCAGAAAATAAAACTTTTGTTTTCTTGACACCAGCTACAACTGCCAATTTTTCTTCAGCTACGCATATGTGATTATTTTTATTATGTATGAAAGGTGAAGGGCTGTTATCCTAATAAAGTAATCCAAAAGCAAAATATTAACCACAGAAACTAAATTAGGGTTGCCTCTAAAGAGCATTTCAGAATGGTTGGAATTCAGAGAAATGTACAAGCAGCTGTACAAGCCCAAAGCCCTCCTGACATTAAGCTTTTGGACAGGAGCTCTCCAAGAAATGTAGTAAACTGCTTTTGGAGCCCAAATAAACTTACAAAAACAGTTTGCAATATGGCACACATTTATGCAATTATTTGGTTGCTCCAGAAAATTCTGAAAGGGAACTTCTTCTACTGCCACAAAGATCAACGTGTTTGATCTTGTAAAAGGAAAAGAATGCCATGCAAATTTTATGTGCAGCATAAATGAGTTTTTCCAGAAATAGTTGAATAGAAATTTTTCAGGGAGAAGATTGATAAAGCAGTTTAAACATCACATTCAAACAAATGTTTACTTGATTTTTCTTTTAAAAAACAACTTGTACAGATTTTAAGGAATGGAGCCTTAATAGCATACACCTCATTTTGGAATCTAAACTTAATTTAGGAGTAAGAGAAAATATAAAAGCACTGAAAACTTTAGCACTACTGAAAAGCTGTGTGAAAAAATCATAGGGATAGTCACTTGAAAAAAATTTGACTTTAAGATTTGCTTAGTATTATGTCATTTGTCCAATTTTATGATGCACAATGTTCATTCATTTTGATATTGAATTTTTTTCTGGACAGATGCATTTCTAGAAGTGGAAAAAATTTCAACCCAAACTACAGGTTGCTCCATATTTTAAGTTGGAAACGCCACTGCATGCTCAAACCTTGAATATAGCTCAGGTAGCATTTTGGATCACTTTGATCAAAATATGCAAACACATATTATGCTGCAGCTGTTGTTGCATAGAGGAACAAGTTTCTCTCTTTTTTTGTCAATGCTTCTAGGTTTTCAGAGGAATTTTTAAAAAATTTTTTAGTTCATTATGGATCATTTCCCAGTAGTTTTTAATTATATTACATGTCCACATGTGGTAAAAGGATCCCTCTACTGTCTTACATTTCCAGCAATTGCCCTTTGTTGATTTTGACATTTTTACTAGTCTATTTGGTTTCAAGTACCACCTATGTAGCTTCTTAATAAATGTTTCTCTTAGTGTTTAGCATGCTGTAAACTTTATATTTACTTTGCCCAGCTGCTCCCATAGTGCAAAATCAATATTGTGTCCCACGTCCCTGGCCCAATTTATCATTGAAGATTTAACCATTTCCTCCATTGTATCCCACTCAAGTAGTAAGTTATACATTTTTAATAATATTTTGACCCTGGATCCTAATATTATCTTTTCAAAATGTAAGGCCTGCATTTTTAACAAGATACAGTATTTAGTGCTTCAAGGCTGGCAGTTTTAGAATATGAAAGAGGCAGCTGAAGTACCGTATTTTTCGCTCTATAACACGCACCAGACCATAACACGCACGTAGTTTTTAGAGGAGGAAAATCCGTAGGCATGCCACCCGTAGGCATTCCCTCTATAACATGCACAGACATTTCCCCTTACTTTCTAGGAGGAAAAAAGTGAGTGTTATGGTGCAAAAAATACGGTATATTGCACTAGCAATTAAGCTAAAGGAAGGGCCTGGTCAATGGCATATTTACTTTTTAAATTATTCTAGAAAACAGGTGTAGCATACCACGTTCCTAATACAGTTTTAGTAAAAACTTATTCAGAATACAAGCCAGAAAGCAGTGCAAGTATGCCCCTGAACAGCTGGCTACCTGCTACTGACAATCCTTTAAAAAAAGAAAACAATACTGTCAATGTTCAACCGGTTGGGACTAAAGCCAGCTTTGTTTTCCATTTCTTCTTGCCTTCCCCATCTTTGGACCAACTTACCTGCTTCAGTCTCCTCTTTTCACACCATTTCCTTGTTTTATACGTCTCCTCCCCACCTCTGTGCTTTTTCTCTTTTCATTTTCCTCTGAATGCCTTGAGTGGCTAGCACTTTCGATCTATCGCTACCTCTCTGGATAGATCACATTTAATATAAACACTTTGTACCTATGATTTAAAGGGGTTTTAAATTAAAAACAAGAAAAACAATACAAAGAAAGCAATGGATAATAGTCAAGATTTTTAAAGTTTTAAATTAATTTAGTTGTTTCAACATTTCAAAATGCCTGAGTAAATAAAAAAAGGATTTTGCTTGGAGTCTAAAAGATAGCAAACAGGCATACACCTGCCTGGGAAGGGAATCCCATAGCTTGGGTACCACAATGGGGAAAGACCTCTCCCTTGTACATGTAAGTTTCCCCTGTGATGCAGATCGTATTCAAAGAAGGATTATCAGTCTCTGCCAGTCAAAACACTGGCTGCTGCCTTCTTATATGATATGTTCAGCCCATGCTGAACTACAAAGTGTCATGCATAAAGCAAATAGCCATTTGTGGAGATGGTAATTGAGGCATCATATTGATAAGACTACCGGTTGATGTGACATTCTACCTTAAATATGACTAGTTTCTTTGAATCCAAATTATGAAAGTAAGCAATACCACTGGTGTTCATTCACACTTTTCTATTAATGAACTATAATGAACTGAAGAGCAAGTTGTGAAGAGATTAGAAACAGTGGGAGTGGGGTTAATATGTTCACCAAGCACTCAAGGAAAGTACTCCAGGTACTGTTTAAATATTATCTGTTCTACATATAATTATTTTTTAGATCATACGTGGGGGTAAGCTGTGGATGTATTGAACTGCTGGTTGGAGAGAATAGAAAGCAATTCTTTGACTCCTTCATTAGATAGCTGAATTAGCAACATACCTGGAAACTTACGTTCAGGACAAAAGTATGCTTTTACTATGCTAAGTTTGGGAAAGAAAAAACCTTAGCTACTGTGGAAGTTTTAACAACACATGAGACTTGTTGGCTGCCATCTTTTTCGCATACAATGCCTACCCAGATATGTAGTATGTTTACTGTGCTTAGCTTATTGCTGATTTTATTTATTATTTGACTTTTTTAAATGACTTTTTAACAGTTTTACTAATAAGGTTATTGTTTTGCTCTTTTTATCGTACCTTATTTTGATCTAGAGTTTTAACTTGTAAAACACATTTTGGGGTGCCTTGGCAGAAAGGCAGTACAGTGGACCCTCGGGTTACGTACCTCTCTGGATATGTTATCTTCATATTGTGAAAGCGGCAAACCTGGAAGTATTTTTCTGGGTTTCGCCACTCGCACATGCGCAGAAGTGCTCTGTGCGCATGCACGGAAGTGTTCTATTGCACTGTGTGTGTGCGCAGAAGCTGCGCCTCTGGTTACGGATTTTTTGGTATGCGCACGGACCCCCCCAGAATGAATTAAATCCATATCCAGAGGGTCCACTGTATATGAGCAGCTCACTATACTCTATAATGTATATTTCCAAATATAGGCCATCTGGGTTTGGAGAAGAGGGCAATATTATAGCATTTTCCATAAAATAACATACTTGAAAGTTGGATGCCTTATGTTCCAAACCTCCTGGGTGACTATTAAAGCTTACAGAAAATCAGAGTCAATCAACATCAACACAAAACCCTTGGTTAACATTATAATACAGAACCAGATTTTCAATTATGCCTTTCTAATGGTTTTTTCTGACACTGTAATAGCAGTATTATCTTTAAATTCTGTTGGTACTCATTATGTATAAATACTAATTGAATGTCTATGCACATAGCTGAAAAATGCAAGTTAATCAACCTCATGTTTCCATCAAGCACCTTGAGTTCAAGCCATGATGTAAAGGAAGATCCCAGGAAGGGGTTCAAGCCCCAATCTGCACTAACTTCAAGCACCGTTTTGGCAGGGACTGGGTCCGGCTGGGAGCTCCTGAGTGAAGAAAGATCCCAGCAGGGCTTGCAACTGTTACCTAGTTCAATAGGCACTGACTACATGTCCCACTTGGCAAAGAACAATTTTAAGATTCCTGATTGTTCCCGTACAGCCCCACAGTTGATGGCATAGCTGGGGGGAAAGGCTTCATGGACCCAAGCTGGGCTCCTACCGAGCCAAACTAGGCCTTTGGGCAAGAAACTCCACACTGCTGTGCTAAACCATAGTTTAGTGTTACATCTGAACAAAGACATTCATATCCATCTGTTTTTCCACTGACACTCTGAATTCTATGCCTTTATTCTTTCAAAAAATGCTCAAAGCATCCTACAGTCTAATTATGGGTGGATAGTGAGTACTCTGTCCATGTCTCATTTCCTGCAACCAGTGTCTGTAATCAGGAAAAGCAGTCTCTTTTCCAGCTGGCTGACTGTTCTATTGTTTTTATGAAAGCATAACTCAAGAAGCCAGATGTTCATAGTTGTCATCTCTTGATTTGGGGAGGGGGATTTACCCCATAAATATTTCTACTAACAGTGATTACTGAAAATGCTGGGGAACTACTCACCAAAATAGCAGAGGAAGAGACCATTTAACCTTCCAGCAGAAAAATCACGGGATTCATGGGAAATGGCTAAACCGAGTATGAGTACAAACTAAGTTTAGTTTCTATCCAGATAACCTGTATCTCACTGCTTTTTCATAGAAACTTAAAATGGTGTTTCAGTGTGCATTCTCAATTTAAAATGAAAAGGGCTATTCATATTTGTATTCTATTTGTGCTTTTGGTTTCACACCCAATATTTATCAGAGGAACAAAAACCTATGCATATTCCTTCTTGTTGCACTTCCGTAAGCAGTCAGCAGAACACTTCAAGTAGAGATGGTATTACTACACTAAATTAAGTGTTCTCTCATCAATCTCACTAACACACCAGTTTTTGTTCTATTTTACTTTTTAAATTCCCATGCCAAAATACTTTCCATTGCCTGATACTGTTGTTGTCTAAGCTGTGTTTCATAGAATAAGAAGGACAGTGAGCTACTGGTTTAGAAGGCCTAATAATATAAGAGTCCCTCAATAAGCTATAATGTGCCTGAACATTAAGTTCACGTGGCAAGAACGTTTATGGCACAGAACCCAAGGTCCTGGTTTTGACTTTTGAAGTCATAAATAATTTGGTAATAGAACTCCTGAAGAGGTCCTAATTATTTCTCTCCAACTGAGGGGAGGGCATGGAAATCCTAATTGGTTGCTGCCTCAAGTTATGAGATTTCTGTACCTATAAGACTTGGGAAAACCAGGGCCTGGATCTCCCTTCTTTGGGCTGTATTGTGGTAGCAGGAGCTAAACCTGCAGAAGGGTGGCAAAAGTAAACATTTGGTCTTGAGGCTTTCAAAAAGGAACTAGTTACCTGACATGAGCCCTCAGGGTGGCTTAGGTAAAAATAATATCTAAACCAAACAGAAATACAATCACCTTTTTCTACATGTCTGCTGCAATAGCTGCTTTGTTAGTCTGGAGGAGACTTTTCAGGTCTGACCTTTTTTTCCCTTCCCAATGGGGTGGGTGGGAGAGAACACATATTGCTCCCTTTAATAGCAAACTCAGGTGGTGAGCACCCGCTGAATTGGCCACAGAGAAATAATAGGGAGGGTATCAGCATGCTTGGGGGAACCTGAATTTGCAGAATTATTTGGTTTTGACAAAGTCTAACCATAACTTCAACTACACATAGATTTCAAGGTGGTGTACACAAAATATAAGTATTAATACAATGTTAAAAACAATAAAAATTAAAACCTAGTGGAATATAAAATAATAGTCATTCAACCAGCTACTAAAACAATGCAATAAATATTACAAGTCTGGTAAAATAAACAGTCTTAACCTGGCACTGGAAAGCTATTAATGTTGGTCTTATATCCCAAAGCCACCCAAAGCCAGGGTGTCACCACCAAGAAGGCCCTCTCCTTTGTGGATACTTAACACACTTACAGATGGAACTTTAAGAAGCGCTTCATCTGAAATCAGTGAAACATAAAGACATGTAGGCCAAAACCTTGAAATCAGCTACCGGTCACACAGATTTTAAAATACTACTGGCTCCTCTAAAACTGATTTCACACATGACTGATACGAGCACATGGCATGGCCTCAGGCCTTTCCTACAACCCCACAGATGTAGTGTGCCCCCCAAGAATTGGCCAGTACAGAATATTGTAGAATTGCTGCCAACTCCCAAAGAGACAGGACACACAGCAGGCTACTGGCTTTACTAACATTCTAGAACATACATGTATAAGTGGTACCCATCTATTAAGGAAAAGGTCAAAGGATCTAGAGAGGGTAAAGTAAAATACCAATTACTAGTTTGTTAATAGTACTAGGGGGACAGGAGGCCTAGAAAATGTGAAATTAGTCTTTACTTGTGACTTGCTCCTAAGTACAATATCCTCACAAGCTTAGGACATGTCTTAAAGGCCTGCCGGAGACAGACACTGCAGACTCCTATTGTGAAGTAATGAATCATTGCAATCTTTTGTTGCAAGTCTCACTTGTATCTATTTGGTGATGATGCTCTTTGGCATAAATCAAAGAGACACATGAAAAGCATACAACAGCAATTTGAGGGAAGGGTTCTAATAAAGGGTTGAAGCCATTCTGCTATACAGCTCTTTAACCTCCTGTATAGCAAAATCCCATGGCATCTAATGGGACCTGCCCCATGTTAAGCATGCCCCAGTATTTTGATTTATTCACACTGCCCCAGTATTTTGATTTATTCACATCAACAACAGAATGGTTATAAATGCAATCCACACAAACTGCCTACCTGCCAAGGCATACAGGCTCAAACCCACCCACAAAGCATTTATTCAGCAAACCTGGATGTCTTGGGGACCTTTTTTGCTGCTAACTAATCACACAGAATAAGGTCTGAAAGCAGGCCTATTTCTTTTTGCTGCTGTTACTGTTTCATTTCCTCCTTCAGCTGTTTATATGGCTCTGCATTTTCTGCAAACACTTTTGTGTTCTAGCTTGCCTTTCATAAACTAGACTGGTTTTCCAAATGTTCCACTCCGGAAGGCATACACAACACCTTAGTGTGTGAATAACACTCCTAGTCACAAGTACAACAGCTCTCGTGTTGGTCAGCACTAAGCCACTGATACTCAAACTGTTTTGGGGGGGACCCTGGAGTTGGCTCGGAAGCTTTTCAAAAATGCTTCAAGAGCAGCAGTAGCTTTGAAATATAGCTATAATATAATGGCCCATCAATATTGCTAACCTTCCACTGCAATGTGCAGCTGCCAGACTGCTGCCTCCTTACTAGGTCACGCTCAACCCAAGTGGGGCAGCAACAAGGCATAACAAGGCCTGCCTCACGCCTCACAAAAACCAACTAGGAGCTGTAAAATATGCCCCAGATTATTTTTTTACAATGTACTCTGGTTTCATAGCAAACATGCAGTAGGCTCTCAGCAGTTAACAGAAAAGCTTTCCCTGAAACTAGTTTTTAAAATGCTGCTTCAAGAGATCCTGCTTCATTTAAAGTATGCATGTTGACACCCAAGATCCATTTTTAAAATGAATATAGATAGAAAAATTGGTCTGCCAAGTCAAATAAAGTATTTGAAATATACAGCAATATTCCCTTGCTCAAAAAAAAACTGAGAACAGTCTTAACTATTGTCTGATATTGAAACACTAGTTATTGTTAGGACATAGATGGCTGGGAGAAAATAGCTACATAGTTGTGGCACTGGTACTAAATGTTATTAGATGTTCTTAAAATAAAAGGCTCAATGTGTGCATCTGAGCTGCACAAGATGATGTTATTCTAATAACCTGAAGATAATATTTCTCCCTGCCAAAAAGAAAACTGACACAGCTTTAGCAAAGGAACCATAATACTACAAGACTTCCCTTGTTTTGCTGCTTGCAGTTTTCATTTCAATGCAGAATTAGCCCACTAAAGTCTGTGAAATAGAAAAGGGGAAAAGCTTCTAGAAAGTTGGCATTACAAGATAAGAATATAATAATTTAAACTTTTATTTTATACCAGATTACTTCAACGCTTGCAAGCATTCTGCACCCTTCTATTTGATTCCATTGCACTCCCTTCAATCACTCCCTCCACATAGGCCCCAGAACTGAGAACTAGAACCTCTGATACCAATATTTCAGACCACCCATTTTAATAGTGAGACTTTTAAAGGATTGCATTGCTCACAGTGTGCATTCATAATAATTGCACTCACGGATCAGAAGGTGATTTTAAAGGAAGCAGTCATTAACTGCTATAGAGCTGAATTTACATAGTAAAATTAAGAATTTGTCACCCACTACAGATTTTATTACCTTTGTTTCTATTTTACATCTATACTTTTAGATGTGAAAGAAGAATGAAGCAGCACTGCATCTTGTGGGAATGCTTCGGGCCTATGCAGGATTCCCACTTGCATTTGTTTCTGGTCCACATCCACAAATCACTTCAACATGGCAAACTGCTATTTTAGAGGCTGAAATTATGAAAAGCCTGTAGCTGTTCTGAGCATGCTCAAGAACACAACTTTAAAGGATGAAATTCAGTAACAGCAGGATATGAGCAGTACCTACTGTTTTCAATTTGCATAATCCTTTTATTCCCCCTCCCTTCAAGTAAAGCATATAAGAGCAATGCATAAAGAGACCCTTATCAATGTTGATGCTAATGCAAGGTTTTGTTCTATTATGAAAGAGGCCTCAAGAGCTCAGTTTTACCATTTATAATACTTTATCAGCAACAATTAGCACGCTATACAAGTAAGCTTTTTCATAGAACAGAGAGAGATACTCTATGAAGAAATCCTTACAATCAGGTTTTCAACAATCCAGCGGCTGCTGTGGAGACTTCACAATTGCAGCTATTCATTAGAGTGCTGGACTACAGCCTGCACAGTTCACACTGGTCAGTTATCTATCCCTTTTCTAACCAGTCTGGTAATATTTGCACCGGGTATCTGCCAAACATGTAGGAGGCTTAAACAAGCTTTCCCAGTGATGTATTCTTTCAAGAGTGGCAACATATTTCTCAAGAGCCAAAAGTATAGTAATCAGCTAGTTATGTTTTTAGAAGTCTAGTGAATGTTTGGATTTAACAGGATTAAAAGATCTAAGGTTTCATTTTTACCAGTTTAATTTATGCCAGTTATTAAAACACATCTGAGGATTTTGTCATCTGAAATGCATTAAGTATTTACTAAAATAAACTCAAAATGGTAACTACAGTATATATTCTATTAATATGGCATCATCTAGCAGTTCACATTCATTGCTTATTAGTTTCTGAGTCGACATGGAGAACGGATTCTATATATTGTGACAGCTCTGCAGCTTAAAAAACAGTCTGCTTTTCTGGATGTACAATATTGCCAGAATATTTTCTATATTAGCAATTTGGAACTCTTACTTTTATACTAGATACAGTAAAGGACCCCTGGACGGCTAAGTCCAGTCACAGGCGACTTCAGGCCGAGGGAGCCGGCGTTTGTCCACGGACAGCTTTCCAGGTCATGTGGCCAGCATGACTTAATTGCTTCTGGTGCAACAGGACACCGTGACAGAAACCAGAACGCACGGAAACGTCGTTTACCTCCCCGCTGCAGTGGTACCTATTTATATACTTGCACTGGTGTGCTTTCGAACTGCTAGGCTGGCAAGGGCTGAGTCATAGGGATGCAGGTGGCACTGTGGTCTAAACCACTGGGCCTCTTGGCCTTGCCAATCGTAAAGTTGGCGGTTCGAATCAGCACGATGGTGGTGAGCTCCAGTTGCTCTGTCCCAGCAACTTATATACTACACAGGCACCAAATAATTATGAATTATTTCTGGAATAAAAAGGAGAACTAAAATACAGAGGCACCAAATTACAGCATCTCCAAATGTAGCTTTTGAAAACTTTGATTGGAGACGTGCTAGAAACATGTAATTTAAAGAGAACATCCAATAGCACTTACCAAGTCACATAATCTAGCAATATTCCCAGCAGGACCAAGGCCTTGGGCTGTTTCATACCAATTCCCAAGTTAAAGACTACTATTCACTTTTTGAAGGTCCTAGCTGCACCACATTCCTGATCCATCCCAATATACATTAGCTTACTATATAGAAGTACCTAGAAGCAGTTCTTGAACTGGTGCTGGAGCAAGGAAACAATCTGTTCTCCTGGACAATTTTAAAAAGTAAGAGCAATACAAGCAAGAGCCTCCACCATGCATTAACAGCACAGTTTGAAAACTTGATACCTACTTCACCAATATTAAGCTGCTGATATGTTCTGTATTGTTATTACAAGCACTACTTCAATGTAACGCCTTTTATGACTCATGCAGAGGTTAACTGAACTGACAGCTAAGTAATTTAATACGACTACAAGAACATCAATAAAAGAGGCCTCACATTGAGATAATGGGTTTCTCTTGCACATTCCATGTTGATAGAATCCTCGTGGAGGCCAAATCCAGAGTTAATCTCTGGTACCCATACAGTAAGTAATTTAAAATCCAAACACAAGCCAACTCCCCCTTTTTATAACTTTCTGCAAAATGTTTCTCCCTAACATTTCTCCTGTATATTTTATCTCAATTATCAACACACAAGAAGCTGGCCAAAGGGGCCAAGCAAGCCACTCTTCTGTCGCTGAAGAAATAAAAAGGGGGAATATTTGAACAGTATGTAAACACCCTCTTAACCATGCTGTTGTTTCTTGGAAGAGGCCTGTCATAAGACAGCTGAAGTGTCCCACAGACATTTCTAGTTGTACACAATGCCCCACAGAACTAGTTTATTTGCATTCAGTGTAGCCCAAGGAATTCTGCTATACAGTACTGTACTGGTCATTGACAAAATAATCCATGTATGTGTGTCAGCTCAAAAAAGTTTTGGTTCAAGTAATATTATTTACACACATTATTCCACAATACCATAATAAACATAACTTGCATACAGCCTTTAATCAGTACCACCAACTGAAGAACAAAACCTACAATTTGAAGCAAGCATACTAAGACTAAAAATATTCTCAATAAATGTGATTAGGATTGCACTATACATACATTAAAATTTCTTATCAATACATCAGATCCAACCCAATTAGCACACCCACTTAAAAAATATTATGTCAGTGGGTTGCATTCAATGGTTGCACAAGTGGAAGGCAGACCATGCAAGCACTCTCTCGCTTCCCTTCCTCGCCCCTGCAACTCTTGTACTCTCCAAAATCCCTGTTCAGAGGGAACTCTGTTGTATGGGGCCACGGTGCAACAGAGAGTATTGCCTAAAATCAGGAAGAACTGTGCACCAGAGCAACTCCCCAGATCCCTCTGCACAATTTCAGGCTAGTTCCTCCTCACACTGCATAGTAGGCAACACAGATCCACTGTCTGAGAGAGGCAACTCTCCAGAGGTTTCTCAGGGGGAGGGGGAGAAGAGAAAGATGAATTGCTCAAGTCCCTTTTCACTCGCACTACAACTCGATATTAGCATCAGGCTTAATACCAAAGCTATCCCTTTCCCCCCTACCAAGTCCATTTCCTTTATCTTGAAGTTGAAGCGAGGATGTTTATTTAATAAGACAAAATACGATATATACCTCCATTAGTGGTGGTTTCAACTTCAGTAAACCATAGCAAAATCAAGTTAGATGTAATACCCAATTGCTAATGCTATGCTATCAATTTCTGCAAAGCGGCAGGTGCCTGTTCTCTTCTGTATTTAATCATAAGTAGATTTGTTGACAAGTAGAGATCATACCTATACTAGGTTACAATTTCCTCAAGTAGAGAATTTCTACTTGATGCTAACAACTCAAATGTAATGGAATACTCTGATGCACAAGGCAATTTCATATGCTATTTGAAAGACTTCAAGAAATAAGCACATTTTAGGGAAAGTTACTCTACACTTTAAATTAGCACCAACAGTGCAATCCTATACACATCTACTCAGAATTAACCCTTTATTGGGGCATAGTCTCAGATAAACAGGTATAATAAGATTGTGGCAAGAGATGACTAAGGATTTCCATCCCTATGCTACTAAATTTACAAAGAGGAACTCTTACAGAGCTAGGCCAGAGGTTAATAGGACAGTCCTCTCACTTCTACAAAGGAAATTCAGTCATTTCCCAAGGAAAGTGTTTGCATCTTCAGCCCCTCTCATTGTGCTACAGTACTGTTTTGCTTATTTTCTTCTACTGTGCTTGTACAAATAAACATTTTCACATAGAGTAAGATTCTTAATGAAGTGATTTTTTTTTTAAAAAGTTACCAATTATTCTTTACGATGCAATTCTATACATGCAAACTTGCAACTTACACCCAAACAAGTTGCTTTATAACTCGCTTCTTTTCAGTTTAAGCATGCTAAAGCTACAATCCTAAATACACATCATGAAACAAGCCTCACTGATTTTATGGGACTTGTCTCTGAACAAATATCCCAAGTTAATACTGTTATTCACCAATCTCTCAAAGCTTCTTCCCTTTATAATAACCACACACCTAACAATGATAAAGTAAGGGTTCTATTTAAAAACAAGTAACGTGATACTATGGTTAACTTGCTTACTTTTTCCTATGAAGCACATTTTGTTAGTAAGCTTTTGCAGCCATTACACTGAAACTGCTGAAGAAAGCATGTTACAAATCTGCCCACTGAATTACACACACCCATTGATAACTATGTTTCCATTGCTGTCATGTATATGTATTCAACATTAACAGAGAATAGGTCTGGATTTATTCAGCTAACATAGCTCAAGTTAAACAAATGTATAGCATAAAGACTAACTATATATCCAACTTGTGCTTTAAACAATGGAAGAGAGTAACCTTACTTCAAGTTATCAATTGTGATGGGCTTGAAAGTCCTTGTAACTGTTTTTTCAAGACTACGGAAACAGTGATTTGCTTTTTGTATTCAGCTTAATATTCATAGTCTCATTTCCTTAAGTTCTTCCTTACGGTGGTTTACACATTTTTGCTACACAAGTAGTTTAGTAGTGAATCCCCTTTGTCACATCGTATGTCACATCTTTGGAAGAGATTAAGACACTTAAACTTGATAAATAAATGCTGTAAGAGTGTCTGCAACTAGACACCTGCATAAAAAAAAAGATAGAAGATAAATACCTGTCTTCATCACCATCAACAGGAATAGATATGCCAAAGACAGAGCTGGCAAGACTGTTCATAGGAGTAGTTGCAGGTAAATTAAGAGGGTTTGCTAAAGTGTCCGGAATAGGTGGCTTCACAAGAAGTTTATTTTCAGCAAGAGAAAGTGGTGGTTGAGGTAGGGGTTCAGATTTTCTTCTAGTATCATCAATCTGGCCTAAAGGTTGATTTGGAAATTGTCCAATGTTAGATTGTGGCAGATTTGCAGGTACATTGGTTGTGCCTTGCATTAGTGGAAGGCCAACATGTTGCTGGACAACACTGGAGCTCCTACTGACAGATGTATGGCTGGTCAGCTGGGACTGGACTAAAGTAACAGGGGCATTTGGCATAGTAACAGAAGTTGTAGACACACTGGGCACACTAGTACCCGGTACAGCTGCAGGCACATTCTGAACTCCAGAAACTATACTGTGAGGAGCACCAGCCACTTGACTGCTTCCACCCATTTGCTGCTGAGTCATAGATTTCTGTTGCACAACCCCCGCATGGCCAATGCCTTGCTGCACCACACCTCCTGGCTGAGGAATGACAGTCTGAATTGGAGTTGTCAGGCCACCCTGCAATAGCCCAGATACCTGTCCTACAGTTTCACCAGTTTGCGAAGAAACTCCCATCACTGGTGCTATGGGTGAGGGATTTGGACCAGCTATTTGTGCTGCTGGAAGACTGGACGCTCCAGTGCTCGGGACAGAACCTGAGATGGCCTGTTGAGTAGCTCCTTGAGACTGCATTACTGTCATATGTTGAATGTATTCCGGCTGGGCAGGAGTTTGGGCTGGCACCAGATGCACTGGTGGAATCTGCGACTGAGAATAAGCAAATTGCTGAGTCTGAGCCACAGGTACATTAGCTTGCTGTACCTGCTGTTGTGGCATAGGCAAACCTGTCTGGGCTATCGCTACATTCGAAGGTGGCATGCCTTTCCCATTAGGTCCAGCCTGTCCCATGTTCTGTGCATTTACCTGTGCCTGGGTCTGCAGCGGAGGCCCCATCATTTGCTGGCTCGCTGCTGTAGCCCCTGAATAGATTGGCTGAGCATTACTGTGAGGCACAGCCCCGCCTATGGGCTGCTGCCCAATGACAAAATTGGGTTGCTGTGGAGAGGGTTGGTTTATTTTCTCTGGCTGGAGTAGCTGTGACACAGCAGCAAGAGAGCTGTCAGCCAGGGAGTCGGGGCCATGTGCCGAAGTTGCAACCCCCGAAACTATCAAAGAGCCACCAGTAGCACCTAGGCCACTATCCCTATCTTGAACAGCTTGTTCAAAAGTACTGTTGTGTCTAATGCAATCCCCAGTCCTGGCTAAAACGGCCCCGCCCTCGGAGTCCCGGTCATAGTATTCCATACACGTCCATCGCCCCCGTCTATAGGGCTCTCCTGTACCGTGGTCCAGCTTAATCACCCTGAAGCGGGAACTGCATGCGGCGGCAGCCGTTAGAGGCATGGCTCCAGAGCCAGCAGCTGCCTGCGCAGTGCTGCCTCCTGCTGCCGCTGAAGAGGCCGGGGCGGCAGCCGCTGGGAGCACCGCGGAGCTCCTGGGAACAGCTCCTCCGTTGGCGGTCGGCACAGCAGGGGAAGGCGGCGGCGGCTGGATCCCTCCGGAGGCCGCGGCGGCGGCGACGGCGGCAGCAGCCACTTGCCCATCCAGGAGCAGGTTGGGAGAGACTGTCCCCGGGGTCTCCGCGTCGCCCACGTTGTTGAGGGTCTCCTCGGAGGAGCTGCGCTCGCAGACATCTTCGGGTCCGTAGTCGGTGGCGCGGGACACGTCGAAGATCTCGGAGGAAACGTCCTCGGTGCGGGATTCATCCGGGTCGTCCAGGCTCTCGGTGTCCTCGGTGATGCTGCTGGCCACCTGGGCCGTCGTCACGCTGGTGATCTGGAAGCAGCTCTTCTTCTTGGCCGGCATCTTGGACATGGTGCTTCCCCCGGGAGAATAAAAGAGGATAAGTCGTCGTCGGGGGGAAAAGAATGAGGATGGGGGGTTCCGCCCACCTGCCCTCGCCGGAGGAGAAGAGAAAAGCAGAGAGCCAAAAAATGAAAAGGCTCGGCGGAGAAGGCAGAAGTCCGAGCCGGCCCTGGCGCAGCGGAGGGGAGGATCACGTTCTGTCTACAGCGCAGTCGCCGGCGGTATCGCACATTCCTCCGGCCCTCGCGACGCAGCCCCGGCTCAGCAGGCGGCCACCACCAGGCCTGGGGTTGGCGATGGGGGGAAAGGGAGAGCGAGGCAGAGGAGAATGGAAGGGGGGCGGCGGCCGAGCTCCTCCTCTTCCTCCCCCCGAGTAAGGCTGCGGGCCCCTCGGCGGGCGGGCGGCGCCACCTCCTCCTCCTCCTTCTTCCCTCAGCAGCGCCCCACCGTCCCCCTTTCGCAGCCGCGGCTCTCTTCACGCAGCCGGCTGTGGGGCTCCCAGCGCCGGGGTGGCGCTCTCCGCGGGGGTTTCCGGCGAGACCCGCGGTCCCCAAGGCCGCTAGTCCGTCCGACGGGTCTCGGGGAAGAGGGGCGGCGGCGGCAGCCGGCAAGTGAGGCGCAGGCCGCCCTGCCTCCGCTGTCTACCTGGAGATCAGCACCAGACGCATCTTCTCGGGAGGAGGGAAGGAAAAGGGGGGAGGAACCAGCCCGGCTCACAGCGGCCCCCTCAGGCGGGCGGGCCTCCTAGACGCGGCTCCCTCGGCTCTCTCTGCGCCGACGACGGAGGAGCCGGCCGGGCCCTTTTCCCTCCGCCTCACACTCTCTTCTTTCTCTCCCCCCCTTCCCCTTCTTTAAAGTCCGTGCGCGCTGCGCTCTCCAGCGCTGTGCCGAAGGAGCTGAAATTCAAACTGCTCACTCCCCTCGCTCAAGATGGGGCTCAAATGGAGCCGCGAGGCAACCTGGGAACTGGAGCTTAAGCCGCTGCTACTGCGGCAGCCGACACGGGGGGACCGCCTCTAACGCACAGGCGCGCTGACGTCACCGCCGCCCGGGGGCGCCTCCCATCCTTCCCCCCGCCCTCCCCCAGGATGAAGAGGTTCTGTCCTGGCCACGGAAAGGGGGCGGGCGGAGGAGACGAGGCGGCCGAGGAGAGGAAAGGGGCGGGGTCACCGCCGAGGGAAAAAAAACCCCTCCCCCCCGAGATCGTCATTTCAACCGTTTGGAATGTTCCACTCGCCCCGTAGCAGCCCCCCTCCTCTTCTTTCTTCACTGCGGGCTTGGTACCTTCCGTCAAAGGAGAGGGTGGGGGAGGGAATGGCGGCGTGATATCCTCCCCCCGCCTCAGCTCGCTCCATTTTGGCGAGGAGGCTGAGGTGGTACTTTGCTCAGTCTTTCTCCGTGCGAGGCCGAGAAAGGGAGGCTCAACGGCGGCTGCCGTAGCTTTCGAGTTACGAGAACGTCAATGTGCCAATGACAGGAACAGGATTATTTTTATACATTTATATATATTACGTTGAGAGGCACGACGCGCCCTACTACTAGAAACCTTTTACTCCTAGAAGGGTTTTCTGAAGGGCTTCGCCCCTCCTCCCTTTGCCCCGCCCCTACAGAAAGGCCACGCCGTTGCGTTTCGCCGTCTTTAATCCGAATTCACGACCAGTTCATTTTGCACACGGTCGCCACAAGATTCGGATTAAGGTCGCTTCGTTTCCTACAAAACTTGTCGACAGTATTAAAGCGGTGCACTAAAACACGCCTCAGAAGTGAGTAGACCCGTGGACTGGCGCTGGCCACGCATAAAATAAAGCTGATTTGATGTCCAAATGAACCACTTGCATCCCAAATCCTCTTGTGCGTTTTTGCTTGGAAAGTATGGCATGCCCCTACCGAAGGAGCTTGCTGCTGTTTTTACACCTAGGTTCGAGCACCCTCAGAGTGGCCCTTAATTTATTCAACTTTTTAATAACACTGGGTTAGCTGAAGCTGTACAAGGTCCAGCTGATTGAGGCCCGTCTAACGAAACTGGTTTTAAATGGCACTTGCCCATAAACAGGCATGGAGAGTGTGGGTGTGTCTTTTACAACACTTCAACCATGCTGCCTGTGAGCACAAAAGAGCAATTAAAAGTTGTCAGGGTAACTCATCTGCACAAGGACCCGCCTCATGGGGAGCCCAGGGAGAGAAACACCTCAGCATCACAGGACCCCTCGAGCCACTAAAAAAAAAAAATTGCCCAAAGGTAACAGCCTTCGCTCACACGTGCAAGAAAATTCTAAAAAGCGTTGCACTACTTTTACTAATTTTGTATATGAACAGCACCAGTCAAAGTTACAGGACCAACTAAAACATCACAAGAGTAAGGAGCAAGCTTTTCAGCTCCCCTAATGCTTTGTACTACAACACTCAGTGAAAACAGCAAAGGGAGACGGAGAGCAAAAGAGGCTTCAAGGCATGATGGGAAAGTGAAACCTTTGAAGTTGGCAACAAGCTGGAATGTGGGAAGTTAGACAGGCAGGTAAAGCTGCAATCCTAAACACACCTAAGTGAGTAAGGCCTCCCACTGGACACAAATACTCCTGCATGGACATGTGGAAGATTGATCCTGCACATTCTGTTAAACCACTTTAGATCCAAAGCAGTTTCTTTTCTTTTTTTGGCTAGCCTACTGGGAGAGAGAAGGAATGACCATTCGTCCTTTGAAAAGATAAAAGCCATGAATTCAAAAGCTTGCTCACTACTTTGTGGTGTTACAGTTGGTCCTAATAAACACAAGGTGTGGAACCTCAACCCTTCAGATGTTTTTTTGATTCAATCTGATAGCAGCAGCCCCAGCAGAATTGGTCCATTCATTGTTAGGGATGAAGGGAGTTGTTGGCAGAAACATCTGGACAACAACTGGTTCTTCCAGCCCTGCAATAAATTATATTACTCTTTTGTGGCTTCTGAGTTTCCCCCTCTAATGAATCAGCACAATTGCATTTTTGTCCATAAAACAAGTGGGTATGGCAAATCCCAGTTGACTGTGTTATAGCCAACAAGCTAAGTAAGTCTCAACTATTTTGTGTAGCTCACAAAGCTTGCAGACTGAGTTAGGAATACAAACTTCTATGTCTCTTGAGTTTCATGAGAATGCACATTAAGATTGCAAAGTCTAATACAAGACATGACTTACGTTTACAAGGGGAAATGTCAACAGGTTTATATTAGCCCACCGCTGGAACATGGGTAATATCTAAGGCTGGTCATCCATATATTTAAATCTATTGATTTCAATTAGCGGAAACAACAATTCGGTTTTCTCTGGATTGACGTCTGCTCCGATTTAGCACTTAAAGAGGGAGATTTCCTTGGAAAAGGAGCAGGGCAAGGGGGAAAGTGCTAGAAACTGTGTCTAGAAAGCACAGTTAGAAAGCCCCTTGGACCCATGTTTTCTAAGCATGGAACAAGTGGAAGTGTGAACAAGTCTTATAGTCACTGGAGGTTATTAGGCAGCAATAGAAATTCATATATCAGGGACCAATGGAGAAAACATTGCAAGAGAAAATGTTACATGCTGTATACATCCCTCATTAAATGAATATATATATATTTGCATCCACAAGCAATATTTGCATCAACAAAGTGCATTCTGTTTATACTTGGTTTGAATAGTTTGCATGGTTTTAAGTATTTCAATCTTCCCACTGTCCACATTGAAAAGGAAAACCAACATTTAACTAAAGTGCTGCAGGGGCATAGCTGTCAACATTTCCTTTTTTTTAAGGGAAATTCCTTTATTCCGAATAGGATTCCTCGCAAGAAAAGGGAAAAGTTGACAGCTATGTTTAGGGGTCAGCAAACTTTTTCAGCAGGGGGCCGGTCCACTGTCCCTCAGACCTTGTGAGGGGCCAGACTATATTTTATTGGGGGGAGGGGGAATGAACGGATTCCTATGCCCCACAAATAACCCAGAGATGCATTTTAAATAAAAGCACACATTCTACTCTTGTAAAAACACCAGGCAGGCCCCTCAAATAACCCAGAGATGCATTTGAAATAAAAGGACACATTCTACTCATGTAAAAACACACTGATTCCCGGACTGTCTGCAGGCAGGATTTAGAAGGCGATTGGGCCCCTGGGCCTTAGTTTGCCTACCCATGGTGCTCATGAAAATAAAAGGTAACATTGTATTTGCATTTTCTGCTTTGTAGCTCAGAAAATGTAAGTAAATCCCAAATTGCTTATCTCAAGGCACTAAGAATCGGAAAACCGGGGCAGGCATAGGCATGGCAAGTTGGCAGGACAGATGGACCTGCTGGTTAACTTGTCTTCAACATGTTGGCCTAGGCCTCTTACCTGAACCTCATAGTCCACCTCAGAATGGATAAACAGCTACGTCCTGAAGACTGCTGCTATGAATCACCTTTCTCAATTGGCCTTAATGGCCACTAGGATCTCTGAGGATGTTTCCTCCCAGGAAGAAACCATCAAAAAAAGCTCTCAGTTCAACAAGCAAAGTAAGCATTTCATTAAACATGGTCCTCTGGGAATCTCAATGGCACAAACTGCTCTACAACACCCAAACTCACAGGATGATAATTCAGGAAGTAACTGCAGCCAAGGTTTTGTTCTTTGCGTGCATGTATAAGTAATTATCAAGATTCCTTTGTGCTAACAAAACTGTACAGGCGACTCTCAACTTATGCTGGGGTTACTTTCTGGGGCTAGTGTATAAAGCAAAAAAATCACATATACAGTACATAGTCAAAACACATTGGGGTTAGTGGTGGATGGGATTGCCAAAGTCTTCCCCCCCCCCCAGACACCTGTCCACTTTCTGCCCCCTATTTATGTATTTATTGTCAAGCATGTAAAACTGGATGTGCACAAGTTAAAGGTGTGAGTTGTGAGTTATCAATATTAAAGTTGTACCTTAGCTCCTGGTTATAATGGAGCCAAACTTTTTGGGCTGGAAATTTCTGCTATTCTGTGGTCAGGTCAGGACATTAGTCTTGTCCAGAGTACAGATAATAAACTGATCCAGGGCCAAACCATTGTATGTCTCTTTGTTTTGGAACCAGGGACCTGATTCCCAGTTAAGCCCTCCCTTGGTCCTGTAAGCTGTTTCTCAACACCAAACATGTTAATAGTCACATATCCCAATATACAGTATGTGTGTTTAGACTGGAAGAAATCAATCTGCTCCTGTACCATCATAAATATTTCAGACTAAGGCTCCAGGAATTATATACTGAACCAATCACTTCTGGAGGCACAATAGTTGTGACACAAAATCCTGCCTAAAGTATTCCCATCATCCTTTTATACTCACCGGTCCACAATGCAAAACATCCTCATCCAACACCCCACATTGGCATTGTGCAAAATGCATTGTCATTTGACACTTAATATTAGGACATTCCAAATCCTAGCTTGAAAGAGTTAATCACTAAATGCTCCATTCAAGAGCATTGTTTGCACAAGGATTTTGGTGTAACTTGAAACAGCCCTGTAATGAGGCCCTTTTCAAGCAGGCTATAGTTAATGAGTGTTCATCAACATGGTTTATTTGGCTGAAATCTGGCGTGACCCAAGGAAGGGGGAATGGAACTTGACAAGAGATGGAAGAATGGAGGGGGTGGGCAGAGAGTGGTAGGGAAGGCGAAGAACCAGAATGAACAAGATGCACTGATTCATTAGCAAAACGGAAAGGTTTATGAAAAGTCAAATATCTATGTAGTTACAGCCCCTGGGTAAGTTGGCTGAAAGGTTCACAAATAACCCATACAATGGCCTTGGCAGCATGACAGGGATAATATTTTTGAAAAGTTAGACAGCTATTGTTGAATTATGCTCTGGTATGCTGGAAACAAGCCTGCCGGTACTGTTATTCAGTGTCAAGCATGCATGTATTCCTTTTTGTTCTTGGCATGGACAACTACTGCTGTTTAGTGAGCAGAAAATCCCAGGTAAGACAACTCACATTTGGCTAACTATGATGGACCAG